TACTGCCACTACCACTACCACTGCGCATTGGTTATCAATCCTACCTATTACCACTACCTCCCCAAATAAATCTTTCAAAATTAAGTCCAAAAAAATGGCCGTTCCTGGTTACTGCCACCACAGCTTTAAAATCATCAAGAGCGAAAACACACTCCTACTCTGGCGCTGTGGAATGTGCGCATCAGGACCTCACTGGTTTGTGTTTGAGTGTAAATACTGCAAGCTCAAGACCTGCCGTCCATGTACCTATAACGCTTAAGGCCTATTCCATACCTCCAAGTCGATGGATATCAATAGTGGATCTAGATGGATGTTGCAGAGGGAAAAGACATCAGCAGAAGGAGAGAGATACTAGGAAAGATAAAACACATAATGGCAGTGGAATCGGGATTTGGGGTTGAGTTCAACATCTCGGGGGTGTGTTTTTGCGATACTTGTGGATTTTTCGACAAGATAATGGGTTAGTACACATTGGGGTTGGTCTAGCGGGGAGGCCGGGGATGATGCATTGGATGGTTTAACGGTTCTGTATTATTATTATTCCTATCCGGGAAACGGCGTTCATTATTATTGTTATTGTTATGTTGTTTCTTTTGTAATAACCGTTGAGTCGACTGATTGATGGGTTATTCACTTTTTCTTTAAATTCTTACAGGACGATAACCAAGGTATTATTAGAATCTTTTGTGTGGGTCATGGATCATATGGGGGGCATGATAGGGCGCCTTTGGGAGGGAGAACTTGAGTTTTTTTTCGTTTTTCATTCCTTTTTTGTCTTTATTCTTTTGGGTTCGGTCTGTATACTAGATTTATTCCTCCCCCCCCCCCCCCCCCAATCAGCTTAATTAGTTGGCAAAACATCTCTTTTATCCGGCCAGTCTGATAGCTATCATTTACGCCCTGGGCAACATTCTATTTGTCATATAACTAAATGTAGATCCATGTAGTGGATAAGCACTATAAAAGCAAACATCACTCCAAAACCGCGCTATATGATCGTAAATGTCTGGAGCAGTCTCAACTCTCGTGATAACCGCATGGACTGATGGAGGCCGAGGAGTGATATTCCAGATTTCTATCGCCTGCATAGTATATACGTCTTGAAGTACGTGCATACAATATCATGCTGTGACCCGGCAGAAACATCTATGGTTCTTCCCCAACGGCGTGGTCGAGAACATGTATAGAGCTTTGTAAACCACATACCACCCTAGGGTAATGATATCCTCGCATTTTATCAGTGCTAGGGAACTTAAGACTAAAGACTAGTTCGCTCACTATTGAACATTGTGCCCTTAGCCACATCCTACAGTACATTGAGGATTCCTGCAACCTAGTCCCACCACAGCTTTCAACGTCTGCTTTTGTTAGCCATTGGCGGTCAAGGCTAACTTATAGGTTGGCAGGGCGTCTATCTTGTCCTAGACGAAATCAAGAGCACTAATCCGTCTTTCTATGCATACATGTAGCACCTTAATCGTTCTTGAACTGACGTGCTTCTCGAACGTTAAAAATTCCGTTCCTGACCAGAAAAGGCAGCAGTCCTAGCTCCGTCTGACAACTCACCGGTCTTCCGCGCATCTCGTGTTACCAGCAGTCCAGACCACCTATTGACAACACACAAGCAGACCTCCGAAGAGCGACATGGAAATTATCTTGACAGCCGCATCGCAAACAATGAGAAGTTCAAAACATCTCTCCGATGGAGATAGCTTCAATAACCTCTTCCCCTTGATTGTGTTTGGGCTGACCCTCCATAAGTTTCAAACAATGTTTCAGAAGCCAGTAGTGTGTCATTGTGGTGAGCGTCTTTTCACACCGCAATAAGTCTTGACACGTCTTCGTCTCCAAAAATTTCTCCCCAGGCCTCGCATCCAGAAATAAATTCCGATCCCAAACCCTTGGTTAGGCTGAAGATCTCCACTCATCATCTGCGGACGGGTACTATATGACACGTCTTTGGCGTCCTGCATCTTCCCAGATTGAGGTGCGCAAACACCTGTTCATCCCGATAACTTCGCATGAGTATAAAGCCCCATCCTTTCACGTATTCTTCATTGGTTCAGCCCAGGAATCTCTGTGTGTACATCCCGGATATCATGCTGAAAATGTCTGATGAATCAACAAAGGCATCCCTTGCACGTCTGTTTGCGTTACTTTGGTCATTCGGATGTGTTAGATGGGTCGCGTTCCCCAAGGGACTAGATTGCTTTGATGCCATATTTCCATTGGGGAAAGTAGAAGCCTAGTCTGCACAACATCCTGCATGTCGGAAAAATCAGAATCTGGGGACCCCACCTCTTCAACATCTAATTCTGAAACATCTCACGATTTCACGGGGGAGGCGGTTTCCGATTACCCCTTCACTCGATTCGGCTTTGTACCTAGCCTAGCTCCTGTTTTTTTTTATGTATATGGCTTGTTAAGTACCCAATGAGAGCGTGGGGAAATTTTTCCTCCTTGGCGTTGAGCAACCACTAAGGACAATATATCAAACTCCGCTGGATGACATTCAATAGATATCGCCAAAACCGCACGGCTCTGCCAACCCGGTTTTGACACGAATGCAGATGTATGTATATATAGCTGAGCTTGGTGATAAAATATAGCGAGCAAAGAACCTCCGTGGTTCGGCTCTGATTGCGGGTAAGTGAGAATGTGCTTGATGGAGTTGAGTTTGCATGACCCTGTCACTGAAGGATCTTCGGGGAAACACATCAAATGCAGGTCGCGATTCCGCATACGGATTGGTGTAGATTTTGTTGTTGAAGATCGGTAAAATTCTAAATTGCACGCAGATAAGCAAGATGGCTCTGAGCAGAGGATAATCAGGTAAATTTTTCTGCTTCAAATGTACGGGGACACACGTACTAAGGTCTCGCCGTTTGATTTTGATTGCGTGGGCCTCGCCCCCCATCGACATCATCATGTTCCATGCATCGATGCTTAGGGGGGAATAACTGGACAGCAGCCGAACTTCAATTCAAAAGGGAGGAAGCATATGTATCTTGGTCCGGGCCGAAGGACGTGGCCGACTCGCCGTTATCAGCGCCAATACCGGAAACTGTATTATATTTGACCAATTGGGTAGAATGCAACAGCAGCACACCTCTAGACTAAATTCGTCAAATTCAAATATCAGTGACTAACTTTATCGTCTGTTCATTTCTCTGACTTCCCCGTCTGAATCACAACCACAATCTTGATACTCCATCAACTTCATGAGATATCACTCGTCAGATCAAAGCTGAAGATTATGAGACTTGTCACTTTTTAAAATAAGTCTGTATTCCACCAGCAGACTTAAACAGCAAAGCTATAGGAATAGAAGCTGCTAGACCTGTGCTCCAGTCGGTACCAATGATATGTCGTAAAGTGAAAGCGTTGTCACCTACAAATGTACATTTTCCCTCCCGGGATCCCCCTGCGGTCAAATGGCCGAGGACCAGCATTTTGATTTTGCCACAGATTTCTTTTTTATCAAAGCACATTAACACTCTATTATAGACTCGACGGGATTAAGAAGCCTTCCGGCTATAAGACATGCTTTAGCTGTGTATTGGAGTCTCGGTGATATCTAGCTGTCGGGATGAACGACTACAGTGGACATGTAAGCGTCAGCGAAGTTCTCTAGATTACGCACACAGTAAGCCAAAAGACTCTCCATGTTACATATCTTTGAACTTGACCGAATCCGATGCCCACGATTTCCACGGGCAATCCTAGATAATGATCAATGCGAAGCGCTGCGGGGGGTTCTTGTGCGTAGACGATACCGTTACAAAATAAAGATAGTACCTACTGGGCTAGCGACACATTTCTCCAGTCAATTATTTCTCAGACACGTTAAGCTGAAATGTACATTTCCATGTATTGCAGTGCAGAAAAGGCGGAAAATCGACGTTGCCTTGTCATCTCGACGTTGGATGGCCGTGGTCGTACATGATCAGATGAAGTCTTGGAAACGATAGGTCACAAATATGTGAGACTTCATCGCCAAGTACTAGGTTGGTGTGGGAGGGTTTCTTCTGCCCTGATGCGGTGAAACCTGTCGTGTCTTTGTCCTATCAAAAAAACAGACTCCGCTATGCGTTATGTTTCGGAGACTTGCAGCATCCAAGACAGTCAATCCAGATAGAGTATCAACCGGAGCATTTCGATTTCAACCCCTGTACGACTGATAGTCATAAGAAGAATGTAACTCTATGAAACTCACTGCTTTGGGAGTATTGAATTCAAACTTTGATTGTGATTTTGAGGGAGAGTTGTTGCAATCGGGCCCAAGCGGGCGCCTGTTTGTCACCAAGTTGAGAGGATCATGTGCTGCTTATTCTAAGAGGCGAACAATGACGAGGTCTAAAGTGATGGCAGGCATGTTCATAAGTTGTCACCCGAATTGAATATGTGGTATCTAAACAAGATAACGGTCTGGTTACACGCTCTTTTGCAATTTGGTCCTTTTGATCATACTGAGATTCAGTGTCCTTTTATAATATACATACCATGGCTAATACTACATATGTATAGCATACATGGAGTAAAGCCCACTCAGGGAAACCTAGTATGCTTTACACCGAGGATCGATCTTTTATAAACACATATCATAGATCGGCCGATAGATTTTAGAGAGCGTGAGGAACTGGGTATATATGTGTACATGTAGTCATACTTCATACTTCATAGTTGAGTCTCCGCGTGTGGGTTAGGGTTTTGTCGCACATTAACACAAGGCTGTGACATGAAGTACGCATTTTGAAGAAGACTTGGCATCAAGCAACCCCGAAAATTCTTCCCGAACATTAGCAGCACCCCACCTTCGATCTTCATATCTCATTTCTTCATACACCCCACGAGGAAACTTTCATCGCCTGCTCTCAAAGTCAGCAGCTAGCTGGAGCAGAGGCCCAGCTATCCTAAAAGTGTGATCTAATCATACCTTTACAGCTTATGCAAATTTTCGAATTTCTTTAACCCATCTCCCGCCATCACCATTTCGCAAAATGCGTCGTGTCAAAATCTTTTCCGGTTCATCGCACCCGGAGTTGACAGAGTCAATATGTGAACGTCTCGGTACCACTCTTGGGAAGTGCGACTTGCGGAAATTCTCCAATGGGGAGACTAGTGTGGACATTGGTTGCTCCATTCGAGATCAAGATGTGTTCATTGTGCAGAGTGGGAGTCAGAAGTGAGTCCCTCTCTATGAGTTTTTTTAAGGTTAGAAATAATATCTCAAAGTCAACATGGGTGAAAAGTGCTGACATTCCTTTCCCTTCCCAATAGGGCAAACGACAGCATCATGGAACTTTTAATTTTGATCTCAGCTTGCAAGGGAGGCTCCGCCAATAAGATTACAGGTATGGTCTCTTGAAAGCTAATGTTGTGAGGCCTATCAGCTGACATTTCTTTCTCCCAGCTGTTATGCCGTATTTCCCGTACTCAAAGCAATCAAAGAAGAAGTCCCATCGAGGTGCTATCACCGCGAGAAGTTCGTAATAAATTATACTAAGCAATATTTAGGGATAGAAGCTAACCAGAGGCTTTGGTGCAGTGCTCGCAAATCTTTTGACAGTGGCTGGCGTTGACCATGTCATTACCGTCGACTTACATGCTTCTCAGATGCAGGGTTTCTTTACGAAGCCCGTTGATAACCTATACGCGGAACCACTTCTTGCTAGATGGATTAGACACAACGTTCCTAATTGGCGCGAGTCTGTCGTCGTCTCAAAGAACCCGGGGGGAACGAAGAGAGTGACACAGCTCGCGGATGTTTTGAAGCTTAATTTTGCATTGATCACAACCGATCGAAGAAGGATCAATAGGGATGGGTGGGCTAGTTCTAGGTTCCAAAGTCATAGGCATTCCCCCGCTGAAAGTGTCGATGGTGATGGGAAGGAGACCACTGGCGCAGTTGATGGGGCTGGATACGATGAAACTATTGGCAATAGCATCGACTTCGGAACGACTCCTAGAGCGTCGGCTCCTATTGCGGGCCTTGGAATCTCAACTGTTGCTACTAATTCACCCTCCATTGGAAGTACCGGATTGTCGAATGGGCACCAAAGCCGTGCCGAAGATGAAGAGGATGATGATGAATATGCAGATGATCATGCTCACTCAGTCATCTATGGTCGTCTAATTTCGGGCCATATTGTCGATGATGATTATCCTTCACCATCTCCATCAATGGCAGCATCCACTAGCCATGGCGACGAGCAAATGATGTCCTCGATTCATTCACTTCCATCTCTACACCCCGCCGACAATGCATTGGGCGGATCAATTGACGCAGATAATTCTGACGATGAAGATGAAGCTGATCGATTACCCGGCTCCGAGAAAATGATTACCCTTGTTGGTGATGTTCGAAATAGAACCGTTCTGATCGTTGATGACATGATCGATCGCCCTGGTTCGTGGATCGCTGCTGCCGAACACGTAAAATTGCGGGGTGGTGCAAAGAAGGTCATCTGTATCGCGACCCATGGCGTCTTTGGCGGCGATTGCTTGAGGGAAATGGAGGACTGTAGCTGCATCGACCAGATTGTTGTCACCAACAGCTTCCCTATCCCAGAAGAGGAGAGGAGAGGTCTTAGAAAATTGACCATTATCGATTTAAGCCAACTTCTCAGCGAGGCTATCAGGAGGAATCACCATGGTATGCCCATCTCAAACTCGAACATAGAGTTTTATTAAACCCCAAATAAAATCTCGAGTGGGCTGACCCTTGTCACACTAATCATAGGCGAGAGCATTTCCGCTCTATTCCAACATTTTGCGGACTAGGCATACCCCAAACATAGCCCAGAACATAGTCATTCAGTATAGTTATTCAAAAGTTGCGATGATGGGAGTTTCTTTGGCGTTTTATTTCATTTGCTCTCTAATACCGTTCGGAATTAGTCCCTTGGTCCAAACTATTGCGCGCATAGAATTCTATGCGCGCCGAGAAAGAGAAAGCGAGGGGGGACATGTGGTTGGGTTGGTCCGTTAGAGCTATACTATGGCACTTAACGAGACACGAGGTGAGAAATTAGAAAATAAATAAAATCAGGAAACCGACTCACGTTTTGCGAATCTACTTTGTTTCTGCTTTAATATTATTCTTAATTTTTCTTGCTTTCGGAAGTTACACCAGAGGAGCAGAGTATCTGTCCAAAACGGGTAGGCACAAGAGCATCTTTATGACCCCGTGGTCCGGCTCTTGCGCGTGTTTGTGCACATTTTCTTTCTTGGTCAGTGCTGCAGTCCTGCAAATGGCCCATAAGAGATATATTTTCCACGGGCTCTGACTGGCATAAGAGTGCTGGGGAGTGGGTTACATTTATCCATTATTATTTGCAATTGTTTACAAATGAAATTGCTGGGCCTCTCACCCCGCCTTCACTTGCACTCAGTGGGGGTAGACGCAGGCGCAGGAGAAATTGTTAGAATGTAATATAAATGACGATCCTAATATAATTACTCTGTCCTATTGCATTTATTCATGTTGCTGCTGGTTGGTCATGCTCCTCTACCTCCTTGCCAATACCTAGAGTAGAAGTGCTACGGAGAGTTATTGTACTCATGAGTGAGTTGACGACATTGTACCCTCGTATTCAGAGGTGGGATGGATTCAGTTCTCGTGACGGGTGACGATGTAGAGTAGTTGTTATGTCTCACGATGTTGGTTTTTCGTTGGTTGTTGCCTGCTAAAGTGACGTCTAACCAGCCAAGTTTTCCTTGGTTGCGATAATCGAATGCTAAGCTTTCCCTACCGCCGCTTCCCGAATAGAGAGAGGTTTTTTTCTGCCTTCTGTTTTCTTTTTCCTTTGCCTTGTCCGGTGAAATTGTTATTTGGTGGGGATTGGATGGAGCGGGGCTCTGCATCCATCCATCTATTTGTATGTTCTACTATGCGTACCCCGTTCGTGGGACTGGAGTCGTGGTGCTAGCTGTGCTCTCAAACTCCAGCAGATAGAGTAGGTAGTAGAGTACTACCTTAGGTACATGTATGCATCCATCTCTAATTAACCCCGCGTCTCGACGTCGAAGTCGTGCACTGTGCCGATTGGGTTGGACTGACCGGTAACGCCGGTGAATTGTTAACGTTAATTGGGGTATATCATCCTCGTGGTCGACGTCCGGGGAGCAGCACGTGCGGAATGGAGAATGAACGATAAAGTGGCGGCGTACAGGCGTTAGCCAACGGTTTTTCGGGCTGGTCTGTCCGGGTGGTTGATACTCATGTACTCAGGTACTAGAGTAGAGTAATTTCGCTAGGCCTCCCATGCGTCGTAATTTGGGCATATATCTGCAATTAACGCGTTCGTGGCGGCTGTGGTGGTGAATATCGAATTGTAGCTGCAGGCTTGTATTTGATCCATATGTTGAGGAAACCGAATCGGGTTATCTCAATGCGAACGAGTTACAGTTTGTACAGGATCAAGGGGATTGATTGTTTTTGAACGTTTTTTAATCTCTGGAAACCACGAGAGGTTAGGTAGACATGATTTGGCGTTGTTTGTAACAAACCGTACCTACATGTACCCGTGCTCACAGGATCGTTTTCACAACAAGGTGCGCTTTCCTAATGCTGAGTTAATGAGTTTGATAAGAGAATTAGGAGGATTATATTTACTTCCTGTTATTTCATCCTCTAGTAATTACTATTCATAAGGTACGGTCCATGCATGCCGCGCGCGTACAAAAGTAAGGAACAAGTTTTGAAATTCTCCGCCAGATAAACATATATTAACTTTTCGATAATCAGGTACGAGTCCAACTCTCCTATCGGGTTGCGTTCCCGGATTAGTTCGTTTGGTGGTTCGACGTCGTCGTTTCGCCAATACAGGGCCGATATTCCAGATGGCGGCTAAACCTACCATGGTCATAAGTAATCATCAATGATCCATGGAGGTCACCTTACTCTACTTCGGACGGACAGCTAGGCCTTTCTGCCGGCGCCCCGCATCTCCGACTCTAAGCTTTATTGACGTCCAGGGGTCCGAGACGGGGGTCAGGGATTTGGGAATGTGATTTCCGCCCCGTCTATCCTCTTGGGCCTTCTAGGAGTACTGTAATTGTTAGGTTGGATGGGGTTTGGGTTATGGATATAGTAGATTCAATATATGATCCGCAAATTTACTGGGGTGACTTTGTTTAACAACCCTTTATTAATATTGGAAGTTTCATATAAATACTAGACTGGATTCCTGTCAAGAAACTTATAATCCATCAACGTCGCTGCGATTGAAGAGCTTGTCTTGTCCATCCACCAGCGCCTAGCTTCCATTCCTTCGTTCAATTGAGTTGATCTGTTTTTTTGACCCACTACCAACAATATGCTTGGCCTACTTTCTGCCAGTTCGTTTCTGCTAGGACTTGCCAGTGCTGGCACTGTCATCTGGGATGGAAGATTTAAGTAAGTTTTCCAATGGCTGAGAAAGCCGGCTGTATATGCAAGGTCTGCAGTGATACTAACAAATCAACAGTGACTACTCCAGCAGTACCGACCTAAACACTTGGTCCTGGGCCAACCAGGTCGGGTCCTACCAGTACTATATTCACGGCACCGGAGCTGTAACCGACTATGTCAACCTCTCCGCTGACTACAAGAACCCCGCCGATACCACCTCCAACCAGGGTGTCAAGATCACCATTGATGACACAGCGAAGTGGAATTCTGACATGTGGAGAACCGAGTTGATCCCGCAGACCACTGCAAACTTGGGAACCGGTACGCTGTACTATCACTTCAGCATGAAGAGGTCCGACACAAACGCGCCAAACGCCAACTTTGAGCACCAGGTCAACTTCTTGTAAGTCCAACAATCTTCCATCCATATGCTCGATGCTAGTATCTAACAAACACTAGCGAATCTCACTTCACAGAAATGAAATATGGTTGGATCAATGGTAACACCAACACCAACCCCGACAATAACCTCCGCTGGATGGTCGGTGGTGTTTCGAAATGGAACGTCGACTGGGTCGCTGATGTCTGGCACAACTTTGCCTACGAGATCGACTTTAGCGGCAGCACCGTAACTCTCTGGCACTCTGTCGGTTCCGATCCTCTCGTCAAGACCGCCGGTCCCTTCTCTGCATCTACCTCAACCAACTCCGCCGATTGGCACTTGGGTGTTCTCCGTCTGCCTGCTAGCGGCAGCGGCGTTACTTCTACTGCTGCCGAGGACTGGTACTACAGTGGCGTATATGTTGAGAGCGGATCAATCAACACTGTTATCGGGTCGGGAACTAGCAGCGGATCTACTACTGCTGTCGCGTCAACCAGTGTCAAGTCAACAACTACTGCGGTTCCTACTACCACCACCATTCCAGTCACTACTACCGTTTCTACGTCAGCAACCGCATCGGCTACTGGCGCTTTGGCAGCTAAGTGGGCACAGTGCGGAGGTGTCGGATGGACTGGAGCGACTGCTTGTGTGTCTGGATCGACTTGCACTAAGCTCAACGATTACTACTCTCAGGTTAGTAGTGTGCTTTCATGTTATTCCTATTACAAATGGCTAACATATCCGGATCTAGTGCATTTAAATTTTATTGTTTATCTAAAAGATGGGGGTGTGAGAAGTGAAGTTTTTGTAGATGTAGTCCAAAATATAATAGGAGGTCCTTGTGCCAAGCCGTGCGAGTGATCAGCTGTGAAATGAAACATCTAGCGTTGTGCCAAGCCGTCCTTTGGTCGCTGAGCCGCGCTTTACAGGATCTAAGGCCGGTATGTGAAGGATAGGTGGAAGAGTGGCAGTGTATCGAGTAGTAGCGGGAATAGACAAGTAGTGTAAGTATAAGTTTGGTAGGTGAGTGATGGGTATAGGATGGAATAGATGCCGGCGTACTTTTTCAACCAATAAATACATGTAGCAGTAATTATTCTGACGTTAGAGGTGGAATCGATGGTGTTGGTGACGGAAAATAGTAGAAAACGATAGAATATGGCCGTCATGTGGTGCGGGGTTCCAAGCTTTGGGATCTGTGCTCCAAACGAATCGGAATGCAGGCTAGACTAGCTAGAATTGATAGATCGTAAACAAAATTCGTACTATAGGCCAATCTCGTGGCTTTGGGATAAAGTCAAAGGTCTTGGTTGGAACCATCCTTGCTATGATAGTCCGTTGGCCAACACCGGCCATTCGATCCCAAACGAAACTATGATGCGGCAAACGACAGGTAGTAATGCTCTGCTCCATTCACTAGGTACGTACTTGGGAGGTGAACGCAAGCGGAAAACACTTTTTACCGGTAACATTTGCTAATTAGGGGCCTCTCTGTTTATAGGGATAAATATAAATATAACCTTCAGAGAAAGATTAACATTCCCCTCTCCTGTGAATTTTATCGGCATAGAATTATGTAAGAATGCTTCGTGGATAAGGGATGGACTAGGTAGCCTGAATAAATAATGGGTTGTGTGCGCCAGCGGCTTAGAACGGCCCCATGTCTTTTATTCGATGAGAATCTTAGTTTCCTTATTATTTTAATCCGACATATCTAAGATCGTTTTGAGGGATTTTTCTGTAGAGACTCTAGTGCGGTTGTCAGAGAGGGGATAAGATGTCAAATCAATCATTACCGCAGGGGTGCTTTTTTTTTTAGCGAATTAAGAACTGGGCTAGTAAATACTCTGATTGAAATCTACTATTATAGCAGGCTAAATGCCACTCCTTGAGGTTTATCTAATTACTTGATCCCAATAAACCGATGATATATATAGCCACGGTTAATTCTGTTTATGAAAAAAATAAGAGTTGAATTTTGCGCATCTAATCAAGTGCTAAGATCTGATGTAAAAGTAGTGACTGAGAATTGGTAAAAGTACCAAGTGATACTAGTAAGAAAAAGCAAATAACTAAATAAAATGACCTGCAGGTCCGCAAGTCCGCACCATCTCGATCAGTACTAGGTATGTGATACGAGAAAGCTCTACTAAAGATTCAAAAAAAGAAAACATAATCTTCTCGCGAAACCGACCCCCAATCTTCACTGACGTAACCTCTCAAACCCAGCGACCCTATGAAGCCTATTTACCCTCCCACCGGCCGCAGCACTATCATTGGTATCAGTACGAGCACCCCCAGAACCAGGACGAGCGCCGGTATTGGTAGAGCGAGGGGGAAACTGAGCAGCATGAGTTGGTTGGGTAAGCACAGGTCCACGTTGAGCAGCACGAGTGTTCCTAGAACGGTTAGGCCTAGGCCCAGACTTGGGTTTAGGGGGACGAGGATTAGGGTCTTGTCGTTGCTCAAAAGTCCTGGAGGGGAATGGGGACTGCGGGCGTTGGGGAGAGGTGGGTCGCTGGCGATTATCTTCCTGGCCTCTGTCGTAAACTACGGCGGTTGGATCAGGAGAGGGAGGGGGTGCTGGAGGTGGGTGGGCGGGATGCTTAGGCATTGCGGTGGTTACGGAACGAAGATAGTGTGGCAGGAAGTATGAATCTCAGTGAGCTTTTGTGAATGGAAAGAAGTTTAAGGGAATTTTGAAACAGTTAGCTAATAGTTATAGGCAAGTATTTTATAGTTAAATCCATTTTATAGTCTGTGGTGTGAAGGCCTATTATAAATTATCGGTTATACATAAATCTGGGCAGGTGATGATAGTCTCGTGCCCCTAGGATTATCTGATTGCTGCTGTCTTTTCGTCCGGTCTAATTATTGGCATCAAGTTAGTTTGTGTAATTTCTGCTGAACAGACTATATTGCGATGAGCATGTGAGGGTTAAAATCAAGTGAAATAATTTTCGGTTGCTGATCCAATATATATGGGGGTTTGCAATACCTGTTTGACTATATATGATGGTGGTCTAGTCTAGACAGACACGGATATAAAACGGGCTTATAACGGCTATAAATAATATAAGTTATGGGAACTAGGGCTGGATACTAATCCAAACTAAATGTAGCTCTGTCTTTAAGTTAGGGATCTGTAGAATGATTGATTATATCAATTAATGAATTAAACAAAAAAGATTTCTGATCATATCATGAGCTATCACTCGGAAATAAGGTCTAAACAATTATTTGCTCTAGTCAGTGATCGATGGAAAACTCACTACAAAGGCCTAGACCGCCATGCTACCGCTCAAAAGAAGAAATGACTCAAATAGCTCAGTATAGCATTGGCTTTGCAGGCCATAGACTATTGAAATATCATATGTGCCTAGACCAGCACCTCTTGCAATTTGATTGCTGTATGTCATCTGGTCTTTCGTGTTGGAGCTCAGGTGGAACCTGGAGCCGTCATTTCGGTAGCCAATACTCTCGACCCTATCCACATGAAAGAAACTTTATTAAAACACATCTATTCTACGTTGATCGAGATCATCCATTGAAATTCTACAAGTCACAGAATGGGTCACCATTAAAACAAAGCTGACTTGTCGTCATGGCTGGTCACTCGTTAAAATACATAAATATAACCACAACTATGCTTGATTGATTCATAACCGAAACGCTAGAGGCAAAGAGCAGAATCGAAAACGTCTTCTATTGGTATTGACAAATGAAACCCTCCGCTTTTGTTGTATCCCCTACATACCCGATTTACCCAATCACCAAGAAAAGAAATACAAGACCAAAGAAAGCCTCACCACAGGAAAACCAGTACCGAAAAGAGAGAAATTACATATGTAACCCGAACCGTATCTTTATGTTCATACCATCATAGAACTGGCGGAAAAAGGATATACGAAAAAAAAAAAATTTAAAAATTCGCTACCGCAATTGCGATAGCTTGAGCATCACTGTGACTGATGCTAACTTGCACCGCCTTCACGCCAGCCTTAACTGCTGCTGCCTTGGCATCGCCATGCAACTGTATTATGTTAGATGTTTGTTCATGGAAGGATTGAGGAAGGAAAACATACTTGAACGACAGGAGCACCCTTATCATCACTCAGAATTTCAATGTCCTTTAATGGGGCTCCAGCACCCTTTGACGCAACACCTAACGCCTTGAACACGGCCTCTTTCGCGCTCCATCTCCCAGCAAAACTCGCTTGCGCACTCGGGGCTTTGCGACAGTACTCCTGCTCAGCAACAGTAAAGTTGCGCTCGACAAAATTCTCGTTATCGATGTTAATACTGGAGATCAATTCAACATCAACGCCAATCTTGCTATTATCACCTGCCGTAGCACTAGCAAGGTTCTCAACAAGTTTGCGAGTGTTCTCCACCGACGGATCTGCGGGTTTCTTCTGGATCTGTGCGGGGTACATGTAACTGTTGGTCTTCTTATCGGCCTGTACGCGGGCAAGAGGGTCAAGGAGGACTTGAGTCTCCTGGTCGGCAGTGTATGGCGGGTCGTTCTTGGCTTGGAACATGTTATTTTCAACAAGTGAGGTGTGGTAATATCTGTAAGCCTTCTTGTATCGAGAGTTGACCTTAGCTTTATACGCCTCATATGTCTGCTCATCCAGAGTGGCAAAGAGATATTTAGCGTGAACACCAATGGCCTGAGCACCCTTCTGACCGAAACCGAAGGAAGTGACTGAAAATGCCTTGATACCATCGGTTTGGATGCTTCGACTTGGGTAAAGGATGTAATCGAACTGTTCCAACTTTTGGTCGACGTTATCTGCATTCCTGTTGCCTGGTACGAGACCAGAGTTCAAACACTGAATAGCTCCGTTCATCATCCAGGCACCAGCAGCACCCTTAGGATGGCCAGTGAGATATTTCTGGAAGATACCCAGGATGGCGTTGCCCTTCTTCCTTCCTAGATGGGTCAACATCTTCTGAATGGCATCAGATTCATTCTTGTCATTGGCCTTAGTACTGGTTCCGTGGAAACTGGCAACGCCCAAATCGTCAATCGTCAAGCCCCATGTAGCCAAGGCTCCTCTCAATGGCGCAATTCTGGGATCCTTCTTCCAGAAGTTGTTACCCCACGCGTTCAGAGCCTCGCTTTCCTGCCTCTGAGATTCGCGCTCAATGTGGCCAGCACGGTCCTGCATGTACTCGCTCTCGTCGAAGTCTGTACCCTGAGATTTCATAGCAGCGACCTCCTCTTGGAGATACATGAGTTCGGACTCGGTCCATTGCTTGATTTGAGCCTTGCGCATGTCGAGTTGCCTCTTCCTGTATTTTATATCTAGGAGGGGGCTTGGGAATTTGCTGCTGGCCTCACGAGCGGTAGTCAAAATACCTTGACCAGGAGCAGGAATACTACGTCCAATCTTGTCGGTGGCAGTCGCTGTTAGCGCAACAATACCATAGATTGGAACACCCATCTCCAACGCCAACTTCGCGCTCATAATGAGCTGAACACCGCACCCCTGGGATTCCATGAAACCATTTCTGGTAGTGGTAGTTGGCCTGGACATTTCAGCTGGGGTTCTTCCATGCGCAATTTCTTCCTCAGCGTTGCTCGTGGCCTTCATGTTGGCGAACTCGTAAGAGCCTTCCTCCTGGAAGTCATCAAAACCACCAACGAAGCACACTCTTGCTTTACCCTCAACAATAGTCTCATAACCAATATCAAGTGACTCGACAGCAGTAGCACAAGCACCGACAGGAGTCTTGATCGGGCCTGTAGAGGAGAGAAGCAACATGTTAACCCACGCAGACATGGTGTTGATGAAAGATTCCTGTAAAATATCCTTCTGGATCGGCTTGTCTTGCCATCTGCCCTTGTACATCCCTCTCAGAGCGCTCACACCTCCAACACCAGAACCAACACAGTTACCAACCTCTGACAAGTGCACGTATTTGTAGAATTCGTACGGGTCGGTGATACCAGACGCTAAAAGAGCCTCGACAACACTGACAAGGACATAAAGAGTAACTGGATCGACTTGGGTGATGATATCTTCGGGGATGCCATATCTACGGGCGTCCCACCCGGCGGGGATCTGGCCAGCAACAAGGCGGTCGAATTTCAATGCCTTGGGAACGTACAACAACGCACCCTTCTTTAGGCGCACAGTATACTCACCGGTCTCCTTAAGCTCAAAGATCTCGACCTTATCACCGTGTTGTCTCTTGAATTCTTGTGCATTTTCTTTGCTGGTCTCGAATTGTTCCAAGTCTTGCTCAATAACAACTTCCTGGAGCAATTCCTTCCTTTTAGGGTCATAGCCACCGAAAAGCTCGCTCTCAATCAAACGGATACCGGAGTGTTCCAAGATGTGCTTCTCATACTTGGCTTTGACATCTTTGTCATCAACAGGTTCGTTTGTTTTAGCGTCGACCCAACCAGAGTATGGTTTGCCCTTGATTGGTCCCTTGAAATGCTTGATGAGACCCATGATCCAAGCCATTTCAATGCATCCTTCGAGCGAAAAATGACCGTAGGCCTCCATCTCCCATCGAGTCCTAGAGTTACCCCAGGGACCGACCTCAGCAAATCCGGTAACAACAACAACCTTCTCCAAGTCGACCATACCACGGAGGTCTGCAGCCAAAGGTTCAATCTCCTTTTTATAATCTGGAAGTTCCGGGAATGAAAACTTCATATTCGCACGCGGCTGGATAGTGACCTTTTGGTAGAGTTTCTCCGACTCCTCGCCGTTGACGATCTTGTGCTCGATGGCAGTTTCGACGGTGACCGCCTTGCGAACCTCACAAGTCTCCTGCAGATTCTGACGGAGTTGGGCAGAAACCTCCTTAAGATTGGGAATATATTGGAAGCCACCGTTAAGATCGGCAAAGACTGGCTCGACTTGGCAGAGGTTGACGACAGCTGGAGCCATCAGACCCAAGAGATTGAAAGCCATTTCCTGCTGAGAGAAGGTACGGACACCAAGTTTCTCAACACCCTCGGCGATAGAGTTGTTGCCACCCATCAAACCAGTACCACGGGTCCATCCGATAACAGCTCCGCAGATTGTGAGGTAGTTGCCCCATGATTCGGAGTGCCATCGGGTGAACAATGTCTCCAAAGCTAGCTTGGATTCAGAGTACATGCCGTCGTTACCGAAGGTACCATGGTTGGGAGAAAGAGGAAGGATGACCTGTGCAGGACGGGTTTCGTAGCCACGAGAGGCTTTATTTGTCTTGACCATTCCAAGGAGACGGAGAAGATTTGTCAACATGATTCTGTGCGCAAGCTCGGACTTGGAGTCGAGGCCATCGATTTCACGGCCATTCTCAGAAATAGCGGCGAAGGGAATAACAAAGTCCAAATCCCATCCCAGTCCATTCTTTGCATCATAGACCCAGTTTACAAGAGCTTCGCAATCCTGCTTGCTACCTGAAAAAAAAAGAGAAAAGTTGTTAGATTTGGTTCTTTAGTAGGAGAGGGTGGTATTATTTACCTTGGTTGAATGGTACAACAATCAATTGAGAACCACGGGCTCCAAACTTCGTGTACATAGTCTGGTAGTACTCAGTAACCTCACGAGAAAATCTGCTAGTAGTGACAACGACCCTGGCGCCACCGCTGAGGAGCCCTTGCAAGACCTCAGCTCCGATAGAACCAGCACCAGCACCAGTCATAAGAACATTCTTTCCATCAAATGTTACACCGGACTAGTAATGTATTAGTACTTGCCGACCATAAAAGTAGAAATGGGGGAAAGCATACGGCAGCAGCCTGTTCCAAGCAATCCAAGTATAATCCAGTCAACTTTTTCGAGTACTCCCAGCCATGATCTTCCTTCCTCCTCAAATGAAGGAATGGAATGCATTCAACCTTGCCCTTCCCTGAATTGTTGTTTTTCTTATTATTGGCACCCTTCTCATGGAGGATTTGGGCCTCATTCATTGCTAAACTCTTGAAGATGTTTGCGTAGAGTGTTTTAATCTGCATTTGCGAGGATTTTGTAATTTTGTGTTGCTGTTTAATGATCTTGTAAATCTTGGCAAGGTCGTTCTGAACCTTCGTTCGGTTTCCATACTCGCTCAGTTTTCCACCAGCAGCCATTTCCTTAACGTAGTGCTCAAGCTTTCGAATCGCAGGTCGTGGAACCTCGGCGTATGACATGTTACCCTGGGCGTCAATAGTGGTTTGAGGGGCGGTAGGGTATTGAACATCTTTGAAAACGGGAGCCGTGCCAAGTGCCTCCTGACAGTTCGCAATAAGCTGCTCCCCAAGTTCCTTTGCAAGCTTGTATGTCTCACCACGTTCAGTGGGACAGTGATCAATGTGGTATTGCATGTACTCGAGCAACGTGGGGTTAGAGCGATTCATGATATGAATACATCGTGAAACAATTTCGCGGTCAACGAGCTTCAGGCGGCCAAAGACAATGTCGAAGTACATGTGGAGTGCATCCTGTCGAGCCCAGTTCCATGATGAATCGTAAACTCTGGCCTTGAGTGGCGAGAATGAAGGCTCGATTCCCGAGGCGTAGAATTCGCCGTGCTCGACATTCCATAGATCAAGTTGTGCTTGTAAAACTTTCTGGGTATCCAAAGAGCCAACATATGCCTTATCTCCAGAGCGAAGGTCCATTTTCAGGTACCTTGCCAGGAGCTCAAGCTGTTGTTTGAACAATGCCCTTTGGTCTTTGGTCAAAGCATCAATGGCGGCAGGATCCATCATCATTCCACCACCGCCACCGCCGGAAGAACCTCCAGCTGCGGGCGCAGACAGGGAGATACCGGATGCAATAGCATACTTTGCCGACACGTCGTCTAAAAATGCCTTTGCGTCATTTTCACTTCCTAATCTTGCCGCTGGCTCCATTGTAATTGCCATCAGCAAGACACCATCCTGTCGTCCTGACTGAAGACCCCATCGGTCCCCGAGGTATTTCCTTGCCGTTGTGATGTTGAAACCACCAGGCATCTTGGAAGAAATCATACGAGCAATCATCGAGCTTGACTGCTTGCCGAGCTGGCCGTTGAATGTGGTCTGCATTGCCGCACCCAATTCATCCAAGGGGGTATCCTCCGGTTTCTCGGGGGTATTGCCAAATTCCTTTTGTAAATCTAAATATTTTGTCAATATAATTGCGTTTGGATATGATTTATGTAGAATACAAACCTCCCAAAATTTCATTTTGCAATGTACTTTTACCATTGACCAAATCTTTGATGGCTTTTGATAATGGAATTTCCGCCAGAGATTTTTTGAGCTTCTGTGCAATGAGTGACCGCACAATGTCTACGGCCTGGACAGGTGCATCGGCAACCTGAGCAGCTGGGCCTGAGGATGGTGCAGGGGCAGCAGCAGCAACGGGAGCTGACGCTGCTGGAGCATTGGCAGGTGCTGAGGACGAGGCCACAGGAACTTCTGGGGTTTCCTCCTCTTCAACAGGTTCGACATCGTAGTAGATTTCCTTTGCATCCTTATTGTAGCAAAGAATTTGACGCTGGAGAGATTGGGCAGCATCATAGGCCTCATACTTCGCTGCAAGAGTGCGCCGGGCCATGCCGCCAAGAGTGTCGGAGGGACCAATTTCAACAAGTCGTTCCGCCGAATGTTGGGAGAGAATCACATCCTGGGTTTCAATCCTGAGAAATTGTGAGTTAGTAGCTCAAGGATAATGAATATGGGGGCGAGTTCAAACCATCTAACGGGACTGGCGAACTGGTAGGCCAGAAGCTCCACCATTAAGGTGTAAGCCAATTCCTGTTCTTGTTCAGGTCTCATGGTTGCTTGTGATGAGGATGTTCAAGCTTTTGGAATTAAAAGATTTCCAGGTGGAGAAGGCGGGGTATTAAGAGTGACAGTCGTGAAGCCCGTGAATCAAAACCTGTCTAGAGGATTTATGGATGGAAGTAGAAGTCCTCGACGGAAAAAATGATGAAAAAAGAATTGAATTAATGGCCGTTCCGGTGCAGCTACTGTCTAAACTCCTTGGTGGTAGGTTTCGTTTTCGTCAATGGTAAGAAGGGAATGGAGATTGGCCGGCGGATACGGGGAGTCAACGCACGGGGAGGGGAGGGGAGAGAATGGATTGAAGTAGGTAAAGAGAAGACGTGGAGAGTGAGGGGGGTCAAGAAGGCAATTCATGCAGCAACGGAGGAGAAAGTAAAATGAAGCTATTCAACACCAGGTCCTCTCTTTCAAGCCAATACCACTGGGGCTACAGGGCCTGCTACAGGCACTATCGCCAGGACACTTTATCGCTCTATCAGTGACTCTCAAGGGAAGCTCTTTACCCCCCCTTGGTGGGGTCTACCCGCAGATTCTTAGTTTTTGAAACGCAGGGATCGGAAAGTGTTGGGACCCAGTCTTGTTTGGAATATCAAGCGTCAAGACCTACGCAAAAACCGCACCTTTCACCGCAAATATACCCCAATGTTTCCCTGTGCTTCCTTTCCTCTCCGTTCCCCCCCCCCCCCCCCCTTCTTGAGATGCTAAGTACTGTCGTTCACGGGGTATTGACGGGCACTGGGTGTTGACGAACAAACCAAAAAAGAGACAGCCAAGCCAAGTTTTGCCTGCAATCCGTCAACACCCAGTGTCCGCCAATACCCCGTGAACGACAGTACCTACTCTACATAATCTTACCTATCGAGATTTTTCTGGGCTGCCGCTAAAGCTTTTGCTTTTGCTTCAATTCCAGTTTTTCGGCCCACCGGAAGAAAGTTCATTGGTTGCTTTCGGCCCGAATCTCGGTGACAACGATAATAGGCTTAAGATGAAGCTTTCTTTTACAGACCCGCCACCGCGGTAGAGAACTGCATACATGAAATAAGCAACTATCACCGCGGGCCCTGTGTTACAGAGGTATGTAAGTATATATTGCGCAAGCACGTATGAGCTCATGTTGGAATCGCGATGTCTGTGAGTGGCAAGTATAGCACGGTTATAGTTCTGATAAGAGAATTGACTCCTTGCTGCTCCCAACAAGTAATACATACAACCAATTCCCATCAAAGTTCGGTCGGTACCTATATTGTCATCGTAATCAATGTGATCGTAATCTTCGTCGATGGGATTAGCAGTCGTATTTATCGAGAAGCCGAGGATAAAGAGAGCACATAGTGATCATCGATTGCGATGTTTTTCGTTTTTCGGGATGAGATGAAGCACTTTGGAACCCACACCTTTATTTATTGTTTGTTGAAGGTTGAGGAATATTCCAGACCGTTGTTGGGAAGTCCGAAGAGGGCCAAAGGGTCCTGGATCGACCAGCGATAGGCAACGGGGCTGCAGGGGCAAGTTGGGTCCAGAGAGGCGGGGCCCTGGCCTGACCCAACTTGTTCCCCTCAACATTTTGCCCGCGATTTGAGCTCTTGTCAGGGTTACTGCCCCTCACGGGTAAGAAGAAAAAAAAAACATTTCAGAGAAAGCCGCTGCATGTAGGTGCGTGCGTTTGTAAAAAGAAAATAGCTCTGTTCTGCATGCTTTGGTAGCTCTCGGAGTCCTTGCGTCCTAGTCTACTCTAATCCGTGCCACGCATTTCCATTTCCATTTCCCCTCCATATCTTCCTCTAGAATTACTTCAGTTCTTCTCCCCCCTCTTTCTCTATCCCCTCTCCCTCTAGTTCTACCATCCTTTCCATCATCCTCTTTAATCAATTCTTTCACGAACCATCACGACCGAGGATCAGGAATTGAACAAGTTTTTTCTCTTCGTTTCATCCCATTTTCCACTTAATTGAGGAATCAGTATTAATTAAACTAGAGCTTTGTGCTTCCTTCGTGAGTTTCCCTCTTGGAATATATGATAGTAGGCGCAGTTGATTTTGCCATCAAGGAATCCTCTCGATTTTGTTTTTCTGCCTGCATCGTACTGACTGACCTCTTAGCTTCTAAGACGAGGGCAACCAATTCCTTACACCCAGCAAGACAATTCACCACACTTGATCATGTACGGCACTACAGGAACAACCACTGGGGTCTCTACCCCTCATTCTGCATCCTCTCTGCGCCCCCTCGTGCTCACCCATGGTTCTTTGGAACATGCCCTCCTCGTTCCAACAGCCCTCCACTACCATGCATCTGAGCTTCGTCAGCGATTCTCTACTCATTTGCCTAACCCCACAGATGAATTGGCTCTCGATGACGAGCCATCATCCGTGCCCGAATTGCTTGCCCGCTTCTTGGGATACGTTACACAGCAGGTTCTTGAGGGCGAGGATGATGCTCAGGGAACCTACGAAGATGTCCTGCGACTTGTATTGAGCGAGTTTGAATCTCGTTTCCTGAGAGGAAATGAAGTTCACGCTGTGGCCGCTCAATTACCCGGTATTCCATCAAAAAGACTTGATGTCGTGAAGCATTACTATGCTGCCCGTCAGGCTACAAACCGCCCAATCAAGGCCCACGAATCGGCCCTTTTCCGCGCCGTTACTGATGGAAAGGCTGGTATCTATGCCGTCTTCGGTGGCCAGGGAAACATTGAGGAGTACTTTGACGAGCTCCGGGAGTTGCACAATGTTTATGGCGGATTGGTTGAAGAGTTTTTGATCTCTTGCGCCCATGTATTGAGCTCCTTGTCACGGGATCCCAAGGCGGCAAAGGTATACTCGAAAGGATTGGATGTTATGAGGTGGCTACAGGATGAAGATGCCACGCCGGACCTCACATATCTTGTTTCTGCGCCAGTTTCATTTCCCTTGATTGGGCTGGTCCAATTGGCGCATTATTTCGTTACTTGTAAGATTCTTGGAAAAGAGCCGGGCGAACTGCGAGAAAGATTTTCTGGTACCACTGGTCACTCGCAGGGTGTCATTATGGCTGCTGCAATCGCCTCATCATCATCCTGGGAATCATTTTACCAGGTCGCACACGATTCCTTGACGGTTCTATTCTGGATTGGGTGTCGTTCGCAGCAAACATACCCCCGTACATCACTCGCCCCCAACGTTCTCCAGGACTCAATCAATGCAGGTGAAGGCACACCTTCTCCCATGTTGTCTGTCCGAGATCTTTCACAAGCTCAGGTACAACAACATGTGGATACTACAAATCACCATTTACCCTCAGACAGGCACATTCACATCTCGCTGATCAATGGCGCCCGAAACGTCGTTGTTACTGGTCCCCCACAATCTCTCTATGGTCTCAACCTGAGTCTCAGGAAGGTGAAGGCGCCGACCGGCCTGGATCAGAACCGAGTTCCATTCACCGAGAGGAAGGTTCGATTCACCAACCGATTTCTGCCCATTTCTGCGCCTTTCCATTCACCATACTTGGAGGCAGCAACATCAATCATCGAAGAGGATCTCAAGGGCATCACATCTTTCAACCGAAAAGATCTTGCAATCCCAGTCTATAATACATACAACGGCGAGGATCTCCGCACTGCCAAGGGCGATGAATCAATCATTTCCGAACTTGTTAATATGATCACCAGGCTCCCAGTTCATTGGGAGGCCGCCACGGTGTTCCCTAAGGCAACCCATATCTTGGACTTTGGTCCCGGTGGTATCTCCGGTCTCGGGGTTCTCACACACCGTAACAAGGATGGCACTGGTGTCCGAATAATCGTTGCCGGAGCATTTGAGGGAACCAATAGTGAGGTGGGGTATAAACCGGAGCTATTTGATAGGGATGACGAGCATGCTGTAAGATACGCTGTCAATTGGCTCGATCAGCATGGACCAAGGCTTGTCAAGACTAAGCAAGGCCAAACCTTCGTCGATACTAAGTTCTCCAGACTTTTGGGAAGAGCACCGGTAATGGTTGCAGGAATGACTCCTTGTACCGTCCCGTGGGACTTTGTTGCTGCTACGATGAATGCTGGATACCAGATCGAGTTGGCTGGTGGTGGATATTACAATGCACGAGGTCTCACCGAAGCATTGCGCAAGATCGAAGAGGGTACCACACCAGGTGCTGGTATCACTGTCAATTTGATCTACGTCAACCCGCGTGCTATGGCCTGGCAAATACCACTCCTCCAGCAGCTTCGCTCTGAAGGCGTACCGATCGAAGGTCTCACAATTGGTGCTGGTGTGCCATCTATTGAGGTTGCCAACGAGTACATTGAACAAATTGGGCTGAAGCATATTTCTTTCAAGCCTGGCTCTATCGACGCCATCCAGCAGGTCATCAACATTGCCAAAGCGAACCCAACCTTCCCAGTTATCCTTCAGTGGACTGGTGGCCGTGGCGGTGGACATCATTCTTTTGAAGATTTCCATCAGCCAATTCTGCAAATGTACGGAAGAATTAGAAAGTGTGATAACATCGCACTTGTTGCTGGGTCTGGTTTCGGTGGCGCTGAAGACACATACCCATACCTCACCGGAAAGTGGTCCGAGAGGTTCCACTACCCCCCGATGCCATTCGACGGTGTTTTGTTCGCCAGTAGAGTAATGACTGCTAAAGAGGCCCACACTAGTTTGAATGTAAGAGACATTTTCCCTGATTTCCATATCAATGTATAGTTACTAACCCGGAATTCTTATATCGATACAGGCTAAGAAAGCGATTTGTGAAGCCGAAGGGTTGGATGACAAGGACTGGGAAAAAACCTACAAGGGTCCTGCAGGAGGTGTTATTACTGTTCTGTCGGAGATGGGTGAACCTATTCACAAGCTTGCTACTCGTGGTGTGAAGCTTTGGTAATTAGCTCACAACCCCAATTAAACCGAGCATGACTAATAATAATCTGCAGGGCTGAGTTTGATCGCACTATTTTCGCTCTCGACAAAGCTAAACGTCTCGTTGAGCTCAAAAAACAACGTGATTACATCATAAAGCGTCTTAATGCCGACTTTCAGAAGACATGGTTTGGTCGCAATACCGCCGGCGAAGCTGTTGACCTTGAGGACATGACTTATGCCGAAGTTGTTCGCCGCATGGTTGAACTCATGTACGTGAAGCATGAGTCTCGTTGGATCGACCCCTCACTGAAGCGTCTCGCTGGTGACTTCATCCGCCGTGTCGAAGAGCGCTTCACCACCGCCCTAGGCCAACCTTCACTTCTCCAAAACTATGCGGATTTGAATGATCCTTTCACCACCGTTGAAACCATTCTTAGCCACTATCCCGAAGCCAACACACAGCTTATAAATGCTCAAGACATGCAACACTTTTTATTACTTTGCCAGAGGATGGGCCAGAAGCCAGTGCCTTTTGTTCCTTCTCTTGACGAGAATTTCGAATATTGGTTCAAGAAAGATTCTCTTTGGCAGTCTGAGGATCTCGAAGCGGTTGTAGGACAGGACGTTGGAAGGACTTGTATTCTTCAGGGTCCCATGGCTGCAAAGTACTCTACGATCGTCAACGAACCCATCAAAGAAATTTTGGACGGTGTTCACAATGCCCACATTGCCTCATTGACCAAGGATCTCTACAACGGAGACCAAGCAGCTATCCCGGTTATTGAGTATTTTGGTGGCAGAAAATTGACGGCAGCTGGAGATGTTGAGGAGGTGGATGGGTTGACTATTTCTTCGGAAGCGAACAAAGTCACTTATAGGTTATCCTCTTCGCCATCACAAGGCGCTCTTCCCGATGCGGACTCGTGGTTGAAGCTGCTTGCGGGAAACAAACGCTCATGGAGGCACGCGCTCTTTACCACTGCTGTGTTTGTTCAAGGCAACAAGTACCAAGACAACCCGATGAAGCGAATCTTTTCGCCCGCGCATGGCATGCTGGTTGAGATTACCGATGTTGATGACTGGGAAAAGACTGTCATCACTGTCAAAGAACAACACCAAGGCAGTGGACGTTATGTCAAGACCATGGAGGTGAAGATGACAGCTAAGAAGGAAATTTCCCTTATCATGTATGAGGAGCGAACTGCCCTCGGAAAGTCGGTTGGATTGCCCATTTTGCTCGAATACCACCCAGAGACCGGATATGCCCCCATTCGCGAAGTCATGGAGGGCAGAAACGACAGAATCAAAGAGTTCTATTACCGCCTTTGGTTTGGTGATGAGAAGGTTCCTTTGGACGCATCTGTTACCGACGTGTTTGAGGGCGGCCAGAGCACGGTAACCGGACAGGCAATCGCTGACTTTGTTCATGCTGTTGGTAACAATGGTGAGGCTTTTGTGGAGAGACCCGGAAAAACTGTATATGCCCCCATGGACTTTGCGATTGTCGTCGGATGGAAGGCTATCATCAAGGCTATCTTCCCAAGAACCATCGACGGAGACCTCCTTAGACTTGTGCATTTGTCAAACAGTTTCCGCATGCTCCCAGGCGCTGAGCCGTTGCAAAAAGACGATGTTGTCGACACCAAAGCTCATATCAACTCCGTCTTGAACCAGCCATCAGGCAAGATGGTTGAGGTTTGTGGAACGATTTCGAGGGGCGGGCGCCCAGTCATGGAAGTCATCTCCCAATTCCTTTACCGTGGTGTTTACACCGACTATGAAAACACATTCCAGAGGAAGGTCGAGACCCCCATGCAGGTGACCTTGACCTCAAGTAAGGATGTTGCTGTTCTTAAATCCAAGGAATGGTTCCAGCTTGATGAGCCGGAGACTGAACTCCTCAACAAGACTCTCACTTTCCGTCTTTCTAGCTTTATCCGCTTCAAGAGCGAGAAGGTCTTTAGCTCCGTTGAGACCGTCGGAGAGGTTTTGATTGAACTTCCTACCAAGGAAATTATCCAGGTCGCGTCTGTGGTGTACGATGCCGGTCAGAGCCACGGAAACCCAGTCATTGATTACCTGGAACGTCATGGATCAAGTATCGAACAGCCAGTCAACTTTGAAAACGCCATCCCTCTCAACGCGGGAACACAGCTTATCATCCGTGCTCCTGCGAGCAATGAGGCCTATGCAAGAGTTTCTGGAGATTTCAACCCGATCCACGTCTCAAGAACCTTCTCCAAATATGCTAACCTCAAGGGAACAATTACCCACGGAATGTTCTCATCTGCAGCTGTTCGCTCCCTTGTTGAGACATGGGCCGCTGAGAATAATATCGGCCGTGTTAGGTCTTTCTCTTGCTCATTTGTCGGAATGGTGTTGCCGAATGACGATATCGAGACCAAGTTACACCACATTGGTATGGTTAGTGGTAGGAAGATCATCAGGGTTGAAACGACCAACAAGGAGACAGAGGAGAAGGTTATTGTTGGAGAGGCAGAGGTTGAGCAACCGGTATCAGCATATGTCTTCACTGGGCAAGGTTCTCAGGAGCAAGGAATGGGAATGGATCTGTATGATTCTTCGCCCGTTGCTAGAGAGGTTTGGCAGCGAGCTGACAAGCACTTTATGGATAACTATGGTATGTTGGCAATCATTTTATATGCACAAGCTCAAATTGACTAACGTTCATCGAAGGATTCTCAATTACAAACATCGTCAGGAACAACCCGAATGAGCTCACTGTTCACTTCGGCGGTCCGCGTGGAAAGGCTATCAGACAGAACTATATGTCAATGACTTTCGAGAGTGTCATGGCCGATGGCTCTACTAAGTCTGAGAAGATTTTCAAAGAAATCGATGAAAACACCACTTCCTACACCTACCGCTCGCCTACCGGTCTCTTGTCCGCCACCCAATTCACTCAGCCCGCACTTACACTCATGGAGAAGGCGTCGTTCGAGGACATGAGATCCCGAGGTTTGGTTCAGCGTGACTCCGTCTTCGCTGGTCACTCGCTTGGTGAATACTCTGCACTTGCCGCGCTTGCCGAAGTTATGCCCATTGAGTCACTTGTCTCTGTTGTGTTCTACCGTGGTTTGACTATGCAAGTCGCTGTTGAACGTGACGCTGAGGGAAGGAGTAACTATTCGATGGTCGCAGTCAATCCTAGCAGGATCTCTAAAACCTTCAACGAGCAAGCTCTTCAATATGTTGTTGATAACATTGCGGAGGAGACTAAGTGGCTACTGGAAGTTGTCAACTACAACGTTGCCAATCAGCAGTATGTTTGCGCTGGAGATGTGAGTTTTATTCCCCCCGTCGTGATCTTTATTGAATCTTTTATTAATTTTATTAGCTCCGCGCCCTTGACTGCCTTACCAATGTCCTCAACTTCCTTAAGGTCCAGAAAATTGATATCCAAGCTCTCATGGCCAAAATGTCACTTGAGAGTGTAAAGGAGAAGTTGGTCGAGATTATTCAAGAATGTGCCAAGCAAACTAAGGCAAAGCCGAAGCCACTCGAACTCCAGCGTGGTCTTGCTACAATCCCTCTTCGTGGAATCGATGTCCCCTTCCACTCGACCTTCTTGCGCAGCGGTGTCAAGCCATTTAGAAGTTTCTTGATGAAAAAGATCCTCAAGAGCTCTATCGACCCCAGCAAGCTTATCGGAAAATACATTCCAAACGTCACTGCGAAACCATTTGCCTTGACCAAGGAATACTTTGAGGATGTTTACAAGTTGACGAACAGTCCTAGAATCGGGCAGGTTCTCGCAAACTGGGATAAATATGAGGATGCCCCGGCTGCTTAATTGTGAATATTAAATGTCAGTTTCTTTTTTTATGTAAATGATTTTTCCTTGCGCTCTTTTCTTTTCTTTAAAAACCGAAGGCTGGGTTTGGGTTCGGGATTGGGACTAAAATACTTATTGGTTTTCCTCTTCTTTGGTTTTTCTGTGGCGGCAGTTGTTATTTCTTTTCGTTGGTCCTGTTTCTTATCTGTGTTATGCATTTGATTTTATTCCCTATTTTAGATACCAAGATGCTTGAACAGGGTACATAGATTTTGTTGGAATTGAAGCTAGCAGTCTTGAATAACTTTCACTATTTATTATATAAGTGGGGAATGAGTTTTGATGCGACGGGGCGGATTGCTTTTAGAACTTTGTAGTCGTGTAGTAAGCCCCTGTTTATTCCATCTCTCTAATATTGATGCGCCTAATCTGGAATGGCCACCGTAATGTACGACGGTCCCTGGAGTACATGGGGTCGAGTGATAGCTCATGAAGATATATACCACCCTCAACAAAAAAAAGGTCCGCTCCGCCGGTAGCAGTATCGGCGCTCCGTTGCGCCATGCGGCCCTGTAGCAAATATTATCCATCAGAAACCATGTTATCTGGCGTGCCGTCTGTATCATACATAGATTGCACCGGCCATACATGCATACATACACCCACCCGCTACGATATCATAGCCAGCTATCCGCGGAGCGTTATCAACACCCCATAGTCATGCATATGCCCACAGTCTCCGCGTCCAGACAAGAATAACCGCGGCCACGGGCCTCCGCGACCATGTCCGCAGCCGTCTTCGGAGGGTCTTGAGAGCGCGGGAGAGTAGAAGGTGTCCGGGGGGTGGGACGTCGGTGAAGGGCTGGGTGGTCATGAGTTTCATTTTTGGCATTTATGGTGAGTCTTCTGGGTGCGATGTGATGGGGTAGGGGAAGGAGGGTGGACGTGGGGAGTGGGTCGGGAGGGGGGGGTTTATAGGTTGGGATATGGGAACAAAGGATAGAATGGGTGGGTTGGTGGGGCTTTGTTGTGACCTGCATGGTTGCGGGAGTTGAAGAGCCGCCAGGGGCCGTATTGAAAGCAGTAATGTGTTTATGGCTGCATAAATACTCGCTGGGGAAGATATAGTTAAGGATAGAGGTGGAGAGATATTCTATCCTTGGCGAGGTGGAGGAAAGAAAGCTTGTGTGGGAGTGGGGGGGCTTGGCGTGGGTTTTTGGCGTTTTGATCATTTCCACGAGCGCGAGGGGGGAGACTTTAGTTTTCATCCACCCTGCGCGCATGAAGAGTAATATACATATCGTTAATCACATGAAATATGGAATATTTACCTGGCTCTGTGTTGTCAATTCCTTTGCTCCAGTGGCTAGCTGGTCAATTCGGTATTGTACTTACATGTACTATAGCTGATCTGCTAGCATCATGCCGCCACCGAAAAATAATGTTCTTGCTCGGTCTGGCGTTGACAAATGCATTTTTTTTATATATATATTTATACGGAAAAGGGTCTAAAATGACACACTTTCCGGTACGCTTGGTGTAGAGTAAGACATAGTACATAATGCAAAAATGACACACTTCTGCGGTCCAAAATGACACAGTTCAAACAGCTTCGGGCTCTGTTAGAAGAACCCGTTGACAAAACAAACTATTACTAAAATTCGGAACGATAGGGCCTTTTTGGGCCGTACCCGCCGTTGACGAATGATTATTATAGTTCTGCTAGTTCATGGCAAAACAAAATGGAAGACGGCAAGATTCCGGAAGTTATTACTCTACTTGTAACTACATGTAAGATATCTAAATATCATATGATGCATGTGTAGGTTAGACTTTGTTTAGTTCGTGAAAGAAGATAAGTTCTTCTAAAAGAGCCCGATGCTTTGAACTGTGTCAATTTGCGTTGCTCTGCATCAAGTATATATACCACAAAGTGTGTCATTTTGGGCCTTTTCCGTTTTGTGGGTTTAATAGTACATACAACGTAGGTACATGTATTTACATACATGTATTATGTAGTCGTCGGCCTCAGCATCCCCAACGAAACAGGCATTTCGGCAGTAAGAAAAATAGAACGAAAAAAAAAAAAAAACGAGCAAAAAGCACCGCAAATGCTACCATCCCAAACCATCCAAAATCCCAAATCCCACCACTCCCGCCCCAATAACCACAACCACAACCACCGGGCGCCCATGCCAGCAGGCAGAGAACCGCTAGCTCTGTAGACCACTCGCCCATGAGAATCTGTCCGGAATGAATACCTGCGCACCAACGCACCAAGGATCCTAGTTAACTGGAGTTATAGCAAAAGCCCCGCCTTCCCCAGTACTCAGCGCCGGCAAGCAGGTCTACGTATCCGACTACGATAGAGAATAGGGGGCCCAGTATGACTGGGAGGTGGAATAAGAGAGGTTTTGGAAGGACCCCCCCCCCCCCCCCCCTCCCCCGATATCTATCTAGGTCTGGGTAGCGATATATCACCAAACAAGATCGAGTCCACATATATATGAACAGCCCGCGCGCTATCCAGCTAATTGGCGACTCGGTTGATAAGTAAGTTTAGATCTGCGACCTAGGCCTCGGTGTGTTTGAGCCGAGTGATGGCTCATGATCCAACTCACTAAAAACCCCCGTGGGGGGGGGGGGGGGGGGGATCTGTGGCCCCGGTGATGGCGTCGTTACGTTTGGCTGCTCGTTCTTTGTTGTGTTACTGTTGACTGAGGCGTGGGGCTGTGGTTGTGGGTTGGCCGGTGGTGCTGGTGGTTGTGGTGGGCGTCTAGAGTGATGGCCGGGGCGGCTGCATACATACAAATTTATAACCACGATCACTCACACTGCATAACCACCACCACCACCCACCCGCACCAACCTTCCCAGCCGACAATACCCGGGAGAGCCATAGAGCCATAGATACTCTTTACGAGCGCCACAGCCGACACTCACCCCATCCCCCCGGCGACCACTAGTGCTGACGATGGGCGAGTGATGGCTCATGATCCGAATGATAGTCGGTTCTGTGGTGCGCTCGCTGGGTCTGTTGTGGGGTGGGTAGGATGTGGAGGATGTGTGGGATGGGTGGGACGAGGAGGATGAGTACATACCCCAGTCTGGCCGGTTTGCGGTAAGACAGGCATGTAGCCACGCATAGATAGCTGTGTATATGTGTATGTGTATGTGTTATGTATATGTAGCTGTGGCTGTGGCTGCGGCTCTTTATAAATTATAAATACATGTAGGCGGTCATGTTATATACAGGAGTGCAGAATCGAGAGGGTGAGCTAGAGAGGAGTAGAGAGAAGAGAGAAGCAGAGAAGGAGGTAGAGGTAGAGGTAGAGAGAGAAAATTAGAAGTAGAGTCGGAGATCTAGAAATAAGTGCGCTAGAAGATTAGGGAGGAGGAGGAAATAAAGATACAGAGGGCTAGAAATTAAAGGAAAAATAAAGCTATCTACAATAATAGAACAACAGAGCAATAGAGCAATAGAGACCTAGTGTAATATAAGAGACCTAAAGAGAGAGAAAAGGCGTAGAGAGAAGTAAAAAAAAAGAAGAAGATTAAAGAAGAAGTAGAAGACTAGAGATTACCAGTTAAAGTTAATTGGATACTTGGTACCTGCCTGATACTGCCAAGGGAGCTGCAGACCAGCAACGACACTGCCAATGCTAAGTAAGTAGGTAGGTAATAATCAGACAGCCCAGCCCAGCACAGCCCACGAATCCGATCCGGGGTATCACACGCCAACCATCGCACCCCTCCCTCCCCCACCCCGCATCTAAGACCACTCAACAAACCTCACCACCCTCCGGCAAACGCCCCCCACCTCCCCATCCCTCACCACACTCTCCAATCTTCTCCACAACGTACCTCCATCCCGGCTGTCCACGAGACCTCGCATCTCAGGAACACCCATCACGCCGTCGGCCTCGCTGCCGGACAGGTCGAGGTCGAGCAGCGTGCGCTCGCCGATGTAGGGCAGCTTTGTGTGCAGGATGCTCATGCCGCGGGTGGGGGGTGGGTGTAAGTGCGCGCGGTAGAGGTCGATTAGGGGGATGTGTTGGAGGGGGTGGGGGGTGGTGGTGGTGGTGGTGAGGGTGAGGGTAGTCGGGGTGGTGCTAGTGGGGGTGGTGGGGGTGGGTAAAGAGGCAGTGGCGGTGACGGCACTGATGGTACTCGTGCCAGCGGAGGCCACGGCGCTGATGCCCACAGCGGCCGCGGCCGCGGTGAAGGCGGACTCTGCGCTCGCGCTGGCGCCGACGGCGGCGGTTGTGGTTGTGGGTGCGGTGATGGAGTGTGACTCGCGCCGCTTCTTGGGCGGTGCTTCTGTGCTTGTACTTGTGGCCGTAGCCGTAGCCGTAGCCGTACCCGCTTTCCGACTAGCCACAGGGGCCCTTTTCCGTTTCTGCGCGGGCTGTGCGGTGTCTTTTTTCGCCTGTACAGGAGGCGGCGGTGGAGGGGTTGGTGTGGGTGTGGGCGTAGGAGTGGGCGTAGGACTGGGATCGACAAAACTGACGCTGAAGACGCCTTCAGCGGGGAGGACGATGGCGGGGAGGGCGGCGGGGGGCTTGATGGTTGGGGTGTTTTGGCGGGGGGTGTAGAAGGGGTCGATGCGCGCGGGGCTGACCATGGAGGGGTCCCACTCGGTGGTGTCGGAGGGGATGGTTGTGGATGTGGTTGTGTGCGGGCGGGTGGAGAGGGGAGAGGAGAGGAGGTGGTGGTGGTGGTGGTGGTGGCGGCGGGGGGGGAGGGGGGGGGTGAAGGGGTGGGGGGCATTGTTGTTGGTGGTGGGGTGGTGGGGTGGTGGGGTGGATGGAGATGGCGGTGGGGGGAGTGGGAGTGGGTGGAGGGGTAAAGTGGCGGTGGTGGTGGTGGGTCTCGAGATAGCTTAGAGATTGTGGTTTAAGATGGCGGTTTAGTAGTAGATATTAGCAGCGGCAGTTTGGCGGGGGGGCTCTCGGCGAGGGGCGTGGTGATGCACCTCAGCCTCCTCCCCTTCACTACGGAAACCCTCCCTCCAACACGCGAGATGTGGCTATTTTGGGGGGGCGGCGGGCTAGCGGGTGCCGTCGTTGTTTCGTAGTGGGTGACATCATGGATTATCACTCGGTCACGTTTTGGTGTGTTTTGGGGGGGGGGGGGGGCGCGGGCAGGGATTGAGATGGACGAGCAGTGGTAAGAGATGATGGTGGAGCGATGGAGCTGGTGAGAGTGATGCGGTTGGGGGTTGGTGACATGACTGAAACACCGGTGACTAACTTGAAGGGAGATGGCTACGTACACATTACGAGATGGGTGAGGAGAGGAGATGGGGGACTCCGAATGCAACGTAATGATTACTGGCTGTATCTGTGCCTGCTCTGCTCTGCTCTGCTCCGCGTAAGAAGAAGAAATAGAAGAAGAAGAGAAATTGAAAATACATGCTAAGAGCGGTGAAAAGGGAATAGATAGCTATATGGTTGAAAAGAAAAAAGAATAAATGCTGCGAGTAAAAAAAAAAAAAGGACAGCTAGTAAGATGAAAGAAAAAAAAGGGGGCAAGGAAAAAAAGAATACTAAAAACAGGAAAAGATAAAAAGATGTAACCCCCGCCTACTCACTCCCCCCCCCCCCCTCTCCCCCTCCCCACCCCCACCAGGCACACCACACTACTCCCCCTCCCCCCATGCCTCACCGGCGCCCTCTTCACATTCGCCCTCTTTATCGCCGCCTCCGCCGCCGCCTGCCTCGCAGTCCTACACGACACCATCGCCGGCACCTCATACCCGCCCTCCCCCTCCTCCTCATCATCCACCTCCATCACCTCCATCCCCGCCTCCTCCCCCATTTTCTCCTCCTTCTCCCCCTCCCCCACTACCTTCCCCACTTCCACCACTTTACCCTCCACCTCCTCCCGGTCCGAAGCAAGCTCCTCCATCAAGATGCTCGAGCACGGGTCGCACGCGACGTACTCGCAGCGCTCGATGAGGCACCGCCACGGGTGCTTGCGCCGCGGCGCGGAGGCGGAGGCGGAGGTGGGCGTGGAGGTGGAGGACCAGCTGTTTGCGAAGCGCTCGCTGCAGCGGCGGCACCGGAAGGCGTGGCCTTGCGGGCGGTGGACGAAGAAGTGCCCGCCGTTGGTGCGGCAGTCGTGCATTGTGGGTGGTGGGGTGTGTGGGGCGGTGGTGGGGTGTGGTGGTGGTTGGTGAGGAGTGGGGCAGTGGAGGAGTGGGGTGGGTGGGTGGATGGCGGCTGTCGGTCCCGATTGAATATGAGGGTGCGCGCGGTGTATGGCGGCTAGCTTAGAGGCCTGTGGACACAATAGGCGCTGTTCTGTGCTGTGCCTGCGAGAGAATACGGCCTAGTAGACGCTGTGCTGTGCTGTGCTGTGCTGTTTCGAAATAGTAGACCTGACTAGACGCCGCAGCAGCAGCTAGCACCGAGGAAACAAACGGACGGACGGACGGTAAAGAGGGTGTGGAGATATATCACCGACCGGCGAGTGGATCTGGACCTGGATACTGTCTTGTATAGATGGACTTTTTCTAGTCTGTCTGTCTCTGTCTGTCTTGTTTTGAAAAGGAGATGGAGAATGAATGGAGGTGAGGAAGAATTGAAGACGTGGGCAAAAAAAAAAAACAATAACACATGTATGTATGTATGTATGTATGTATGGGAATGCTAGCGTATTGTATGTTCCACCTTCCCACCCTCCACCACCCCTCCTTGCCTTATTTCAACACACGCACACACACCCCGCTGCATGCCATGTTATGCGCCGGACATTAGGGACCGGTTTGGCGGTACCCAATCAACCACTTTGCTAGCTGGATGGCTGGATGGTTGGATGGGTAGATGGGTGGTTGGCCTGTGGGCATAATCTGATGTTTGACGTCTGTCTGGCTGTTTGTCTGTCTGTCTCTCCACCCATACATACAGCTAGATTGATACACAGATAGATAAGTAAGTAGATAGAGACAGCCCAATTGGCCATAGAGTACTCTAGAGAACCAAGCTTCTCAGGATCGTCCCGCCCGTCCGCCCGTCCGCCCGTCCCCGCCCGTTAGGTTAGCTACGTTGGGGTGGGTTGGGTTAATTAGCCGGGGGTACTCTAGTGTAGACACCTCCACACCGCGCTTAATTGCGAGGGGATCGAAGGGTACGTACATGTAGGTACATGTGGGTAGGGAAGTGACATGCGGCTACATATGTATGTGTATATGGCCATGGTGGTACATGGCCCGGTTGATTGTGCCGGCGGGTGGGGGTGGGTAGGGGGCGGGCGTGGGGTAGTAGGGTAGGTAAGGTAGGTAGGGTGGGGAGAGTGGTGGGGAGGCTCTTTAGGAAGTGAGTTGGGGGTATGGGTGTGAGGGTCGGGGATGGTGAGTGGGGATGGGATGTGGGATTGGGATGGTATGTGGGATTGGGATGGGGATTGGGATGGGGATTGGGATATGGGGTAACAATACATGTAGTATTTACCTTCCTGTACTCTACTCTTCCTGCGATGGAGAACTGGAATATAGGATATGGCAATTGTGCCCCAGTAAATGCTATGGAGAGTTGTAAATACATAACTACATGTACTCTGGTCCAATTACAATCGACAACCTTGGGTGCTACTCTAGATTACAGAGCCCAAAAGATATTACCTGTATCTAGGCAGGCCCATGTGCGCACTCTGTAAGACTTGCTGTGTACGCAAGGCGTTGTAATTACTGTGGAAATACATGGGTCGGCCGTGAAAGCGAAGGTTCCCAACTCTGGCCATGCGATGCTCAATTGACCAAAGCTTTAGAGCCACATCTCTAGATACCGGGGTGTTACTGTGGACAGATATTGTGAGTGAGGATACTAGCTAGCTCGCCTTGGCATTGGTTTAATTAGGCCACGGGATGTACGCTAGGTGTTCATTAGACGGGGGATCGATAAAATGAGGATTCGATTCGATTCGTCTCTCTCCTAATTCCTATAGGCCAATTGCAGGTTAACTACTGCTGATTATCCTCGCTTTAGCTACACCACTTTGACCTGGATATAGAGGATGGGATATCTACTCGCCCTCTAGAGTACAGGCTGTCCTCTTGTGGGATGATACAGCTACATGTAGTATACCTACTGGACCGTGAAGTACTGGGTTGACAAGCCCATTCGCAGCTAGACCCTACCCATTGACTGGACATCCATTGATTGGGTATCCCATCTGATGGACTGTTTGGATATTCCGGATGCCTGCTGGATTGGCACTCCGTTCGTTGGTCGTTTGGGAGGATATATTGGAACCAATACAACTCGTTGCCCGGAACTCACACCGTCATGTAGTGGAATATCCAGAAGTATTCTAATCTTTTCCGACAACCGAATAATTGATTTAATTTCTGACTCTGTCCTCCGTTCCTGGGACGGCATAGTTGTAGGTACGGCATCAGGCTGCTCAAAAAACGTTATACAGCACATCTGACACCCATTGCAGCGATGCATCAACTTCTCCTGGGCCCTTACATCACAGGCACGCAATCGATCATGCACGCACGCAATAATTCTCAATTCATTTCCCAACTACCGAAAAGAACGGAAAAAAATAAATAGACAACAAGTTAAAGATAAGTAAACCCAAGCCCCGAACCATAACATGGAGGATTGAGGAAATAGTTGAATAAATGCGATGGAATAAATGGGATAAAGAATAAACGTCTGCTAATGGTGATGAAGAAGGAGCGGACTATACCAATAACAGCAATGGGGAGGAAGATCATCTAACCACCTACAAAATGGCCCGACACAACCCAACCCGCCTTCACCAATCCGAATCCGAATCCTCACACAAAGAAGCCGACTTCAACGTCCTCCCCTCTCTCCCCTCCTCGCCACCAGCACCCGCCGCCCTCACCCCCACCGTTACCCCCCCCTCCTCCTCCTCTCCTCAAACCTCACCGTATCCACCGCAAACCTCCAATCCACCATCCCCGCAGTCCTCCCCCCGACATCCCTCACCTCCAGATCCGCTTCCCTCTCCAAACACATCCTCACGCCCTCCACGCTCCCCGCCATGGCCATCACATGCACCACGCTCCTCCCCTCCCCATCCTGCACATTCACGTCCGCCCCCGCACCCATCAGCAGCCTCGCCACCCCACCCCCGCATCCCCATCCTCCCCGCCACATGTAGCGCCGTCGCTCCCATCCCATCCTGAACCCCCACGCCCGCACCCGCCGCCAGCAACAGCGCTACACCGCTCACCCACCCCCGCCGCGCAGCAATGTGGAGCGCCGTTCCACCCCCGCCCCCGCTCCCACACCGCACGTCCACGCTCGCGCCGCCGACGAGCAGTGCCCGCGCTACGTCCTCGTTGCCGCGCTTCGCGGCGATGTGCAGCGGCGTGTAGCCCGCGGCGTTGAGTGCGTCGGGGTCGGCGCCGTGTTGCGGCAGCAGCAGCAGCCGCACGATGCAGGTGTTGACGGCGCAAGGGGTGCGCGCGGCGAGGATGTGCAGCGCGGTATTGAGTTGGGGGTCGCGCACGGAGGCGGGGCACCCGCTGTTGAGGAGGTGGGTGGTGTAGTGGAGGCGGTGGCGCGTGGGGTAGGTTAGGGCGCGGTGGAGGGCGGGCGTGGTGTCGTGGGGGGTGGGGTGGGTGAGGCTTGGGGGGAGCGGGGGCGGGGGCGGGGTGCCGGTGGGAGAGGTGGGACAAGGGGGTGGGTGCTGCGAGTAGTGGAGTGTTATGGTGAGGGAGGTGGTCGGAGAGATGGTGGTGGGGTCGAAATGCGCTGCAGTGGAGGAGGGGGGGTTGTGCGTGTGCATGGCGGGCGTGGGGCTGCGCGGCGGCGGCGGCGGCGGTGGGATGGCTAATAATCAAACAGGAAGCTAGGAAACCAGGGCCAGAACCGGAAAACAGAAACAAAAAACAGAAACCAAAACACCGTCGTTCCGTATCACATCCAGAGACTGAGAGGGAAACAGAAACAGAACAGAACAGAACGGCAGAACAGACCTCCGGATCGATGGACGTTCCGTGGGGTTACTTAAGTAGGGCAGGTTAGGCCAGGCAGGTAAGATAGTAAGATAAATAGGTAGCAGTAGGGCAGCTACGTAGAGAGAGTGCAGCGCATTTTTCTCAGCCTCCTTTGCCCTGGCAGAGAGTCTACAGTGTGGTTGCTACTCTACCTACCTACATAGCATAGCATACATAACATACATCTTAACAACTTGCCTATCTATGACTTTATGTATTCCACCCTACACAGACTAACAAGTAACACTACATGATGCTCTGGCCAGTTGGGTTGAGTCGGGCGGGGGGTGAGATCCTTGTAGAGTAAGAGTAACACCAGACTGCGCGTGCGTGACTGGTTGGTTCTCGCATGCGGGGGTTGGTTGCCTTGTGAAGTGAGGTGAGGCTCTGCGGGGTGGTGACTCAGGCAACGTAGGTAGGGGAGGGATAAACACGTATAGGTAGAGGTGGACGGAGGTGTTATTACTCACAATGGGAGGACGCTAGGATTCGATATATTCGGGGGGTTTGGTTGGGAGTAGTGGGAGGTGGATGGGGATTGGGATGGAGAGGTGGGGGGTGGGGGGTGCTGCAGTGCGGTTGTGGATGGGATGGACATATCGTTCCCAGATCTAACGGGATGGATACAGATCTAATGATTGGATGGAGTGGGTACATGGTTTTATTCTCTCTACTCTACATAAAGTGGTGCTCTCTAGAGTACACTGCTAGAGAACATACTCTCTGTACTAGCTAGTAGCAGTATCTATCGAGATTTAGAGACACCAACATCATTAAGCTTTAAAGCCCAGTACTAGTGCTCCCCCGTACTCGTACTCGTACTCGTAACTATAACCATCCATGTGTACCTCTATACATACCTTCATCCATCTAGCTATCTATCCAGCCATCAAATCTGAAGGCATGTATATACTTTAGTAACGCTACACCTCGTATTAGGTATCTGCAGTCACAACTCGATATGTCGGATTGCCAAGATTTGAAGGATTTTGTACGGGATAGCAAAAGATCCGGGATAGCAAACTGACCTTACAGTATTAAATTAAAGTCCCAGAGGGTTTCGTGCGGGACAGCAAGGGATCCGGCGTATTGAGATGTGGCATATCGAGTTGTGACAGTACTCTACCAAATAACAGTACTGAGTACCATTACACCTACACCTACTAGTCCACTACAAGTAGCCGTCGCACATCACATCCAATTAGGACATTGATAGACGGCGTGACACGATAGTTGTGCGCCCTCGTATTGGTGTCGCTGTACACAGGTACAAGATGGGGAGTTGCGTGGGAAGGGAGGGGAGGGGAGGGTGGGTGGTGGTGGGTCATGGGTTCTCACTCGGTTTGGTTGTGTGGGGTTTGGGGGTGTGGTGGGGTGGTGGGTAGTGGGATGGAGTTGGTTGCGGGGTGGGTTGGTATGTGTATATTAGGAGGATGGAGGAAGGAGTTGTGGATGGAAAGATGGATGGCTACATGTAGATATGCATGGCTAGGTGCTTGTCAACCTCAGGGGTGCTGTTTTTCATATGGGTTTTTTGTGTAGTGATCTTTCACGGGCACGGGAATTGTAGGAATTAATGGGGATCAATGGAGTGAGTGAGTGAGCGGACTAGAACTGCGCTTTAATTCTCTAGATGGCTCTTCTGGTTTGATTCATTCAATAAGCCTACATATCAATCAATAAGCAAAATTAAAAAAGAAAAGAGAAAAGAAATACAGAAAGAAACCCTCGTTTGCTTCGTAAATGATAATTTTGTTCCCCCTCCCCCCCCCCCCCCCCTCCTTTTCCTTTTACGCCGAGTTGTCGATTAGTTAGATGTAACGTACCTACCTACAAGCTATATAATAAAAAAAAAAGAACATAACCTACACACACACACTCACAAGAAAAAGAAAAGAAAAAAGAAGAGAAACGTGTAATTTAAAAAAAAAAAAAAAACCTATCCCACACCCCCGCGTTGACCCTCAACACCTTTTTTCACCCCCGGGATAATGCCCGCACAACCAACGCTAACGGTTATGCGTCATCTTCACGTACTCCTTCCTCTCCGCCAGACTCGGGCGGCTCCTATCAATCGGCACCTGTCCCGGGCACCTACTGAGCGTAAAGCGATAAAACCCAACCCCCTCCTCCGTCGTCAACGTAACATGACTAACAACCCGATACAGCCCGTCATATCTGATGCCAACCGACGGCGCCCAGCGCGAGTCCTTCTGGCTGCGGAGCAGCCGGACAGCCCGCCCCGTCTGCTCGGACTTGATGAGCGACATTGTGGCGTTCGTGAGCACGGGCGGCACGTCGCTGCCGCGAAGGTCCTCGTCTTTGCGGTTGCCGCGGGAGCCGGAGTAGAAGACCGTGTCGCCTTGGTCGGCGTCGGTGTCTTCGTAGTCGACGTTGCCGGAGATGACGACGCTGAAGGCGCCGCTTTGGATGCGGCCGTGGATGCCGCCCATGCGTGAGCCGTGGGCGCCGTCGCGGAGTGCGCAGATCTGGTACGGCCACCAACTAAGTTTTGCTGTCAGCACGTGTTCTAGGTATAGCTAACCTCCCCGAAGTCCCCGGGGATGGGGGGCGGGGGGGGGGGGGGGGTGTAGACTTACTCTCCGATCTGCAGCCCGTTATCGCCAAACACGGCAGCTTCACGGCGTGGGTACGCCGGGTCGAGACTGTACGTCCGTCCCCCGGTGCGGGACCTGGTGATCTTGATACCACGCATGAGCCCCCCATCCTCCCAGCCACTCGGCACATCGCCATCCTCACTCCACCCATCGCCGCTGGCGCGCTCCTCCTCGTCGTCGCTCGTAAACTCAAAGTCGTCGTCCAGCGGCACGGGGCCCGGCGCAAACTCGCCGCGCCCCCAGCGCTCGCACAGCTTGCTGGCCGTCCAGGCGATGTCGGCGCCGTAGACGTCGGGCTTCATGAGGTGGCTGATGGCGCGGCCAATCTCGGAGACGCGGTAGTAGAGGCCCGCGTCGTCGAACTTGGCCTGCGAGGCGAGCGTGAGCACGCGGCGGAGGGTGGCGAATTCGCGCGCGCCGATGGTGAGGGGGCCGCCGGCGCGGATGGCCTTCTCGACGTTGGTGATGCATTGCCGGAGGTAGAGGAGGAGGCGGTAGTCTTCGTGGACTTTGAGGGAGGTTTTGAGGGAAGCTCGTTCTTCAGGGCCTGTGGGGGAGGTGTTAGTACTACTACTGATACTCTGATAGCTCCTGAGGGGACTGGACTGGACTGGGAGGGGAGGGAGGGGGGGGGGGGGGGGACTGACTGATGGGGGGGAAGGGAAAGGGCATTGTGAGCTGTAGTGGTGGTCAAGGGACCCTTCTGAGAGAGTGTGTGTTTCGGGGGAGAGTCGTGAACGTGTATCCGGGTGACGGGCTGTGAAGGAGAGAGGCGTTGTGCAATCTAACGACAGCAGCTAGATGGAGGAGGGGACCTGTAAGTAAACCTAACCCTGAGCCCTAAGCCCTGAGTCTCTCAGCTGGGGGTTGATAGTTGTTGGCAGAAAAGTGAAATGTGAGAAATGTAATTTGAGAGGAGAAGTGAAGGAAGAGGAGGGAGGGGCAGGGCTTGCTATTTATACCAACACCAGCCCAGCAAATCCCAATCCCCCCCCCCAACCAAGCCCCTCCAATCCCAATTGAGCACCATCATACTATGTGATTTAGGTACCTGCTTTTATATATAAATAAAATTTGCCGCTGTGCTCTGATTGGCTGAGCTTACCCGAGAGAGGTGCATATATCTCCACACAATCTACCCGCGATTATATGGTTCGCCTGATCTGATTATGATCCAGCTGCCTACACATGTTTTCCCTTTCCCTTTCCTTTCCTCTTCCCCGCAGATGACTCTTTCTGAAAAAGGCTTTGTAAAGTAGACTAGTGCATCAGAATAGTAATATCATATGTGATATCCCCCCCACGGGAAATTTTAAAACGGTGGCCGTGGTGGGGGGTGACTCATTCATAAGCGCTCACTCGGTGAATCTGATATGGGGTTTTTTATGAGTCTCGGGTTGATTAATCGATTGATTGAGCATTCGTTAATTGTGCCCGGTGATGAGTCTCGAAGCTGCAATTATTATCGATGTCTAGAGCTATTCAAAGCTATTTTATAGGAGCCCAGTTAGGACACATTCCGGCCCTTCGCTGCCTGGAACTGTGATCTTATTTCTTTGAATGACATATCCAACGAGATTCGTAGACAACATGTACATATTGTACCTACATGACAAGCAGATTAATGACGGGCACGAGACCTTTTAGCAGGCCAACGAGACGAGAGCAGGCCCGGCCGGGGGGTCTCGAGATAAGTCTCGAGATTTTTTTTTTTTTGACTTTTTTTACGTTTTTGCCCCACCTAAATAAATTCTCCATGAGCCCCCAGCTCAAAAATAGGATGGAGGAAAACTTTGAAAAGCTTTGACCCTTTATCCCCGTTAATCACATGTAGTATAATTGCAGTGCTTTCCTAGCCTACGTGGTCATATGACGAAAAGTCTCGACTCAGTCGGAGGAGTACAGGACGAAATGAGACTTGCGGAAGTTTGTCTCGTCTCGTCTCGTGCCCATCACTAAAGTAGATGTAGCTATCTACGTCCTGTCTGGCTACATGTAGGTCATGAATGAAGGTCAGCTTCGATAGAACATCTAAACGTCATTTCACGAATCAGTTCCCAGCCCTACGTACACGCAGAAGTAGCATATCTGTAAGAATAGTTGACAGCACTGTATTCACATCGAGAGAGAACACTCGGTACTGTACAGGTAGAACACGTATACCAGACGGGCTGGTATATCTTCGTGGTGAGAGGACTCTTCCTCCGTCACAATCAAACCGCCATTCATTAAGTGTGATTTCCAACCCACCTAGCTACACCCTGGCTACCACCCTACATCTCTACCCATCTATCTATTTATCTATTTACCTACAGCTATCTATCTATCCATCCATAGCAGTTTAGTAGACACTGCATGCACAACACTACAACACGATACAGGTAATAACGCAAGAGATATAATACCACCCGTAATTATAACACGATACCGCCACGAGCGCGAGACCCTCCTACGTAATTAACCCGCCTCACCCACCCGCCTATCTATCTTTGCTGATCCTACACACTCTACTCTAGATAGCGCGATAATGTGGCGAGATGGTACCTACGTTTCCTTCTTCAAGATTATGCAGGCGACGAAAGTGAAGGTGCATCATTCTGGCGTACCACACCTCCGCCCCCGCTGGAGGTCATATATAAAGTCCTCAATGGGCACTTCCACCAAACCTCTCTACCGCTATTTTGTGGTTGTTATCCCACATATGACAGGTCAGTGATGCAGAAAGTCTACTCGAGAAGCATATATCATTCTTACATAAAACTACAACTACATAAACGCTCAAAAGGCCCCATGCCCAAAAACATAACTAAATAGCATACACAACTAACCAACCTACACACAAAGATCCAACATATTAGGGCAGACCCACTACAGCAACCCAAACTGCGCTACCGTAGCTCCCACCGCCGTAGCTCCCTTGGTTCCCTCAATCACCAACTTCACCCATCTTGCCTCCACCTCCTCCTCCAGCATCTGCACCGTCACATTTCCAACATGCCTCCTCACCACCAGCGCCTCATCCCTGCTCCATGGATCACTAACCTCCACAGTACTATTCGACCCAACCACCGTCCACTCGCCGTCCTCGCTGTCCGCCACTAGCACGGTCCACGCCTCCGGCGGGTACCTCGCCCAGTTGAACGACACGCCCTTGATCTTCGTCGGGGCCAGCAGGTCCACTGTCACTGCGCTTGGTGCACTTGTCGACGGCTGCCAGGTCGTGTGGTTGCTCCCGTCGACGGCGGCCAGCGGGAATTGTCCCGCCACCCATGTGCTGTCGGAGTACGCAGGCTTGCACTGGGCGAGGTTACCGGGCAGGTCCGTGCCGTTGAGGTCGGGGCGGCGGGTCGGTATGACGAGGGACTCACCGAGGGCGACCTGCCAGTCGCCGGCCATGGCGTTACGCGTGCCGATACGCACTGTTACAGGTGCATCGAGAGATGCAGTCGTGTTGCGAGCAGCGAGGGTCTTGCGCGGGGGCACGCGGGTGATGGTGGTGTTCTCGAGCTCAATGCGGACGTTGAAGACGGCGCCTTGGTGCTTCATGCCCTTTATCTCTAGTCCCTTTAGCTGCGGGGGCAGCGAGGGGTCGAGGTAGAATGCGTCGAGGCGCGGGCGGTAGCCCGTGAAGCCGTGGGTGGGAATCTGCAGGAAGCCGCCGTGGCCGGTCAGGAAGGTGAAGGCCGGGTTGGTGTTGCCGTTCTCGGTGATGTTGTCGTTCATCTGCTCGCTGAACTGGTAGTAGGGCTCGCGCATGTAGGGCTGCGAGGCGTACACGAAGTAGGTGTAGGAGGCACAGCCGGCGGGGGAGAGGTCGGCCGCATTGATGGCGAACATGGCCCAGGTCATGGCGGGGCCGTCGGGGGATTGGGCGCGGGCGTACTGAGTGGTGTTAGAATTGAGATTTCAGAGACTGGAACTCGGGATTGGAGAGAACTTACAAAGTCGAGATCACCCAGAGCCTGACTCTCGTTGAGACGGAATTCGAGCGGATAGTTGATCAGCACGACATCGGCCTGCTTGATCTCCACACTCCCGTTCATGCCGCCGTACTCGGGGATGACCGAGGCCTCGGTGTTGTACGGGATGAAGATGTTCTCCTCGATATCGGTCCATTTCTCAGGTGCCGGGTATCCAAGAAGCTCAGCGGCGGCCTTTGCAATTCCCATAAGAACCTTGACACCGGCGTTTGTGAATGCACCGTTGTCAATGTGGTTTGCGTATTCATCCTATTCCTGTTAGTTAGAAACTTCATTAACCAATTCTCGGGGGGTTTGCGTACAGGATCCGTCATATTGTGGACAGTGTACATGCCGACCGCAAGACCGTCTTCACCGGTCACATTGCTCTTCCGGACAAAGGCAGCCCACATGTCGGTGACGGCCTTGATCACGGGCCATCCCTGCTCCTTCAGCCAGTCGTAGTCGCCGGTGCTCAAGAACTGGTGCCAGTGAACGAGGGCGATATCGGTGTTGAGATGGTACTGGTAGTCCGCACACGGGCCTGTCCCGGTACAGTTTCCGAAGCGGGACGAGGTCCACGGGTACATCGCACCGGGCATACCGTACTCCTTTGCGTTCTCCATGGCCTGCGGGAGGAGACGGAAGCGGTACTCGTTGATTGCTGCGGCATGGTCGGGGTGCAGAACAAGCAGTCCGGGGAGCATCCACACTGTCACCAGTTAGCACTCGGCCCATATAAATAGTTGGAAAAGTCAACTCACAATCAGCATCCCAAAACACCAAACCGGCATAAGAGTCACTGGTCAAGCCACCAACAGAGATACTGTTATCGCCCAGTCCGCGGCCCTCGGAGGCACCTCTGATGTTGCTCAAGAGATGGAACAGGGTCGCGCGCACCGAGATCTGGAGAACCTCATCACCATCGACAATCACATCACCATCTTCCCACAGCTCGTTCCACGCCTCATCGTGCTCCTCTAGCAGCTGCTCCCACCCGTCCCTCTTGGCCTTCAACGCCGCCTTCCTGGCAACCTTCTCGGGGTTCTTGAACGCATCACTGCTCGCAATACCAACATACTTATACAGCGTCGCCGTCTCCCCCGCCGCCAGCTGGAGTCTATACTCCTGAGTAACCGTAGATACATTCTTTGAGACATACGCACGCTCCGACGCATCCACGCGCGAGCCCTCCACCACCGCGCTCGCGCACGCGCCAAAGTCGAGCGTCGACACCTCGTACGCCGCAACGTCCTCAATGCCGTGGGGCTGCACCGCAGTCCAGATCAGGTCGTCCCTGGCCTCGAATTCTTTCCCGAGATGCTCGGTGCGCTGTGCGCCGGCACCATCCAGGATATCGGTAACGAACACCTCACCGTCGGTGTCTGAGGTGACCTCGACCTTCATCATGCCAACGTTGACACGCGAGCGGTGCGCCAGGATCGTGAACGTGATCTGATACTCTGGGCCGTCCTTTACAGGGACCCAGGTAACCGCGGTGGTCAACACGCCGTTGCGGATGCTAAGGCCCTGGTAGAACGCAGTGATGGACTCCGGGTCGACGCCGGGGGCGTAGGTGTGCTGGCCATCGGGGGTAGTGATGTAGAAGGTGGTCCACGTGGGGATGCCGGAGATGACGCTCTCACCGCCGTTTTTCAGCAGCTCGGGGAAGTTTGTGCGTGTGGTGTTGTGCTGGTAGTCCCAGAAGCCGGAGATGGTGGCCACCGTCTGCCGCGGGTTGTCGAGTGGCCAGCCGTTGATGGGGGGTACTTCGGTCGGGTTGTAGTCGGGCGAGGAGGTGGAAATCTGGGGAGGGTTAGGTGTCAGTGATATTATCCACAGGAAAATACGTATATGGTGGGACGAGAGTAAAAGCAAAACTACATACCCAAAAGCCAACGCCCTCAGCAGGGACACGGCTGCCATGGTATCCGTTTGCAACATACGGCTGGTTCTGATAATGGTTTGGCAGAAAGCTATTCGTACTCAACACCCACGACTCGGGGTCAAAGTCCGTGATATTCTGTGGCACCGTGTTATCGTCCCAGTCCGACGGCGGCGGCGTCGATAACTGCCGCCCCCGTAGCAGACTCAACAACTCACTCGACATCACCGGCAGTGCCGACGAGTACGTCAGCAGCAGCGCGAGTGTGAGTAGCAATGACATTAACAGTGCGCGCGCCATCTTTGAAGAAGGCAGTGATGAAAAGGAGCAAGTCTTCTTTTCGTAAGTACCCTTTTCTCGTGACGATAACGACAGAGAGGATTGATGTTTCTCTTGCTCGTAATCTACGGCGGGGAAGGTGTGGTAGGAGCGCGCATTATATCCTTTTCCAGGGCCACTGCTGATACTCCCGTAACCGTCATCATCTCGTAGGCCGTGCATGACAAGTGCCGTCGCGACACCATCCTCGATCCCCCCCTCCTCGTCCACCACCGCTACTTTCCGGGGCGCTGATTTCTTCGCGGCCACTTTTGCTATGGGGTTTTGCAGAATCAGGTTTGGGGTAGGTAGGTAGGTTAGGTACAACGTGAGCTAGGCTAGATTGTATGTAGAGTGTGCTGCTATGCTATGCTATGCTATGTTGTGTTATGTGTTTCTGTATGTATAGTAGTGTGTATATGTGCGGTATTTACTCAGGTCACTGTCCTGTAGGTACTGTCTGTAGACTGTCTGTTTTGGCCGCGTTGCTCGTGTTGGCTTGGACTTTTGACCTTGTTTCGTGGATACGTGCGCCGAGAGATTTTTCCTTTGCTTCCGGGGGTGGCACAGCCTGCCTGGTTATTTCTACCGAGAACCGGGGTGGGCAGCGCGCGTTTTCTGGGGAAGGAAGGCAGCAAGCAGGATTAAGATTAGGGATTAATACGATCTGGGAGGATCGAAGAGGAGGTTAGGGAGAGAGAGGAAGGTTAGGGGGGGAGGCGAGAGTAGCTAGCTATGTATGTAGGTAGCTAGCTCTGAGACAGCGACAGGTACAGCCGTAGAAGAATCGAAGACCCGGGGGGGGGGGTCATATATCGCCTTTTCCTCTAGTTACTCTAGATCTTTCTTCCCCATATGATATTTCTGAACTCTACCTACCTTTCCCATTTCCCCACAGTAAAAAATATTCACAAGCCAGACAGACAGACACAGACTGCCCTTCTGACTTCCCCCAGCCAACTCCCCTCTCACGAGGCCAACCCCCAACGGCTAAACAGAGATGCGGCTCTCTCTCTCCCAGTCCAGTCCCTGACCCTGCCGATCGCAGATCTTCCCTTTCGCGCGGCGGCCACTTACTAAAACAAGACGTCACTATGCAGGATCGACTCCCCAGCCAAGCTAAGCCAACCCAACCAGCTCGGAGGTGGTGGGGACAAGAGTTCCCCGCAAAGAGGTCCCCACAACGGGCATTCCCGCGGGGGGTGGTGGGTGAGTGGGGAGGGGGGGGTGAGCGGTGACAGCCTGGAGGAGGCTTGGGAGAGTGGGGAGAGGAACAAACGGGGAACAAACGGGGAAGGTGGACGCTGTTTCTGGGTTCTGGAATTTTCGTAGATGGTAGGACTCGATCCTGGGTTTGTTTGTGGTTCTTTGTGAGGCTCTGAGCCTGGATACGAGCAGAGCAGTGTCACGAATAACATCAATATCGGAAAGCATGATAATTCTGACTTTTCCGATTTTCAGCATCTCACCTCACCACCATTCACCTGGATCCCAAAATCCCACACCCCCCATACAAATATTAGTAGCGATGAGTACCGGCTGTCTGCCTAACTACTTCCTGCACCGGTTTTTTTTTTTACTTTTTCTTACCAAAACCCCGATCCGTGGCAACGGTGACAAAGTTTTTCCGCTGCCTTCCTCCGGCACCATGTCGGCCTATTACACATCGTCCCCTTCCCTCCCCTCCCGTCCCTCCCTCCCGTCCCTCCATCCACAACGCTAGAGAGAGTAGCACAACCCCAACCCACCCCAACACGAGCTGGGTAAAGAAAAGCGAGCGCTCAAAAAACTCACAACCTCCCCGCAGCTCCCCGCAAAGGAATCCAAAACGTATCCCGAAGGAGCAACACAACCGCCGAGCGGCCGGCCGGGCACGGCTGGCTGTGACCTACCTGCTCGACTGCCTGCTTGCCTGACTGGCGGTGGGTCAAGGGGGACTCGCGGAGTGTTGCGTCGGGAGTCGTGGGTGGAGCTGATCGGGCCGTGGTGGGAGGGCAGGACGGGGTGGGAAGGTGTGAAGGGTGAGGGAGGCTAGAAGGATAGGTACAAAAGACGCTGGAGCCCCCCGTGGTGGGGCGCTTGATGAAGGGGTTGCCTTTCTAACGGAGGACAGATACGCTGTTTGCCATGGGCGAGGCGGATACAGTCTACCTCTATACCGAATGCCAATAAAGCCACAAACCTAATAGCTACGAACAGGTTTTGGTGATCCGAATTTCAATTTCTCATAAAAATGATGGAATCGTATCTGCTGTGCCGAATAATCTGCTGTATCGAACGAGAAGTTTTGGAATATGCAGATTCGTTATAGCGGAGGGAGGCTATACAGTCGATGTATTATTTGGAAAATATTTTTTCTGTCGCATACATATTAGCATACCAGGACCTGGGGGTTCAATATCTCCCGGATCTAATGGATGAATGTCCAAATGCACCTCACCTCCCGAGACGTATGAAAAGAAGGCACGGGCTCCTTTCACAGGACTTTTATCACTTACTATTCACAAAATATCACAGCCCAGATATTTCATGGTTGCATATACCACATCTCAGCATTCATAAAAGAGGCCAGTGCGTGTTACAATGGCTTCTGTGGCAAGACTAAACTATTGGATCAGAGAAGAGACGATAATGATATTGATAGGACTACGGTACTGTAGGTAAGCTATAGTTTCTGGCTTTATACGACATAATTGAGGACATGTTATCAAGCCACCTATTCCTCACAAATGAAGTACAGTTGCAACTCGATATGCCGGATCTCAATACGCCGGATCCCTTGCTGTCTCGTACGAAATCTTCTGAGATTTTAATTTTATTACTGCAAAATCAATTTGCTATCCCGGATTTTTTGCTATCCCGAACGAAATCCCTCGAATCTTGGCAATCCGGCATATCGAGTTGCGACTGTATACGTAGATATAGTCACGTATCCTATACGGTGCCCTCCAATTGAGACGTTATTTGACCCGCGGAGTGAAGTTTGTTTCGCAATACGGTTTAGCGTCAACCATGTCTTGGCACAGCTACAATCATTTCATGGGGTGAACTCAATTAGGAGAACGGCCTTGGCAAGCTGGCCAATATATCATTTCTCATTTCCAATGCCTCTTGAACTCCATCCGCATGTGCAAATACTCTACAGATGTTTGAAGTGCCATCTAGGCCAGCGGTCTCTTCCGCCAGCGGATGATATCAAACACACTGCATCTACATACATACTGCATGTATTCAGGCGGCAGTTCAATATTTTACTTTTACTCGGTCGAATGGATAATTATATAACATAAAACCTCACGATAAGATGCACATGAATCTGTGCCTTCTTTGCCACCGACCATCACCAACTGCTAAAGAACGGTGTCTATATTGCGGCGTTTATGGAACAGCCCTATCCCTGGGCGCTAAGCGTGGATGTCAATGGTTGGTTTTGGCGGGCCTAAAGGTAGGCCTCTCATTCATTTTTTCATGCAGATGGGGCCTAAACCCAACTAACGAAGTGAAACTCTCTACTGTAGAGCAGAGTACTGGACCAGCAAAACTCTGCGTTGAATCCTCCAAAAAAGAAACGCCGGCGCGCCTATGCATGTCCAATGATTCGCTGCATGGATATCTCCACCTGACAGTATGCGGCGTCAAGAGGTGTGCGTCTAGGTTTTTATGGACGATAATTGTAAGCTGTACGGTGCGCCCACTCTTAAAGGTAACCAAAAGTAGCGGAAAGTCAATCGCTGATAACTTTATGACCATGATAGATATCAAAAATATGGCAAAATAGAAGTATAGAAATAGTGATGAACTTTAGATCTATTTTGCCAGATTTTTAATATCTATCATGGTCATAAAGTTATCAGCGATTGAAAATGGCTGTTTTTGTATGTAAAAAGCGCCAAGACTGAACAAAGTGGAACAGTATTATACCCATTGATACCCCCGAAAAGCAAACATAATCGAGTTGTGGCAGTGATGCAGGAAAATGGCCAGAAATGAGCCCTCTGGTTGGCCTATGTGTCCACATCCATTTGCCGTCGTGCCACCTTTAAGAGTGTGCGCCATATCGCTTAATTTCACCAGCGAGAAAAAAGAGATATAAGGAAGCGATGGTAAAGATCATGATGATTCTTTAATTCACAGCTTCTTATTATCATTATACCCATATCGATACACTGTTTATTTATTTATTATTTACTCCCTCTATAACCATGGCCTCAAACACCCGCTACTACCGCGTCAAAGGCATTCCTACCTCATGGCCCAAAAGCACGCTCCTCAACGCCCTCAAAGCCGCCTCCGCAGTTTTCGCCACCCTCCCGGAAACCGGTCTCTCACTCTATCCCGCGCCGTACGGAGGGGGAGGGTCACAGAACGCACTCCTCCAATACAACGGCGACCTCTCAGTTATTGACCAAACAGGCGTCTACCGCGTCAACGGAAATGGCTACGCCCTGGAGGTCGATAACCATTTTCAGGGCCTGACACAGCTGAACGCAGCTGGGGACAATGCGGCATATGAGTATAGCTCAACCTCCATGCATTAAGGACTCGACTAATTGGTGATAATTGATGATATTGTAGCATCATTGCAATCACAGGCATAGACGGACATGCGTATAACAGCTGGGTGGGACCAACTACGGGGAAGATGTGGCTGCGGGACTTTATCCCGCTTAGGCGCCAGCTTGCGAATTCGCGGGTGATGACATATGGGTATGATATGCGCCTTGTGAGCGGGAAGAGCTGGGTCGACTATAGGAACGAATTCCTGCAAGAGTTAGTGAGAGCGAGAACAGGGCCGAGGGTGAAACCAACATTGCAATATCTAGATAATATTATAAAAAGTATTCATTAATCATAAGTATATATACAGGCTCAAACTCGCCCTATTATCTTTATCGGGCATAACATTGGCGGGATCATGGTCGTGCAGGTATGGGCCCCAGTACTAGATATTGATTAGCTTCAGTTATTGAGATACTCCAGGCACTCCTCGAATGCCTCGCCAACAGAGAATATAGCCAGGTCTTATCCTCTGTTAAGAGAATCGTTTTTCTAGGCACACCCCACCAGGGGATGCAAACTGAAGCCTTGTTAGCAGCGACCCAAAAGTCTACTCTAACAGCAGCGCAAAAGGCGAGCCGCACAGCAATGCTACAGCAGCTGGCAATAGGGTCACCATTCCTTCAGAAGATGTCAGCAGACGTCACGAATACTCTGAAGTCGATAGCAGTGGGAATCGTATATGAGACGCGGGGTGTGGTGAGTTTCCCTTTTTACTCCAACCACAACCTACTGGAACTTCGTAGACTAACAGACGGGTGCTACTAGCTCAAAAATGGGTGGGAGGTGTACATGGTTGATCGGTCCTCGGCCATGGTACATAATCAGGGCCGGATCGTGGGGTTTGTGGCGAAGAACAATGAGAACCTGATAAGATTTGAACATGGTGCGGATCCGGATGTTCATAGTATTATGGACTTTGCGACTCCGGAGGTTGTTAGTATTATGGACTTTATGGAAGGTAGGCCAGAAGGATTGGAAGAGAAGAAGTGAATGGAGGGCGCAATCCCAAGCAAGAACAGGGTACAAGCCTCAAAAGAGGTTAAGTACGTAGTAAGTACAGAAGTTTTGGTGAATTTTGGTTGCCGTTGCAACACAAAATTTGTATACAAAATCAGAAACACTCAAATCATGACTTTAAGAGTTAGATCGCACACACCTGAAGAATGGACTTAAAATTCTAGAATTCTCTGTGCTCCGTCTTGAGATAGTTCCCAACTGTCCGTGAAAATTTGAAATTTTTTGGATGAGGTTGGGTGGTTGCTTCGGGTAGCTAAACATGGCTACTTTGGCTGTAAAAAGGGTATATCACCAAAACTTCTGTCCTAGTACTATACCTACATGTAAATACAAATCCCTATAAAACGTTATATAGTGGTTATTAGTCCAACTACATGTATCAAGCGCACCCAACCTCCATAACCATATTGAAGAAATCCCACCCGTAGAGCGAACAGTATGTAACAAACAATCACGTCCCCCTCCACATAACACACCTGATATGATCCGCCGCACGGATCAACGCTCTCCCGGGAAGAAACGAAGGGTCCGTGGTTCAAGCCATATTCTATAAATACCCCCCCCAATTGGTACGAGGGCACGTACCATTGCAAGCCAGAATAAATTTTATCGAGATTAGGGAGTAGGTGGCGGCAACAACATTGATTATCAAAAAAACCAAATGGGCGATGTTTGGTAGTAACTTTAACCTCGGGGGTGGCAGTGCTACAGGAGTGGGGCAATCTAGACCATTCACCCCATTGATACTGCTAAAGGGTTTCGCAATTATTATGATTGAGACAGGTACTGTCGGTCGATGTATGCATTTCAACTAGACTAGCAATATGTATGTACTTCTGAAAATAGTATTGCCCAATTGGAATCCTCTGTTTTCGTAAAAGAACTTGCATTTACTTAGACAGAAAGGAAAAAAAGGTCACAATACGATTTAAGTAAATATATGGTAGAGCAAAAAAGCACAAAGGAAAAAAGATTGCACAGTACTGGTGTGTATTTACACCCCTGGGAACCAGAGTATAAAATAAAAGACGAACAAAACATTACTTTAAACAAGCTGAGCCAAGCCTTAGTAATCGGGAGACGAGTTTACTTGCTGAAGTACAAATGAACCTATCCCACGCTACGCAAAATAAAAATAGCAAACCAAATCGAAAACCCCATCCTGGTATCTAGCTCCCGCTGATCCTTAAAAGTAAAGGAGATGATTGATAGAAAGAGATAGAAAAGACGATAATTTTCTGTCAGGACTAGTATTCACCAAGCAAGCCCTGATGCACCAACGCAATTCCCCCGAAAACAAACAAATTCCGAGACCCCGCCCGGTCCATCCCTTCCTAATCCTATCCAATCATGCCCCAGGCATTTAGGTGATGCTCTCCCTGAACACACTCCTCCTCTCGCTCTCAACGCTTGGCCGTCCACCTCTCACATTGTTTCCGACGAATCCTTCGCTTTCGGGCCTCCTAATATCTCCTGCAAACGGGTTTGTCGCATCATCATTGGGATATGGTGGCGGCACACTTCTTCTCGGAGGCTCCCTGCTTCGGCTCCGGCCTCTCTCCGGCTCCTCGTGTCCGCGATGCTCCTGCATCTGATGCGCCTCGCCATAGCGACCCCTGCTGTCGGGGGTCGAGCGTTGGCCGTATCCGCCACCAGTGTACGAGATGTCTTCTTCGTCGACCATGCGGGAATCCCAGGCTTGATCTGGGTCCAAAGCCTCGCGGGTCCGTGCGGAACGGGCTCCAGCGCCAGAGTAGCCGGTGTTTCCACCCCCGAAAACACCCTTAACTGCACCGACAAAGCCGGCACCTCCACGAGCAGGCTCATAGGAGGATGGAGCCGAACGCTTGTTGTTCTTGATGAAGGGGACGTATGTTCGCCAGCTAGGGGCCGGGAGGCCAAGGCGGCGAGCTCGAAGCTGTGTGTAGACCTATCATAGTTGTGTTAAAATCAGCCGCGCTCGATATCATTGTAGTACCACCCTCGGTGAGTTCGAGAAAGGGCGCGAGATTGAATAGATATTAAAGGTAAAGATGCAAACACAGGAGATAGGGGCACTAACAATATAGGAAATCAATGCAAGCAATAAGATGATGAGAGCAACGATTACTATAATGCCCCATATCGGCATTCCCTCAACCTCATGGTGAAATAGATTTGGCGGGTGGGTGGCACCATATGGTGGTTGGGCTCTGTGTTCACTGGTGTTGTCGCCGTCGTCGTCGGGAGCTGCTCTGGGAGCCATGCTCTGCAGGTTCACTGGTGCCGGTGATATTTGGCCGCAGGTGTTTTGGTATTATTGGGTAAGCTGATTGATCGGCTGCTACTACGTAAGTGATTGTTTGATCGATTGATTGACGATGAATGATGGATGCGTTTGTATAAAGTAATGTGGTTGAAGAAGAAGCACAGCAAAGGGGGAAGAGAAGGGGGAAAGGAGTGGATCAGCCAGCGAAGTGTTCCGATGAGTTAAGGATAAGTAGCATGCACGTAAAAGAAAGGAAGGGAAGAACGCATGAAGAAGAAGAAGGATAGGTAGAACAGCAGATGGAAAGATAATAAATGGAAGACCCTTTCTTGCTCTTAGCTCCCCCTCGCTGCCACTCCTTCCAGGCGCTACAAATGGAGGTTCTATGAGACAAAGGGGGGCTAAAAGTGTTTTTTCTGGGAAGGTAATTCTTGGCGGGGAAAATGGCTTACCGCGAGGTCCAGGCGTTTTTCAAGGAATTCCCTTAAATAGATGAAGCGGAGAGATACGAGATCTCGCCGTGTGGGAACGTGTGAGGGGAGAGTTGAGGTCAGATTAAAGGTCTTTTCGTGATACCTGACAGGTGAGAAGGTTGTTGTTCCACGGCTGAGTTTCTCCCGATGGAAGGATCACGATCTTCATTCCTCCAGCCCGCCAAGCAATCCTGAGCCTCTGTGGCGCGAGGTTTATTCGGATGAGTTGGCGATCTTTCGTTTCGCATCCAGCTTCCTCAAATAAACGAATTATCAAAGCGAAATATCTCTAGACCAGCCATACTTATGTAATAAGCTACTACTTTACTTTTCTTCAACGACTAATCCACCTTGTGTCTGTGCAGTCTGATATGAGACTGAAGTCTGACATCGCAAGATCGAAAAAGACTCAAGTCCAACGCAATCTCAGACGTAGAAAAATAAAATAAATTTAAGAATGTAGAGTAGAGTACTTGTATGTATATGGAGTCGAGATAGTCTTGTGCTCATGACTGCTCGCTCGCTTACTTTTTCCTACGTACCATGATGTGCAATCAGCTGGGGCTGACTGCGTCTGCTATCGGTGATGGGCGACAGGGAAACTGCACTTCATTAGAGACCAAATTTCAGATAGCGGGGAAGGAATTGGATTTACATGTAATTAGTGAACTTTGTGACTGCATCAATGGTGCCAAGAACGTTTATATTGAACGAGTGATCGATTGTGAAATTTCAGAGCGTGAGTAAGGTTGTTTTGGATGAAAATGAACTACACGTAACAATTCTCTACTTATATAAGTACATGTATTCGGTATTATTATGATCAGTATTGAGGATAAATTTTAGCTGTCGCAATATTATTTCCTCATCATTAGTTATGCGTACTAGAAGATAGTCATTCATGACTACATACAGTATTTGCAAGTAGTGAAACGAAACACTTTTTTCAAGAGGGCGACTTAAGAAAGGAATCTAAAGAACTCATACATCACTACAAACTTTTCAAAGAACGGATTACTGTCTAGATGGTATGAGACAATCTTGTATACGTAATCATATTTCTTTTTCTGTTGGTTTCTCCTGAGATCGAAATAAGCTTGGGTGAAGCATGCGTAGTATATCTAGTTAAGGTAATTACAAATGTCCCTAGCTACTGTCATGGGGCTTTATATCTTTGAGGTACTCTAGGTAATTTTACCGCTAATTGCGTTTATTAGTGGATCTATTAGGAAATTATATCTTCGAATTCGCACTGCTCCGGTGTAGTATATGTAACTACCAACCAACCCTACATTTGCGCTCAAATACATAAGACACGCCATCAAATGAATGCGCCTAATCAGCTTATCTAGATTTTCGGGGACATATATAGGCCATATACGTGCTCTCACCTCGAAAATACAAGGAGAGTAGGTGGGTTTGCCTTGGAGTACTGCTGTGCCTCGCAGACTACACTTTTCCACAACATATATATTATCATTATCTCTATACTGGCCGATCGCGACTACCGGTGACATTTATCACTCATCCTATCGGATCCCATACCTTCTTGTTCCTCAGCTCAATCTTTACTGAGTTCCACTCGCAGTTGGATTTTTCATATTTACGATGTCAATCTTTGAATTAGCTATGTATTTCTACCTTCGAAATAATTTAAAATGCCAGTATCAACAGAGGAGGTACTATGGCATTATCTAGGCTGCATGCAGAGTAAATATACATGTACTTAAGAAGCTCGAGGCTCCTGGAGACCCGGCAAAGGCAAGTTAATACGAAGTATCCTTGTCTAGCATGCGCATATAAGATTTGAGCGATTGACATACGACCCTAATCAGTATCAATTCGTGATGGGATTTCCAATTTCATCTTGAAGACGACTGGGTTTCCAGCTGTACGGCACTAAAATTCATTCTTCATGAGATGTGTTGTCTGCTGCGCGTACTGTCTGATTGCGTCGGCATCAATGCGCGTCCCGCGTTAGTGTGGCTTCGGCATAGATACTCCGTTGGGCGTTGCATTGACGCCGTCTCAATTTTCGCCTCCCAAGTAACGTCTACATGCTTCAAACTACCCACCAAGACAAACCTCTAAATTTCGGACGGGAATGCAGAAGAAGAGTGATATCTTATGAACCGACCAGAAAAGCCTAATTGGCCCACTGCGGTCCTGTCAACAGCTCGGATCTTCGAATTCTGACAACAACACGGATCCTATCCTATCGGAGGAATCTTCCTTAGCTCATCAATCAGACTGCGTCCCTGCATCACAGTTAATCTACACCCCATGCTGTGGATCTTTCTTTTGGTTTTTACCGGTATATCTCCGATTGGAAGAATTACTGGTGGGAGCTCTTGACGGTTATCTGTCCCGTGAAGATTGTAACTCTGGGAGCGGTGAGTGAGAAAGTGGCTAGGTAAAGAACGGTGTTAACTTATTGGCTGGTTGCTTGAGGTAAGAGGTTGGTTGGACAAGCCTGTCACTGACCTTTGATTGGGAACTGCACTTCTCGATTCCCTAGAATACACGTATACGGAAGTCCTCGATTCTCTTCGAAGCAAAGCAAAAACCTGTTATTCTCAAATTCATCTCCGTTTCCATGGCCTGTTTCAGAACTGGCTTGCCGTATTTGTATCTCGATCCAATAGATATGACCCGGGAGGCAGCTTGGTAGCTCTATTCAACCGTAAATTATTACTCTATCTGATATTTCACAATATATTAATGTCATATTGAATGGGTAACACCATTTGCATATGCTGCATGGGCATAAAACTCACCCAGCTTTCATCTTCTGCCCTGTAGGGTTCAACCATGGAAATGATTTTGTAGATCTACACTTCCCTGTAGGTACGTTTTCATGGCATGTCTTACTCGTCTTTCGGCCCGCTATGTGCAAGCTCAGGCAGAAATATCCTTGTCCACAAAGCGAAAAGAGTCGGCCCGCGAGAAGGCGGCTAGTTGCCGCACGGCCCGAGGAATCGTTATAACATAATGGGGAAGGTGTACGTTTATTTCTACTCTCCTGGAGAAAATAAACCTCCCCTACTTGAATGTCGTCATGGGAATAACCGCTATCCCGAGAAATCGGACATCTCAGGAGGGATTGATTATATCACATCACCTCATCACTGCTTGAGGGACATGTCGACAGCGGCGGCATCGATGGTACCGCGCTCATTACATTGCCTCTAGATCGATCGCGGACGTGCGAACGTGGGGAAGCGCATCTCAGCTGCAGGCGTTCATCCAGAGTACTCTACTCAGCTGAAGGAGAGTATAGAAATGGGTTTCATGATCCGTCACTCGATCGTTGCCAAGGAAGGGATGTCACAACCTACATGTAAACATGGGCCTCCTAGGTTTCTACCACCCCAAACCATGCATGAGGATTTCCGCTGGCAAGGAGGATATAGAGCAACCCAGTGAACAGCGGGTAGTTGCATACTAACACCTCGCTAACTACATCTCTACTCTAGCTAGAGCAGGTAGCTACATTAGCAATAAAGAAATGGAATAACGTGGATATCCTGGAAACTGCCGATAGATAGAAAACAAAAAGAAGCGCCGCTAAATAAAAGACGGTATGTCTCTGCCGTCTGCTGTTCCTAAACGACTAACTGACTGGGCGGAAAGAAAAAAGTCTTGCTGCGCTGCGGGGCCGAACCGCAACCGATGATGTGGCTCCAGTAGCGCTGTACCTTTCTCTTTTGGCGACCGAGGAACCGATTGGGCAGCGGTACCGGGTTTAATAGTCCATCCCAACGGTGTGATTTTGGACGTATGATGATGATATCCGTGCAGGTAGGTATCAGACTGCGACAAGAGAGGGGAAACGGATTAAAGATCTTAGTGTACCTACACTGCCCCCTCCCGTGAAGACTCGACTAACTTACTGGATTATCTTCATTTCTGAAAAAGCAAAGTCTTTGCGTCCGTTACCGTCCAGATGGATATTGAGCCTCGTTTTAAAGTAGGTACCTACTCTAGCTCTACTCTACTAGTATCCATGCAAGGCCAGAGATGCGAAAAAGGAAAGAACAAACTTCGTTCCTACTCTAACTCTAAAGTGCCGTGTGAAAGGCCCTCCCACGTATCTGGAATTGTCAGTGGTATGATATTATACCGCCACTCATTTGGAGCTATGATCTAGTTACTCTAAACGTTTCTAGTCTCTTTCTCACAGAAAACCGGGACTCAAATGATAAACTCTGATATACATACCTATGAATGCCGAAATAGGTTGGATATCTGGTCGTTTAGTTAGTGCCAGGGAGCTTGAGATATTCATTTAGTTGGGGAGTTAAACAAGACTAGAAGTAAGGTGCTCAGCAATTTTAATGTAAGACATAAATGATCTTGTCATAATCGAAGACGAGGGCCCTTCTTTCTTTAGTGAAACGGTTTCATTGATCTATTCTGCTGCCCATCTCTAACGTGGGGGCAGATCGTCATTGCTAATAAACTATGTAGTCAATTGTTTCTAAAGCTTTCCTGACGAGGCGAATATGGCTAGAGTAGAGTATCAGTGGCAGCTACCGGTATGGCACGGTATGGTACATACATGCTCATCGTCACCTAGAAAATACGGCACCTCAGTTGAAAGCTTTCTTAGGTATCTTGACGAGATTATTACTGGTGCCCACCCCTGCTGCCACTTTTCCGTATGCAGGCCAACTCAGCGTGTGCTGTTTTTTTCAGGGTCAGCTTCAACCTCGTCTTGTTGTTCGCTCATGTATCGCAACAATAAGAATAACCATACGTCCATCCGCTGTGATGGAGGGCGGCCATTGTTTGAGTGAAGCGGAGAAGCAACAGTTATCTTTACCTCCAATACTATCTCTCTGATCCATAGTTATCCCAGCAATACCGACATTTACTCCACGCATAGGAATTCTCTGTATCAAACAAGTCTCATAAGCTTGAGATCAATAAGGGGGAGGAGAGAAGTAGAGACAGAGAAAGAAAAAATCAAACAAATCTGGGCTATCGGAATAGAAAGCAAAATCCCGATTTCAAAGCTGGAGCAAGTGGTGGGTTTTCTTCCTTCTCAAACCTTTTTTTTTGTGTCACTCTTTTGACTCAATTTCTACCCAATAGTGCGTATCTCTGGGTCGGCCCTATATCAAATAGCATTGGTGATTTTAACCCCTTCATAGTTGTCTCAGAACATGTCGAATCATCTGCCCCTGTCACCCTCCGTTTATTTATCCAACGGTTCCCACTCGTCAACCACCACGTTTTCAGACCACACCGCAGGCGGTTGGCAGTGGCCCAAGTGGAGCTGTGAGCTGGATGCCTTCTGCGATTCCGCTAAAAGGGTTATTCGTGACCTAGGCAGCGTATTGCAGCCCGAACACCTCGCGCAATTCGAGCTCGAGTACTTCCTGAGGAGAAGCAGTTCTGATGCTGGGATTGGTGGTGTGGTTGACAGCGACAACAACACCAGCAGCAGAAGTTATCTCTCCGACGTTTCTTCCCTCGACCATAATCACGGACCCACCGCACAACTGCTGTTCATCAATAACGAAGTCGAATCGTCCTCGTCGTATCTCCCGAGACGGGCGTCGCCTAGATTTTCGGTGCATACTGACAGCACGGTATCGCTCGAGGCGGCCGCATATTTTACTGATTCCGAAGGGGAGGAGGAGGAGTCTCCAGAGGGAAGGGGGAGACCCTGGGATAGGGATATGGCTGGCACCATGCTTGCAGCTTCGTCAAAGGAGAAGAAAAAATCAAAGTCGGACAAGAAAGATAAGGAAAGGGAAAGGGAAAAAGAAAAGGAGAAGTCTGTGCGTAAGCATGAGGACTCCGAACATGAAGATCGAGAGCAGAGGAGAGAGGCGCGGAGGAAGCGTAGAGCTGAGAGGGAAGAAAGAAAAGCTAGGGAAGCCCAGGAGGAAGCGGAGCGGGCAGAGCGAAAGCGAGAGAAGCAGGAACGACGGGAGCGGAAAGAGGAGAAGAAAAGTGTTGTGGGGACCAAAGAGAAAACAATGCCAAAAATATCAGTTGAGCAGTTCATTAGTGGAATTGGGTTTGTTTACCATTTTTTTTTGTCCACTTGTTTATCTACCATCTGTGCGTTGGTTTTTTATGGAAGCCGTGATTTAATCTTTTCATCCAATCACAGTAGATCAAAATCGCTTATCTCCCGACGACCTAGCGATGCTCGACCTAGATTGACTATCAAAAGGAGCAAGAGTACAGTTCTAATGCGGTCCCATGAAAGATCTCACGACAGATCCCATGAACGACCCCAGGAACGGCCTCACGAAAGACTTCCCGAAAGGCCCCACGAAAGACCTCAAGAGAGACCCCAAGAAAAGTCACTTCATGAAAGACCGATGGCCATTGAAGCACCGAAGGAATCTTCAAAAGAAAAACATCGCCACCGAGATCACCATGATCACTCGACTCCCGAAGCTCGCGCAAATTGTATACGATGTTTGCGAAAGCGAGAAAAAAAAGAGAAATTGGAAAATATTACAATTGTACCACCACCAAAGGTTCGTGAAGCAGTTCGGACGGAAACTGTAAAAAAGAGCTCAAGGCGAAGGGTGGAGCCGGAAAGTGAAGACGAAACCATCATTGAAGCGAAAGAGAGGGTGAAGGAAGCTGTACAAGCTGCCGCTGCTGGTACTAAAGTGAAGCCTGTGCTGGGTTTTGTTATCGAGAAAAGGCCAGAAAAGCTGTGGGTCCATCCTATCCATTCTATGCCAATCGGTTAATTAACCTATAGAAACTAGTGTTGAGTGCGTTACCTGCCTTTCCGACGATGTCCCGGTAAGAGAAGCAGCGAAGCTTTCCTGTGGACACTACTGGTGCAATGAATGTTTGAAACGGATATTTATACTCTCTTTGACCGATCCCGCACATATGCCCCCCAAGTGCTGCACAGACGAACATGTTCCCTTGAAGCATGTTGATAAACTTCTAAACTATGAGACAAAGAAGCTTTGGAACAAAAAATACATTGAATACACATCGTCAAATCGTATTTATTGCCCGAAGCCGAATTGTGGTGAATGGATACAACCGAAGGAGATACACAACAATGTCGGGAAATGCTCTCAGTGCAGAACGAAGGTTTGCGCAATGTGTAATGGGAAAGCTCATGGCGATGGGGAATGCCCTAAAGATGAGGATTTAATGAGATTTATCGAAATAGCTAAGAAAAACAAGTTCCAGAGATGCTATAGCTGCAGAGCAATGGTGGAGCTGGAAAGGGGATGCAATCATATGACGTGAGTAAACTCTTCGATATATTTAAGGAATTTGAGATACTGATAAAATCGCATAGTTGTCGCTGCACCGCCGAATTTTGTTATGTTTGCGGAGATAAATGGAAGACCTGTAAATGTCCTTGGTTTAATTACGAGCCTGATGATGACGAGGAATACGTTGTCCCTGTATGGAACGCCGAAGAGGGTGTAGCTGCAATTCCCGCCAATATTGCTGAACGACGAGAACAAAGAGCCAGGGCTCGTGCTGAACAGCTTCGTCAAGATGAGGAGCTTGCTAGACAATTGGCTCAACAAGAAGGGCCACTGTCACCAGGACTTCACGGAGATGATGAATATTATCTCCCGAGCCCAATCCAGATTGATCCTCTCGCAGCGTTGGGTACCATCGGATCCGGTTTGAGGAACGGGATTCGGCGGATCGCCGCTGATTATGTCGAGACAGCTACACGCTCAACTCCGCAACCTCGAGGGACTCCGCAGCCTCGTGGAACACCGCAACCAAGGTTGGAAAGGAGGAGAGTCGAGCCAGTTGCTAGAATCGCGCCTCGTACACGGAGTCGGGAGGAGATTCGGGAAAACATATCCAATCTTATTCAGGAGGTTGAGGAGCTTGAAGGGCGCAGTAGGACGCCCCACCGTCCTAGAGTCACTCGCACAGAGACCGCCCCGGAGACTCGGGAGCAGCCTCCCCAGAGATCCCGGCGGCGGGAATCCATCAACCCAAGCCGATATTTGAGTGGAGCACAACACGCAAATATTGAACAATACCTTCGTGGAATTAATCTGGAGGACCCTGAGCCAGTAGCCCCTGGGCCACCCCTTCCATCTCCACATGAATCCCGGGCTTTCACTCCCGGTATCCCGGAGCTCCGACGCTCTCGCACCGAGCGAATTCCAAGACGACGAAGAGAGGAGGACTTTTCTCCAGAGTATGCATCTCATTCTCCCATCTCGACAATCGATCGCGCGAGTAGGATAGGAACAGAGAGCAGGGTTGGGACAGAGAGTAGATTAGGGACGGAGAGCAGGCTTGGGACGGAGATTAGTAGAGTGGGAACAGAGAGCACCAGCGTAGGGACTGAAACTACCTATGCCGCTCGTAGACCCTCTATCAGCGGAAATTTGATGGACCATCGCTGGAGACAACAGCACTCGGGATACCAGAGCCGAATGCCAGTGGAGACGAATGTTGGAGGATGGAGGGTGAGTCAACCATTCTTAAGGAGTATTGCTTAGGAGTTTTTACTAAATCGGCGCCTAGTGGGGTAGTGAAAATCGCGATTACTGATTATTGATTTTACGAGTCAATGCTTCACCACGAATTACGGATATTACGACCCTTTTTACGACTTATATTCCTTGTTTTATTATATGTATTTGGGAAGGAGCGTTTGCCATTTGATGATTACGACATACGACATTTGATTTATTTCACCACACACTCTTTTTTCTTTCTTTTATTATTATTTTTTTCAACTTGTTGCAAGTTTCTGGATTAGAGAACTTATTTATGTGTTGACTAAGAATCGTTGTGGTGCGCCCAAAAAAATGTTTATAGCATATTAGCGTTTTTTTCCTTCTATTTCAATTTTTTTTCATCGTTTTATTTTGTTGGCATATGACGGAATCTTTTTCTTGTCGATATTTTTTGGGGACATTTTTGAGCTGCACTATACTAGCGATAGCGGTAGTCCGGGTTTCTTGTTACTTTTTTTTTTTTTTTTTTATCGGTACGTTTGAGGCCAATTTTGGGGGGATACTATCTTTTTCGTGCCTTGGACTGGACACGGCGATCTGTCCACTGGGCATAGGAGCTTCGTTCCTTTGTTCCTTTGTTTTTGTTTTTGCTGGGGAAAAACAGTAGTTTACTTAACGCGTCAACGTACGTCAACGTCGGAATACTAGCTATGATCATGATCTTAATTACAAGGCGGGTTTTTTTTTCTCTTGTATGTACTTCTACTTCTACTACTTCCTACTTCATGTACTATGTAATTTTACCACCTAGCTACTGCGTTTTCATCTCTCACATGTTTTTTTTTTTTTTTTTTCGCAATTGATGACGTGCAGAGTACCGTCCGTATAAAGGGGTACAATTAGTAGATTTCGAAACCCTGCCAGACTACTAATTATTGCAGTACTGCCCCGCTCGCTACTGGATTGGGATGCCATTATTTGGCTTTGTTACTTTGAGCGTCCCGAAATGGCTAGCGGGGGTGGTACAAACATTATTACCACTAGTCCACTACTACCCTCAGTAGAAGTGGGTGGTGCGGCACGTATACGGCGTAGTCAGCTTTTAAATACCTACCTACATACCTTGCCGCCCACACTACCCCGGCCTACTTCGCCGCCCCCCGCCGCGCCTCAGCACAAGCTTAAAAAAAGCGAATTTGGGGAAGTGTGCTGGATAGAGTATAGTAAAGGTACACGTTAGTACTGTACTGAGCTGCGTACATGTAATCATATCATACCCTCAGCACATGCCCATGCTCAGTCGGATCCAAACCACACCCAGCCCCAGCTGGCCAGTCCCGCGACGATCACCCCCGGTGAACGGTGCAGCGCGGGGCCGGGAGATTGTTTAATTATGCGTTAAAGATTGGAGATCAGCGAGGTGTTTGATCAGCTGCATGCAGGTGTTTGACGTTTCGGAACGATGGGTGTTTGGGGATATCGAGTAGTGGTCCTTTTGGTGATTGCTGTGGCCTGTGAGCTTGGGGGGAGTAAACAATATCAGCGAGGAGATATACATGTATGTAGTCATCGATTGCAGCGCTGCTTGGTATTGGGTGGTGGGTTATTGATATTGGCTTGATGCGGTCATTGTATTTCATCTACAAAAAAGGCTATTCTGATGATGGCGCTGTTAGGGATATAGTTCTATCACAGAGTTTCTTGGTAGGTCTGGATGACGATTATATCATATCATGCGACAAGGGATATATATTATCGTACTACATTTAAACACCATACTACAAGCCAACAGTCCGATCTAGCGCCCGTTCCAAACCCATCCTTAAAAAACCTCTCAAAACCCCATCCGTCGATATTCTCTAGCTATCCACCCCCCCCCCCCAACACCGGCTGTATAATTATACAACCTCGCCTCTAATACAACCCCCCCTTACCATCATCCCACCACCCGCTCTCCCCCAACACCTCCACAACAGCACCCTTATTCCAACTCCAATTCGCCACGGCCCCATCCCTCCCCCTCACCGCATACCCCGTCGGCACCCCCGGACACACAAAGTCGGCCCTCTTCTCCGCCCTATACATCTCCAAGGGCGGACTCCCCGCCCCCATCGCATCGTTCATCCAAAAGCTCGCCACCGGCGCATCCTCCAGCGCGGGCTGCTTATTGAACGTGAGCGTCTCGTCGACGACGCTGCCGGACTTGAGCGCATAGATCTCCTCGGCGCCCTTGCCGTTCCCGCCGTCGGCGAGCGCGGAGAAGGCGAAGTGGAAGCGGCACTGGCGGCCGGCGTGCGCAGCCGTGAATGGGATGGAGATGTAGACGTTTGGCCCCATCTGCTTGTAGCGCGGGAGGGGGGTGTCGGGGCGGGTTTCGTCGACGCCCATGACGAGGGAGGCGGAGAGGAGGGTGGTGGTGTTGTCGAGGTTCATGGGTTGTTGGTAGTCGCCGAGGGGGAGGGGAGGGGAGGTTTCGAGAGGGGTGGGGGAGACGGTGGGGGTGGTGGTGGGGGTGATTGTGGTGGTGACTGTGACGGTGTATGTGGAGCAGGCGGGTTCGGTCTGTGGGTTCGCGAGGGGGAGGGCAGAGGTGCCGGTGAGGGCTGCTGCTGCGAAGAGGACGGCAGACGCGAAGGTGAAGGACTTCATTGTTATTGCTGTTGAAGTGTGGAGATTGAGAAGTAACTGATTATTTGGAATAAACAGCTAATGATACCAATTAACCCTTAGTCGCAGTACTGGAGAACCAAACAAATGGCGGTGGTGGGGAAAGGGGAGAGAGAGGGAGCTCAATGCTCGGGGCATTTGATACTTATAGCTTGAAGAAGTCGCGGAGATGGCCCAGTGGGGTAATGATCGTATCGCATAACTAACTGTGTTTCACTCATCATCACCAGATCTCACGGCGGCGGTGGTGGAGCAAACAATCATTACTGATCCACCCCCATGCATATAGCTACATGTATAAGCAATCCACTCCATGTAGCTACATGTATAAGCGATTCACTTCATATACATAGCTACATATAAGCGCTACACACAGCCAGGAATGCCAATTGCCAAGACGCACTGCCACCGAGTGATTTTCCGTGACTCGCCCTAAGATGCAGGTGTGAGGCTCATGAATGTACTAGTACCAGACAATTATACACGATCAGCATTCCGGTGAATGTTAACCTAGATTTAGGGATCATGGATCGTGGCTAGGGCTTACTGCGCTGCAACCCTATCTGATCTGAATGAAACGACATACGTGACATTGCCGAAAAAAACACCCGAGAAATATGGGAATGAGTTGTTTAGATTCTTTTTTTGGAAGCTCCTACGCTCCCCCCCCCCCCCCCAATTCCAGAAGCTGAAATACATGTTGTATACAAGCAAGTGTATAATCAAGCATACATGTACACATGTAGGAACATCAAGGATTAGAAATTGCGTCTCGGAAAATCCAATTGAACACAACCACATCACGTGACCACGTCCATTTTTGAAGCATGCGCTCTGGAGCCTTGTTCTGCGGCACAGGCCAGAACTTCGAATCATGTAGGTACTCATCTCTGGCACTGGTCACGTATGTTCTAAATTTATTTTTTCCGATACCTGGGGGGGTCCTGCGAATAAACAAACGTCTAATGCCATAACATCAACTACTTCTTTTCCCATATGCACGTGATGATGGTGATTACACGCCCTGAAAATTAGACTTGGTAGACCATCATGCACCACTACTCCATATGCTCAGTCCAATGCTCAGCTACATCGCCTCTGCCAGCGCGCGTGTATGTATGCGGCTTATGTTTTTAGAGAATGAACCGTCTAGATGTTAAAAATGCACTCGTGACCTGCATGTAGCTGCGCACTGTATATGCAGGTCAAGCCTAGCTAGGCGTAGGGCATGGTAACTCGACAGTTTGACTAGATCGATGATAGGGACCTTGGTCCACTGCAGTGTTAATTTACCTCTTCACGGAAAGTTATGGAGACGGTTTTTAATACTTGAAGTGGGGAGGATGAGTTGGTAGGCTAGGGGTCGTAGCGCGCGGCGTGTAAATTGGTAATATTCCTCCTACACTTGACATTGCATGCCCGTCAGCTAAAAGTGGGGTTATGCAAACCCCATAAAGTCCCAGGAACTAAGCAGAGGAAGGCGGGTGGGTGGTGTTGTCGTGTCGGGCAGGGTAGGTTGGTACTTTCGTGGCTGTAGTCAGGCAAGTTTGACGATATATGTTGGATTTTAGTATCATGATCACGGACCTCGATATTTCGCGTTTTCTGCTGAGATAGATGTGAGCAATTTGATTGAGATTGATAGAATCTATAAATGGTATGTACGTGTGAGCAGCTACTTCATGATTAGTACTAAAGAATAAAAAAAAACTTGAATGATAAGTTGTAACGCGGGCTTTGAGCCGTATTACGGGCTTGCCTAGCCTAGTAGGAACATATAGAGGAGAGACCAGTTAGTATAATTTTATAATTAGCTAGATACATATACATAAGTCACTTCAACAATAGTGCTTATCTGCTAGACAAAGCTTCAACCATCCTCCTAGCTCTGCAACCGTTCCTCAAACAGTGCCTCATATCGCCTCTCGTTGAGGGGTAGAGGTCCCCACCCCGGAATAGTGCTGGAATGAGTCCGCCTATTTCCTGTCTCTAGTCACTCTGTTTGTTATAATAATGTAATGTGTATTGGAGATCTATCTTCGTAGGACAGGCGGGAGGAACACCACTGGTTGCATGGCTTCAACATCCACTACCGGTGTGTCGGTGAAATGGGGGGGAAGGCAACGACAAAAGGAGAATTCGAAATCATGGACACTATATGATCTGGGTTTAGCTGAATCTAGAGATCCGGCCATAGTGGATGTTGTGTCGTTGGCGACGTTGGATATCGAGTGATGGTCTATGACTAATAGCTGCGGGTCGCAGGCAATATCGGCAAACCGTTGCTGTCGGAGTAGGTGAGATACATAGGTGCTTGCCTTTGATACCATATGTACGTAATTTGAGATTCGGTCTCGGGTTCTGTGATAGTCATCTCAGCTATTGATCTCCGAAGGGAAGTTTTTCTACGGCGACGACAGGCCCGGGTATCAGAACAGCATACGGACTCATGCATCGTATCTTGGGAAATTCTGCGGGTGTTGGGCCCAAGATGAGTAGATCTAATCAGCTCACCGGGGGTGGGAACTGACATGCAGGGTACATGTAGATACCTAGAAGGTGGGGTATATCTGAGTTTGAGTAGGATTGACGATCTACATTCATGAATGTAGAGTAGATAATTGAAGATCACCGTGTTGTGCAGGGTTAGGGGGTGGCTTGGATGCTGAGTCGTGGGGTTATTAAGTTGATTATATATATTAGTAAAGTTGTGTAATTTCAGTGGCCTGCACTCTAGGTAGAATATAGGAGGGTTGGGGTCATATATGCATACGATAAACTTTTATAGCTATAAGTATATAGCTCTGTCACAAGAGGGCCTTTCGTATAAGAGTGCATGGATGGGCGTTTGAAGGATAGGTGAGAATAATAACATTTTTGTGTTGGTGTGATGCATAGTAAGCTACATAAGCTACATACATGTACTAGTATGTAGTCTAGAGCCGGGAGTGGTAGGCACAAGCCTGGTCTGGACTCGAGTTGGTTCGGATCGAGCTCTCATGATCCTAAGAACACACTTAGTAAGATGATATAAAGTATCGATTAGGATTAACACTGGATATATTTCCTTGCGTGATCACTCAACCATATATAACGCCCTCCAGTCGCTAGTATTAATGCATTACCAGGCCCAAACTCAAAATTTGAGCCCGCTCGGCTCGTACGGTCGTGCCCATCACTAGTAGAGCGTTTAACTAAGTCCACTCGACTCTTTTGTTGAAAAAAGAATACTAAGAGGCCAGGATGCGATTTGTGTGGCCAAGGGACGTATCCAGATGAAATTAGTTGGAAAGGAAATGTTGAACCCAGATCATGACAATTCTATGTTAATCATAACCTCTCGGTTCTGAAATATCTTGCATGTTTTTTCCTTGTACTTTCCTTTAGCAAAAAGAAATATAAGTGAGCGTAAACGCTCCAGTTGAAACTTAGGATTGGATGAATACACGTACTAAAAGCTTGTGGATTAAAGGGATAGTCTCGGGAGAAGAATCGAAAGTGTCGAGCGGAAAAGGAGGTAAAGGTGTATGTGTGTGCGTATATTAGTTGAATGTGTACTGTTCTTATAATTATGTGATCTGCCGTGAGACTTCGGTATATATACGTCCTATATACGTATATGTGGCTCGAGTAATTAATCGTTACTTGATCACTTCCGCGGGGTGTTTTCTATAGATTTAAGGCTATAGCTATAAGTATTTTAGAGGGTATTATGATCTTATTTATTACCCGAAATGGGCGTGGAAATGCATCGGTTTATGTTTCATAAAGATATAAAATGATGCGTTAAATTTCCTGATTATATGTAACTTTTGGTTTTTGTGTTCCTATTTATCCTTAAGGCCGTAAGCTTAAGATATGGTTTTTATTGCAATATTTTTTCCTTTTGTCTTTTCTGTGTATGTATATATATACTCCGAATTGCTGTTATGAAAGCGGGTGGTTGTGGGCTTTGATACTCAGATGGAGTCATAGACTCATAGATATGTATTAATCTTTCTCTAGGAAAAGAAAAAGTGGGGGGGGGGGGGGGGAGGGCTATATATTAAGCTAACCTTCATAAAATATAAAGCTATTGTTTTGCTGTACTCGGGGCTGTCAGTTGCCGTTATTGGACCTAGACGCGTCTCAACTCACGATACCTCCGTGGTCTCATTTCCTTTTCCCCCCTGCTTTCTTTCCCTTTCTTAAACACCAAACGAGCTGGGCATGGATAGGCACATTCAGGTACATACAAGTAGGTGACCCATCCCTCGAGCTCTCCAATACAGCTCCTCGTCCTCCTCATCCTCCTCGTCGTCCCGGATCCAAGACGACTCATTCCAACCCGAACCGATCAACAAACAAATTTTCGCACGGCTGAATAGCTAGAGGTGTATAACCTCTCCCCCCAGCCGGCCTTGGAACACTCTGTGGCCGGCCGTAACGCGAAATCCTTATTAGGAAAGTTGCGCAGTGAGGCGCCGCGCGAGACAACACTGGCAGGAAGGCTTGTATTCATGAGACGTTGGATTAAAGTTCTTATGCGTGTGTCAGATCAAAGACGTTTTGGCGCTGGCGCAGCAGTCTGTTTGTTTTAATTGAGATAAGCTTTTTTTTGCCTTTCTGTTTCACAGCCCGATTTCGGAAACATCAACAGTGAGGCAATGCAAAAGTGTATAAAGTTGTGATTTAACAATAAGTAGAAATGTAGAGAGAATAGGATACGTACGGCTTCCGGTTGAATTGTTGCGAAAGTGGCCTATTAATTGAGTAACCGAATTCGCGAAGTATTTCTCGAAAGTTTTTTATAATTTAGCAGGTGAGCTTAGACCTGATAAAACAGCTTGTCAATTAACTCCTGATAAACTGTACTTACACTAGATATGTTGCAATTGGTTGAGGAGGGAGCCTGTAATTGAAAACGTACTTTTTAGGAATTTTCGCCCTAATTGTCATCAGGTACGTAGGAGGTTCTCATTGGAGCTCGTTCGATTCTAAACGAATGGGGTTAGTAAACATATAAACCAAGAGATTAGTGATATTGGTGGCATCTCATTGGCGGATTCTGGCCACATGCACATCGACAATCGAGGGCCTCAACTAAAGCACCTTCAGAGAAACTTCAAGTGCAACATTGATCCTACAACTTCAAGATATTCTTCTGAAATTCGGCCGAAATTGCCCCGAATGCCAGAGAAATTATGAGGGAATAGTAAAGTTACCGGGGTCAGTGGCCCTCTTCTGAATATACCCCGCAGCCTGCCCCGCTAGTTCTAGCAACGATATAAAACCCCAGTTTGCCAGTTCAGAATACTCCATTGACAAAACTATGAACATAACGATACAGTCCATGACCGACCTCGATCAAAAGGCGAGCTCCAACAGCTTCGGTCGAGATATATACGATGGATTGAACTTAGTAGTAATACACATCCATGGATCCAACTAGACGGCAATTTGCGTATGGTTAAGATAATCGGCCCCGTTAACTCAGGTCGGGATGTATCTCGCCCTCCAGCTGAGTTTTCGGGCCGGCCTTATATCTTCCCAGGTCGGCCCGGGAATGGGCTAGCCGGGACGACCGAGAGAGATGGATATCTGCTATTGACGTCTGGGCCTTACCATCAAAAAGCCAAGAAGACTCCCAAGGTTTAAGCAGTAAGGAAATAAAAGGATCCACGACCGCTACCCAGATAGGTATATTTACATCTGATTTGCATTTTTAATCTCCGCGTACCCTGTATTTACTTGGTAACTGAAACATTAGTTGTAGGCACCACATAGGGATACTTGGTCCGATCAAAGCACTCAACTTTTGCCAATCGACCATCGAAGCCAAGAACGTCAAACTAAAGAGTACTCGTGATAATATGGTTGTCATAGCTCTATCTCTGCTCTTCCCAGAAAGGTCGATCGATGCGGATGAACGCCGGAGAGGAGTTTTTGCATCGTGTGTTGCAGTAGCAATATGCATCGATACGAGAGAGGACTGGGTGACACTGGTTGGGCGAGAGGGAGGGGTAGGAACCGGGGAAACACTCACTCCCGCTTTACCCTCGCTAGTTCAGTCCGTCTTCTATCATGCCAGTGTCTTGCGCAAAGAATAAGGCGTGAGTCTTGAAGGGTCATGGGAGTTCTCAAGTAGAAGATCTTCATGCATTCCATGTACCACCTCCTACTAAGCGTGTGTTGCATCCTAGATCCTGTGTCACGCACACTCCACTTGTGGCGCTCGCCGAAAAGAATGTACAAGCACAATTGTAAGCTTAATAAGTTTTGTAGGATTGGAAAGCGATCAAAACATCAATCTTCCCTTGCTCAGCGAACTGAGCACGCAGATGGTATTGGGAGAAAGGGGAAAAAGTATTTTTTTAATTAACCCCCCAACAGGCTTTGATTTGGCTACATGTAGCTTCATGTAATCAATGATTGAGTTTCGCGGTATTATATAACTTATGGACGCTACTAATAGCTGTATCTTAATTTACAGTAGGTATGTTTACACCCCCTCCCCCCAATTATACACTAGTGCTGATCCGTTTTCTATTTGTCAATATAGCTGAGAGAAAGATAGAGACATGCCCGGGATTATTAGCGACGCTGGTAGCTGGTCGCGTGCATGGAGAGCTTTCCGGCAGACTGAGCATGAGTGAATATTTCGAAAATCAGTTCATGCAGTTTGGATGTAGGGTTAGGATGCGCGTTTAGCCTGCGTGTCTAGCTGCACCCATCAACAACACCTCTCCCCCGCAACCATAGGGAGGTGCTTTTTCAGAAAACCTAACTTCGACATGCCGATCAGCGGGGAGAAGATACCCATTACTACTCTCAAGGATTCCGTATCAGATAGGTTGGTGATGAGGTACGCATCCACCCCCCGCCTCCCTTAGACACGCACAGCAAATCAGTTGGCGATATCAATATCGATAGCTACCATACAATTTGTGTATTTTTGAACAGGTGTGGATCGTCAATCGGTGAATTCATGAGACTTAAGGTCTCGTCAAGAATCGTAAGTTACAAATTACATAGGACGCCGAATACATCACACGCATCTAATCAGCGTCGTTGAGTGAAGTTGTTGTTCTGCTTTTTCGATTTCAATAGTCATTATAGACGTTGTCACCGGCGACATAGGCGTCCCTTTTGGCGGGGTGCATGGTGGGTGACACAAAGTACCTGCGCGTGCACGTACGTGTTGTTACCCTTGACTTAGACTCAGTAACTCAGTACCGTTAATTCTCGCCAAATCCACTATCTCCGCATAGGTAAATGGTATGTCCGGACCAAAGAAAAGAAGGCTCGGCATGCGAATGTGCAGAAACCCTACTGATGCTGCCATTTCTTTGGTCCGGACATACCATTTACCTATGCGGAGATAGTGGATTTGGCGAGAATTAACGGTAGCCTTGCAAGCTGATGCAGATGAGAAAAGCCGATGCAGGAACACCCGGCTGCCTCTTTCATTCTGAAATGATGAGAGATAAACATTTTATCGTTCGATATTTTAAAACCGGCCAACTAGTCTCCGTGTGAACTCCATGATCGATTGATTCAATAGATATGTGGGCACTGGGTGCTCAGTTAAACTAAACAACCAATTCGTAGGGGAACAAGCGGGCGTCCTCTGATGCTCTCGCGATCGATCGCTTCACTCGAGCACTACTATTACATACTCTGCATTCCAAGTCAATACGAGGAGTCCCTAGAAGTAACTACCGATAAACTTGAGCTGCCGAATACTTGGTTCGCATTCCCGGCGAACTTGAAAGTCAATTACCGCGTGGTTCGGAGACCAATCATTTGGATCGCCGAGCTATTGGTCGAACCGCGTAAGTACGATTAAAATACTTTACAGAACTACAAGTCTCACTTAAAGCGCCCCCGTGGTCATGCCCTATCAGGAGATTTTGTGGGTGTGTCGAAGTCTTGTTGAATGAAAGAAGGCTGAGAAATATCTTGAACTTACTGCGCACAGTAGTCCGTGTCCTGGACCCGCAGCTATTGATCGACCGTCGGTTGGTGGGGGAGGAGGCAATTAACTAACTTCACGGATGCACCTGCGCTGTTCACCCGCAAATTCGTTAACGTGCCCACGAGACCTGGAACCTTCAGGCACGGCGTAAGTGTGACTTGGTTGAACCTCACTCGCGGCAAAGGTTTGTAGAACAGAGGAATAACGGGCTATTGTGGACCTACATGTTTACGATGTATTTAACACGCGCAGTTTATACCGCGTCTGGCTGGAGGGGTGGGATGGGAAGGTGGTATTTTATATTAGGCGTATCACATACGTATATATACAAGATACTATGGACGTTGTTGGAGCCGCGCGGTTATCGATAGGCGTTGTTGATATTGATATGCATATCTATGGTACCGAAGGAATAACGTCTTTTCTCCCCAGATCAACCCATTTGTAAGTTCCGATGAGATAAGGCTAGGTTTCTCGGGCAATGAAGTAGAAGTTACAGGTCCGTGGATCCAAAGGATCGGCGGGGCGGTGTGCGAAATTCGAAATTAGTAACTGCGCCAGGTCAGACGAATTCGCGAAGTTATTTTAATAATATACGTACGAGATATTCTGCACAAAATTGAGAGTAACTCTTTCTTGCTTCTTATTATTTAGTTCATATGCATCTACTGTGCTTCCAGTCTTTGTTCTTTACGCTCATTTTGCAATTGGAGCCGGCGGCTCATCTGGATCAATCTCGGGGCGATCGTGAATGTTTATATAATTATGACTATAATTTTCAATTGGTCAATTTATATACATGTATAGGCGATAACTACATCTAGAACTATAGATAGGCGAGTACGAGTTGACCATCGATCATCTCTTATAAAAACGCGTGCTCATATATACATGGCGTATCCATACATGTATATGCGTTCTGCAAGCGCACTGATTGGTCTGATAAGTAATATCGATGTCGTACGAATTTCCATTTAGAGAATTAATTCCCGGTAGGGTAAGATATATAGCAGGACCATACTCTCGGGTTTGTGTACTCACATTAGAGTTCAGTGTTCCTGCATAGGGCTGTGACGCGGGCAGGGCAACTTTCGAATTTCTTGGGCTGTACTAAAGACTACAACAAACATCGAGACTAGCTACTTAAATCATTGCAGTGTGCATATTTGTGGAGGTATTGTGGTGAGTAAGGCCGTCCAATTGAAGGTTTCATGAAAAATTGACGTGAATTCAATCTATTATCTGGCCGACTACATGCAATTTTTGAGTAAAAATAGCTAGATTATCGAGGAGGATTACTGGCTAGTAACTACATGTAAGTGTGAACTCGAGGCCATACTCTAGATCTATATATCTGACAGCTTTGAGTTCTATACATATACTATAGTACATACGGTACGTCACATACCCTGGTATCCTTTATAATTTAGCTCCCATGTGCATGAAGATGATACATGGAAATAATCTACTCGACATCTACCTACGTATACCTAAACCAACAGTTGGACCATTATTTATTCAAAAGCTAAGATATAAACATGCAATTTGAACCATGCTTTAAACACCCTGCGAATCATATTTCATCAATGCGCTGGCGTTTACGTGTTAATTCATGGATACATGGCAACTAGCTAGTGCTATTGTTAACGTCATTGACATACCCAGTCTCCATAGCTTCAAAATCAAGCATCATGACAATAAAGCTAGATAATCTACAATGACATGACCTCAGCTGGGCAGGATGTCTCGAGCTCCCTTAACCCATCACGAATTCAGCCAAAAATATCGACTACTCCATATATATACACGTCCATACAAGAAAACCTCACGGTCCCTAGAGTACGAATATTGAAAACAATAGCGAATGGACAGTACTCCTTGGGTGATGATTACCGCTGTACGTTCAGCTTCAGCCGATGTCTATGTGTAAGTCGAGCGATTTCACTGAATATTCTTAATACCCTCCATGGGCTTATGGTACGCGTATGTGTTAGGTCAGCCGGAGGCTAGGTACACAACGCAACACTTCTCGGCTAACATTATTCTGCAGACGTTTCTCAGATTGTTCATAACTAGATGATACGACCCTTTTACGACCCATGGGCCGTCCAGCTCGACCGAGCCCTAGCACTGAAGTTTGTTGTTACGGTCCTGGGTCATTACCAACAGTGGAATAGATATATGGGTCAGGCGGATTAGCGAGCACTCAAGCGCTAGACGCTGACCCCAGAGTATACATAGTTGAGGATAAGCGCAACGCCGACGCAACTATTCCCTATTTTAATGACTTCTCTGTCACCCGACCGGTTTTCATCTGTTCTATCACTCCACAGAGCCCAAAGTGGTTTGGGTATATATGTTTTCTGCCGATGGAGTTGTTTGGGTGGGGTTTCGAGGGCGAATGTCGCGGACCATGTTATATTCAGCGTTAACACAGTGGACTGTTAACAGCAGGGTCACAGTAATTCAATATGTATGTCGTCACATACTCCAAATAGCCCCATAATTATATAACCATAACTACCGGATATTACATATCGCTATTCTTTCTTAAGAAAATACGCGCAGGAGCCCCCAAGCGTACCTACTAGATATATTTTGCTGTTTTTTCTTAAAGAATGCCTAGGCGCTTCTTAGAACAGATTTATTAATCATCCACAAAGTGCGGTTGGTGGGGAAGGACGCCGAAAGGAATGTAGCACAAGCTGAGGCCGCATAGGTTGTGACCTATGTTGGCACGCAATAAGTTCTCAAATTCTTTTTTGAGTTGTTTTGTGGTTCTTCAACGTCTATCCAGGTGATACATAGTTAAATTTGAGAAATTCTTAGAGCTCTCAGAGCCCTAGTTTGCGTACATGCACGCGCGTGTGTGGACAGAAAGAATTTTATCTAGTAGGCATGCACCTGACTGAATCTTCGACTAGGTAATCTGCTACAATTCTACTTAAGCTCTTCACTTATGAAACAAAGGTTAGATAGCACATATGTATGATACATGAGGACACAGGGAATATACAACCAAACTATCGCATCTCTACTCATACATTTACATTGTCCTTATTTTTGATCTTGCCGGTTAATTGATTGTCGCTTATCTGTGTGCTTTGTATAACGTCATGTGATTAAGCTAACTTCCTGTATGTACAGTTAGAAAGACTCAAACTTGGAGCTCTCAGGAGAAAAAATATTTTCAACTATTTCGGGTAACACCCTTTTTTCTTTTTTTCTTTAACTGATTTTGTTGATCATATGAGCCCTCGACAATATTAGTCTCGAAACTCGAGGAGTCGGGTATGGCTGAAAGAGATAGGTATTCTGAGAGCTCAGTCGACAAGTTGTTTCACAACGACTACTTTGGGGACTAAGTTCAAATTGTGGGACGCTGAGCTCTTTTTTCTTTTCTCATGTGTTCGGTTTATCATATTTTCTAGGGTCGTACTACTGAGTTGAGAGGGGAGAGAATTGGACTTTAAGTCAAAATCCTTCCTTCACTTTATATATCTTGTCGGGCCCCTCATACATATGCAGACTAGAGGATAAACTTGAATAGATCGATCACCACTACCACTTCCTGTGATATATTGGTATGGTTCTAGTCTACATGACCCGTCTGATATCTTTGTCTTTTTTCTTCTTTAAACTAATTTATGTGTTTAGTAGCTGCATACGTCGATATCGTATATCTCGGTCATTCACTAGTCTATTAGAAATTAAAGAATCCAAGATTTAACCCACACCCAATTCATACAATGGCAATCGGTCACAAGGCCATTGAGACCAACAAGACCTGCGGAAAGAATGTTATAAAGACTCCTTGTCTTATGTGCGGTAAAGGAATATCGAGCAGTCTGAAAACCCAGAAGTAAGATCCAGTAATTACATCTGTGTTTTACATTAATATTCTTAACAGCTCTAATCTCATAATTTCTGTAGAAATCATTTGAAGAGAAAACATTTTCCATCTCTGCGATGCGGGGACTGCGGCCTGGGATTTGGTAAAGCCTATGAACTCACGCGCCATTCTACGTACAGCTGTAAAAGAAAACTACAACAACAGCTCAAAATCACTACGGATCATTCCATCATTGTGTCCAAGATCGACCAATCTAAGAGCATGGACCAGATTAAGGGCATTTTACTTGCTGCTGGTAAAAAACTCCATGGCTATAAGCAGAAAAGAGGCAGTAAGTGCACCCTTTAATTTCTTATAACCTGCCATAAAATTGATACTGACGCTGTGAAAAACCTAGATGAAGTGATGGACGACGTTAGCAGCGAGGACGGCGAGCACGAGTTAGAAGACATCGAGATGTACAACGGAACACCAGGGGATTCCGTTGGCTCTACACCCCTAGAATCCGGGCTATTACCACATTGTACGCAGCTAGAACCTGGTCGTGAACCCGACCTATATCTAGTTCCAGCCCTTGCCGGTCTGTTTAACCCTTTTCCTTTTCAGAACCCGTAAACATAACGTCTAACACCATTAATATTCTAGGTCTTCAACTTGGGGCCCCCACAAGATTCGTGGAGCTGGAGGAAAACTACTGGTCGGATTGGACTTGTGGAGAACTGGAATCTCCGCTACCGTTTGAGCAGATAGTGACGCATCCTTATCATATTCGCTCTTGATATCCTGAGCTCAGGTAGTCTTCTCATTGCAAATAGGGAACGCAGGTTTTCGTTCATGAATCGACATTTTATGCAGGCTCTGTTTTTGTCGAATGTTTTGATGTGTGAGAGTGTGGTTTATCAGCCTGCAGTGGGGGTTGTTTGTGCGTCTCTTTAATTTGTCAAATTTGTCGCTTTCATTGCAATTAGCCCACGTATGGGGATATGTATTTCCTTTGTTTTATAATTTAGTCTAGTCTAAATGAATCTACCTATTATTACTTGTTTCAAAACATCCAGCAGACCACCCACAATCATATAATCACTCGTATATCTATATATCACAGCATATAAATTTGTGAGGCCGAGGAAGTTAGCCATTCGTGACTTCAAATCTTCATCGTGAGGGATAGGTCGTTCGACGATGATAACTTGAGGAGCACGGTCTCGATCTAGTTTTGGCGCTCCAAGTTAGTTACTCGATTGCAATGATCACCAAATTAAAACTAAACAGAATCCCTTAGCAACTAGGCTAGCTGTCAGACCAAATATGACTAGTGTAAATTAACCCAATATTGAAACATGACACAGGAACTGAGTAACTGAACATCCACTCATCGTCTCCTGGCGCTAGCACCAGAATTTGATACATAGCATCGCGATACATCGTCTCTTTCCGAGAGCCCGAACGTTCGTCCACCACAACTTGATTCCGTTCCCAATTAGTTTAAACGAGCCGGACGGCCCAACGGACAGAAGTGTTTCTCATGGTCGTTTAGTTATATTATCTCTATATACTTGCATATAGGCGGCCAATCGGAATGATTGCTAGTTGGGCGGCCCATGAGCAATTGACCAATTAATCGGCCACCACGTAGCTTGTTAACATATAGTACCAGGATTATACATATGTTTTACTAAATTCAGATATTTGAAACGAGTTAGCGTCCCATGATAAATTTTGTTAGGATCTTGCTTAATTCCAACCTAGCCTATAAGCTACTATAGTGTATAGATATAACTTGCAATTCTTATAGAAATAGTTATAGATTATATAAGAGGATCGAATTTTAGCCAACACAATTCTTGTAATAATGGACTCACTTTAGTCATGGACTAGTGCCCGGCTTCAATCCACGAGCTATATGTGCCGGCATTCACGCAATTAATCCGGTACGCAGACAAATTCAGTTGGTTATTCATGAAGATTAAGACTAATTTTTAGTTTAATTCCCCGCGGATATTTGATTCTTTCAGATGCACGCTGAGAGCTGGACGCGGTATCTAGATCTGCAGCTCATGAACTGGACGCTTCGATATTTATAACAGGTAGGTACATGTATATATATATATGTCTAGGCCGGCATTCTTACAGTTAATCATGATCACCGAAGAGCATCAACAATCTCACTTATAAAACAAACTGCTGGCAAGCCTGGGAAAATATACACTTACACTTTCTTGAGCTGGTCTTTAGTACTATCAGACGGTATTAGATTGATGCACATAATTAAAACGATATCAACACTTCAAATTATACACATATTACTATATCAGGTAACAGCAATATATCTGGTACCAAAAACAGTTCTGAGCAAAAAACCCTGGAAGCCTAGCTTAATAGACATCTACAAAAGGTTCCGTAAACCTTATCGAGATGGTTATGGAGAATTCAGAACCTGCATGTGTTGGGGAATCTACTGCTTCGACCTTTCCTTGCCCATATCTTGTTTACTATTCAAAAATTGGTGAGATTCCTCACAAGGATTGTTTCGGGAAACGGTTTCAAACCCTCAAGTGTATCACGTAAGTAGTACTACATATCCTAGCCTTATATAGTTATGGTTAAATTACTAACTGATAAACCCGTGTATCTATAGCCGACACATACAAAGGATCCACATCAGACAAGACAGGTGTGATAATTGCCATTTGCGCCTCGGCTATGATATGGGCCGCCATAAGGGAGGCAAATATTGTAAGGGGAAGGATAGAGAACCGGAAGTGCCACAGAAAGCCATCAACCTGCTCAATGACCTTAAATTGAGCTTAAGACTCAAAAGCTTTCAAGGCATCAAAGATGTCTTGTTCATAGACGGGCAAGTAGTTTACGACTATCACAAAGGTTAGCTCTCATATACTCTCCACATTCCCTCATATATCTAAGAGCATGCTAATTAGGAATATTTTTATATCACCTCTTACAGAGCCTCTCAGTTCGACTGAAGACGAAGATCTTGATGAAGACGCCATAGATGCAAGCTTGCCTGAGGCTGTATGGGTCGACGGCATTTGGGAGTAAAACGTGGTGGAGAGTAGCGCTCATTTGAGTAACATCCACTATTTATATTACAAAGTTGAATTTATTTCTTTATGTCATTAAAACATGCGCGCTTTACAATTTGACAGATCAATGGAGCATAATTAAATATATAAGAGTAATTTCAGATTTACATGCACTGGGTGTATCATCAAAGTGAGGGGCTATATAAACTCAGATACGGAACCCAGAGTTAGAGCTAACTCACTGCACGGAAAACAGCAAGGGCCCTCGGGACAACCTGGCCGGCTTGTAAAAAAAAAAAAAAAAAAAAAAAAAACCGTTTTGCTTGGCTTCTAGCTAGCTATTAGTGAGATCTGGAGAAATGGAGAAATTTAAAAATGGAGTCTAAAAGAGATATACTGTTTGCGAGATTAAACGTCTGCGGGCTTGACAAAAATTGAAGCTTGAGGGCCATGGTGAATGTGGGAGTTGGTATTGCAATATGCGACAGCTGTGGCGAGAAAAAGTGTCATTTTCCGCTTATTTTTTTATCATGATTATACTGGAAATCGGAGCCATGGGCTAGGTCGGATCGGCTTTGTCATTGGCTAGTTGAATAATCAAGGGCATGCATGTCGCACGTTGGGTCCCATTGGCGCCCCTACATCATGAAATATCACTCGTACATGGCTGGGCCCATTTAGACGTTTATAAGCGTGCGTACTTGCGGAAGGATTCATGTTGACAACATCGAACCTCGCTAAATTTGAGATTGCGATTGGAATAAAACCTGATATGATCGGCTCTAACAAAGTAAAAGAAGATAAGTATATATATATATGCTACGATTAAGTCATTTTCTATGCTTGAAAACCAGCGTTCATCCGGGCGTTCCAGAAGAACGTCAGTCATGTACGGGCCAAAATGACAGTGGTGATCGTGAGAATGAAAGTGGAAATTCCGCGCGGCACATTGACTTATTATCCATTGCGCTTTATGTGAGATCCACTCGACCAATATTCCTCATAAGCTGATCGTGGTGAGTTTTTTCTCGTATCCAACCGGTGGGGTCAATCAGTCAATTATTGCTGCACACGAGACGGAAAGACAACACTCGGTTTCAGCACAAGTACAGCACTAGTAGTTCTATCACATCTAGAAACAATTGAGAACAGAGCTATAGTAGGTACGCTCGTTAAAGATTATAATTAGCAAATAGCGGAGCTCTCAGGTACGCACATTATGACTAGTCAAATTGGGTTCAGTACGCCAAATTGATCACGTTCATGGCCGTAGGAACGCGGAACGCATCACATTTTTCAAATTTTTCAAGTCTCTAGCCAGGTAGTACTACCATACTAGAAATACTTTAGATATTACTATGTACGCCGGCGTAAGGTCTTTGATGAGGCTAGATTTTATATATAAATGAGGCATGTACCTATGCGTAGTTTTTGTCATCAACCATCTTCTATCTTTCTCTTTCCAGCTTAATCTCGGTCGATTGATCTTAAGCTTCTTTCATTTGTAATACCGATATACGCGGACTTTCTCTAGGTAAGTATACCTTTGAATGAAGTTTTTATTCAATAGTTTTTACGCTACTAATGAATTGACTATATATACAATCAAACTAGATACCCGCGCGGTGCATCTATAACAGCAACTGATCAATGGTTGTTACGCGTACGTACCTTTGCCCGCTCAGAGGGAATCATAGCAACCCAAACCACATATGCAAACGTCTTCGTCATAAAACTCTAAAACTTCTAAAGTATTCTCTCTATGAAATACGATATACTAACCGATCGATTTTACTGATACTTTATATGGTTAAGACGGCACATATTCAGATGTCATATAAAGCACCTGCATTGTTCTCGGTGCGGGAAGCGGTTTGGATTCAACTATGAAAAAGCCAGGCATGAGGCCGGTCTTGCATGCAAAGGAGTTATACTTGAAGAACCAGCCTCGCAAGTTCTCCTTGACCTTGTGGAGAAGTTAAAAGCCTGCAGGGGAGGTTGGGATCACCTCTTGTTTGATGAAAACGGAAAATATGTATACGATTATGAAATGGCCATTATCTCTCCTCCAGCAACTGGACCTACCTCACAGAAATCGAACCACTCCAACGAACCGAACGCCAGCACCACCGGCCACCAGCACAGGAACCTTAAATATAGCCACTCAATACAGAACGGGACCTACGCAGAGCTAGCTCATCCCAATAGAATTTCTATCGCAAGTACTACCGGCGCCTCCTTGCAGTTGGTGGAATGCCCTGTCCGTTCTAGCACTGTCCAAACTTCTAGCTTCTATAACCGGCCTAGCTCTTCCCCAGAAGACTGTTCTGAAGAGCCCTCCGCCTCTGATGATGACGATAATTACGGCAGCGAGGCCGAGGTCGATGGCGAATTCGAATGGGAAACCGAACCTACCCCCGAAGCCACCGGTTTCCATGAGGTTGACCCTTCCCCGGAGGTCAATTCTGAGGAGCCAGTAGCACTCGGTAATGATAATGGTCAACCCGTATGGAATGACTTTGATTTCTCTGGATCACCTATCGATTTTATAGCAACTGGCTACCCCCTACAGGATAACTTTACAGAGCCGGCTTCTATTGTTCCCCATGCTATGGGCATAGATCAATGGGGTGGTTATACCAAATTACTGCAGACGCCGCTTATTGATATGGATATGTCTATGGACATCTCTCTAGACGACGGCCCCAAGCAATATATTACAACAACACGTATCATGGATATGAGCCCGGAGCCGAGCTTTCCGCAGTGCCAATGGGATACCATGGGGGCCCGCCATATTCAGGTCTGCCTCGGGGTCAGACCCGGCATTAACCAGCTCCATAACGACCCCAGCGCTGGAGTCAACCCCAAAGACATCTTCCACGATCATCAGCGATAGGCCCTTCATGAGAGTAGATTTAGCTTATATGCTAAATGGATGGATGCAGGGCCACCGGATGGTCCTGATTCAGTGCGTTGGGGATTTTGGGGATGTTTGCAATTTGTGGAAGGTGGTGGTTCCAAAGCGATTCTCGTTTTCTATTCTTTCATTTTCTCCCTCATAGCTATGGGGTTGAGCCGCAAGTTTGAAACTACTCTCATTTTTCTTTTTGGTCTTTCTATATTTTCATGTCGATCCGAAGGGTAGCAGGACTCCCCTCGTTGTTCTTACCCCTATGCCTTTCCTTCTGAAATGTTTATTTTTCGCAATGTTTATATCGCAATGTTTCATGTCTTTCTTTGATTTCATGCATATACGGTCAATGACCACCAAAAAAAAGTCTGTTGTCTATCCAAAATTTTGATTACAGGTTCTTTTCTTTTACATACCTTGGTACATATGGTTCGAGCTGGTCTAGTATTACGGCTATTGGAATGAAAAAACATGTTGAACCGCAAATAGTTACCTTCGTACTACGTATATGTATCGTACCGTGTCGCTGGGATGCAGACTGTATGACCAGGTTAGTGCTTATAATTATGCCCGTCCAGTCTTATAACATGTATAAATACCATGTAATACTTGATCTAGGAACTTTTTAGTACAAGGACCCGTACTAGGGTGTAGCGAAAAGTGATCAGAATCTGATAGGACAAATACGCCTATTCACCGTAACATTCACTTATCAGATTCTGATCACTTACCCTCAACACCCGGTACATGTACATGAAGATCTATACCCACTTCAATGCATCAGCATCACCAGCCATCACTCTGTCGATTTAATTGGGCCGGAGATATCCCGGAAGCGCATTTATGCATAAATGTCCAATAGCGCAAAGCCTCAAGGATAACGAACTTAATTAGACTAGGGATATATCCCCTCCAGATTGGGCAGATCGATATTGAGCCTCAATCCCCGTAACATTCAGTCGGCTCGACTACTGATAGTGCAGCTTTCCAAAAAAGAAACCTAACCAGCCACTACCGATCACTCTAACCGTGGCGTTTCTTGCATGTAACTTTGCAAAGAGTACTGTTCTGTGTACATGTATGTTGTGTCTTTGGCTGGGCCTAAAATTATAAAAAACAGATGTTAATAACTAATAGTTCCAAACCTGTTAACTAAGTTACTATTAATTTATTAAGTAATAGCTATAAATATATATTTATGAGAATCTTTTGGTTTTAATCCGCGACGAAGGGGTTTTAATCATAGTCGATCACTCGCTCCAGCATAAACAGGATGCCAATGACAAAATAAATATCAATAAGCTCCATATCCAATTTTAAGATAAATCTATTAAGAGAACACTTAGCCTAACTATCTTCATCTTTTAGCATGCGCGCTGAAACGAGGAGAAGAAAAGCAGATTGACAGCGCTGTAGGCAATACCTAACCATTTAAGCCTTCAGATATTGTCTTCATATTTTGTTTATATGTTCGATTGATTCGTGTCTTGCCTTGCATCTTTTCTTGTTCTTCTCCTAGGCCCCTCCTATTTTAGTTGTTCTCTTGTGGTTGGCTGTTTGGAGCCCTTAAATATTCCTCCAATCCGGTTCCTTTAATTTGAAACCTTCAATTGGCTGGAGGTGCTTCCTACCACGTGCATATTCAGGCCGTCTCTCAGCTCAAGCATCAGATAGTAACGTTTCGACCACCGGCACCCCGTCCATGGATTCAGTTGGGCTCAGCTTGATGGAAGGCGGAGCTGCGGACTCGAGCGAGTAGTTCTGGTGTTCGGGCCGGCGCTGGACGGACTGACTTCGGCGTGACTGTCAGTTGTGCTGTTGCTATATGATACTTGGATGCAGAGTGTTTGGCGGATTGGTATGGCAGGAAGCCAGGCTGTTGAATTCAAGGGAACACTTTGTGTCATGGCAGGTGTTATTGTTTTCTGCGCTGCTCTTATTACTGTGTCAAGGCAAGATGCGCCATGTAGATGTCTTTGATGATAAAAGGAGCTTGTTCCTTCTACTTTTGCAATACAGCCATGGAATACGAATTTCGCTGTCGCTACTCCGAATTGCAGTTATAAAGGGAGATAAGTTTTTGATGAGAGGTGTTTTCGTGGCAGCTATATATATTGGAGGGGAGAATCCTTCGTCTCTGGCTCTAGCTCTCTCTAGCCCCTCTTCACCATCGAGTTGGTTACCTAGGATACATGTACTTACATACTCCAAAGACCATACACACTTCTGTGTACCACGGCTACCCGTACACCTAACCGAGCCTATTGTAACAGAACGAACAAAATTACGAAAGAGAAATACCCAGTTGCGATTGGGTGAGCGCATGAACGGCCGGCCCCAATATGAGAAGAGACACTCTATTTTTCATCCTCGGTTCATCCGCCTATGAGATAGGTTCCACATCACTCTTGTGTGCAGAGCGCATACCTACCTTGTGGAAAAGAGACTTCCTTGCACGTATCTTCCAAGAGCGCGACTTATGCAAACATCGAAAAAACTTTTCCCTAGCTGATCTGGTTGGTGGTTCTGCTTCCTGCTAACTGCATATGTACAAGGCTCTGGCATTAAGTGAGTAAACTAAATGGGGTGTTGACTGGTGTGGATCCATTCACTCACTTAATCCCAGGGCCTTGTACTTGAATGGGCACTAGTACCAAAGTGGGTTTCTACAACAAAAGCATCATATGTACCCTGCCGCGGTGCCGGTACTCTAGAGTACATGAGCGCTCTTGTACTCTAGCCTAGCCAAACAAGGCGCCTAAAATATTCAGAGTAGAGTACCTATATTGTACTGAGCTCTCTGATATTATAAATATATTATCGCTATCGATAAAACAAACACTATCAAGATGCCTACATTGCAATTGTAGTTGAGCTCTCCTTAAGCTTATCGCTCGTAACCGTCCATCTCCATTGAGATCGCAACCGGCACGTAGAGTACTCTTGTACTAGTATTTCTCTGACGTTTTTGAACTGGGCCATTATTGCATGCACCCAAAATCATGAGCTTGGCGTATTTTTGTATGGCATGCAATATCAGTCGCGTCCACAAACATCAGAGAAATACGAGTACCTGAGGGCTGAACTGCATAGTACCTGCTTTCTATGCAGGCACCGAAAAGAAAAAAACCTGCAGGCACAAGCATCCATCCATCGGATGCAAGCCCCCCATCTGACGCCATCAACCTATAAAGCAGAGCAACGCCACATATGCTCCTGCACGTTTGCTTTTCTTGTTCCAGCCTCAGCTCAGGTACGACTTTACGTACATGCCAGTACAGGAACGGGATCCGTAACGAGTAACGAGTAGGAGATGTCCACGCCTTCGAGAAAAAACCTTGGTAGGGTGTGTCGGTTCAATTGTAAGACAATTGCAGCACGTCCCCTCTTTTCTCTCTCCGAGCGCCCAGTGGAATCGCGAGGAGAGAACAAAAAAAAAATCCCGACTGTCGGCACTTTCGATGAGAAAGGGTGGTGATGATGACGAGATACATTCATATTATGTATATTGTGCATTATATGAAAGTACATACATGGCGCCTACATGTACTTACCATCTTACGATCAGGCGCTGTCCATGCTGCTCTAACTCTACATGAATGTTTCCACCTATTGCGCATCGCAATTTCACTTATTTCAACTGAATCACAACTTACGACCTGACAACGAAAACCGCGGGATATGGGTCTGAGAATAGAATGATTGATTTGCATTTCCTCTTCATTTCCCCAATTTCCCCTCCCCGCGGCCGGCGCAGTCAGAATTGCCCATTGGAGATCAATCACACATATACCGCCCAGTGCTGAGGAGTCAAAGCAAAAGAACGTACACGTACCTGGATACATACTACATACAGTCCTGTGAGCATGTAAGTATGTATATTGGAATTCAGCCAGAAACTGGTCCTCGGCGTATGGATGCGGAGACTCAATTGATTAACTATACCCAAGCCAGGGCAGGTAATCGGAAGGTTAGTAACGTGGCAAGGAAATCCTCGTATCTGCGCAAAGAAAAGCGAAAACGCGGCATTTCCTAGCTACATAGCCGAGCACGGGAAGTAAAGCAGTCAGCTTGTTTAGTTTTTCCAGGTAGGTACACACATGTGTAGGTCGAGAAGCATTTGGGTCTGTCTAGAAGGCCGGGTGCTTGGTGAAGTGAACCCATGGGGTAATACGTGGTGCGGGTACCCTTCCCTTGGCCATGGTACCAGCTGCATTGCGCTGCCCGATACAATTTCAGGTTTGTAGACGAGTTAGACAAGTCTGGTACCGAGCATGAGGATCAGCTGGAAGGGCGGAATATATAAGAAGAACGAATATCCTCCCATCCCTCACCCCTTCCTCGCTTCAAACTATCAAACTGGTATCTCTTGCTAGCTAATCAAGCCTCACATTCCTTACAACCATCTTCAATTCTTCGCCAGTTATCCTTTACAAGATGCTTTTCTCATACTACACACAGCTCCTGGCGGCTTCAACTGCCATGTTGATTGGTGGTGCTCTGGCTACATCTGATTATCACCCGTAAGTAAATCCTTGTTATTACCCATTGCCCCATTGCCCCATTGCCCCATTGCCCCATTGCCCCATTGCCCCATTGCCCCATTGCCCCATTGCCCCATTGCTACCAACTCCCTGCCTCTGATCATATTATATTGGTCCGATTAATTAATCTGACACAACCGTAGAGTGCCAACCTCCACCGAGGTCACCACAACCATCACAACCACTGTAAGGACTACTGTGACCTCTACATCCACTACCATAGCGACCAGCACCCGTGGTGTTCCCTGCCCCACTGGCGAGGCCGGCGTCATGAATGTAAGTTCCTTTTCTCATCTACATTTCACCATTTATAACCCAACCCATACTAACATGCCCTACCAGTTCGATGACCTCGAAACCGACGGTGTCTCTGCCCTCCCACTCGAGTACCAAGACTTCAAATTCTCTGGCTCCGCCGGCTGGCAATACTTCTCCAACGTCTCATACCCAGCCAACAGCACTGAGCTTCGTAGCATTGGCAGCGCCCCCAACGCCATCCTCTCCCGCTCGTACGGGCTCGTTTCCTTCGGCTCTGAGGACCGTGGGTTCTCGTTCGACCTAACGTCTGTTTCGTTCTTTGCATTCACGGCTAAGGAGGCAACTACCGCAAACACGACACAGACACTGCTGGTGGAGATTGGGGTTACGAGGGCAGACACTTCAACCGACGTTTACTATCTCCATACGCAGAATGGAGCTCTGAATGCTACGGCGGCGGCGGAGAAGGTTGAGTTGGCACACATTGGTGACTTTGAGGACCTGGTAGATGTGTCAGTTGCGGTGTGGCAGAGCTTTGATAACAGCACCAGGGAGGGCAACCCGGCGGCCTTTGTGCTCGACGATATTGCGTATGTCAAGAGGCCGGAGTGCGCTTCTGAGGAGGAGGCGGATGTTGATGCTCCGGTTGTTTAAGTCGCTTCTGGCCTACTTACTACTCTAGTTCGATCGCAAGCCGGGCTGGGGGGGTCTTTTGGCTTTGTTTATTTTTTATATAGACTTGCATTTACATAGATGGGGCTGGGATATCTTGGTGTTCTTATTTTTCTTCTTTTTTCTTTCTCTTCGATCCTTCCTTCCATTTTTTTTTTTATTCCTTCTTTGGTGCTCAGCACAAAACACCCTCTTTCAAAAATCTTTTTACTTCTTTGTCGATAGTTTTTATTTTTATTTTTATTTTTTGGGGCCTTAAAATCAAGGTCGAGTCCAACATCAAATTCAAGTTCAAGTGCATCTGCCATCTGCCATCTGCATCTGCTGCTGCTGCCTAGCTGTCAAAAAGATGGGCAGCAACGAAACCACGTAAAATGAGCTAGACACTGTCTCACTCGGCCCCAGGAGAGATTCCTGCCCCTGAACATCTCTTGGCATTCTGCACGCACAGAGCCCGCGACGCGGGCCCAGTGATCGATCACCCGTATGGATCTCCTGTACATTTAACAACGTGGTGGGCAACACATTAAGCCTTCTAATCTTGGGTATGTAGGGCTGGGTTGGGCTAATCATGTCCTGATGTAAACGGTAGTGGCGTGCGGTCGTTGCCGTAATTTGTATGGGGCGTTGTCATTTCGGGTCTGCTCGTTATGTATGCCTTAGCTAGTCTAGTTAGCTCTATTGCCTGGTCTACGTAAGAAGTAATTACTGGCTAATTTAGGGATGATAGGGATGGGGGTTGAGGGTTCCAGTGTTATTTTTACCATGGCGAACAGTGCTCAGAGTTCTGGAAGCTTTGTGGGGGTGATCCATCCGGGACATGATCTGCTAGCTACTAACTACTGGGCGGAGCTAAGATGATTGAGATTCTCGCGGCATTTTGGTTGGTTGCACATACCTAGCTAGCTACCCCAGTCGACGTCTGAAGAATATCGGAGATAAGGAGTTTCTCATGTGCGCTGTTGTTTGTCTAGTGATGGGTGTTTCTACAAAACGTGCTTCGCTTGGTCAATGGGTGATCATTAGTGATTCGGAAACCTTAAAACCGCCGCCGTTGTCGTCAAAATTCAGTCGGTGCAGGATCCAATTAGCTATGACTTTTATCATAGCTTAATATATTTCTATATCTATGCATAAAACCTCAGGTAATCGCAATGATATGCTACCATAGCTGTAAACCATAGATCACTTTACATTTGTCTCTGGAGAAATCTCTGGTGCGAAACTGATTCGCCGGTGATGCTCCATAATTTCAATAACATCATGATAGTCAGCCCTGAGATTCCGTCAGTTCTAGTTTCAAAAAATGGCTAGCTTTGTGGATCGTTATTTGGTAAATGATAGTATACTAGACACGATTTATGTGTAGCGATGCTGTAGTTCATTACCTTAACCTATTTCCAAATTCTCGTTCTTCCAGGTGGAATAGTATGGCGCGCCCAATCTTAAAGGTAACCCAAAGTGACGGAAAGTCAATCGCTTATAACTTCACCACCAAAAAAGATATCAAAAAAGAGGAGAAATAGAAGTATAGTTATAGTGATGAACTTTCGTTCTATTTTTCCAGAATTTTAATATCTGTCTGTGTTGTAAAGCCTTAGGAAGTTGAAATTGTGTATTTTTGTATGTAAAATGTGCCAAGACTGAACAAAGTGGAACAGTATTATACCCATTTATACCCCCAGAAAAGCAAACCTGACTGATCCGTGGCAGTAATGCTAGAAATGGGCCCTCTTATTGGCCCATGAGGCCCTATTGCAGCCACAATTGTTCCACTTCTGTATGCCGCCATATCACCTTTAAGAGTGTGCGCACCATATGTATTTCTTTCTGTTTGTTTTGTATTTGGGGCAGTCACCTAAGAGTTGATCATGAGAGGTGAAGGAGCCGGGGTTGTTGATAAATTGATGTTCTGTAGCTCAGAGAAAGGTAAACTCTTGCATGTCTGGGGAAAAAACGTCGTGGGATCGTGCCCGTGTGTGGAGAAAGCTAGCTATCTCCCCGTAGCCTCCTTAAGTTACACTCAACTGTGTTATCTGTGTCTTATATATAAGCATTATATAGGTGACACCAGTTAATTAATACCGTAGGTTAATATATTGACACTAACCTATTGGCTCTGTCCTGCAGTAATAACATAGAGTTGGATGCATGAAATGGGAGGGGAAATCGCCCGTTCGATATAAGGTATGAGCTAATTAATAGTGATATCAATGAAACTCTTAGAGTTTATGCACATAGGATGTCACAGCATCGACATGAGCAGCAGCACGGTGGTTCAACATATTCTGACGTGTTTTGTTATTAACCTCGTGCTCGATCGATAGAGAGCTGTCAAGACGGCGGGTATCTGGTAACGGTTAAGGCGCTCAGGGATGGGGAAATGACCCAGTGGTGAAGAAAAAAGAGTGATCTGTGTCACGGTAGAGAATACGTTAGGGCGCAGCTCAGAAGTCTGGTAGATTAGAGGTACTTAAGACTGGATATTGTTAATGTTGCCAAAGGTACATACTAGCAGCTAGCAAACGGTAACCGTCTTTCTCGATCGCGTGATATATCTGGCTTCTTTATAGTCGTCCGTTAACGATCCAGCAAAGCTTTTAGTGGAGGGGCGCTAAAAGTTACTTGATCGAGTTATATAAAGAGATGCCGTGAAATATTTCCCCTCGCGATCATTGGGGAGATAAAAGCAGGGAGGAAAGAAAAGGCTTGTCACGATAGCGTGGTAATTCGAGTAAACATACAAAGAATTTACGTTGTACCCAGGAGTACCGGAAAGTGACCTAGCAACGCCGAAAGGTACTCAGAACTTCAACTTTTAACACAACACAATGCTTAAGAAGGATAAATATTTTAGTCATACGCATGATAAATAAGTCGCTAGAATAGAGTCTGCAATTTTTCAGGTCATTCATTTGGGGGTTTTAGCCTGCAAAAGGACAACTTGTTACAATTAAGAGATAGTAATAAAAGGAGAATCAACAGCCACCCGCATCAACTCTTACCATAACTACATATATGATCTCCAGCCTCTAAATTACCATAGATTCGCTCCACATTCTGTTAGCTGGTTTGGTTGTTGAGAAATATGGACTATTTGATCGTTGCATCATGATCACTTTCCGGCACCCCCAGGCACGATGTATGTATACATGTAGTTACATGTAGTTCTAGGCCGTAAATCATCGGAAGGCAACCATTTTACACCAAAAATGCCACTTTTCAACATGGTCCTAGACCACCACTTGTCATGAATTGTTTCTGAGAATTGGAAGGCTATATGTCTTGCATGTGAATAATCGATCTATCAACTGAAAATTACAATATTACACTTCTAGCATGAGTCATCGATCGGTGGTCAACGACTCCACTTTCTCTTTGTGGCGTGCACGCGGCCGGCCCATGCATGAGCGGCCAGGCTGGCGGATGCGTTAAGCTTATATATGCTGCTGCCTTATGTACCTCTTGGCAACGCTAGTGACAAAGCACCATGGGAATTGTTATTACCTACATGTAGCTGTCACTGCTAGTTGTTGCATGTTCGGCCTTTGACATTCGACTTTTGGATTGCGAGTGATACTTTGTGAAAGGATAACCACGTCACACTCATATACCAGGAAACGCAATCAACTTGTAATATTTACACCACGTATAATGGCCGGCCTCCAACTCTCTATCGTAATTATGAATACATGTAAATACGCCTCCATGCATGCTTAATATGTACCCAAGCCACTCTATTGGAAGTATAATACTAGAATAAGGAAAAAAGAAGTGAAGTGACTCTATACTTGTATTTATCGACTATAACAGTACGAGCCGACTGGTATCTATGTTTAGAGCCGTATTGCTTAATTAACGCGCGGATGCAATTAATGAATTAAACAAAAAAAAAAAAAAAAATTAACGCGCGGTGTATCACGAGGTGAGTGATATCTCATGCTTAAATATCAAATTAGCGCCTCCACAGGTTCAACTTTTATAGATCATTTTCGTCGAGTCCTCTATGTTAGTAATATAAAGATCAATTACAAAGAAGCAACTAATACCAACTTACTACTTCTCCTTGTTCTAATTCTCTAATATCTACTAATCAAGCACATAGTATGTGCATGCTTATATTTATATTCACTGTGCTGCTTTTTGACTTATTGAAACATTTTTGATCAACAGACTAAATATAGAAGAGTGCACTATATGGGCATGAATAGGACTTTCTAGATCTATCGTGTGCGCCATTACCAACCCTCCCATATATAAATCAGTGCCAGTATATTAAATATTAATCATATCTCAATGTATTACGTCTATCACCTACATGAAAATTATCAGTTTATTCCATCTAAAGAAGCACCTAAAATACTGTTACCCCAACTGAAAAAGCAGCACGAATTAAACCAAAAAAAAAAAAAAAAACAGCACGAAATTGAAACAGAGACCCTAACCCTATGGGTTAGGGTTGTAGCTATCAACCAACCGTGATCAAAACAGGATCTTATAGGAACAATCGTTTGATGACTAATTAGACTTGTTTGAGTAACTGATCTGTTTTTCTATGTTGCACTGTCGAGAGAGAGTCTGGAAGAATCGTATGCTTAGTATAAAGGGAGATAAGCATTAGAGAGTTTAAGCCACCCGACTTTTTGGCAAACTAACGCAGGATCGGTAATCTTTTACGCTGATCTTTTTTGTTCTTGCCAGAAATATCTGGTGGCTTAAACTCTCTATTATATATGTACAGTATGTGTATACAGTACGAAAAATGGGGATGTAATAGATAGGTACTGTACCAATACGGAATTGTGCAAAACTTCCGAATTAAATCGGAATCCTAAATATTATACCGTAGCAATACCGCAACAATACCGTAACACTATGATATTTTGCCAGATATAGTACTAGATCCACCCGCTTTTTTGGTACTGTATATACCGTACAAACGCCCAAAGGCCAGTAGAGTATCAGTATATGGAGCTAAATATAACAACCTCGGAGGAGTATTCCTCATTTCCCCACCCATCTGTTCATGATAGATTTCAAGATCACGGTAGATCTAATCCTGATGGAGTACAATTACCGGAAGGTATTTCTCAGTCCCATTTCTCAGGCCATGGCTATGTATTTGGTGTAGAGTACAAGTCACACTTGGACGCAAGCTTTTAAGTTAATCCCCATACGCTTACATAATAGTCTTATTGGATTGCCGGAGGGGCGTCTGCTCTTGAAGTACTCTAGAGTGCTGTATGTGCTTACCTTTGGGTTTTTTAAATACACACCACTGGTTTTGGTTTACCGGGACCCACAAAGTGAGATCTGTCCTGATACCGATAGAAGTGATGGTTACACAGAATGACCGCTGCTAGGATGATATATTGGCATGACCCGTCCCCAGTCTTCAAGGAAATGGGGACAGCGCCGTATCATGTGCGAACAGGTGGGGAAAGCCACATCCACTCCAAGGCTCGCTTGTTGCGGTTGCGCTGTCTCTCGATCCGCTCGGGAAGTGAACCCTTCTCTACCCAAAAGTTCATAACCGCCAGTGCCATGATTTGTTTTTTTCAATCCCAGGTAATAGTTTTCAGTAGACAAAACAGTACCATCAGCCGGTTCTTCGGGAGAGGATTACCGACCAATTGAAAGCGAAACTCTCTTTGACCTAGTATGTACCGCCATTCCCATCTTATGGAAGCAAGGATGTACGCGATACGTGCGGTATAACATACTCTAGCGACTGCGGCACGGAATTTGGCGCCGCAGTATACCTGGGTAAAAAAAAAAAAAAAGGCGGTCAGCCTGTTACCGGTACCGGCGAACTCAAATCGATATCGAGTGTGAAAGTGATGGAATATGCAACGAACCAATCAGTGCATCATTTTACCCGGGGTTTGAGTCTTTGGGGAGTTGAAACCCAATTTTTGCGCTTCCATTCCTTCAGCTAAGCTCTTCCAAAGAAAAAGGACCTCAGATGTAGAGATGGATGCAAGTTAATCGGCCCTTTCACACCCATCACTCAAACTTGCTCCCTATTGGAGTTTTCAACCGAGAGTTAGTTACAGTACTGTATGCAGCAACTTGGAGTAAAGTACTCGTATCTTCCTGACGTTTTTAAAAGGAACCACTATTGCATACCATAAAAATACGCGCCAATTCCACAATTTAGTATGGTATGCAATAGCGGTTCCTTTTACAAACGTCAGGAAGATACAAGTAGGTACTTGCTGCCCATTTGCAACCTGTTCTAGCCTGTAGAGTGCTCTACTACCAAAGGACGGAAGCTCAGCTGTCCGAGAAAACTTGCATCGGCAGATTCCAAATTGTGCATCTAGGCATGTATGTACGCACTCTAGAGCGATGGCGTTCAGCTGCTCTCTTGATCAAGGAAGATATAACGAGTGAGGATTTCCCAGCCGAGCCCAAGTTAGCAAGGCAAATACCATATTGAGATCGCAATTATTTCGGGGTAGAGGGTGATGAGTATAGAGTATACGTTACCCAGAGAGATGGTGGAATGGGCCCTCGAGTATCACAGATACAGACTGGCCAGGGCGAATAATGTGATGTGTCGTCCGAGGGTAACTCGGGAAAATCAATCGAACTCGCCCCTTGCTATGGGTTGTTATTTGCCACGATTCTGGTTCTCCATCGCTTAGCTGGTCTGCTGGGAAGTTCCCTGTGCCTTCTATGCGGCCATACATCGAGCTATCGTCGGACCGAATACATATCAAACAGTTGGTGGTCTGGGCAACTAGGTTGTTTGCGCTACCCTAGGGCGTTCGACAACTGTCTAGTTTTAGAGAACCCCGGAACAGTGTGTCTGTGAGACTCGGGTGATATATAAGCCATCCTTCTTTGCACAAAGGGTTTTAATGCTTGATGGTTAGAGCAGAGAGCACTAGCGAAGTCAGACCCGCGTTGGCCGAAGGTTGAAAGGTTTGGTGTTATATGTAAGGTTTTATGGAGCAAATCAACTTGTTCGCTCATGATCAGTTCTGGGCGCCCCGGGTACAAGTACTGGGGGTATGTACATATTTACTTATGTATCTGCTCCGTGTGCCTACATCGCCGAACACCCCTAGAAACCCCAGATTGAGGATTTATACGGTGGGGATATACCTAGCAAGTGCACACAAGCAAGCCCCACAAAAACGAAAAATTTGTGCAAAATTCTGATCCAGACCCCACACGCATCTTCAAAGAACCTGGCCGGACAACAAAGAATTTACATATACACCGGTATACTTATAATATATCGCTACTCTATATATTCTACTACTCTATGACTTTTACTCTATGTACAGCGGTGGGTAATAAGTGATCAGACAGAACGCCACCAAAATACGCGTTTGCAGGCAAAATTGTGGCTAGGCCGTCCGATGACTTAATACCCACCGCTGTACCCTGGAGTACTACGATAACCATGCATATACATATATGTACTTGTACCCACACGCCCTGGGGGTGCAGCGTGTTTTTTTCGTCTTGTGTACTCCCTCGCACACACTCCTGCCGCGGACGACAGAGGGGTTTCTGGTGATAATATCTCTGCTCCTGGCGTTTAAGCAGAAGCTTTTGGAATCTCTGAATCCATCTGCTCACGTGGCGCGCCAATCTAACCCCCACTTGCTTTGCTCTTAATAGGTTCAATCCCTCCTATATTCGACTACTAAGTGCATAGGCGCGGGGTAAGCCGTTGAGTGGTGGGTGGTAGTAAATTAATGGACCCACTGTTAACAGTTGCCAGCCTGCCTAGAGGATATAAAGCTCTCCTGAATTGTCCTCTAATAAAACCGCACACCAGCCGACAAACCAACCAACCAACCAACCCACCACCACTCAGGCGCAAAGGTATATATCTCAGTTTACCAGTGCTATCACAATAATCTGCAAACCTCCGAAATCTCATAATTCGCCAAAAGATAAAATGTCAGACAGCGCTAGCGATGGCCATATCTCCGTCGATGAGACTGTAAGTAACATTATGGGAGTTATTATTTTGTACCAATACTAACTCGCATGTTTTAGGCCAACGACTCGGCATTCGATTCGGTAGCTGAATCGTGAGTAGCTGCTATTATTTACTAAACTTATGACACCAACTAAATACGGGAAAATAATTGTAGTGAGATTTCTACCGAGTCGCTTGCATCTTCAATCTATGAGTAAGCTGCTTTTTGCGCCTTTTCTTGGGCTCCGTTTTGTAAGAAGAAAATGATCTGACAACTTTTTTTCCCCCTGACAGATATCGTTTTGAAAATGGTCGGAGGTATCACGCCTACAAGGATGGGTGAGTTTTTCTTTTTCCTTTTTTGGAGCGAAATGGTGTTTTGGGTGGTTTTCTGGGCCGGAAAATGACCCATTACCGAAGGACTGGGTTGATAAACCCGGACACCAACGCATCGGATTTTCTTTGTCTAATATGTCATAAAAATGGAAAATAAAAAGAGCTAACACAGAACTCAAAATGCAGAAAATACTTGGCCCCCAACGATGAGGTACGGGCTGTTTTGCCTAAGGCCCATATATTTTTATACCGTTTAGTTACTTACTAGTTTGCAGGCTGAACAAGACCGTCTTGATATTTTCCACCATATAAATCTTTTGATGTTGGATGGGGAGCTATTAACCGCTCCTATCCCCAAAGACCCACAAATGATATTGGATATCGGCACCGGTACCGGTATTTGGGCGATTGATGCTGGCGAGAAGTATCCTTCTGCGAAAGTCATCGGGACAGATCTTAGCCCTATTCAACCCAATTGGTAAGACTGAAATCGTTGAACACAACTGGGTCAGGTAGATGCATGTAGCTAACCCATTCTTTCAAGGGTCCCACCAAACGTTGAGTTTCAAATCGATGACGCCGAACAGGAGTGGACATGGCCCAAGAACCACTTCGACCTGGTTCATATCCGGAATCTCAATGGTGCTATCAAGGATTGGAACTTCCTCTTGAAGGAGGCATTCAGAACTACCAAACCAGGTGGTTGGGTCGACATTACAGAGTATGAATTCCACCTCTACAGCGACGACGGCACTTATCACAAGGACCTCGGCATGTACAAGTACTACAATCTCGTCAATAAGGCTGCCGACAAGTCCGGTATGTTCTCTGGTTTTCTCACTTTTTGCTTTCACCCATACTAACGTGCACCTGTACCATAGGCCGCCCGTTCGGAATCGCATCTCACATCGCGCCCATACTCGAGGCGTGCGGTTTCGAGGAAATCCGAGTAAAGATGATGAAACTGCCACTAGGGACATGGCCCGCAGACCCAAAGTTGAAAGAGATTGGCGCATTCTTCACGTTGGCTGCGGAGACTGGGTTTGAGGCGTTGGGGATGGCGTACTTGACAAGAGTGCTTGGAATGGAGGTGGAAGATGTCAACGAACTGTTGAGGAAGATTAATGGGGAAATAAAGAACAGGAAGATACACGCCTACGGAAAACAGTAAGCCTCATCCTCCTCCTTCTCTTACCACATAAATGCTGGTAGATTTTCTAACGAGATTATAGGTACTACTACACTGCACGAAAGCCTTTGAACTGTGACGAATAAACATCCTTTTCACGTCTTCTTTGGTTTTTTGGTTTCTGTTCTTTATTCTTATTTGTATGATCCGCACCACGTACCTACTAGCGAGCGAGCGAGTGTTGTCAATATCGAACCACCGAAAGCCGTGTTCGATTATCATAATAAATGAAAACTATGCCATGCCATGTCATGCCTGCATTTCATGCCAATTTTTGGGTCTTGTGATGGTAAAAGTGATGATTCAAATGATATGAACAAAATAGGCAAACAACGCAGTTATGCACATAAGCACAAAGATAGTTAGTCAAAAGAAAATAATTACAACTTTGCTGTATCCTCCGGCGCAATCTTGACAACGAGCTTCCCAAATTGTCTCCCCTCCTTCATATCCTCGAACAGAGGCTCAAGGCTGTCGATTGAAATGCCGTCTGCCACTTTTGAGATGACGGGTCTGAGCTGCTTGTCGCGGACAAACTCAACCATGTCTCCGAATTCCTTGCGGGAGCCCATAGTTGAACCCATGAGGTCAATATTTTTTAGCACGGCTGACATCGTGAAGGGGGTTTGGGGGGCAAGTGTCATTCCGTATGAGACGATCTTGCCACCGCGTTTAAGCAACGGTACAGTTCGTGCTGTCCTCCCGAATTAGCTAAAAATTCACTGCGCGTTGCACCCCCACGCACCTATGTATCACCACAATCCTTTTTCCGCCAAAAGGAAAGAAAACATGAATAACTCACCAGCAACATCTCCTCCGGCACCATCAATAACTACATCCAAATACGGCCTACTCCTCGGCAAAAGACCCTTGAGATCCTTTTCCCACGCCGTACTCTTGTAACTCACTCCCGCACTCGCCCCGAGCTCCTTCGCGGCGACCAGCTTATCCCCGGACCCGCTAGTCACAAACACCACCGCGCCCTTTGCGCAGCAGAATGCGAGCGCCATCAACGCAACACCCCCGCCAATACCTGTGATGAGTACATTCTGACCGGCCTGCACCTGACCCTTCGTGAAGACCGCGCGGAAAGCGGTTAGCCCACAGAGTGGTATTGCGGCTGACTCGACGGCATCGAGATGGAGAGGAGCTTCTTCCACCTCCGAGACGGGAACACTGATGTATTCCTGAAGGGTACCAGTGGGGGCGTGTTTGGTCCCACCGAGAATGGCATAGACGTCACTTTCGGGGCCGGCAGGGTCAGAGTCCCATCCGCGACCGGGAGCGAGAACGACGCGCTTTCCAAGCCAGGAAGTGGGTACGGCGCTGCCAGTAGAGGTCACTATTCCGGCGCCGTCCGCGAGGAGGGGAATAGAATCAAATGAGATTCCGGGATAGAGATGTTGACGAATGAAGTGGTCTCGGTGGTTTAGGGCGGCTGCCAGAAGCTTTACTGTGACTTCCGTAGGCTTAGGAGTCGATATAGGGAGGTCAATTAGTTTGAGCCTGGATATCGGTTCGTAAGTATTGGTTTTCAAAAAACCCTCTTTATCAAGAGGTAACGATCAGAGGAAGTGTTTGGGGCAATGATTGACAGATTGTCTTTTAGCCAAATAAACGGTTTACGTACGGGTAGTAAACTTTGCCGGGCTTTCCCTCGACTTTTTCGATGGTGATAGCTTTCATTGTTTGAGGCGTTTCGAATAGGTAGGGTATCTGTTCAATTGACTGGCTAAGAGCTATCGAGAATTGGCAGCTCTCCTCTCTCGACTTTTTGAAGTACCTAAGGTCACACCGGACCGAGGTAGATGGATGGCGTCATCTGGAGGGGCGGCCGGGTCATGTTGCGGGGAAAGCCTCGGCGCTCCTAGATTATAAATTCCACAGATTAACTGTGCACAAATAAACAATAATTGTAGTATTGATTTTCGCTTGGGTAATGAATAATTTGGCTATGTTGACGGTGTTGAGTTTGTTGTTTTGACCCATATGATCAAGTCTGAACTGTCTTCGGCCTCCGTCCATGCCTTGTCGACATCTCTTGGTAACCCGTCTACATAGAGGAACCCAACCCGCTGGTTTCCGTGCATACCCGTTGCTCTCCAGCACTTGCATGCAGCAGTAATATCGGAGGGTCCAACACCGGTTGTACCAATTGTTTTGGCCATGTCCTCTCAGAAATTGTTTCTGTTGGTTGGTCCGCTGTAGAGTACGGTCCTGTACCAACCTACATGTACTGGGCTAGGGTTGAAAGCCACCAACAACGTGGTTTGGGCCAGGGCCAATCCGTTTCTTCATCTACCGGATCTCCCTTATCAACACACATCGCAATCTCACTTTCCCACTTGCTGATGTTGACGTAAAATCAAAATGCAACATGCCGGGTAGGTGATGAATTTTCCCGAGAGAACCCGGTTGACTGACAGCACATGATGTTTCGTATACGCGTATCTGAACGCCTCTTTCTTTAATTCCCCTGATACTGTTCCATTCTCGGTGAGTACTGTGGGTAGGTATGGTGATAGGTTGATACTCGCGTATGTAGATAGGTAGGTTATCGGGATCGATGGGGGCAAGGAGGCGAAAAAAGGAGGCGAAAAAAGGAGGAGGAGGGGAAAGGCACGGAGATAGATTCACCGAGACACCAGCAAAAGTTGTGATAGAAAGCGCCTTTAAGCACGTGTTATCTTTGATATCGCAGGGCGCCGTTAGATTTGCGAATGACCATGTCTCATTTTTCGCTCCTGCATGCAATTGCGGGCGAGACTAACGCAAAGTTACGTCAGTCAACCCTGAGTTCCATATAGACACAAAACGTACGTACAGTACTGCACAAAGACGCCATGAGTTGTCTAGATCTTCCTTCTACACACCTTCCCCGACGTGAGATAAACTCTTTAGAAACTGCCGTAGTTGATGTAAATTTTGAATGTGACTTAATGAATCTCCGATTGCATCTCGTAAAATCGATAACCGACGGACATCGAGTGTCATCGGGGACAGCTCTACATAGAAGGGGGGAAGGGAGTTTCGAATCCCGGAATAACTAATATCCAGGTTCTATCGATACTTGTAACTATACAACATGTACCTAGATACTGCTGCATATACCTACCAAGTAGGCTCCACTGACCCCGCTGATGACCCCGCTAGCAGAACCCCTCCACACACCCCCTGAACATGAGAGGGACCCCACCTCAGGAGAAGAACCTAAAAGCTTCCTCCTGGAGCTTCATCGAGCGATTGTTATTGTTGAAATCTTTGTTATATAAGTCTATAGATCTAGTTGTCAAAAATCGCCAAATTCGAGAAAACACAGGTCACCGGCCAGCTAGCTGTGTTGCTCCATCCATCGACAGACACGAAACTTTAAACTGAATACGCCATAGCAGAGCCTCTGTAGAGCCGCACCTTAATTGAACGCCACAGATCAAACAAAGTAAGCATAATATTCCTTGGCTGTTTTTCTACCTCTTTTGCTGTAGCACTCCATTCAACTTCCCGCTTCCTTCTCCTTCTGTGCCTCCTTATTGGTTGTTCATTTTGTGCCTTATAAAATGCCCCACTTGTGCAGTGTCCCTGGTATGTGCAAGTTGTTTTACCCCTGGTTAAGAAGGAATACCCTGGGCTTGGCAGGAGCTGTGGATGTATTTATATGTCACAAATACCTCCGACCTTTCGAAAAGATTTCTCTCATCGTCGACCCATAGTTCTATCACAAGTTTCAAAGCTTACCTTTTCCACTAGACCTTATAATTCAGATCCTTCCTACCAGCTCTCGGAAAATTCGCAAAATGGCAGACGAAATCAACCACCAAGAGGTTCACGACTTTCTCATCGAGGTTGCTCACCTCGCTGGAGATATGATCACCAATGCCAATCCGCTGGTCAGCACAACTTCAACCAAAAAGAACTGTAAGTTTCCATCTCGGCTGATTCAATTGGTGATGAATAGCTGCTTACACTGTAATTTCAGCTGCCGATTTGGTCACAGAAACTGATCAAGCCGTTGAAAAATTTGTCCTTGGAAAGCTCAAGGAGAAATATCCTAGCTACGAGTATGTTTCCATTGCAATTGAAGCCTCACGAGTGCACCCACTTCTTTGGGTCGTTTCATGGAGCTGATAAAACCTAGTTTTCTTGGAGAGGAAAGCTATGTTCCTGGAAAGAAGCTCACAGATAAACCCACTTTCATCTGTGACCCCATTGATGGAACAGTCAACTTCGTAAGTACTTTCTCTACCAATTATCTTCTAATTCGGCGCCTTTCGTGCTAACTACATGTACGTTTTCAGGTTCACACATTCCCAAATGTGTGCATTTCTCTGGCTCTTTGCGTCTACAAAATGCCAATTGTCGGTGTTGTTTACAACCCCTATACCACTCACATGTAAGTTGTGAATAAAGCATTCATCTGATTTTTTCCGCCCTTTATCTAATGCCGCATCACAGGTACACTGCTATCAAGAATCAGGGCTCCTACCTTAGCATGCCTGTTCGTGCCAATGGCGCTACCAATGGCGCCACCCCAACCCCCCACAAGATTCGTCTTCCTCGCAAGACCTACCCTTCGCCGCTTGAAGGACTTTCAAAGGCACTTGTAGCCATTGAATGGGGCAGTGACCGCCAGGGTCATAATTGGAGAATCAAGTACGAAACCTTCGCCAAGCTTGCTGCTGGCCCCGAAGAAGGTGGCAAGATGGTTCATTCTCTTAGAAGCATGGGATCTGCTGCCTTGAACTTCTGCGCTGTTGCAGCTGGAAACATTGACTTGTACTGGGTAAGTTTCTTTTTTGTTCCAACCTTCCGTGACGAACACCTCCGTTGTTTGCTTTTTTCATTAGCTAATATGAAGCAGGAGGGTGGATGCTGGGCGTGGGATGTCGCTGCGGGATGGCTTATTCTCACCGAAGCCGGCGGTCTCGTGGTTGACACGAACCCTGGTGGGTGGACTCCAGCAGTCGACGGTCGTAGGTACATGGCTGTCCGCGGTGCTCCAAGTGGCCAAAAAGAGATCATTGAAGAATTTTGGAACATTGTTCCTAATGGTGGATATGATTACTCTGTTTAGGCAACCTTGTTCCTAAAAACTAAGAGCTAAATTTCTCTTTCTTATTCGGGCTTTTACTTTTTCGTCTTTCACGTTGCATAATGGTCGGTCATTTGGTTTCTAAAATTTTAAGCATACCCAAGGGGAGATAACTACATAGCTATAGAAGTAGAATGGATACCCATATAGAAAATTCTTTCCCGAGCATGTTAGTTTTAATTTTGGCGAAGTCTGTAACCATCGTTGATTCAGAAGTTGGTAGAGGACCTCTGCTGTACCAGTGGCCCAGAACGTGGGATTGATGTCGTGGATCTTGGACAAGTGATGCAACTGGTCAGGTGCAGGCGGGGATTGGGGGTAAGGTGATTTGTTATGACTGAAACGGAAAGAAAGAAAAAAAGAAGAAGAAGCAAGGGGGGAAAGCTTATCCTCACGTACACGCGGTCCGATTATCCGCGCAAAGCGTTGTAAAAAAAAGAATATTTCTCTCCTTACTCGAGTGGCTAACTCAAAATATAAATCAACATATCAACGGCCTACCCGCGAACGAAAGTCTCTAATCACCTTCACAACGGCCACCACTCGGGGGTGTTCGGAAATAGAGTATGGATGTTATCCCTCTATACTCGCGACCAGCAACAAGAACCCGAAAATGCACGTCCTAATCTGCAATTTCCATTGGAGTAGAAGTCAAAAATACACCAAAGACTTGCAGCTGCATATTCGGGTTCTTGTTGCTGGTCGCGGGTACGTAGATGCTACGTTGTCTTACGTGGGGGTATAGATTTGTGCAATCGCATTGACTAACAATAACAAATAATCGAGCATCTCTCATGTCATTGGACATCGTGAATAATTATGTAAGGTATCTAACCTGTGTAGTGTGTGCAAAGTGGTTAGATTGGTGGGTTTTGACGCGCCGTTAGCCGATTATCATGCATGCAGGATCGACGTCAAGTGTTGTTCACAGTCTATCACTCGTTCTCTCTATGTATGTACATGCCACCGAATTTCTTTTCAGGGAGATAAAGCATACAATTGCCAGACCAGTTTAGTACCTAGCTGTAATTTATCTTCTCATATGAAAAACCTAGTGTAAGTGTTATCTAGAAAAAAAAAGTAGAAAGATCACTGCCCAACTGTCTGCGAACTCGAAACTTGTAGATCTTACTTTCGGCAATTGCTCCTCTGCGCGCGGTACCAAAGTGCTTATCTATTACACGTATCTCTATTATCAGATAAATGAAACCTACGGAAAGTTCTAACTACATATGAAACTAATGCTTAATTCAGGTGGCATATCTGTCTCATAAGCCTCCACGAGAACGGCGATACTGGCTTTTACATGACCCCGATTGACTGGACTGCCATCACGCATACACTCCCTATATATATTACACAGATACTGATCTATCAAAAAAGAGAAGTCGTTCATTTACTCCTAAAGTTTCTATCGAAATAATATCAGATCTTACGTTAGGAACGTCAAGTGCTCAAAAAATAAGAATGCAGGAGCAAGGGATATTTAAACAGCACCATGCACGTGGGCATGCGCGAACATTGGATGATCTCAAAAAGAAGAATATGACTGAATTCTAGAATCAAGAAGAAAAAGGAAACAAAAAAGAAAAAGAAAAAGGTTGACCGGCGAAGATTTGGAGCATTAACGTGCTATGTGAGACCCTAGGCCCTGTACAACCAAAAACTGCCAGAAAATGACCGGTTCCAAAAACATGAATGATATCTTGCATAGAGTACATACTATACCTATGACAGCCACCCGCCAACGTTTTTGCAGTCTTAGACACGCCATGTCTCATATGTACGGATAACGGTGTGCATGTTGAGGACACTGGCAACTGTGAGACCTTAATCCTTCGATGAATCAACGTTTTGTCGGATATGGGTATGTAGCTTACTAATGTTCTCAATAAACTACCGGGTTCGGAGGTTTAAATTTAAGAGAGTAGTACTCACGACAGGTAATAAATACCCGAAAATGTAGGCCTTAATCTAGAATTATTATTGGAGTAGAAGTGAGAATACACCAGAGTCTTGCATGCTGTTATATTTCGGGTATTCCAGACCTGCTGCGAGCACAGAGCACCGTGCGCACGCACACACGCACAAGTACATGTAGGTATAGGTATACGGGCGCGCGCTGTAGTGCGAATAGTATATGGACACCAAAATAAATATAGTACCCAACCTCCTCCTACATCTTTTAGGTTGATGCATGTCCTATGAGTGTCATTGTTTTTTAAATTTTCCCGAAGCAAATACGAGTTTCTTGGCGCCATATTCACCACCTATCACTCGCAACCTAGCAGCAATATAAGGATTATATGGCAGCGTAATGATGCCCTCTATTGTAAACTAATCTAGCTATCGAAAAGAATAATTATAATGACAGACATTCACTTAGTCTCAATAAATCTTGACCGCCTTTTATACATTCTACCCCTTCCTTATATCCCACCTTCTCCCCACTCCTCTTCCACCGATCACTCTTCCATCTCATATTGGAAACTACTGTCTGAGTTTAAGCTGAGGTGCAGAGCCGTAAGCCTGCATCTTAAGCTTGGTGCTCACACAATCGGCTGATGCCGCATCGCCATCGACATACCACAACTGGTAGGTCCTTCCACCAGTCTCGGTAGGGCACAAAGACCACTTGCTGCCGTCACCCGCAACCCTATTCTACTGTTAGCATTGTTTAAAGAGCAGGAACAGAAATTTGGCATGAAAACTCACCCAAGGTAGCCATCATCGATGGTGAATCCCTTCTGGGTTGCATTCTGCGGGATCCCCTGCCACATGTCGACCTTGACGGGCCCAGTGGTTTCCCCATTGACATAGAAGAGCTGGTAACGCTCCGTGTGCCATGAGAGGAAGCTCAAGTAACCATCGTCGGAGATGTTCACTATAAACTTGTCAGTATTGCACTATAGAGCCAATTGATATCTGAAGATATTACTTACCAACGTACGGCTCAGCAGCCTGGTTGAACTTTGCATCACCAGCATAGAGAGAACTAGTTCCCTGGTTGACCCAAGAGATCTGGTAGAAGTTAGTGTTGAGATAGGTACCGGTGCTGGTCTCAGCGACAACACGGTAGGTGGTCTGCGCGGCAGCGGTGGCGGCGATGAGGAGAGTGCTGAGGAGAGTGTACTGCATTTTGATTATTGGTATCGTGGATTGAACGAAAGTGTTTGTTGGTAAAGCGAGTGAAGCTGTTGAGGATTGATGTAGAGCGAAGGTGGAGAAGCTGCTGGTGAGGAGAGAAGAAAGACGGTGGGAAGGGCTGTATATAAAGACTTCTGTATAGTACCTGTCCTCCTCATAGTTAATGCTATATTCGTGTTGGATATGATAATAATATCGCATCGTATGCACAGTCCCTCGTACCATGGAATACACACACAGATTTAGCCAAATACGGAAGGCTCGTACTACTTACCGTGCAGTGACGTTTGGTGAGCCAGGGGGGCAGTACTCGAGGGTACTTGAATACTAATTGGCCATACTCTCCGTATTAAGATCTGGTCGAGTGACCTTTCTTACGCTTGGCAATACAAGCTTAAGTAGAGTGCCTGGTACTATACTCTACCCGAGGTATAGTAGCATGTTCTAATAATAGGTATTTATTCCGCGTAGCATGTAGCTTATACGAACATAGATCGAACCATTGTTTATTCGTTCAAAGGTGTAGTCATGTCAGCTGATAGCTATATAAAAAGAGACTAAATTAGTATGTACTACTCCACTCACTCGAGTACCTACCATAACGTCTCGTCAGAACCAACTGAATAGAGAATTATACCAAAACCCCTTCGCCCCTCGCCCTAGCTTGAGACCTCGCGTTAAGCTCCCCCCTAACCCTTCAAGACATGCGTTATTACTCTATCAACGGTCAGATCCACCAAGGTTCTCCCATCTACCACTCCAATCGGAAAATACAATAGAACAAGCATTCAGCTCGATGTGGGGGCCGGGTGGAATACCGAAGGATTCGCGCGGGGAAGGCCGGTGGTTGGGGGTTCAAACTTCGTACCTACAGCTAGAAATGTAGGTATCCCTACGCCGTACTGTACTCTTTAGGTAGCCGAGCTAAGTAAGTTCTAGGGCCGATCACGGCCCGGGGCCGGTACACATTGCGTTAGCCAAGACAACAGCAGGCGTTAGACCAAAATAGAACCCCATGCATGTCTTGCTTAAACAGCTTCTCTTGTTCTAGAAAAAAAGGTGCCGCGGTAACGGCACATGAAGCCGTGTTGGAGAGTCCCAGAGGTGTGCAAAGCCTGTACTCTAGGGTACCCTCTTTACTCTAAAAGCAGCTAGAAAATAGTCTAATTCGTGCCTCTACACCATTCGGAACTAGATTCAGCCGAGATCGAGCTGAGATGATCTCCCGACTGAGCGAATACGCGAGACAAAAATAGCCAGCCAACCCGACCAGGAATCAAGGAACCTGAAAGTGCAAGCTTAGGTAATTGCAAGTGCAATTATTATGACGACCGAGTACCATCGGATCTCAAGCTAGGTTCAGCCCACGGCTCGAAGACTTGGTATGTAGGTTGGTTGCGTGAGTGGTTGTTTATTCTTGACACTAGCTAATAAGGGGATTTTCAGCACGGTCATCGTACCGTACCGTATTGCTGAAGCTGGTTTTGACTTCACAACTTTGCGTCGCTTGGAATGACTCTTTGGGGTGCCCATAGCCATGGCTCGTATCCGGAATTGTATAGAAACAGAAGAGCTTCGCTGAGATTCGGGATCGATTCGACTGTGTTTTAAGGGGTGAATCGCAGAAACCTGTGAAGCTGACTTGACAATGTGGCGAGAATGTATCATCAAGATTCCCCTAAAGCTAGGTACAAGTAAATTGGCACAATTCTTCCCATTTCTCATAACAGAAAATTTCACGATGATAAGTACGGTATGGCTCTAGGAAGCAGAGGCCCTAGGGAAGGCCTCCCAGTACTCACATGAGCTAGGTAGGGAATATGAGCTGAACACCCCGCATGGAAACCGCCAACGCCCCAACGGTTTGACAGCCGACGAGATCTCGGAGGCGCATAATTTGCGGAAGGTCGCGTGCCTCCGTCACTCGCGGTCCGTGCTCAGGGCCCGTCTGGTCTAGGATATCTTAACTTTCTTTCGTATCGATATCACACGGCTACTAATTCACCAAGAAGGAATATTGTCCGTAAACCCGGCAGAGTCCGAGAGTGTTTACGTAAATCTCAGATGGCAAGCAACACAGAGGTCATTGGCCATACTCGCATATACGTCGGACACATGCGCGCACGAAGTTCCTGGGTGAATTTGGGGGTTTAGTTTCGCAAAATCTGAGAAATTTCGTTGCGCTGCAGCAGGGGTATAGGCCAACCAGAGGCAGCCTTTGGACGTCAAAATGCAAGTTATATGCAACTTTTGGTGTAGAATATCCCTGTTGCAGCGCAACGAAATTTCTCAGATTTTGCGGTATATATATTGTGGGTCTAAGAGCCATAAACAAGTTGAGTAGAAGAAACTATCAAGCTTTTGCAGGAAAGAGCAAGAGATACGAGCTATTAATCGGCGAATTATCTCTTCGTACCTTGAAAGACAACCTTATTTTGATTGATGAAACTATCCTCCGTCCGTTGTGTTCTTTGTATAGGAGAAGAATTAAATACTTAAAGTATTGGATACACCGAGGCCGAGAATCGCGGTACTGGCAATAGATATTAGAGATTGACGTACCTGGAAAGATGCGTACACGTAGCTCATTGTGCGTCTATCAGCGGCCAGGTGTTCAAGAGATACTGAATAAGGGGCATTGGTGTTATGTATGTTGTGTCATAGCTGTTCTCCATTACTCTGTGGCTTGGGTCATGTATAATCACTCGAATTATGCAAATCTACAGTGCGAAAAAACGGGGTTAAATCAGTACTGTATGACTACGGGATTCGGTGGAATTAAACCGGCATTACAAAAAGAATACTGTAGCAATGTCGTATTCTTACTGAATTACTAGCGCATTAACGGGAATAACATAGCGAATCCATACCCCTTTTGGTACTGTATGTACTTCTGGTTCTGTCAGCCCCCCGGATAGCAGTGACAACAAATTATTGTAATCGGAAGCGTTCGCGGACAAAAGGTGATCAGAATTTGTTGTACATGCAGTACATGGATTGGACCTGCGTACATTAGGGACGGGGGCGGAGGGGGCTTTCCAGAACCCTCCTGAACACTAAGTAAACAAAAAAGACGACAGCGACGAGGTTCGAACTCGCGAACCCGAAGGTATCAGCTCAACTGTATAGCAGGCTGACGTGTTAACCTCTCCACCACACTGCCATGATCACGTGGATGTTTTACCTGTTTATCAACCTTAGGATGCAGACTACATGTAGTATTGCAGGATTGAGATGTAAAAGTCCCCGTCAATAGAATAAAGACAGGATCGAGCTAATGCAAGTTAAGAATTGCAACACAGACCTCAGGATACAGCAAACCACAGTACTACTCACTAAAAGGAATTAGAAAGACAAAGAAGATAATTCGAGTGATATCCTATGACACGCTTGGGCGATCCTGATCTAGTCGAATACGGGATTAACTTTGCTCCAGTTTGATATTTCAATTAAGCTACTTCCATCATTGCTACGGTATAAACGCCGAAGAGTTCTTCACAGGAAGTTAAGCGTTGAACCGAGGTACTGCTGACACGGCCGGTTCCGTATACTATCCCAGGAAACCTAGCTAATGCCTTAGAGCCTTCTTGGGAGCCGAGACTGTAGAAAACTCCGTTTTGCTTAACCTCCGTTTTGCTTAACCTCCGTTAGTAGGGAGGGGAGGGTTTGGGGGGGGGGGGGGGGAGAAATTTAAAAGGAATGTACTATTTAGGGGCTTTGGTGGTGATGGTTTTCCTACACAACGAGCCAAGGACGGTTGTGGTGGTCTGAGTTTGGAAACCTCGTTTTCGAAATTTCATGATCTGAGATTTTTTTTCTGACCCGCAAAATGAGTCGTCAAACACAACAAAATTCCCTGGGAACGAAGTTTTCGCCAGAACGGTGTTTCAGGTATACAGAGTCCAGAGCTCCGTTTTGGATGCTAAACGGGCCTTTAGTCGTTACAAAGACATCAAACCACCTTGGGACCATCCTTAATCATCGATCTAGTTGAGGTGTCAATGAATCCTTCAATCAGTATCCGGATATGGTGATACTTGGAAAACTAAATCTTCATATCTCTGCCCATCTGCTTTAATGAAAAACTAGAACTAGCGAGAATATCTTAAATTCATTAGCTTTCTTTCCTTTCGGAGGTCTCTCCCTATCAAGTACATAGCAGCCCAGGATTTAAGGGGAGAAGCCTCGTTCGCCATTGGTAGTGATTTCGACAGAACCTGTAATATGGCAATTAGATTATATAGTCTTGAATATGAGATGACGAACTATTTTTATTGCGGCAATATGCAAGGCCAGAAATCTCGTGAGCGAACTGACCTGTCAATCCAATTTTGAGAGTTCCCGATATATGCCGGGAAGAACCCCGCGAGCTTCCGGAGCTATTCCTAAGTACACACCCAAGATAACTCTTATTTTAAAACCGGCTCTCTCGGAATGAGCATACGGGCTGAGAGCTCATGATCAATTGAGTCTGATATTTCTCCAGTATTGCCAGCGCTGTGCAACCCAAAATTGATCATAAGCTCTTCCCGCAGGTGTTCAGTAAACGACATAACGTTGTCATCTTTTACTGATTGGTAGCTGTTTCTCTGTGCTATAGCATGATATTGGCCACTGGTCGGTAAAACAGCATCTCTCACCCCTTCCAATGAATACCACACATTTAGCGAGCGAATGGTAAGAATAAGCATCAAATCGATTGAACTCAGGCTGAACTCAACCCGCCACCCAAGAGGTTAAAGGTGTAGAAAGGAGAGCCGAAATCCGAGAAATGGCTGGTTCTGGAAGGCTTTCTACCAATTGATCGACATCGGCTGTCCCCACATCCGTGGTACATAGTGGCGTTTCTAAACTTGGTTGCATGATGCATGGTCCCTTGTTTTGTTTGGATCATGGAATATTTTGGCTGTCTCCCACCTACGTCAGGTTGGGGAAAAACCCGGGTATGGTAAATTTGTATATTGTGTTGAGAGCCTGAACCTAGCTGACGTCGGATAAGGCCGGTAGATACTACAAGCTAGGCTTTACTCTATTGGATACGGAATAAACTAATCCAAGCATGGATTATGCTCACTAACAACCCAACTGCGAGGTTTGGGTATGGTAGAATTAATAAGTGGTGCATCAATTTGATTATTTTTATCCTGGTTGATAGAGCCGTTAGTTTGGTTAATTAATCAAGTACCTCAAGTCCATGCTGAGCGTAGGTAGGCTTGATTATGTCGGAGCCGTGCCTACTATTCATTGCCATCCGGGATTTCCGGAGAGATACGAACTCAATAATGACGATGTCCAATATCTAAATCGGATACTTCTCCATAGTCTTGTCAACCCCTATAATAACCTCCATGGAGCTCCCATCATAAGCCTGCTTCACCACCATCAGTTCATTCTCATCACATCAAAATCAATTCACTCGCTTTAATTTCCTTTCCAGAAATCCAATCATTCAAGATGAAGTTCACCATGACCACCGTTCTTGCCGCAGCCCTTACTACTATGGTTTCTGGCGCTGCCATCGAGAAGCGCGACGCCCTCCCAGCCAAGTTTACCCTTACTTCCACCAGCACGGGATTGGACGGGCTCATTTACCCCACATTGATGTATGCCAACAGTAAGTAACCTCACGGCTAATCTAGTTGCCAGAATAACCAACTAACAATTAATCAAGGCTCCGCATACATCGGAAATATTAAGTATTCTACTTACTCGGAGTCTCTTGACTGTAAGCTTCCTCAGATTGCTCATTTTAACCTAGCTCATAAACTAACACATCATAGTGACCTCCGGCGGCGACGGTGCATCCTTCCAGTCCTTCCACAGCTCCCCCACTGGTAGCCAGCGTCTTTATGTCTATCCTACCGAGTCAAAGCCCATTGGGTTCACAGTCCCACATTCCGCGGCCGTCCCCACCGGTGCTGTCACCACCGGAATCACTCAGGAAGGCGGCCTTTTCGCGGTAAATGGAATCAGTGGAAGCTGGAAGGCCTGTAAAGTCGATGAGAGCAAGGTCCAGGGAACTTGGCAATTGTACTGGGATGGTGCAGGAACTTTGGAGGCAGAGGGTTGTGTCGCAGTGAATATTACTGTTGCAGAGAGCAGCTGTTAAATGGGTTGAGTGTGAGTTTGTTGGGGTTGGGCGGGAAGGGGTCCTAATGGGTGATATGTGGATGTATATCGTAGATACATATTAAATCAATGCAGATCAAATAGAGTTTATAAACTTTCAATCTAGCGTATATCCCTAACATACATGTGGTTACACTTTCCATTATCGTACATGTACCTACATGTAGGTTACATAAGAAAGGAGGCTCAAATAATTGCACATGTGTTATCGATAACAGATGAGTAAGAAATTGGTGCCTGAAAGTAGAGATCGGTACCTGAATCAAAATAAACGTATAAGACAGTGATATCTGGGATCAACCTACTTTGTAAAAACTCGCGGTTTCACATCCTCATAATGTCCCTTGCAATGATACTGTGTTTGTCACTTTATATAACAGTAATTTGTTGAATAGGCCCTCAGTACCTCATGTATTCGCATTTGCAGGACCTATGTACAGGGTTAGGGGAAATTATGTGGCGTGACGTGAAATGGCCTGAGCTTTACGCCTCTTCGCTTAATTTTATCGCCGTCCCTTGCTTCCTTCCCCCTTCCTTCTACAAAACTCTGCCTCCTATCATCGCTTACTTCAAAAATACGAGAACACACGCAAGCAAAAACAGAGAAAAAACACCACCATCTCTACAAACATTGGAGTAATCATCTCCATCTTCAACTCCCGACGAATTTATCAATTGATCACATTCGTCCCTCCGTAAGTCACCCCCCATAGTATTCTTTACCTTTTGCCTGATTTGCTGTGCCAGCTAACCACAGAAACGTTCATAGGCAAAAATGACTACTGCAACTCCAACCTGGCCTGCTCTTTCTGAAGATCACCCGCTTAGTGTGCTTCATACCGAGCTTGCCTCGATCCTCTCAGAACAGCCCCCCCACAAGATCTGGGGAATCACTCTCTCGCCTAATAAGGACGACTTCCTTACCAAGATCATCTTGCAGAAGTTCTTGAGGGCAAACAAGGGTGACAAGGAATTGACTCTTAAGCAGCTTAAGGAAACCCTGGAGTGGCGCAGGCAGTTCTTTGATGGGGATGGTAAAGTCATCGGTACCTGGGATGAAGCCAAGTATTACGATTTGGGATATATCACTACAGAAAAAGTCAAAGATGGAGAAAATGAGAAGAAGGTCGTTGTCACCTGGAACATCTATGGAAATGTCAAAGACTTTGCGAAAACATTCGGTGATGTCCAGGAGTAAGTTTCTCAGTTCCACTTTCAACTGCTGCAAGGTCACCATCTAACGTCTCCTTTCTAAGGTTCCTCCGTTGGAGGGTTGACCTCATGGAGCGCTCTATCGAACTCCTCGACCTTGCCTCTGCCAAAGAGCCCATTCCTGACTACGACCCCGTAAAGGCAACCATCGACCCGTACAAGACAATCCAGGTCCACGATTATCTCCGTGTTTCTTTCTTCCGTAGCCCTGCCGAAGTCAAAACCGCTTCGAAGAAAACCATCGAAATCTTTCAGCAATTCTACCCGGAGCTTCTCGATAAGAAGTTCTTTGTCAACGTTCCGCTTCTTATGAGCTGGATGTACACCACTATGAGAGCCCTTGTCGCAAAGGAAACCTTCAAGAAGCTCATCATGCTTTCTTATGGTGCAGAGCTGTCTAAGAGCATGGGATCTACCACTATCCCTGCAGCCTACGGCGGGACCGGCGAACCTTTGAAAAAGGATGAAGATGCATCCAAAGAGAACATTAGTGGAGGTGACGCTGCCAACGATGACGCCGCAAAAAGTGATGTCGTTAAAGATGACACCGCTAAAGACAATACCGATAAAAACAACACCGACAAGGACAACGCAGATAAACTAAACACCGATAAGGACAATACCGATAAGGAAAATGTCACCGAGGTCGTTCCAAGCCCTGCTGCCGCTCCCGAAGAGCCAACTACTGCTTCTGCTGCTGTTACTGCAGCCCCGGAGACTGCCACTGCTACCAAGGCCGTTGAGGAGCCTAGTTTGGCTAGTGCTACCAGTCCTACATCAGCTCCAGCTACGGAGGCTACGACTGATTCTTCTACGGCCCCTGCCGCGGCTCCTGTCGTCTCTGAGCTTGTAGTCGGAGCTGAAGCCACCCCTGCCGTTGCTGCCACCCCCAGTGTTCCCGCCTCCACTTCCGATGCAGGTATCCCGACTATTAATACTACTGCTGGAGAGCTCGAGAAGAATTAATCTTCCGAAGTCTATAATCAGTAATTCTCAGTTTGTCTTTATTGGGTTCGATTGTCTGGAGTATGGTACCCAAAACTGAGGAGGATTGTAAGGTGTCTTTAATTAGCGAAACATATACCCATGGCAGAAAATCTCGCACGGGTTGAGAGATTCTTCTTTCTGTCTTCTTTTTTAATCTTAATGTTAGCAAACTTTCTGATTGGTGTAGCAGAGGGGGATTAATGGGATTTCTCTTATCTTGTGGTTTTGGTTCATTGCAGCGCAATCTCAAGTGAACCGTATATAGCTATTCATCAATGAATTATCGCTTGCTCTCCTGTTTAAAAAATCCAAGATGTTCATAGTTGCCGGTTAAAAGCTGGGAAAGTGATCACAAATGATCACTCGGACCAGTTTTCATCCTCCAAGACACATACATGTACCTATCGGTGTATTTCACTAATGGTGCTTAGTGACGTCTTACAGAGGCATAGCACACGAATAGTGGGTCAACGCTAGAATCGTACGCTGGTTAACAGTGAACCTAAGTGGGGCTAGTACTGTTTGGGCAGTTCTACTAATTTCACCCAAATTGATTTGGCGGTAAACTGTTGATTTGCGCGATTGTCCTTGTATGGCTATTCCATAGACTATTGTTACTACAGTGGTGGAAATATGGATAAAGCGATTACCGTAGTCTTTGGAAATGCCTGAACACTGCCGTAACACTATCGTATACACCGTTAAAATACGGAGATAAATGGGCACATTCTCACAATACCGTACTGATGCGATATCAGATTTACCCCCATTTCTGATACTTTACATGTACATGCACATGTAGATGCCTTTATTTCAGCCTTACTGTTAGCGGTATCGCACTGCCTCACTTGATTATACCAGATCCTTGAAATTGGAGAAGAACAAGGACATCAAGAGATGCATGAATATTCTATTACTCACTATGGTACCTACGATGGGGTTTAAGCCTGTATCAGCACTCGAGAGGTAAAAGCTTTTTGTGTGTGTGCCTATAGGTGTGTGTGGACATGTATATTTATATAGCGGAAACAGCCGGGTCCGCGGCCGGTTCTATGAAGTTTTGCCCAAAATTTTGAATTTGAATTTCTAATATATAGCGGGAAGGAGTGTTTAAGCTTATCTTGATATGAGGTATATTGTTAGTTTAATTAATCTGATCCTTCCGCGTAGGCAAAGGCCACTCTTGCGTGTTCGCCATCCATAGCCAGGAATATCAAAAATTCTATACATTCTCGTCAGTATTTCGTTCCCATTTATGGCTTCTCTTATCCAGCTGTTTTGCAATAAACCACCATCAGCTTCCTACAGAAAAACACCAAATTGGTCTATTCACATTTCATTTATATGGACTTTCAGTGAAACATTACACCCTCATGGAACCTAAGAGTTAACCAATCTAATCATAAAAAGTGCAGTATTTTTTTTTTTTTTTAATTCATTAATAAAAAGTGCAGTACAGTGAGTATGGTTTATACTTATGTTATCGGAATACGTAATTCTAATCATACGTATATTCTTATCATTCTTAATACTTTTTCTTAGCCTTCAGTGCCCTCGATAAAGTTTTTGGCGGATCCAAAACCAGAGTAATTTGTACGTCCAGAAAATTATTTGACCAACCGCGTATGTACCGAAGAGCAATAAGGATATTTTTTGAACCAAAAATTATAGGGTTGATGGCCAGAACACAAATAATGCTGTCTCAAGTTGGCCGAGAAGGATTTTCCCGAAAAAACTTCCCCAATATTTGGTAATTATATTTAGCAACTCGAGTTCTATGGAATTACACTTTTGGGGTCCTGAACCTGAAGCTAAGATATCGCATCTGGTGGGGCCAGGTGAGGAGAAAATTGACTGCATTGAATGTACTGCGGGGTGGGGATTCTGTTCCCAATGTCTAGCCAGGCGGAATTGATTTCCACTGTAATTAAACCGGCTAAGCCAAATAAACCTGAGCAGATAACCAAAGAAATATGGCATTGGATTGCTACGTCATCGACTGTTTCGGTTCTCCAGGTCTAGCTTACCCAGTCAGAATTCCTCGATTTCTGTTTATATATGTAATTTGGAGGTACAGCTCACGATAAACGCTCAATGACTTCATTGTATGGTAGCCTTGTTTTTGCGGGATTACGAGATCAAGCTTCCCGTGAGTGTGATCGCGGAATATTTTATTATTCTTGATAATTATAGGCACAAATCAGAAAACTTAAAAAGATACAGCGTGTAGCACGCGTAAGTAGGGGTAGAGCTGGTGGAGTCCTATTCACCATTGGTCAACAATTAGCCAAAAAGATAGATTGTAATGTTGTATTTGCGGATAACAGTGAACACGTAGTGATGCACCCTGAGAATGTATTGTATTGGTGGGTTGGAATTCGGGCTTAATAGTTGCCCCTGGGAAGATGAATTGTGAGTTCCAGATATTGGGGGCTATTAAAATATGTGTGCAGTGAAGGGCCGAGTGATTAACTGTGAATTGTGACATTAACATACAGCCAAAGCTTGTATGAATTAACTTATAGGGTTTGGAGGAAATCGTATGTCGATCGAGCATCTTTACATCGGGCTATACCTTTGATGTCTTGTTATCTCCACCAGGCAGAATCAGTGTGGGTTGGATGGTAAGGTAGGCAGACAAGGCGCCGATTTAGCGCGTTATGTCTAAGGTGCTCCCGCGGGGTACGTGTTCTTTTCTAAGCTTCCTTTTTTGTTTTTGAAAGCCACGAGGGGTTTTAGAGGCGATTCGAGTACTACCTACAGCATATAGGTGGAACGATTGTGTATCCTCGCAGAGCTTGTGGGACCTTGTACAAGCTTCGCCAAATATCAGGTTCAACGGGCGAGTCATGATCCTTGGAACACATAGATAACCCTTGGTGCCTTGGGTCACTATCGACGAGAAGAGATTAGGATATATTCGACAACGAACTAGCTATGTAGGTCCAGCCTTGATCTTCGCCCGCTCCAAAATGGAAAAAAAAAGTGAGAGATCGGAATCACGCGGGCTTCGCTGTAACCTGCTCCGTAGTCTCTCCAGTAACTGTAACCGTAGATCCCTCGGTGTTCTTCTCAGTAGCTAGAATGAGGACGTATCAGTTACTTTATCAGGTCGCCGGAGAAATCCCATATATGCACTTACGAAAGTCCCGTTGCTCGGAGCTGGTATCCACCCCTTTAGAATACAAGAACCCACCCTCCTTTTCATCATATCTTGCCGTCCATCCGTGCGGCAGATTCTTAGGAGGCGGTGGAGGGATGTACCTCTCAGAGACCGGTTTACCACTTGTCTGTGTATGTGAATCCTCCACAGGGCCCTCAGCAGTTGCGCTCATGCCACTGGTGGAAGGTGGCTCGTAGGATGCCATATTATGAGCTTGTGCTGCAGCTTTGGCTTCGCGGAAGTCCGAAATTAGGTTATTGAGGAAGGACATTATCTTGTTTGTTTTGTTAATTCTGAGCTTGAGATGCACTTGAGAGGGGGTTTTGTGGCTATGTATCTAGACTCGTAGAGTTGTGATGTGGGGTAACTGGCAAGGCAGTGTAAATGATCGACAGGCAGGTGGGATTAAGGGTTGGGGGCTTACGATGTAAAGGGTTAGCGTGTATATTCACACCGTGCCAAGAGACACTTATAAATGTTACTTTCTTAACGCGTGACTACATGATGTAGGTACATGTACTCGTTTACCACGAAAAGAACCAGAAAATGCCAGTGACGGAAATAGGGATAGTTTGTATGAGAGATCGCCGCCACCCCATGGCCATACAAGTAATCCTTGCCTTGAGAAACTGGTTCTTTTCGTGGTAAAAGAGTACATACTCCCGCGCTAGTATTCAAGCTTGAGTACATTATTCTCGATCTCGGTAATTTCCCTTATGGTCTATGTATACAGAGCCTCACAATGGTCCTTGTGTAACCAGTGTAACCCTAATGGTGCGGCTAAATCCGAGCGGTAACACAAAACCCAGGCCCCATCTCTGCCTTACCTACCGTCCAGCCCTTCACCCCAACCCACGTGGATTGCATCTACTGATTAAACCAGGACTTCGCCTCTGCTCTTGACTGGAATGGGGGTCAAGAGTTATCCACAGTTCTGTTGTTGATGTCGCTTCTATTTATACCCTAACATAAAAGTCCGGCCAGTCTGGTGAAATTGGTTCATATCTCGCTACTTATTACGGTAAACAGCTTGGATCCATCACGGGCTTTAGTCATCAGGAGCCTTGAAAATGTTGTACAAAACAGCAACCATAACGGTTTTCCCTGGCTTGTGTAACTATATGTGTGTTCCATCAAGTTTCCTGGCAGCCAAGGCAGAAACGGCGCATTGCTCATCGAATAGAAAAAATAGCCAATCATTTGTTCCATTCCAGGGCATGCCCTACCTAGCTACAGACTTTTGTTTCCTTGCGGCTATCGATAATGGCTATGCACGGTTGTGAGCTGGTATTTCGCTCATCATTTTCAAGCTGGTTCATATACCTCACAGCTACCGCCCGAACTCCATAATGTTCGTTATCATTTTTGTGACTCTAACTTGCATAGTATCTTTATTTCTCCTGCTCTATTCTTATTACCGAAAGAATACACAGTTCGAGATGGCTACAACTACGACGACTTTAGTCACACAGAGTGCCCCGGTTGCTGTTGATAAAGGTAAAGAGATCGAAGTTATCGACATCACCACAGTAACCCACCAACCAGACCAAGAGGATCATGCTACGTCAATCACATACAGCGACACCTACCTCGACCTCGAAAATATCCCTGGCCTTGATCTGACGCTTCTATCAGCCGAAGACCTTAGTCCCGAAAAATGGTGGAAGCAATATCCACCACCACCCGAGCTCATCTGGTCTGTCGATGATAGCTCTCATCTTAACAATATGCTATTCAAAGAGTGGGCTGAAGCTCTTGAAGGTGTACTCGAAACTATAAAAAATGAGAAGGATCAGAAAGAAGAAGAAGAAGAAACCTCAGTAAAGTCAGAAGTGGGGGAATGTTCAAGAAGTAACCCAGCAGATCATGCCCCCGAACTCGTCTCAGATACCATCACACCAGTCAACAAAGCCCCGTTGCCACAGAGAAACTCATTGAGGATATCTGTGGGCTCTATTAGCAGGCCTATATCAGAGCTTGAAAGTCCCGTAAGCCCACGCTCTATAACGGATTTACGCTCCGTAGCAGATTCGATGTCCTCTACTGGTTCAAAGAAGTCAAAAAGCAGAAGAGAGTTGCCAAAATACAACATCTCCGGGAGTGCTTCACTTATTTATTCACCATATTTTTCACCATTGCCAGCAAACGATTGTACTGTTGTTTCAATGCCAGTTTCGCCAAGGGTGGAGCAGGTTAAAAGGTTTTGGAAGAAGAGCTTAGGCACCGCGGAAAGGTAAGCTTCTTTGTTTTATTTTATCGAAGAGATAATGACGTGATATTAGTGAATGTTCATCCTGCCTCGACGATCATAAGAATAAGAAGCTAGTGAAGTTAGGATGCCAGCACAGATACTGTTATGTCTGCCTCGAGACCCTCATCAGGTATTGCTATCCTTTACCTCTCTGCGCACGCATACTTATCTACCCAGGACTGCAATGCAGGACGAGTCTCTCTGGCCTCCGCGCTGCTGTATTCAAGACATACCGCAAAAAACCATCGAAAAGGCCCTCAATAAGCAAGACCGCCAGGCCTACAAGGCAAAGGCGAAAGAATACGCCATCCCAGCTGCAGATCGAGTCTATTGCCCATATCCCACATGTTCGGCGTGGATCCCACCGTGCGGTACCGGTCGGATTATATGCGGCTCGTGCAATGATAGTGTGTGTGGTACATGTAGAGGAACAGCCCATCCCGCCCAAGCAGACTGTCCCGAGGACTTCGATCTCATGTTGACGCTAGAGGAGGGAGAAAGGCAAGGTTGGATAAGATGTTACCAGTGTAGAACAATGGTTGAGAGGACACAGGGATGTAATCATATTACCTGGTAAGGATTGCATGAATTGAGTAGCGACATGAGTAGACCTACTAACAGATCGGGGGGCAGCAAATGCGGTGCACATTTTTGTTACATCTGTGGCTCGGTTTGGAAAACATGTGCTTGCACAGGTGAAGAAGCAGCCGTCCGCCGCGTAGCCCGTCTAGAACAGGTTGCTCTCAACCGCGCCGCACGAGCGCGCGAGGAGGCAGAACGTCAAGCAAACGCGAGAATGGAGCAGCGGGAGCAAGAGATTCAGGAGCGACGGGCGGAAGCTGACAGAATCGCCGCTGCACAAGCTGCTCGCAGAGAGGCCAGAAAGAGAAGAGAATTACAGGAGAAGTGGCTGGAGAGGGTCTCTTCTGAGTTTGAAAGCGCGGAGAAGGCGTTGTTGGTGCTGCATCAGAAGCAATGGGGAATCATGCGGGGCAGACATCAGAAAGAGAAGGAAGAGCAAGAGATTCAGTTTAGCAACCGTGAAAGTGAGAGTGAGAAAAGGTTCTTTGAAGATATTGCAACAGTGGGGAAAAGTCAAAAGAGGGAGGAGGAAGAACTGAATGCTTGCTTCGCAGAAGAACGGGAAGCACTCACTACCAAGCAAGCTTCAGAAGAAGACGAATATTGGTTTGAGCTCCAGACATTTTTGAAGGGAAGGCCAAATAAGGAAGCAAGACAGAAGTCGTTGATGGACAAGTTCAACGAGACTCAGGCGGAGCAGTTAAATGCCCTTTATCAAACCCAGGAACAGATAGCGGCCAAACTCGCAACGTCGCATAAAGAACAAACGACAAATTTCATAAATTCTGTGGAAAGGGGCCGTGAGATAGAGAAGCAAATGGCAATGACGGAGCTGAAACAGTCTACAAAACATCAATGGGCTGATATTAAATGGTTTGTAGTGGTACAAATGGCACGAAATACGAGATTAGTTGATATGTGGGAAGTATCTAAGGGGGATGAGGAGGCGAAGCAGAGGATCATGCAAGTCCATAAGCCGAAAGCCACTTCATAGAGTACTTTGGAAATGTATTTAGTTTATTTCTTTTGTCCATAGGAGAGATTATTGTCACTTTTTGCTATGCAGGGCATATGAGGCATGGTTCGTGATTTATGGTAGTAGATATATGTATTAGAAGCGGAGCATGTCTAACTTCTTTCGTGGTTTGGAAATGTACTCATTTGAAATCTTTATCTCATAAGCCCTAGCTAAGTCGGTTCTCGTTACTCTTCTTTGAAGCTTTCCGTTTCTATCGTACGATTATCGCGTGTTAATACAACTATTCCTTCCGTTTTCTCTTTAGTTGGTAAGATATATGGCGTAGTAGAATGCCTGCGCCGGAATACATAGAGTAAATAGCTGGCATTGAAGTTGGCTGAGACATCGAAGTGGCTATACCCCCTGGTACCTACGCGGTGTGTTACCCGAAAAGAAACCCTAGCCCATATAAAAAAGCCATGAGGTCAACGTCACCTCCTTCCATTTGGAAATATGTTGTATATTATGTATATTAGATACAACTGGGAGAAATAGCATCGTGTATGAGCTCCTGAATTACGGACGTTGGCAAGATCAGAGCCAAACTGTCTGTTCAATAATTTGCGGTAACATGCGTGACTACTATTTAGCTGGTACTAAGTCTTGGCACATCGAGAAACCATCTTCACGATCATTTAACGCTGGCAAATGATTCGATCTAACATGTTTACACAGACTACCACATTCCCTTCTAACGATAAAACTGTGGTGCTGATAACGGCGGGAAATTAATACGATCCTGACGCCATGATGTAGGACTGGCTTCGCTCCCGGATAGAGCGGGTTGATCATATACGGGTTGAAATACGTCTATGCCACGGTATTATTTTTCACCGGCGGTTTGTTGCGCCGCCGCAGTGCCACTTCATTATTGCCATGGGGAAGTATGGGGGTTATCTCGTGCAATACATGTACCTTTACTCTATATACGGCCTAAAGATAAACAACTTAACCAACCAACTCCCAAGCCCCCATGCGATGCTTTCTTCAATTGAACGACTCTCTGAATGATCCAGTTGCCGTTCGACCCGGTTTTACTAGAATTTTATGTGTATATGTAGGAAAAGAAAATATAACTATATGGAGTTTATGCAGAGTATGGGGTTTAGGATGTTATGGAGTTTGTGTAAAGGATACGGAGATAAGAGATCCCTACCTGTCTTCACGCGCCTCAAGCTTGAGCTTGCTAGCTAGTCACCTGACCAGATGGATTACTGGGGGTGCCCTCCCCGAGTATAAAGTGAAGCTCACTCACTACCACATCTCGGCAGAAACCAATCCAGAACTCGAGCGTCCCCTTTCATACCTCTCTCTCTATCTTATCTTCATCTTCATCTTCAACTTCATCGCAAAGTTTATATTTCACATCCCACCATCCAGGTCATTAAAATAATGTCGACGCACTCTAAAGCATGCTGCACCGTCCCTCCAATTGTCGCCAAGGACTACACTCTCAAAGGAACCTTCGCCGAAATTGGCGGCCTTAGAACCTGTCCGTCACTCCCAATCCCAATACCGCTTGACGGTCAATTTTTAACAAAATCCAGATGTTACCGGCAACAAAAATGCCAAATTTGCCGTCCTGTCATTATTTGACATCTTCAGCTACTCCCCCCAGATCCAGCAAGGCGCCGATATCATTGCTGCCTCTGGAGATTATCTCGTAGGCATTCTCTTTTATAGGCCGTGGTCGTTCATCGAGATGAATTGACGATGTGACAGGTTGTGATGCCCGACTACTTCATGGGCAACATCCTCGACCACACCCTTTACCCCCCAGATACCCCCGAGAAGTGGGCTATCATTAAAGCCTTTGTCCATGATTGGGCCGACTTTCAGAAGGGCATAGAAAACACCAAGGTGTTTCTTCCTGCGCTCAAGGAACAATATAAGTCCATTGAAAGCATCGCAGCCGTCGGCTTCTGCTGGGGCGGAAAGGTGTGTATACGTGCCCTTAGTTAAAGTACATAGTTGGTAAACTATGCATGGAACTGACAACTTACAGGTCGCGGTGCTCATGTCTGGTGAAGACACACCTTTCAAAGTGACAATCCAAGTTCACCCAGGACAGTTTGATGCGGAGGACGCAAAGGGTGTGACAATCCCGCATATGATACTTGCATCCAAGGATGAGCCTGCGGAGGCGATCGCTGGGAGTGCAGAGGCCCTTAAGAACTCTAAGGTCGAGGCCGTGAGGAACGCGGCTGTCGTTGAGACGTATCCGACTATGCCGCATGGGTGGATGGCGGCCAGAGCTAACTTGAGTGATGAGGGGAATGTGAAGGAGTATGAGAGGGGGTAAGTTTGTTCATGTTCTTCTTTGGAGGGTTGTTATGGGTGCTAATGTTGCGGTGGTGGGTTAGATATAAGCAGGTTGTAAACTATCTGCAGGAACACCTGAACGCTGCAGCGTAGATGACGGATTAAGCAATGATCCGGGCAGGAAGGTCGCTATAGGTCTGGGAGTCGGTCTCATGCTCAGTGAGAATCTTATATTACTTATTTTACGTCCTTAGTTAAAAGGGCTTCAATAAACATAAGCAAGTCCAGTTCTTTGTTCTCGATAGGTGAATTGCATTAAATTGGATCGGTGGTGGGTTATCAAAGAATTATCGTGACAACTAGCTTTATAAGTGGGTTATGTCCTGGGATTCAATGATCCTCTCATCCGGTAATGATTCAAACCGTAAACCCAGTAACAGCCATAGTAAATCTGTATTGCAATATGACCAATTCTATGCATAGAAGAATGCATATATCTGTAGTACCTTTTCCCTCCGAACCCTCGGCGAGACTCCCACTGTTACCAATCACCAAGTTCTCAACAAGCAGACATCGACACAAATCAGGAAGCACCACTTCACCTCACCATGAAATACATGTGTCCCCAAGGCCCCATCGCGGCCATCGACTTCATCCAAACAAAGTCCTGCATCGCCCTTAAATGCATCCTCCTCTTCGAGTTCGTTCTCTGTGTCGGCCTCGGTGCCTACGTCGCGTGGCGCATCCAGGCAAATACCATCAAGGGCCGAAGAAGGGCCGAGCTGACTGCGGGCATCACCGCGGTCGAGGAGTGGATCGAGATGAGGAATGCGGCGGCTGGGTCGGCGGATAGGTGGGGGGCGGAGGAGAATAGATTTTCCGGACTTGGAAGCGGGAGCAGGAGGAGAGGAGGGGCCCGGGGTTGGTGGTGGAGGGTGAGGAGGAGTTGGTATAAGTGGGGTGTTTGAGGTGTAGGTTTGGTGGTTCGGCTTATGTATGGTCATGCTGGAGCTTGTATTGATAATTGCACTTGCCGGTCCAGACTTTTACATGCATATGCATATGCATGTCCACGGGGTTTTTAGTTATATTGGGATTCAACGATATCAATATCTATCTAGTAAAAATCCTATCAATGTCCTTATAAAGCTTGTATCCGCCAACATATGTATTTACACTATGTCCGTTTGTAATGTCTAGCTTTCGATTTTGCAATCTTTTGTGACCCTATATGGACATTGAAGAAAACCTAACCCTGACATTACAGGGAGAATACTGATTCCCGGTACTCCCATTCACATCCTTGCAGTCTGACAAGAGTTTATTATATGGCCTGGCACCACAGATTGTATGGTTCCTCCTAGATCTTCTCGGCCATAGATTTCATGAATGTTTAATGTTCACGATCGATCAAAAACATAGCATCACCAAGGACTTTGCCGTAACCTCAAGTTTCTAAACCATTTTCATTCAAATTCCCAAGCATCACAATTGCAACCCAGTTTATAAGATGAAAAATTTCATTCATAGTACACTCATCTCCAAATTGAAACCGAAAAGGAAAAAGGAAAAAGAGAAACAGAGATATCACAACAAGAAAAACGCCAGAAGGCCCAGCCCCAGTTTATCTTACAGCTCCCCCCTCCCTAAACCTCTCTAATATCCCGCAGATCCCCTCCTAGTCTCATCAGCGACATAATGTCCGCCACCGATGGCCGGTCCACCACCAGTGTGTCCTGGTCCGGGGTGCTTATGGGCGTTGGTCGGCCCAGGCGCACCGTATGAGTCCTCGGTCAAGCTGCCTCTCCTGTAGCCCGGCGCTGTGTTCATCGTTCCGGCACCAGTACCAGCCATGGTGTTTCCAGAGTTCACACCGGCACCAGTGCCAACGTTTCCGGAGGGGTAGGTGCCGTGGGGGTATCTGTGTTTCTCGGGGTTCTCGATGACGCGGCCGGTGGCCATCTCTTCGCGGCCGCGGTTGATGATGCCTTGGTTTCTGGCCTGACCCTCACGGTCTCGCATGGCAGTGTCGACAGCCATGTTAAACTGGCCGCGGATTTGCTCTGTAAAAAGCAGCATGTCAGTAACTAAACTATGAATTGGACTGAGAATCTTGAGATGGATTGGATTACCTCCAGCTCCGTGAAGTCCGCTCATGACTCCTTCCAACTTGCGGCCAGTTGTGGCTCCAGCGTTGGTGCCACCGCCAGCACCGTGCATGGTGGTAGGCATGGTGGTAGAGGAAGTGGTAGTGGTGGTCGTTGACCCGGGGGCAGTGGTGTTTGTGTATCCCGCGTTTCCGGGCACCATATTGTTGCTGTTCTGGTTGTTGTAGCTCGACATGGTTGTTTTTCTTTAGAGGTGTATATAAGAAGATATAGATTGTTATTTTGTGGTGTGTGTTTAGCAAGGGATGGTTATGAACATCACACACCACAGGGGCAGGCCAGGACCCTTTTATTCGTTTCTCCCCTCACCCCAGAAATTTCACCAAGACCCCTCCGACGTCGAAAAGTCAGGTTTCGGGATCGATTTCCAAGTTCTGATCGGCATGCCGGCTGGCGGTCATGATGATGTCATGGTCACGGATCACGTGGAATCGCGAGTGAGAATCGGTGAAACGACGATCAGCACCAGCCTTGGCAGGGCACTACGGCGCTGATGGGCCGTCAGTTTATGCATAACCGCCATTCAGGCTCTAGGGATGATCGATTTAGAGTAGACTTTTGCCCTGGTGGGGATCAGGTAGGCGCGGTAGGCGGTCGGTGCACGGTGAGGATTGTAAGTGGTCTTCCTATGCATATCATTATTCGAGATCTTCAAATCAAAGGAGGGTAGAGCACGTGATCGCCAGGATCGAAAGCTGTATCATCCCTTCGTCTGTTCCCGCGATTCACAACTTTTTGTGGTGATAGACAGGAATTTAACGATAAATGATATACACCACCACCTTTTAGGCTAATTTTGCGTGACAAGTGGGTCAGTTTTGCACCGCCGAAAGCCGCTTCCAGCTAGCCTGTGAGTTTTGTGTGGTGAGCCACAAGACCTGAAAGGGATAGAAAAAAAGTTCTATGCGTGGTTTTGTTTGTTGGTTTCATTTTTTGTTTGCTTCGCAAAAAAAACTGTGCATGACATCATTACCCGGTACGTATACATACCAAGCAACCCAACATGCATCATAATCATTACCCCACACACAAACACTGACACTGCCGAGACACGGTCGATCAGCGTCATGCAGGGTCTAGCTAACCAAATTTCCTTGATATCGCAACAACACGCACGATCAGCATGGCATGGCATGGAAGGCTTCCCGGAATATACTTTATATCGGCGAATTCGAAGATTGACAAAGGGAATTTCCGATTTCGGGCCAGATCAGTATCTATTCCTCCCCTTTCTTTCCCCTAGCTTTCAACGCACATCACCCGTGTTCTGGAGTCCACTCACCGAATCTTCTACTCTACACCTTGCGCCGGAGGATATGCGGGTTCCTATTATGTGCACATCACAGGGAAATCTATAAATAAATAACGGTTGTTCTTAGGGCAGTGCGGTGCAGACTTCTGAGGGATATGCGGGCGCCGGCACGTACATAGACGGATCTAGATCCCCCAATGAAGGGGTAAAGAACTTGGGCAGGGGTGCATGTACTTTATGTACACGCTTACCAGCGTAAGGACCAGAAAATGCAGTTGCTCAGAGCAAGGATAATTTGTATGGAGTGGCGTCGTTCTCTCATACAAATAATCCCTGTTTCCGTTACTTGCATTTTCTGGTTCTTTTGAGGGTAAGCTGTATGTAGGTAAGTCCCTTCCTATGAGAAGTTAGACACTGACAGGTAGTAGATGCAAGGCGCCGATGAGAGATGTCTACTATAGCGAGGCGTCAAGTAAACAAGAAAAGATCGAAGCCACGAATCATCACTCGCAAAAATCGACTCAGAGACCGATTATCTGACGGGAGAGATTTCTGATGGTCGTGAGATCAGCAGATTTATCATTTCGCCTCCAGCTCTCGAGAAGCGTTATCCTTGCCCGCTCTATTTGAAAAAGGAATCATGAAGAGATAATAAATATATAAAAAAGACATAATACTCGGAACACAACTATAAAAAAAATAAAAAAAAATAATACCGAAATCACCCAACAAAACTGACAAAGAAAATTATAGATTTGTTAGACTTAAACTCCGGTTCTTCCATGACTTCTAATACTCCAATCCCAAAGCTCCAACGAGTCCCAAATGTTAATGAACGACGATAACGCTAATAAAAAACAAACGAAAGGCCCCACTACTCCAGTCTACGAGATATTGCTACCAAGCCTTCGGCCCAAACTTTCCTCCGTTCTCTCCCTTTGGATCCAAGAATGAACACGCCTGCCAATCACATCCACCCTTGTAGATCTCCGTCCCCCACCATTTGAAACCATCCATCCAGCCTGGATAAACGAATCCGAAGAATATAACCACGAGGCCAAAAGCAAGACTGGCATCAAGAGCAGCGGATAATGTCATGGTGTATTTACCCCACCAGGCATTAGCGTGACGACGGAGGTAATTGTTAAATATGAAGCAAACGATTGCCCAGGCAGAAAAGTTTAGACCGGTCTATTTTATATGTCAGAGCAGGTTTCATATGTAATTAGATATGGACCAATCTTTCTTTGGGGGGAGGGGAAGGGATAGTGATGACGTACGGCTGGTGGAATCCAACTTAGACTTCCAAATGCTACCGGTAAACTGACTTTCCGTAGCCAAGCCCAATTTCCTTTCTTGCCTCCGGTCCACTTCCAAACTGCCCACAACATTGGGGGTGCTACGGCCCCAATAACGAATGCCCACACAAGCGGTCTATAAAGTTCCTTGGCGCCGAAGAATCTCTGTGGCCCTATGACACCCCAGAGAATACTACCATTGAAGTGAACACGTGCAATAGGGCATGTAAAACCGTGCATGGCTTCTGGGGTGCAGATTCCAGAGATATTGCGGAACATCCAGTTCAAGACACCAATCTGGGTTAGTGAAGAGACTAGAGTTGCGACCATCTGCACGCTGAACAGGAGGCGGGGTGGGATTTTCATGTAGTGCCCGAGTTTTAAGTCAGAGGCGAACTTTAAACCTTGAGTAGATGTTATCTGCTATCTGTAAGTTATTGCACATTCGCCGGGGTGGGAGATGCACTTACATAACCGTATGTAACGAAGACCATATTCGCAACTGGTAAACCTGGAAATAGCGTACCGCAAATCAACTGACAGACCAAAAACAAACTGCTCTGCTGATTCGTAATCGCCATGACAATTCCAATCGGAATAAAAAACACCGTGCATACACCCAACGCCAGCAACAGCCCATACCAAGGCAAGTATATGGGGTAGTACTCGACGACGAACATCCCGACTGCCGTCATGGTAACGAAAGTGATCAAATACCAGGCCGTAGGGGCTTCCTCATATCGCCGCATGAGACGCATATGCACATCTTCACGGTCCATGACTTCATCCCATTCCTGCTCGCTCAAGCTGCTTCTCCTCCGTCTTGTTCTTCTACTAGTACGACTCCTGGGCTCTGGTATAGGCGCGTAGACTCCTGAAGTATTCGATGGAGATGATGCGTTCCTTGTTGCATTATACTCGCGTCTTACACGTCCCCATTGTCTCCAGATATCTTTCCCGTGCCAACAGAAGGTATGTGTAACCAGTGCAGTCAATGCTGCGAATTGAAGGCCGTAAGACAATACATATCTATCAAGAGTGTCAGATAATCTGATAACCTTATCTGTTTTGAAACAGTCGGCGGGTAGTCACGTGATGGGCATAAACAAACGACTGTATTCCTTGTAAGCCGCTTCGTCGAATTTGTAGTCTGCTGTTAAAACCTTGGTCACATCATAGGCGTTACCAGTGTTGTCGAAGACTACACTAGAAAGAATCGGCATGAAGCCTGAATATAAAACGTTCGAGTAATCTGTAATTGGTCAGCAAAGATAACAACTTCAACCATTGGTTACAAACATAATACTGGAGCGATTATCCATATGACGATGATCAGACCAGCGATGACATTGGCAGCAGCCCAAAAGGGCGTCATCAAGGGTGATCCAATGTACGAAATTTGCGCCCAATCAAAGGTCAAGGGGAACATTCCCAGGCCCGATGCCACCCCAAACTGATTTTTACTAAATCAGTATCCATCATTCAAGTGATCAAGGAGAAAATTGTACCAGGTTAGCAACGACCACACTCTTCGGTGCGAACCAGGTGACCACATTGAAATAACTGAGTGCTGGCATCAAGAGCCCCGGAACAAAGTACCAGGTAAATGCGCCAATAAACACCACAATCTACAATAATAGGTTAGTTGTCGATCATCTAGAATCAGATGATCAGATAACACGGAGGCTGACAAAAAACTTCCACCGAGAGATTTTCCACCCATTTGCAGGCTTATTTTCCTCGCCGTGTAGTGTTGTGAACATCGCAGTGGACATGAGTGTTCCCGGCCAGATCATCCCACCGGGGTAGACCAGCCACTGTCGCGTGAGCCCTGCAAAGGTGTATCCGAGGATCTGAGTCGATAGAGTAAGCAGAATCTGGTACCAAATCCCAAGATCCTGCTTGTAGAATTTTGTCTGCTCGACTATGACCTGCAGAGAGTCAACCCAACTGTCTCGGTCACAAAATCTTTAAACTCACATCTGTAGCAAATGCGAACCCGAATGAGACATTGCTAGATATGTATACGCAGCAATGCTCTTTCCGGTTCCATCGTCCTTGCCCCAGCCATAGTCTTAATTTGCCCAACTTTCCTTTCTCCCCATCCCAGGCGGAAGCGTCAGGCTCCGGAAACAGTTGGTCCCATATCTTTCCCAGTGGATGCGCAAAAAGAAGCGCTATAACAGGTGTTATTGAGATTGACGGATATCGTAGCGAGAAAAACAAGTTCGTAGACGAGCCAACAAGCGAAAACAAGATCGAGAGAGTCCACATGCGTGGCGTATTAATGGAGAGCGACAGGTCGTCAGTGGCTGGTACTGAAGCGCGGACTTCAGGGTACCTGTGATGCGTCAGCACTCGCCCGCAGTGCATCGAGCAAGTAAGGCCATGCAGAGGTATAAGATAAACGCGCTCAAACTTACGGTGAGTTATCTATCGGATCGTTTTCGTCCTCTTCATCTTCCCCGTCGCTCTCGACGGTGGCGCCTTCTTCTTCTTCTGCTCCATCAATACCATGGAACCCTGTAACGACATTCTTACCCTCCGGGGCCGGATCATGTGCTAAAGCCGCGGAAGTTGTGACGTTTGCCTTTCTTTTACTTCGTCCCTTTATTGCAGGCTCCTCCAATAGTCCGCGCCCCTCATTTTCTTGGTCGCTATCCTTTCCATCGTGCTCCCCCGACGCCGTTGAAGTCGAAAGTGAACTTCCAGCATAGCTGCTCTCACCGCCACCAGTAATAGGCAAAGCTCCATAGCTCCCGGTGCCAGCTGCCGGCGATGAGCGCAATAGAGGGAACTGCGCCGGCTTCATTGGGGTATTTAGGAGGGTCGAGATGTTTAGAGACGAGGACGGCGGCGGCGTAGGATGTTGAACGGATGAAGGGTGGGCAGACTCTGAGCCATCTATAAGTGGGGTTTGAGATCCTTCAGGTTGGGAGGACGACTCAGGCTGCAGTGGAGATGGGGCGTATGATGTATTAGAATGGGTACGAGGACCCTTATTTGTGGGGGGACCAAAAGTAGTGACCGGAAAGGCAGGGACAGGGGGGACACTTACTGCAGATCCGGCTTGAGGTGTTTTCTGGCGTAGCGGTTGAAGCGGCGGGAAGGACCTAGTTGGGGATAAGGATTGGAGTTCAACATCCTCAGTAACCCCCGAAAGCGACGCAGGCCAGCTCTGAACCTGTTGTGAAGACATGCAGCTACCTTAGTGGGGACTGATGGGTTGTGAAGAACAAGAGTGACCTGCAAAGGAGGGAACAAAATTCTTTCGTTGGTCCAACCAAATTGTAATATTATTTACGCAAGGTGTTTGGTGAGACCGCTCCTTTCCATATGGGGGGTTTTGGGGGGGGGGGGGGGGTGGGGTGTGACTAGACAATCAGGAATATGGGCGGGGGGGAAGAAATGTAGAGAATTAAGGGAAGCAGGTGACACTCGGCACTTGCGATAGGTCCTTTAGAACACTAGGAAGAATCCCAAGGAGGATTACTACCGCGGTAATGTATCTACTATCCAGGCACGATTCCGAGATCGAGATGGGGCACCCACTGCAGATAGAGGGGGTGTGAAGAGGGGTGTATGAAGGGATGAATGACTGGAATCTGGAGGGATTACATGTAGGTTCATGGTATGAACTCTATCTACACACATGTATGTAAGTATATACTTCCCTAATGTTTACCGGTATGAAGAGCACTCTATAGTTTTACCGATGGCCGGTTGAATACATATAGGACGTCGGTAATAGAGTGGAGAAGTCCATCCACGATGATATGGACGTGTTGCGGGACGGGGAGAAGAGAGACTGAAGACGTATTTTTTCTCTCTCCATATGCATAACCATCATCATCGTGTCTCATGAGATGCATGGAGTGAGTGGTTACTCTACATGGGCTTTTTTTTTGGCAGCAACCCTACTAACCACATGTGAACAAGCAAAATATGTGAGCTGCGGATCAGTGCCTTATCAGATTGGCCGGCTGTTAATTCCACCTCCACAAAGCTGTTCTCAATCTCAATCTGGCGCTCTCTCACTTATGTTCGTAGATACAGAAATCTCCTGTAGGTATACGTACTACTTGCTGTATCTATCTACCTCCTGAAATTTCTTCCCTGAAGGTACGTATCCTAACCTCAGAAGCACGTATCAGATCATGGTTATGTATATTGTTCATGGGTCTGCATGATCCCTGTCCAGATTTGATTGATAACTGTTGTCTAATCTGATGGCATGATTCTGACACACGATATCACATTCCCGAATACCCCCCCACTTAACACTCAAAAGAGCTGTCTGTCTCATGCAGGTCAACGGCTTCATCAAATTTATCGTGACTTTTTTATGTAATCATTCTGTTGAATCAATGGCGAATGATGTCTCATCCGGACAAAATTAGCATTTCCACTACAGTTGCACCTCGCTATGACGGAACTCAATATGCCGGATCCCTTGAGAATTAAATTTTTCTACCGCAAAATCAATTTGCTATCCCGTACGGCGGCATAGCGGGGTGCGACTGTATGTAGAATAGAAAGATGACTTCCAAATGGGTCAGTGCGGGTTCTTTGATTTTGATTGGCCAGTATGTGCGCATTTACCATTGAACTTGACCCGGAAAGGATCAAATATTTGTGAGGCTGAAATAAACGTGTGTGACCGTGTTAAGTACCTTTTTCTCAACACCAAGCCTCCCTTTCATCCCATTCAATCTGTTCACCTATCATACAACCCATACGCCCACTATAAACCCTCTCGGCATCAATATCAACCCACCTTTCTCCTGAAAACAACAGTAGCTTGGCCCCTGTCTTCTCAGTTCGGCTGCATGGAATAACTCTATACCCCCTACCTCGGATAATCCCACAAGCAGCACTGCAGCCATGCTGCTCTTGCACACTACCGGTGTCAGTAAAATTGGCGAAATCCACCGATATACAATTACCTATACACCATCTGTTGACCGTGTTCTTCCTCCGCCTTCTGCGCTGCATCTCCGGATAAAGAATACTGCGTCGCTACCCCTACGTGCCGCGTACTTACACGGTCCGTATACTCTCTACGTTTCGGTTCGGCGTCAGGAGTTTGAGCCATGGAGTTCGAGCACCCCAGGCACCGAAGGTCGGAAGGAGGAGTTAGCCCAAGAGGATGACCGAAATCCGGTGCTGGTTGGTGAAGGAGGTATTCCTGTGTGAGTGTCAAGTTTTATTTCTTATCTTTCGGTGTGCGGCCCATGTTTTATGGGTTGAGCCAAACACTAATCCTCGTCCGAAATACTTAGATTTGAGCCACAGCTTAAGGCCGGCTCCTCATTTTATGCGACGCTTCCAATCCCCTCAGATCTCATCGAAGATGCACTCAATAATGTCCGCCGGGAAGGCGAGACGACACCCAATCCCTCCACCCATACACGTAGAGCCTTTGAACAGGGCGGCCAGCAATCTACCCTCACCAGTGTAGACACAAAACTACAACGTAAGAGCGTAACGTGGATTGTGGAGGTTATCAGTCAGACCATTTTTTCTGCTACCGCACAGGTTGGATTTGAGGTTATATTAGGTCGAGATGAGAAGAGTTTAAACTACAGTACTCTTCCGGGACCACGACCCCAAACTGCAGGCTCAACAGATAGTGACCGGTCTAATAGTGATATCTACAGTCGAGCTTTGAAGGTCAAAACTCAGGATACACAGGATTTGTGGAACACCCCGCCTTTCCCAAGTTGGAACCGGGAAGAAGACTGGCGTATGCAGAATGGTGAATACCTAGATCCAGAAGATCAAGATGAAGCCAAAGAAAGGCGGCGAAGGAAGAAGAAAAGAAAGACAAAGAAGGTGCATCTTGTCATCCTCACGCACGGCCTCCACAGTAACACTGGTGCAGACATGTTATTCATGAAGGAGGCAATTGACGAGGAAGCACGAAAAGGCGACATTGCTTGGCGGGAAAGACGACGGAGGGAACGCGCGGAAAGTGGTAAGATACTAACCGATAGCGAAGCTGAGGAGGAAGAGGAGGAAGAGGATCGAGAGCAAGTGATTGTCAGAGGATTTCATGATAATGTCTGCCGCACTGAACGAGGGATAAAATATCTCGGCCGTCGTCTTGCCCGCTATGTCCTTCACCTTGTACACCCCAGCACCTCCCCCCCGCCCCGCTCTGGCCCTAACAAGCTGAGTAAACGACCTACACACCATCATCCACATTTGACGCCGTTCGCTCAGCTTGCTTCTTTGGCTGACCATGACAGAGATGATGATGTGTCACCGTATAAAATTACATCTATCTCTTTTATTGGACACTCCCTCGGTGGTTTGGTGCAAACTTATGCTATTGCATATATTCATGCACACTCTCCCAACTTCTTTACGGATATAAAACCCATCTCTTTTGTCGCTTTAGCGACTCCGTTTCTAGGCCTTAGTAACGAAAATCCGATGTATGTCAAATTTGCACTTGATTTTGGTCTTGTCGGCCGTACAGGGCAAGACTTAGGATTGACCTGGCGCGCGCCGAGTGCATTCTCAGCCTTCACGGCAAAACCAGCGGTAGCGGCACGCCCAACAGATACAAGCAAGCCCTTGTTGAGGATTTTGCCGACTGGGCCAGCACATGAAGTGTTGAAGAAGTTCCGCAATAGAACCGTCTACGCAAATGTTGTCAATGATGGAATCGTCCCGTTACGAACAAGTTGCTTGCTGTTTCTAGACTGGAAAGGCCTTGGAAAGGTTGAGAAAGCACGAAGAGAGAATAGTGCTGTTCAAAGTCTTGTTGGTTGGGGTTGGGGCCAACTTATAAATAGCGGAAGCACTAGTCCGCGTGGAAGTGTATACTCCCCAACCTCCACCAAAAGTAGGACCGATAGTACAACCACCAGCCCTGTCTCCCCAGCATTTCGAGATAAAGGCAAGATGGGGAAAGAACAAGGAGGGAAAAGCCCCCTCATTCTCACGAGTGATGATGATGATGATAATCCCATCACGGAGGCGCCACTAACTAGCGAGCCCACAACACGGGAATCTAAGGCTGAGTTGGGGTCTTCTTCAACGGAACGTTCCTCCTCCGCCAAAGGCTCTAGCACTCCAAATGCACTTACTACTCTCATGACATTGTTCCGTCCCAGTGCCTCGAGTAAAAGTAAGGGCTCTGACTCTAAATCGTCTAAAATTTACCGCCGTTCACAAACAAATCCCCATGACGATGACTCCTCTTCCTCATCTTCTAAGAAGAGAAATAAGATTAAGACTACTCCCAGTTTCCCACAACCACCAGATCTGGACTCGGTCCCCAATGCACCTCCACGGACTACCTTGCTCGAAGCTGCAAACCACGTGCTCAACCCTCCTCTCCCATCTGTGGAATTTCTCATTGATCCTTCATCCCGCCCTCGAACAATTTTTCATGATCGTGTTTACTCCGCTAGCGATTGCCCTCCACCCCCCTCTCCTAGCATTGATAAGGACAACATTATGAAAGTCGAGGAAAAGATCGCTCGAGCTTACCACGCAGATATGGCATGGAGGAAAGTCTTGGTTAGTCTAGAGCCAGACGCACATAACAACATGATTGTCCGCCGTATGTTCGCCAATGCCTATGGTTGGCCAGTCGTCCGCCACGTCGTCGAAACCCATTTTGGAGAATCATGGAGTGCTCGCACAGCAGATGAAAATGAAGGCAAAGAAGATCGTGCTGCCACACCAGAAGCTACTGAAGAAGCCGGCGATGGCCAGCAGACTCCCGTACCGGAATTCCAGGACCAAAGCTTGGATAATGATACGCACCTAGATGTGGAACGAGAAATTGCTTCGATCAGAAATAGAGCTCGTTCCCCAACCGCTTCATCCGGTGCATGGAGTGATAGAGCATTCGCCATTACCGACGATGATGACTCTGACTCTGACGTTGAAGTCCGAAAGGAGGAAGAAATTGGCCGCTTTCTCGGTCTGCAACCACGGCTCCAACGCCCTTCCCTTGGCCTCGAATTGTCACACAAAAGCACCTCTTCTACATCCGGAATTTCTCGTATCGATGTAGTTGTCTCACCCATCGCCAGTGCCAGCGGTGACCTTGGGGACGGGCCAAGTGCAGTGTGGGGGGAGACGGGTAGCAGCGGCGGCGGGCTAGGTCTCCCTGATGTCACACGCATCGGCCTAGGGCGTTGGGGGAGCAGCAGTAGCATCCCTTCTACAACAAGGCTCACAGGTGCCAGCTTGGAAGCCGTCAGATGCGGCACTAGTGGAAGCGATGCGGTGCGGCTGCTAGAACGAAATATTAGCATCGCAGGGCCTAACAGGAACTCTAGTAGTAGAGCCAGCAGTAGTAAAAGTGCCGACACAGAATGTGGCATTAAAGGCAACAGTAGGACCGGAAGCCATACAGAGGGTAGTATCCAGGGTGATCTATCTGACCGCGATGGTATATTGAGCTTGACATCGGAAGCGGGCGCGGTGAATTAAAAAAGTTCCCGCCAAATTTTATTTTTATATATACCCTATTTGCTGCGCGGGGGGTTGGGGTGTTTGGCATATTAGCGTCTCGGGAGTGTTGTTTTATTTTCTTTATTTTTATTTTTATTTATCTTGTTATTTAGTATTTATTTACGACATGGAGGAAGTGAGACATACTGATGGATGTGTAATGTATAGACCTAGTTACACCTAGGCCTTGATATGAAGTGGGCTGTATCTACCTTCGTTCCTGTGATAAAGTCCGTGGTTTCCTGTAGTGTACGTGTTAAGGCGATTCTGGGCCGCATTGGCTAAATAAGATATTAATTTTTAATGGTATACCGGTAGGTATAAGGCGCAGTTGCACCCAACGAAGCTCTTGGTAAGAGCTCTTACTCTCAAGACCATCAAAATAATACAGGCGTAATTGAAACTACAGTACCAGTATTGTATGTAGGTGATACTCTCGATATCTGGCCACGTAGTAAATTCAAGGCTTCAATCACCACAGAGACATCGACTGGGCACACATCCATCATCCATACCACTATGTATATGCCTTCCATCCATCAAGAGGGCAAAAAAATGAATCGACAACGACAAGATTCGAACTTGCGCGCCCGAAGGCATCCGCTGAACTTTACATGCCTCTTTCAAGGAGTTGTAATAGCAGGCGAACGTGTTAACCACTCCACCACGTTGTCTTTGGTTCCTACATGTAGTCATCAGGCTTTGTTATATGAAGGATAGTTCATTTCCTGTGCATGATGCTAGTAGAGGAGTCAGCGAAGTGTGCAGGGGTAGGGGGGCCATGGCAGGGGGCAGTGACTAGTAGTTGGACCAGGGCCAGGATAATAAACGTCGTACTTCGTCTTGCGTGAGAAGAAGAGGTACAGGAGTCACCCTATCGGAGTAGACCTTCGCATTTTGCTTGCTGGACACCATAATGGAATAGTTGACTTAAGTGCCTGTTGGTTATCTTAGGGGCGAGCCCGAGAGTTATATAGGCGACTGGCATATATAGATATGTTGTTTGGGTTAACGTTGATATCAAGTCTTAAGTGCTTGAGTGTAGTTGGTGAGAAAAAGAGGGGAAAGAAGGAATCGCAGCTAAATACCAAGCAGAGCCACCCCTTACCTTCTCACGTGACCCATGCATTTACCTCTCTAGCCAATATCTCCAATTGACCAATACTCTAGAACTTTAGTTGTCTAAGAATTTGAGGCTACATGTACCGCGGGTTCAATATATGCAAGTACTCTACAGAGAATCCTATTTTGGACTGTGATTGCCTGTGAGGGCCTACTATTGGTCGGATACCCATTAAGGTGGCACTTGGCCATGCAAGTATTTGCATTGTGTGTGCGCCTTTGCAACATAACCTCAACCACTCTTTTCATCTTCAAACTCCACCAAAAAATGTCTTTGAAGGCTTCGAATCGCTGCCTAGGTGAAGCTAAGAACAAGTTCGAAGGCTCCTATCTATGTCAAATTATTGTAAAATCCATAAACCGCCTCGATCTGGTATGCCGTCCTGGATTAAAGAATTTGACCTCCAATGACGTTTGTCTAGGTCTCCGTGGGGAAAGAAATTCTAAAAATACTTTTGCCTTTATTCTGATCGAGAGAGTGCTTTCTGAACACCGGCTCCCTCATCGTAATTAGAAAGCTCTGCGTTAGTAGTTTCGTTTTCTAAATAGTTGAGTGAGCTTTAAATAATTTGGTTTATAAGGTTGTCACCACATAGATCATAAATGAACTACGTCCCGCTTATGGAGGGAGGTGCGTCTACGGAGAGGGAGCTGTATCAAATTATAAGATCATAGATTATCACTCGCGTGGCCTGAATCACGCGAGAGGTGTGATTTTCGCTAAAGCTATAGAGAGAACATAAAAGTGGATGAAATAATTGATGTTATGCTATTTACTTATAGTAGCTCTAGCTCGAGTTCTTCAATTATATATAAAGTGCTGACAAGAGTCTCTTGATGATCATCGGCGATGCTCTAGCTCAACCTACTTGGGATTGGTTTATAATAAACTGAAGGGCAACGTACTACAAGCTCCGATCGAAAGATCGAGAGGGTTAACTGAATGATTTATGCATTTTTACATATTTGAAACCCTCCGAAACCTGATAGGAGAACCAATGTCTTCCAATTCTCACAGCCCCCCGCTACGTTTTGGCCGACGAGATAACCGATCAAAGTTTGTCTAATGAGTACAGGAGGGAAAGAAACCGTTTTAAATAAACGGATCCTGTGGATAAACTGATATGTAAGTGGGAAACAAGCCTGCTGTATAATCTCCTGAGGTAGATGGTTGACAGGCAAAGGCTGATACCACAGGGAAGTGACGATCGATGATGGTTTTATATGAGGGCTTGTGGCGAAGTGTAGTCGTTATCGGTGATATCAAGTTATCCACACGTAGTTGTTAAGAGGCGCTAGAGGAAGGCGGCGGTAGTAGGAGTGTACACGCTCGAGCGAGACGTTTTTTTTTCTTTTTTGCAGCACAGAAACGAGCGCAAGTAGCCTCGACCACATGTTGGTCTTAATTTTTCGAATTTATAAAAGGTTTTAATTATATATCTATTTAAGAGAAAGGTCTTTAAGTGGCTCAATTTGTTTAGGATGCTTGATAGATCTGTGGAAGAGTTAAATATGGAGGCTTAATTTCCCCCCAGTATAGTTCACAGACGATCACTTGCTTGCGCGTGATGCACCCAAAGTGTTCTCATGTTACTTGCCTTAATTAAAGAACTAAAGGTACTCCACTGCTGTTGTTGAAAGGCTGCCTAGTAGTTAGTATGGGCCACCGCGTGAGTAGTGTCGGTGTTTTACGATCATAATATATCACTCGTTTCCATGGGTTAGGGCTCAATTTTAGAAGTAGTTCTGGTCTCAGCCGAGATCTTGCCAACTTTCTCCATTGGCTAAACCACATGAAATATACATTTGGTTTGTAGGATTCAAAAGATATCAAGGATATAGAAAATGAAGTTTTCCTGGAGCTATTACTAATCGTGGGCTACATGTGGATTCTCCCTTCAGATCAAGTGATCACGAGAATGCAATTAATGAATTAAACAAAAAAACAAAAAAAGTGATCACGAGAGACGTTTCCTATGTCGGTGATCGCTACATGTATGTACGAAGTTGTAGTTTGTCGACGACTCTTTATTTCTGTGTTTGCGGTACGTGTCATGAATATGGTCCTTGGATATCGTGATGAAATTGGGCCCCGAAGGTATGTGGTTATTATAGTTCTTATACGTTACATATTGCCCATTGAGAATAAGTTGGCCTTCGCTTTTGGTCTTTTCATTATGTAGCCTCAGGAATCCTTCAGTTCAATTCATAGCTCTCAAAGATAATCCGCTTTCCACATAACAGCATAATAATGGAGAATAGTTGCGCATCAAATAAGGGAAGGTGACTCAAAAAAGCCGAGATGGAGAAGAAAAGTATCCCAGTTATAGCAACCAACCTACCGAGACTTGCTATAAGTACGTATATACTTGAGTAGGTCGCAACGCATCAAGTTTTCCTTTTACCATCCCCTTACATTTGATATCCTACCCGACTAGAAAGGCTTTGGATTTCCTCTGGCTTCAACTGTAGTAGGTTAACCACCACTTATTATACATACGGCAAAAGAGTACCATAACCCTATACATGGATCGACTTTAATCGTGAATGACCGGCAAATTGAATGAGTATCAGTCTCTTGTTGCTCATGGAACGGCCCCAATACTGACATGATCTAGCCTAACCATACGAAAATGACCCAATAATGCTGCGAATGATGAAGGACACATAAATCTCCAAGCAACAGCGTCTGCACTGCAGGAGTCGCCAATATGTAGGATGCGACCACGATCCAGCCGAAAAAGAATTATGCTTAGCTGTAGAGGTGCATGTTGTAGTAGTTCGTGGCCGTCTATCACGCAGATCCAGGAACGCCCCCGGGTGATACGGGCCCCAGAATGCAACAGAGCAGACATAGTTCTCTTGATCCAATCGCTTAAGGGAATAATTACACCCTCTCCAACTGCTTAGTAGAGGGCCCCCCGCCAAGAAAGGGGGCATCCCAGCTACATCCAACCAAACCCAGAGTAAACACCACGCCAAGCAAAAAGTAGGGGTGGGTGAGAAAATTAGTAGAAAACCACATTTTCCCCTTATATGTAAATGCTCAAAACCCGGGTTCGGCATTACCAGGATACCTACGTGCATTTCTACCATAAAGCACTTACATACTGCCAGATTGCAATATGCAGCCAACCCAACCCCAACCACAGCATCGATCGACAACGTTAACCAACGCCCAACTCGATTCCCGATTCTGCGCTTTGTTTAACGTCCAGTAAGAGAGTGCGCTGCGTGTACCAAGATCTCGGACGCCCAGCCCGCAAGTTAAGGTGGACCAAGGTAGGTAGCTATCCTAACCCGGTATCGTGGCCACCAGCATATGGCCAAGCACTTGGCATCCTCGGCCTCAGGGAGGGAGAAATGATTAATAGTACCTAAATCATTAACACCTCGACCTCTCTTCACCGCTACATAACAATTCCAAAAAGATGGACTCCCTCCCATAGCTTTAGTGCACTAGCTAGATATTCAAATCGCCTTTCCGCCATTTCCCCAGGGAGTGAGGCGTTCGGGTGGCTGCTCCAGCCGGTTGGAGAGAGAGCTCCACTTTGACTGCGCCATCTACGTAAGGTCTCTGGTGGTTAAATAGATATTATGGTGGTGGCTTATGTAGCCGTTCTCGGATGTCTCGCCTTTTTTTTTTTGAGTCTGCATGGTGTCGAGTGAGGGACTGTGAAGGAGTGTGTCTTAGTCATGCATGTGTATCTCGGACAAAATCGGATGTCTGAACTATAGGAGGGCAATTCATACAGCCAATGTAAACTCGCCTCTCGTCAGTTGATATATGGAGTTAAATAACCTATATTCGTTCTGAAAGAGCACTCTGACACATGAAAGCTCAGACCCAACCTTCATAAACACCCAGGACCAACACCGGAAAGTTCCGGCGTCAACCAGACTTTTGGAAAGTACCGTATAAGATGCCCTGAAACGAGGCCAGATTAGCTAGGAGTCTAATTCACGGGGAGAAAACAATACTCGAACCCAAGCAGTTTGAAGTGGCGAGTAGTACGATCGTGAAAGATTAGCGGTGCCGTCCATACCCTCTCACTAGCTCTTCGATCCTCTCAAGCCATATCAAGTGGATCTCCAAGTGGATCTCCAAGAGCCTCATTTTGATATCGCATCAGAGGCGTTGCACATATGGTGGAGCACCACTCCCCAAGAACCCTCACAAGGCGTTCCGGAGGCCGATATCAAAAAAATTCAGTGGACCAGAGAAACACCTCTGATCAAATCCATCCCTTTGGCTCCAGCACGTGTCCTCGCCAACACCCACAGCGGGAGCCCTGCGCACTAGCTAAGCGTCCGGCGCTGACGCGGCCGCCACTGCTGGGCCCTGAAGCTGCGGGTTTTTAGATTTTGTTTGCCTGTTGCCGATAGTTTGTTTCAACGTCAATGTCGGCGGGTTGGCTAAGGTAGTCCCCGAGAGGTATTCAATTTGCAGAGGAGTAGACGGTGGGCTTGGCAGATATAAATTGAGTGGAAGGGTAGTATATGCGACTTACATGGGAGTTTGGGGGAATTGAATTGATATTACTCTTTTGAGTGGGATTTTAATATATGGCGAGGATCTTTACCATGGGGTTATGAGGGATGGGCATTGCATTGATATCGATTAATGAGGGTTGTTGATATTATCCTGTCTGTCTGTCAGTCTGCCTGTATCAACAACTCCAGACCTCTCTAACCTCCAACCTGATAACCCAAGCACGCCAATCCACGCAAACACCACTGTCTCGAAGCTAAGCATCTTTGCCAACCCCAATTGACCAGACTCAAGACTCAAGACACCCCCATCTAAATCATCTTCATGGACCGACCCTCCACACCACACCGGAGCAGCGCCCGAGCTTAATCTCAGCCGTTGAGGCCTTGGCGATGTTAGCCCACCCACCCACCCATCCATATCCCCATCATCCATGCCATCCTTTCGACTCCATCAAGAAACTGGTAAGCAAAGCACCTCCATAGGGCCAAAACACCTACATACTCAATCCCCGGCTACCCGACGACCTCGGCTACCTTGCAAGTCAAGTCCCCCCCCCTCCCCCCTAATTGACTACTCCTCCCATACCGATGCCGAGACCACCGTATCCCATCCTTCATCCATCCATACATGTAGCTAGGCATGCCGAGACTTGGTCCTGGACACTGCAACCAAACCCAACCCCAGCCCAACGGAGGACCACGGCGCTAGACATGGAAATCCCTACTTGTCACTTTTGAGCAGCCCTGCAAGATGGAAGTTACCGTTGGTAGAGTTGGAGAGCCATCAAGACTAGAGAAACCTCTGCCTCGGCTACGTTACACCATGGCCCCCGTGAATTCCCGCTGGGCTTTGCCAATTCGTGGGGGGGGGGGGGGAGTGATCGCGGAACACCTTTTTTTTGAGGCGTCTGGATATTTCTATATGCGCGCCAAGAAACTGCTCTGGAACGTACCGTTACGAGTTGCGGTGGAATGATAAGTACATGCACAGTCGCTCACCTACTGACGGCGGGTCCTGTCTGATGGTTCTGTTTGCAGTAATTTGCCCTTAGCATCCATACCCTAACTCTATTATTGGCCTCAAATCCCTGACCGCCGTCAGACAGGATCCGCCTTCACCCCGTGAGTGAGTGTACCTTTCTTTACATAGCATATCGTGGGGTTGCGGTGTGTGCATGTACTGTGTTACTGTGATTGCACCTAAAGTCCTAAAGGAGTGAGCTGTAGTCAGTTTAAACATGGTAGATCCCTCTTGCGAGGGATGTGAAACGGCTTCCGCTTACGTGCATGGGCAAAAGCCTTATTGCTCATGTTCCACCCTGGCTGACTGACTGGCTGGATGGCTGGTGGCTGGTTGGCCATCCGGTTTAGCCATCAGTATCTTTATCATCATCAGATATCAACCGTAATTTGGTGGGGGGAAGCTTTGTAAGGTCTGGGGATGATTAATTAGGTAAACGTCGAGTAAAGTGCATGTGTAATATAAAGCTGAGAAGATTTTATACCAATTCATTCACACTATGTATATAGAGAAACACACAAAGGAAAAATAAATCAGTGGAGCAGCATGTAGTCTATAGTGCAATGCATAGTATGGTAGGTATCCGTAAAAAATAATCGAAAAACATAAACAAAAAAAAAAGGACAAAAGGAAAAAAAAAATCAAAGATGCGCCCCCCCTTCCAGTCCCGTCTTCCCCCGTCTTCACAAGTATTGTACGTTAAAGTTACTACATATCATACACGTCTCATCCCGTCCCATTCCCATCCCGTCCCATACCTTTTTTATCCACACACCCCCCACAAAAGAAAATATAAAAAATCCAGAAAAAAAGAAATATATATGGTTATTGTACTACGAAAGAAGGGAAAAAAAGGGTGCATGTTCGAGGTTGTTTAGATGGCGCCGCAGGAGTCCTCGATGATGTTCTCCTTGTGGTTCAGCTCGTTCTGGGTGAATCTGGAGTTGTACTTCATGATCTTCTTCATCTGATTGTACTGCTCAATCGAGACGTGCAATGGCTCCTGGACGACGAACCAGTTGATCTCCTCCGTGCATGGCGGGGTGGTGAGGGATCCCTTGTAGTTGTACACTGTTGACTTTGCGACCTTCTTGGTGATCGATCTATATGCATAACCAATTAGCCAATCAAATTCCACATATAGGTAAAAAAAAAAAAAAAATTAAGCAAAATAAAAACATACCCAAGGTGAATGTTTGCAGTTCCTTCATCTCCCTTCTCCTCCACATCCTTGAGTCCCGCCTGAACACCCATCAAGAACCCATCTCCAGGTCCTCTCGCCACATCAAAGAACACACCCACTACAGCCAACGACTTATCCGCCGCATTCTGATGGACAAAGTGGACCTCGAGCGGGAAGTGCTCCTTGTTCAATCTGTGCTCACTGGGGGTGTGGAAGTGGAACTGCAGCAGCTGGTACTGTTTCCCACCGAGGGTGGCCGTGAAGTTCGCATTCTTGGGCGGCGAGTACTGGAGGGTGTGTCCGTTGTTCTCCGAGGTGAAGCTGGCCTGGGCGGGGTATGAGAGCTTGGTGGAGACGGCGGTTCCAATGTCGGATTTGGTGTCGACGTTGATGGGGGATTGGGTCTTTCCCTGGGCACAGGCACCGTTGGTGGTGGCGTTGAGGTGGTGCCAGACGAGCGGTCCGCCGGCACCCTCGTAGGTGAAGGTGGCTTCGCCGGCGCGGGGGTAGATGCAGGCGGAACTGAGGGAGGTGAGAGAAGCAAGGAGGACGATTGAGAACTTCATTGTGGTGGTGGTGGTGGTTGGTTGGGGGTTATATCTAGTAAATTTCGAGTGTATAATAGTATGTAAATGTGAGTATCTTGATTGTAATATCGATCGAGTAAGGACTGTGGTGTTTCTGCGAAGGAATGAAGTTGGAGTAGTGGTACCGAGTGTGTATGGACTGATTGTTTGTATTAATGATCATCATGGATGGGGGGGATACCCGTCCCTATTTAATAAAGGCTCATGTCTGATAGGAGCCTCATAGCTCACGAGGGAAATTCAATGGAGGGGCGCTACCGGATAGATCAGATGTAAGGCATCGTCATGCTAGACTTACTTAGCCACAAGAAAAAAGGGTAAAAGCTCAATCTCCCATCTTTTGTGAACACTCTCATGTGGTGGTGGTAGTGCTAATTGTGGTTGTTAGAGCAATTGTATGTCTCAGGGGAAAAGTGGTAGTCCCCATCTGCTTAACAGGACCAGGCCCCCTGCCTGCGTCGCCGATCGGTAACCACTGACATATTTAACTAATGAGGAAGCAGTCTAACTGGTGGTTTCCGCTCGCTTCCTTTCTACTCCCCCACCTGTTTTTTCTGTAGAGGTACTCTAGCTCCAGAGGTGGGTACCAGTATCTAGTCCCTTCCGGCCGAGGTCTCTCTGAATTATTATTTCCCCCTTGTCAAGTCCACCCCCGGATTCCTACGAATAGTAACATCCAGTCATGCTCAAGAAAGCCATTAACAGCAGTAATTAGGTACATCTCATGTATGCACGGAATATAAGACCCTTTTCCAGTTGCTATCAACTGCACGAGGCTCCTTCCAAGACATGTATTGAAATGAGACCTTTTGCTCCTACAATTAATGGCCAACCAAGAAAGAAAGCAAAAAAAGGAAAATCACTACGCTATTCTCATTAGCATTTCGTGCTGTCAACCTGTCAGTCAGTTAATCATTGATTTGTGCAGAATCTTTTTTTTTTCTCCCCACCGCTCATCGTGAGATTGATTTGCCTCACTCGGCGAGCGAGTATCATTTGCCGCATTTTGCCTCCCCCCTCCTCCTCACACAAAATCTCTTCACTTGATGACCGATTGATGTTCCTCCCCCCCTTCTGCGGCCATTGCTTTTTCCCTGCGCATGCCTTCTTCTCCGGTCCCACGCGGTGGGGTACATGCTTTTCCATACGGAAATGGACGGAAACCGTACCTCCCTCCTCTATCCCAGCCAGTAAGCAATTGCAATCAGAACAGAGTTGTCTCACTCGCCCTCAGTCGAACTTAGATTGGCGGCGGGCGTCTCCCCGTGGTCACAATCCTACGAAACAAATTTCTCCTTTTTTATTTTTTTATCCCTCTCCCCCCTTCCGAAATACCGCCGTCGCTCCGCATGAAATATCCTCGCGGTTGTGCTCTTGTGCTCCTGTAGCCGCGGTGAAGATGGCTATTTCGTCTGAGCTTTGAGGAGTGTAACTACTAGTTAGTAGTCTTGTAGATGCTGTGGTTGTTGCTATGGCTTGGTATTCACTGTCAGTCATCAAGCAGAAAAGTTGGCATTTTCTCCTAAACCGGCCAGAGAGTTGGTTTGCCTCGAAGGGCGCTTGCGATGCGATATTCGTTGTCTTGGATCAAATTGGGACAAACCACTCGAACATCTATCCGGCCAAGAAGTTGAGCCTTTATACTCTTCCAAATGATAGATGAAAGTGGCATGATTTATTGATTTTTTATTTCTCTTCAGAATGATTATCTTCTCAAAGCCCTGTTTATTACATACATTCCCGATAGATTAGATGATCCTGGAATGGAGAGGAGTAATAATGGTTTTCCTGATATTACTTTGTTCACTGATCACGAATTTTCTTTGCGATACTCTGCGAGTTACCTCGCCTCTCTCCCTCCGTATCCCGCGTACCGGTTCATCCGCCGGCATTTTCTGTTGTGTTTTCTTTCTCGCCGGTGACCTCGGAGATGCGTGACATGACTGGTCAGCTGTGGGGTGAATAAGCACCTAGTTGGGGGCCTAAGGATTTTGTTTTTTTGCGAGGCTGTGGTGGGTAGATCTAGATCTGGAGAAGGAGGAGGGTTCCTCTCGTCCAACCAGTCCTCTCTGTTGGCGGTTGCTGTTGTTTCTCCCGATGGCGTACGTCCTCTTGACCAGATTCGATCCATCATGGCCAACTTAATTCTCGTGAGTTTTCTTTCCCTATCCCCAAGCTGCTGCTGCTACTACTGCTGCTGCTGCCAGTGAAGTTGAATCTCATTCTTGGCCCCTGCTGCTCTTGCCCCGTCTGAGTCAAGTTTCATGCAACTCACCGCCCCTTTGACGTTTCGGTTAAGGGTGTGCCAAGATGTCTATGCGTGACAAGCCTTTTTTGCTAAACCCACGTCCCAGTCATCCGGGTAAATACAGGAATAGATAGACGAATTAAGACAGCAAAATGTCTAAGATGATGGTGTGCGGAGGATAGTTATATCTGTAAGCATGAAGAACTCAAGGGGAGAGAAACGTTTGTTTCTGGGGGAGGGGCGGGGAAGTGCGGGCGGACGAGATGAGGAAGTCTGCATATATGTGGGATTCATTATTAAATTGCAATAATATCTGAAGATGAATATATCGTGACATTACCGACACAGCTTAATTGTGCCACTTAAAGTAGGGCAGGCACAGACAGGGCTTGTGAGGCTGAAACTATCGTGAACCCCCCACGGGCATAATAATACATATCAGTATTTGTTATTGTTATTGTTGCACAAGGAAGAGCCTCTTCTCTCTGTCCCTCAAGTGCTGATAATAATATGGCCGATGGATACATGTAGGGTACGGTATGAGTGGTGCACTGGTTCCCGTTACCTACATACCCTTACACACCGCTGTAGCTGTGCAGCAGTGCAGGCTGTAGAGTACGTATGTACGTACGTTTACCAGCAAGCCTTCGGTTCACGCACCCACAACGTCGCGTCTCCTCCCTTCTTCCTCTCCAATCAATCAATCAATCAATCAATCAATCAATCAATCAATCAAATCAATAAAACCGCCCTCGAACACTGTGAGCCATAATACCATCTGCTGACTGACGGATCTGGCTCTCCCGAGCACGGACCGATGCTGCGAGATGGGCTATGTATTCGGATTCCGACCGGTGCGATTCAACCCGACCTCCGGGGGCTTCGCCGATTTGCTGGGGTCCATCTCGTTATTTACAGCAGGCGAATCAGGGGAGATGTCCTGTCTTCTGCATGGTTGGCTGTCCTGTCTTCTGAATGGTTGGCTGGACCACTATCAATGCATTGTAGGGTTCCTACATCTGGAGGACTGACCGGCCGGTCTCATCGCCCAAACCTTATTCTATGTCGCGTGTTCTGGAAGTACCAACCAATACCACTGATAAAGTATCGGTGCCATTTATCCAGCTGCTTGAACGTTGTTGTCGTTTATTGCCGCGTGTCAACTCCCCACGGGAGGGTAGAGTAATCGCGCCGAATGGTTCATGGAATATCACTCGCTCCGGTCATCTCTCCCAGAAGGTTTCGAACTTCCCCGTATTCGTGTTTTCAATTATCCGTGAGGGGTACTGGATTACTTCCAGACCGATGGCATCTTCCGCCGTCATAGGAGTTCAAGTCAAGTCTAAATTCGCTGATGATCAGCGTGAACATGGTCATCTCGGGTATGATACAAGGATTCCCTCTACTCTACGTATACGCTGCATGCTGCTGCCTAAAGATAATATACAGTGCTGGCGATATTTTTGGTCAAGGCGAAATCATGGTTAACTAAACAATGTTTTAAGCTGTTCTGTTCATGAGAACAACAGTCATCCAATTTGACGCATCAAGACAAGTAACCCACACCCAATAGTGGTTCAATTGACGCTTATACCCAACAAGTACACTAACACAGACCAGTGCGCACCACCGTGCGCTCTTCCATCCGTCCAGATATGGTAGGCACTCTATTTTCTCAAACCAAACCCCTAACCAAATAATAACTTGCGTGATTTAACACCCTCCCCCTCAAAATGTCTCGGGGATCCAAAATCTACGCGAACACTGGTAAGACATCCACTGACCTGACTTCACAGCCCCTCACTCGGCGACGCGATTAGATCTGATAACAGCCAAGCTTCCTGGCAGGGACTAGGCTACCTGCCTACGTACTAAACTCCCCACGGGTCAGCGGCGAAACAGAATTCGCGGGGGCCCAGCCCGTCGACGAGGCTCAGGGAGACTAGCTACATACGTCGAGAAATCGAGATGGTATGGTGATCTTAGACACTGGCCGCAAAGGGTCGACCGCTATTCCTCGCTGAATGCGCAGATCATGCCCGGTTGGGAAGGACAGTAGAAAAGGCCAAGGCTCTTGGCAGGAGGAAATGAACGCATTATCAACGGTTGTTATTCAGCGCATAGTAGGCGGCTGGCCGTTATCGGGGTACAAGATTCTGGTTTTCAAATCTTAAATCCTGGGGATGGTCAGGGCGAAAGCCACCCGATAGATGTGGCTGCGGGCTAGGAAATGAGGTGGGGGTGTGTGGTTAGCTAAGCTGGCCAAGAGGGATTAGTACTGCAATTATTAACACGCTTAGAATGGCAGAACGATAGCAAACAACGCCCTTAAAGCAAACATCTAGAGTGGTAAGCTACGCATGTGCCTGCCTGCATATTGGATCGCGGCTCCGTACGGTACTGTAGGTAGAGTAATATCCTATACTTGGCATTGGCAGCTATATATGGCGGGGCGGAAGGGAGGGGTTCGAGAGGTATTTTTTATCTCACCATATAACAGCTCTGGAGTGGAGTCCCAGTTCATATGCTCGGTCTGGCAGTGATACCTCACAGGAGAATACGGTTCTTTCTTTTGAATGGTTTCCGGGTCTCAATGCTTATGGACGGATGCGCCAAGAATGGTATTATCCAGCAACTGTGCAAGTAGCTGACACTATCGATATCTCCGCGGCAAGGAGTGCGAATAATGCGAATTTTATGATGATGCTGGCGACTCCTGAGATGGACTGGGCCCACTCCAGTAAAGGGGTACAAGCTCCAGGAGATGAGATATCAGTGATACTAACCCTGCATTACAAGAATTGAAATTTGAAATAGCAGAAAGAAAAAGATTATTACTGAACCTTTAAGCTTCATATGTATAACCAAGTACTCTCAGGTCGTTTCGTGCACCACCGGACATCTGTGATAATCATCAAGAATTTCGGGTCGACGGAAATTCGGGCACCTATGATGCTTTCTGGTGATAAGGCACTCTATGCACCATCTAGTATTGACGCGCTTTCTTGGCGTCTTAGCACCAGAGGAACTTCACAGGATCTCACTCGATTATGGTGAAAATCAAACTGGCTGTTATTGCTGTTAATCCATTGATAAACCAAACTGACTATTTGTTAGCCACGATCACCCACCTCATGAGATATCAACCATAATGACATCAAGTGGCTATTCCAAACTCCATGAGTCCATACCAATGTCATTACATCTGAGGGTAGACGAGACAAGTCTGTTACCGAAACCGAAAAGCGGCTGGAACACATAAGCACCCAAGCATACACATATACTACCTGTTCAAGTCCATCGTGATCGACTCTGAACCATTGCTGAGATCAGTAATCAAGCTGTTGATCTCCTCAAGGATTAAACTGCTCTTAAAAACCCGGGGATCATATATGGCATATAGGCTCCGCGCGACAGAATCTCGGACTTAGCTTGTTGGAACTGAAGGGTGGAAGAAAACAAGATAAATAGAGGAAGTTCTGGCTAGGAACCCATACTATATTGCGAAAACCGCGAAAAGACGGCCTTTGTTTAATTTTTCTTTACGGAATCAAAAACTCAGCACAGATCACACCTTTCTCTGGGTCTCGTGCCTCCAGGGTTCGGAATAATCTATGCAAATTCTTTCCCGTGATGACACCTAAGGAATATAGTGCCTTATGAGAGTACGCCACTAGCAGCCTCGGCGCGGTGATAAGAACTGGGAAGGATAAATGACTCTTGTTCGTGCAGATATCAAGTTTGAGGGTGAAAATGATACCGACCACCACCGATCCCACCACCGGTGAATCCAGCAGATAGATCTGTAGAGTATCGGGCTAAAACAGCTTTTAGCCATCTGTACTATGTTTTTCCCGTCGATATATCTATTTCATGATCCCAATCCATCGATCGAATCAACTGAGTTGGCAGGGATAGCTGGTCCTGAGTCGTGGATTTATACCTCCTGATGGGGCATAATGGGCTGGACAACACATTTCTTTGGTCGTGTTTGCCCACATATAGGTAGGTCATAAGTTCTATCTAAAGAATGAACAATCCTATCACCGGGGTTGAATATGATGGTTGAATGCGATCAGTGGAGGAACAAACAATGGTATCTGCGCGAACCCTAACCCTGATTATACCGAGTGAGATATTGTGATACATTTCTTTTTTGATTACTCATTATATTATGGGCATTGGTTCTGTAGACTCTGCCCATTCATACTAGATGTAGATATGATTAGCGACTATAACATTCAAGAACTACGTTTGCAATTCACGTAACAACTTGAGGGTCATCAGAGAATGGGATCGCTGATCGTTCTTGAAAGAACTAATACAAAGGAAGATAAAGGAAGTGAAAATTTTGCTAGTTCCATCGGTTCGTCCGCCATTGAATCAGAGATGACTAAAATCTTTTCTGTTGTGATTTGTTAGATTTCAGTGGTGGCGGCATGCAGATTATTCTAACTCGAGGCATTCCACGGCATTCTATACAAGTCGGTTTTAAAAACGAAGGCGTGTATCATGAAGGTCATAACACTATGGCTTAGATGATACAGAACACCAGAAGAAATACCTTTCTATAATCATCCCTAAAAAGTTTTTCCAATGTATTTGAGCACGTGTTGTCACTATTTTGCTCACTGACAGAAATAAAATTTATTCTACGGTGCTTCCAGGATTTGCTGGTTTATATACCGTGTGAATAGTTCCTAGACTCCTTCTTAAATCTCTCTATACATCAGAAACCTCAACTACACCTCTCAATCATCTTCCTTGATGCATTCCTGGAGGGGTTGGCCTCTTGGAGCAATACGCCTCGGAGCCATGCCCGCCGGAGCAATACACCTCGGAGCCATGCCCGCCGGGGCAATACCCATCGGTCAAACCCACCTGACTAGTTAGTCAAAAAATAACAACCTTAATATCAACATGGATACTCATGAGTAAGATCCCTCTCTGTTCTGATATGTCTCACAGTTTCATGTCTAACATTCATTCTTATTATAGTGACCCTCGAAGTAGCAATTGCTACTATAATTCTCAAGGACACTCGAATGCTGCCTCAGAGTTATAGCACAGAGCATTCTGTGCTCTAAGATATACTCAAGAGTACAAAAACATGGATACTCATGTGTAAGACCTCCCTATCATATGTCTCATAATTAATTCATTAGCTCATTACAGCTAACCTAAGTCGTTCCCATTATAGTGACCCTCGAAGTAGCAATGGCTACATCAATTCCCATCCATAGGCCGGCGCAAATACTTATCCCTTCGTTCGGTGCGAGCTGCTACTCTTATCCCTCGTTCGATACCAACTGCCACACTTATCCCTTCGTTCGTTTTGACTATAAACGCTATTGGGGGAGTTTAAGCGACTTTTATCGACTCTTGCACACCTAACCCACGCTCCACGAACCTCTTTAAGCTCGAAGTCACAGTTAGTGACCTCTTTTTCAACAGCTCTTTCCACTCCTAGAGGGTATTCACTCCTGTAGCAGTTAGGATTTTGAATATCAACTTGGCTATTCTATATGAATCGCGGGCGCGAACGAAGGGATTGCTAAGGTCTCAAATCAAGGCTGGTCAGCTCGATCCCCAATAAGGGTTTCCGATATCGTGGAAAGGTTGGAAAGCCATATATACCCGGGGACTCCAGAATCTCTGTAGAGGCCGCCGCTGTGATTACCCAGAAGAAAAGGGTTTTCTGCCTCCAGGCCCTTCTCAACCTCAGCGCTTCCCCTGATTACCACAATGCACGCCACAACCCCCATCATTGATAGCACTGGCATTGGCGGTATAAGCCACTCCCAGACTCGCCGAGATATCACCTCCAGATTCTCAGGCTCGTTGAGAAAGTTTGTTAACTTTCTTAACAAATCGAAAGAGCGCGGGCCAGAGTTTGAAGTCATTCAGTCAGAACTTGCCGACTCACCCCCCAAACTCAAGTGCTATGGGGGTAATTGGAAATATGACTGTATGAACATTATCCATGTGCTAGCGCACTACGAACACTTGTTGCCCTCAAGAAGGCCTGGCAGGCCTTGCATTACCTATATGGTAAGGGGGAGATTGATAATCACGGTGCCTCTGGATCCAATTGGCCAAATTCATACATTCAAGGGAATGTTGGCGGGAATCAATGCATTCACACAACACCTATCGATTACCGTGATTGATCAGGACATTAAAGATGTGGTATATGATTATGCCGCAGAAGTTCGAGGCATCGAGGAGCAGTTTATCTCGTATGCACAGTATAACCCCTCAAACGGGGCATTCGGTCAATATAAAAAAAGGGGGGGGGGGGGGAGTGCATCACGTGGTCTAAGAGGTGTACTGCAGTAGGACACATTCATGTCCATCGTGAGGTTGAAGGTCAACGATCTCTTCCCTCTACGCCAATACAATCACCAGTACCGACTCACAAACTATCTCCGAAATAAACGCAATAATTTCAAGCTCGTTAGCAGAGTTTTCAGATCTTATCAACCAAGTGGTGAGTAGTAGTTTGTTAACTGTGTTTTGATGTGATGTGGGGTAGAGTCTGATATGAGTATAATTCTTTCTAGCCCCCAGCTCGCAGAACGGTTTCGACAACTCTGGATACCGCGACCATATTGAGTGGCAGACGGGGAGCAACGAGAAGCTCACCCTTGGAAGAGCCAGATGATGAAAGGAGCCGGAGTCATGGATCAGTCTCTAGTGACCCTCACCCGAAAGGAAGTAATCCTTTGGGTGGGCACAGATTTAGAGGCATTTAAAGGACGCTTGCCAACTTATTCTACTGAGATGACTGTGAGTACGTACGTATGATATAGTGAAATTAGGGCTTAAAGATTTGCAGTCTGTGAATTACGATGCTATAATACTTAACAAGTTATGTTTCATTCCACAATACATCAACTGTGTATGACAAGGGGGATCTAGGGAGGAATCTTTTACTATCGTTGTCGAGACACTTATTGATACTACACTTAGTAGTTACTAAGATATATGTATATACATGTCCTCTTGAATTTGGTTTTTTTGTACTTTAAAGAGGCCAGATCGAGATACGCGTGTCTTTTACCTGAATGAAAAAGAACCTGTGGAGTACGCAACAACCATAATCGCTGGCTATAAGTACATTCTATTCCTCAGGAATATCGGCGCGTACTTTAATATCTGTGATCACAAACAAAATGCAAAACAAGGATGACACCCACGAGAGCTCATACAAAGAAGGGGAGGGAACAATCTCCCCTATGGGTGGAGCGGCCTTTCATTCAGATGTGGTCTCACTGATTTTCAAAGGTCGATGGAGCCTTCAGCAGTTTATCGACTGATTCGAAAAAATGCCCTAGAGCCATCGAAAGTTCTGATGTCGACCACCGAGGACAGAGTCAAAGATATCAATGTCGCCTTCGATTCCACGGGCGCCTTCAGGACGATATCACGAGAATTATCGAGAGATTTTACATCATCAATGTTCACAATCAGTGGGCCCCGAAATCGTTGTTAAATTTGAAAACCATATGAAGATCGTGCGGGTATTGGATGCAAAGCTGAATATAATACGCTATAGGTTTTCTCAAGACGGGAGGTTCAATGTTAAGAGACCAAACCGCCGGAAGACAGAGGATGCACCGATAGATGATATGCAACTTATAAAGGAGTGTGGGTTTAGGCTTTGACGTAGCTAAGCTGGCTTGAGTAGGATAGAATTGCGGGTGTGGACTTGCTGAATCATACCATGACGAAAGAGATGGAAGCTCTCAAGCTGGTAAGTTCTTTAGTCATAGCTGAACATAAGGCTAATCAGCCACAATCTATCGGGTTAGAGTAGATTAATGATCTGTTATCTTCTATTACGGATACTGTGGGGAGGCTTTTGCGGGACAGAAGGGCTCAGAGGTAAATTGACTAGACACATATGTAAATTTGAGTTGAGCGTGATTTGTAGGAGGTGGGATTAATGTATTATATACGGGTAACTGGGTGGTGCGTGAAGGTTTCTCATGTAATTTTGTGTTTCTTGCTTCACTTACAAATGCGAAGTCTCGGTTTTTATTCCCAAAGAATTCTGAATTCTGAATTTCAGATGATTTTATTTTTTCCAACCCCTTCTTGATAGAATGTCAAGTTCTGGCTTATCTTGATAGAGGATCGGCCAAAATTAACATTGCTTGCAGCACATCAAATCTCTCCCGAGTCCCCTGGTTCTCCCGGTATTATACTTTAATAAGGTTTTGAAGTGGAAGCATGATTTCATTGCCGGTCTCCACGTTTCGACCTTTCGGGGACGGAGGCCGGCAAAGCCATGGTTTTTTTGTGTTTATGTACAAATAACTATTTTCAACTATGGTGCAAGAGGGAGTAGAGGGCGACTCCGTCAACCCTGTACATACCACTTTAGTCAATTCCTTCATTGGCTTTGGGAAGCAAACATTGAGGAGCCTCACCTTTAACTCGACTTTATGGCTGTAAGGGCTATAATACTGAACTGGTGTGAACAGGGATGACAAGGTCGCCCCCAAAGCCTCTCGCACCATAGTTAAAGAGCCTTCATCTCATAAAATACCTGTACGGCCTACACGCACACCTTCGCAATGAACATCTGGTCCGCCAAGTCCACCGAGCCATACTACAAACCCTAACCCATGCGACTCGAGTGATAGATCATGAGACAACCTGATTTCATTGCTACCTTACTATTTTCATAAGGTCACAAGGGATTACAAGATAATAATTTATTATAGCACACCCAAATCAATCTGTTGACCACCACTAGTGCGTGACAACTCTCCCTGGCTAGCTAGCTATTCTATTATGTTGGTTTTGTTTTCAATAACGTCATAGGCAGAGGTCCAATTAAATCCCACCGACAGCTAAGAACGGAGTCATGAGATATAGTTAGGAGGAAAGCTACTCAAATATAAATGATGTATTGGCTCTGGGGTAAATGTGGACTTCTACAGCATTTATACATGATTTTGTTGTATAAATATGCGTACAGACATCCTTCTTCCTACTTAATTCCACATACCCTAATACCCTTATTTTGATATTGGTGCAAGCTACAGTATACGCGCAGTAATTACAACAATGCAGTCAACTATCCCCATCGCTAGTCCCAGATCGCAGAGTATCTCCGAAATAGAAACAACAATTTCGGGCTCCTTAGCAGAGTTTTCAGATCTTATCAACCAGGTGAAAGAGCCGGATAATGAAAGAAGCGGGAGTCATGGGTCAGGTTCTAATGACCCTCATCCGAAAGGAAGTAATCCTCTGGGTGGGGACAGGTTTAAAGACATCAAAAAGACACTTGCCAACTTGTTCTCTAGGTTCAGGAGCGTTGGGGGTAACCGGGATAACTGTCTTGGCATGATACGGGAGCATGAGAAAAGGGTTTTTCCGTCAAGGATCAAGCTATTTGGGGATTGGGTATTGCGTATATGGGATATACAGTCAACCGATGGGCAGATCCACACACCCAGGACTGATGGGGCCGAAGATCTGATTTCGGTACTTCGTAGAAGTTAGTATTTAGTTTCCTTTGAATTTGCGATTTCATTCTAGTTTGTTTCTACCTTTAATCTAGATCTTGTAATCAATGAATGTTTTAGAATATAAATTAAATTACAAATCATAAATCTTTGCCGAGAAAGTAATGTACGTATATGTACAATTGTAAGTGATAGTCGTATAAAAGTATTGCAATAATTATAAACATCTCGTTAAACTACGGTTTAGGAACATACTTACGTCGGGGTGCAGAACATTTGGTTTCCGTCAGAAACACTCAAGTCATGACTTTAAAAATTAGATCACACTCCTAGAGAATAGACTCAAAATTCTAATATTATTATAGAGAGAGCGGATTGCATATAAATGGCAATTAGCACATAAAAGAGCGCACAAGTATTAGGATAAGCTGTAGTTGATACGCCTTAGACGTAGATTTTGCTTCCATTACTCAATGCCTTGAATGAATGATGTGGAAGTCCATCTATTTCGGTTCGTGATCTGTACGGGGCGCTGATGAGAATCGAGATGATTTACACATTGGTGTCGATCTAGCAAATTAAAAGGTACCTGCATGGCAACGCAACGAGGCCCCACCGGTTCACTACCGCACTGTAAAGCCTCTAATTGATGGGAGAAATGGCTGCACAACTAATTCTGGGCCCCGCCAAGATTCTCTAAGCATTAGGAAGGTTTGGAGTTTATCTGTTATGTGGCTCCCCAAAATAAGGATTTGGTTGTGCTGACGGTTTTGCTAGATATACATATCGACACTTATGTGTGGCTATACAGTAATACTCGATATCTATAAATATCTCTGACTTCATGGGAAAATCATCAAATACAATAAGGAGAGCATCGCTACCATTGAGCTCCTGGCCAACCCAGGGAGCTCTTTTCTAGACAAGATCCATGAGTTGATAGTAGCCCTAATCTTTTATATGATCATGGAACTGAAATTAAGGCCGAGGAAGGTGAGGTCGTGCTATGCCACCAATACTCAAGGGTAGGTCTTCACGATGGATTAGAGATTTTCTCGAGGTAAAGTACCAAGTATGACTCAAGCCAAATAGCGGGCTCACCTTACTAAAATGTGAAGCTTCGTCAGTCATGATCAGAGTAATTAAGGTTTAATGGGTAGGATGGACTTACGATCTGGGAAGATAAAGACGTACGGATGAAAGTTAGCTAATAAGTATCTAGCAGTACGCTGTCATATATTCCTCCACGTTATTCTTGATTAAAAAACGCACCTTCGTTCATCTCGCGCCTTGTAGCTAAGCGACTGTTTTCGTAATAGGCCTGACTCACTCGCTCACTGTTGAATTCCCGAATAATGAGTTATCGACCGCTCTGAGGATTACTATGAGAAGGCGCTTACCCCCTATTATTTATCATCAAATTAAATAGTCAAAAATTTCATGTTTCTTTTATATATAGTAGTACTATACTCCCTTGAGGTATGGTCTCATAAAGGATCGAAGACTTACATTAAGGTATTCATATCAAAAATAAGGTTGAAACGGCGAAGGGCTTTTATATCGTGGAAGTCATTATCGCCCGATGTGCGCCATGGAATACTCAAATCTTTTCCAAGGTTTTTCTTAATAACCCTCATTTTCATGGTGTTTTTGATGACTCCAAGCTGAATAAATTGGGCTGGTGAAACCGGAAACCACCTCATACATTCGAAACTTAATCCAGGAATACTCGAGTCAGATAGGTTCAACCACAGCCTGATTAACATAGATGTAACCACTATTAGGAAAGCTATTACTAACCATATATTTCTACCTTTGTTGTTGAACCTGACGCACCAGCTTTGGCAGAAAGGACATCTTTCGCCCTCTTGGTGCTCTTTTGAAGGTACATGTAACAGCATTGTCATTGATATTACCATCCCCGGCTTGATGGCGGTGTTCCACTGCTCGCTCGATAAAGCTAATTTATTCTGCTCGTCGTAGATTTCGAATCTCCCATCATTTACCCATCTTTCTCCAGGCAAGGACAAAAAACTTAGCTTGAGGTGACCATAAAATTGCTACATATCATGAGTATGAGGTTTAGCAACGATATACGACACTACTTGAGAAGCGATGTACTGCTTAAGAAGATTGTGAATGGGTAACGATTACCTCCCAAGTAGCGCAATATTCGAAAGGGAGAGCCATACGTCTATCTAACGCGTCGGTAAAAATGACACCCTCGAAGTCAAGATTTCGAGCGGATGGGTCCCTGAAAATGGTGTTGCCGTCCATATTACGCCTCACTATAGCGTTGGTTTCTTGGTTGAGCTGGCTGATGGTCGCACCCAGTAGGTCATCATCCATCAGTTGATTAATTAGAGATGGGAAAATCAGCTTACGCATTGGAAAGGTTCTTTTGCTTTTCAAGAGGCCCCATTTCATTCTCGAGCTCGTCAAGTAAAGCCTTGATGGACCTTTGTTTGCAGGCGGCCCACTTGGCCTTCGTGATGACCGGTTTACTTTTGCTCGATGTCTCTTGGGAGGGATCGTATTTATCGAGTAAAACTCGGATATTGTCGTAGAGCGACTTACATCTAATTAATGAGGCTTGGTCTTGAGTTATGGGCCCAGCCAACGTCGGCTCCGTGTGCGAATCCTCGGCAGTAATGGACTCAGTAAGAGATTTGAGTGTTATGTCGGCTGTCCTCAATCTATTACACAGGCTATTATGGGAGGAGGGGAACCCTCTGTAGTCCTTGTAGAAATTAATGAGGAGTTGAGTACACAGTATCGCATCGCCAATGCTGACTGGAAGAGCCATGGATGAAATTAGCGACCCACCAGAGGTTGAACGAGGGCTAAAGGGTGGCAAGGAGTCGATATATATATATCAATTCAGGCATAGGGCGACTAGAGTATTGCCCCAGTTCGAGGCTGAGTAGTCATTTATGGCGTACATATACCCCGGAAGGGTGAGTGCATCGTGTAAAGTAAAGATGACATGACTGTTGCACCTCTACCTTGCACAGTGTCTTGTATACATATATTTCTCGCTGTAGTGGGCACAAATAAGTATGCTTCGAGACTGAGCATCCCCTCCTGAAGGTCAAGATGAAACACGTCTAGAGGTATGAATCCGAGGACTCGGTCGATCGGTTTTACAAGTATGTCTACTTGTGTATGAGAACCCTGGTGATATAGTTTTGGGTTGGAACTTCCAGTTAGATGAGTGTACTAGAAAGACTCGATAACTTGGATGGGCCATTCTTACATAGCTAGGTATGTATAAAATCCGGATCTACCCCAATAATTCACCCCCCCAAAAAAAACCCTGCCCCACACCCAGGAACATGAAGGGGGCCTTGTATCGAGTAGCTATGCTGGGAGTTAGTTGGTTGGGTAGGTGGGTCGACGGTGTCGGCGGTGTGATACGTGCAAGTTGCTTGGCGGGGTTGTGGGTGGATATCTAGCTCCCCGTGTATACGTGTCCAATAATATTATGCAATAATCCGTCCTCAGAGCTTTGCAACACATAGAAAGACAGTGCGAAAGGGTTCCGATAAGTCACATAAAACCAAAGTTCCGAATTCTGCCCTGGGCACCTGTACAGCCTACTATCATCCTAATCAGGTAACCAACTGACTTTTATTGCCTCATACAGCTAATACTGGGTGGTAAAGAAAACATGGAATATCACTCGCGGTCGTATTTCGCTCAGATCTTTGTGGCTGGCCGATAGATCAAGATCGACGGCGAAGCTAAAAATTCGACTGGACTAGGATAACTCTGATTACACGGACACGGCGAGCAAAAAGCCCTTTATTCGACTACCACGAATCCGATACTCTTGTTCGAGCCTGTAGGCCTGGGGTGGGGGTATGTGGGGTCCGCTGTCGATCCGGCTGAGCACTCTGTCATTGAACATGTGCTCGTTTTCAGTGGAACCTGGATGAGGCCGATCAGGGACCCGGCAGGTCTTGCACGTATTATCGTGTACAACTACGAAATTTGCCGGAACATTTACAACTCGCATGAAACATCTTGTATCGGCGATTTACAATACTCCTCAAACTATCATTGACACATTGGACGGAAATTTCCGAATCATAATATATCACTCGGATTCCTGCTCTTGGCGTATCAGCCGCGTGTTGGGGATCGAACAACAGTGTTAGATGGCCATTCTGTAGGAAAAGGCATCAATAATGATTAATTGGTGGTTGAGTGTGAGTGGTAGCACCGTTTAGCCAGCACTAAATGTTAATTCAATATTTGAACGGGTGCTGGCAGAAGGATGTATGCATAGCCTCATATTCCGCGGCAATTTGTATGCTCACATGGACTGTCAACGGGCAGTTATGTGCCTTGTATATGGGTTCAGGTACTTTCTCTCGTGGAACGGAAAAAGCTGACTGTTAGAATTTAGATGTGTTTCAGCACTATTTGATTTTTGATAGGTTACGGAGTCTTGGGCGGTGATGGATCCTTCTAACGGGGGCCAGTTGATGTTTATGGCAGAGAATAGACCTCGATATGTTTGATGGCGTTTCTATGAAGCGTTCCCCTCTCTCTTCGCTCGCATATATGGGCTATGTGCATGCGATTATACGCCTTGTATGGATGGCCTGAGGACTCTGTAGTTCTCTCGACACGGATGAGTAAGAGCCTTCCAGCGCGGTTTGATTTATGGTAGGCTGCGGATCAGTCTCCGGTAACCATAGATCTTCGATTTACGATTTGGAGGTTGACGTCTCAGCATAGTTTGATTGATGGGAGGCTGTGGTGTTTTGGGCAACGATGTATCCTTCTAAGAGGGGTCGGCCGATGTATATGGAGGAGAATGGCGACCACAGAAAGAACTAGGCTGAGGAGTCATCGACGTTGTGTTTTGTATGTGTGGCTCGAGTGCTCGGTCGAGTGTTTGATTCTCTCACAGAATAGCAAGAAGTGATTATGTAGTAGAATATAGATGTTTCCCAGCACGCTTTTGATTGGTGATAGACTGCAGAGTCCCGGGCGATCGAAGATGGATCCTTCTAAGAGGGTTTGATGTGTATGGCAGAGAATATACGGACTGAGCGACGATGGATCCTTCAAAGAGATGCTGATGCATATGGCAGAGAATAAAGATCACAGAATTCAAAGAGACAAGCTGAGGAGTCACTAATTCCGCGCACATACCCGTGCACTCCTTGTTCTAAGTGTAGCTTCCTAAATCTACAATTAGTCCGCCAAAACCTCAAAGATATTCCCAGTATCTACAGTATTCGAACTCTCGCCCAGCTTCTTGCCTTTCCCCCGTTTCTTCTTCTTCTTCTCGCTGCTGGCCCCAGCGAGCAGTTCCCGACTACTCGACCGTTTCCCGTTTCCGTTCCCTGGTGTGTCTATGTCTATGTCTTCCCCGTCATCAGCGTTTCGTATGCGGGCATAATACGCCGCCATCACCTCTCTCACCACCTTTTTCTCGTTCTCCCCAGCTAATGTCACTCCGTCCAGGAACCGGCTGCCATCTATACACTCTGCTACGCTAGGGAAAGCCTCGAACTGGTCCTTCCCCGTGGCAGCCAACACCTCCTTCAACACGAGCAGCGAGTACCACGCTGCCTGCGCCATCGCAAACACCTGCACCTTCTCCCACGTCCACCTCCGCGGTCCTGACCGTTCTGCGACTGCTGTTGGTGATGATGATGCCGAGAGCATATACGCCAGTCCCTCCAAGAGACTCCTTTCCGGCGGTGTCTGCCCGCGGTCTTCATACACGCCAACGACATCCTCCACTATCGTCCTGACCCACCAGTGGTCCTCTCCACCCCTAACCAACCTCTTCAACACCCCCGCCGACTCCATAGAGCGTATAAACGCCTCCGAGATCCTCTGCCCGCGGCGACACACCTCCATGACACCCTCCTTAAACACAAGCCCATACGCACCCGCCCTCACCGCCCTCCCCGCGTCCCACGCACTCCCCTCCCCGGATCCTCCCACAGAAACGGCAGCCACATCCTCCCGCCTGCCCCTTCCCCTGCCCTTCCTCTCCCCGCCCCCTCGAATCCAACAACTCTGCAATCCTAGGCTCCACCCCACCCCCACCCTCTCCTCCCTCCCCCTCTCCAGGCAGCTCATAAACCGCCCTAAACTCCCGCCAGCCCTTCCCATACTCGCCCACCGCCACCCCACTGCGCTTCCGCTCCTCGATCCTCCTGACGCGCTGCTGCAGCACGGGAAACGTCGCGTGCGGGTCCGCCTGCAACAGATACCCCAGAAACGCCAGGTCAACGCCGAGCGTGCCCGCGATCGCGCACGGCCGGAACACGACGCACACGGCGCCTGGGAACGTCAGTGTCACGTCGCGGAACATGATTACGCCCCAGCCGTTGTTCTGCTGCTGCTGCTGTGGTGCAGCGGCGAAGAGGAGGAGGTCGGAGTCGCCTGTCAGCACGATGCCGCCGGTGTTGATGGCGTCGCGCGCGCAGTAGGATTCGGCCTCGGCGGGGACGGTGGACACGGTGGAGGTGTAGGTGGCGTGGGAGGTGAGGGCGTCGATGGTGGCGGAGAGGATGAACGGGGGCGCGGAGAGCGGGGTTGTGCGCGGGGTGCAGACTGCGTGCTGTGTGAACGCGGGTGCGGAGGGCGGTGGAGGGGTGGCGCGGGTGGGGAGGGAGTGTGCGTGCAGCGAGTGGTAGGACTTGAGGCGGCGGAGGGCGTCGTCGAGGCGGGAGTGCCGCGTGGGGCGCTTGGAGGCGGGGAGGTGCCCGTCGAAGTAGATCTTGCGGCTGCGGGGCGCGGGAGGTGTCAGTGGAGGGAGGGCGGGCGGGTGAGCGGGTGAGCGGGCTTACATGTGCAGCTGCGCGGCGGAGAGCTCGTCGAGGTAGCGGATGAGCGCGGTCTGGAAGGTGCTGTAGCTCAGCGCTGCATCCCACGGGTTGCCCGACGCCTGCGGGGTGCTGCAGAGCGCCAGCTGGTAGACGTGGTGCGCGAGGCCCGGGCCGTCGATGAAGAGGGGCGTGGGCGGCGCGGGGGGACTCGGCGGGAAGGTCTCGGGGTGGGCGTAGGGGCGGAGATGTGTGTAGAGGTGCGGGATGCCCATTCTGTGAGGGAGGAGAGTAAGGGTGGAGGTTGCGGGCGTGAGTTGGGGTGTAGGTTAGGCGGGCAGAGCGATCATTGGCCTGTCCGTAGCTGGCGGGCTGTTCCTGTCGTGAGTGGGGCAGCGGGCGGGTGTCTGTGATCATTTACGCGATTTTGTTTCTAGCTAGACCAGTGCACCCGCAGAACGGACCCGCAGATAGACATTCAACACCAAGACCCTTCTTTATATTCTTCTTGTTCATCTCTGTGATGTTGAGATATTCTACAGTCATTACAGCCAACTATTCACAAAGAAAAACAGCCCAGTCCAGGCCCGCCCATTACAAAAAACTCCATATTCAAACACCGAGTAAACATCTCCCCTCCAATATCTAGATCTATACATCACCTCCCCACCGTGCCCACATATGTGTTGCCCATCCCGTCCACGCTGTCCACGCCCGGGCCCGACATGTCCGGCACAATGATCGTGTCTGTGCTGTTGTCGCTGCTCGAGGACCTATCACCCGCACACATAGATATTAGCCCTCTCCCCCCCATCTCTCTCATAGATCCCACCACTCACCCACGATGCTGATACCCATACACGCCCCCCGCAATCACCGCCGCCGCTACCAGCAGCGCCAATATCGCGACCAGATTCACCCTCTTCACCCCACACACCCTCCCCTCCCCACGCTTTACACCACGGCGCGCGCTCGCGTCGTCGCGGTCCTGCTTTGGCGAGTACGGCGGCGGGTCCTCCACCACCACGAAGGGCACGGTCGGTGCTGCGCTGGGCGTGTACACGGGCGGGGGCGAGTAGATGGGGGGCGCGGGCGTGAAGGGGCTGCGGCGGCGGGCAGGGGGTGGTGGGGTGAGTGTTGTTGGGGGTTCTGCTGCTGGTGTTGACATTTTGTGTGTGCTGTGCGAGTGTGGTGTTTAGCTAGTCTCGTGTGGCAGCATTAGACAGACAGCGGGCGGGCGTGTACATATGGATATACTCGAGTGAGCGCCCGGGGTGCGTATCATGATTGCGTAGGTGCCCGGGGACTTATCGCCGAGAGGATCCTGCACCGGTGCCGGCTGTTCCATGATCGAAGAGGGGCATCTGCGGGTGATTTGTCGAGAGGGATTCCGTGTGTTCCGGTGCGTGCATGGATCTGGGGTGGTGGTGAGGGTCATGGGCTGTCACTCGGTGATTGGTGATAGGAAGGGGGGGCGTATGGAGATGGTGGTGGTGGGATGTATATCCACCATTTACCTACTGAGCCTTGATCTCGGGGATAGTTTGGAAGTCACCTAATACGCCTTGTGCCTCTCGACGATCAAACGACACCCTTTTGTCAATGGGCAAACAGCTTTGCCTGCAAGCCCTCCATATCATCAAACGTGCGCATGTCTACTCGTATACGCCGCCAGTGGCTGATATGGGTGCATGTGCCAATGGGCCAGAACCGTCTGATAATATTCAGGCAAACGGCTACGAGGTGTATTTATACACAGGATTTGCAAGACGGATTTGCAAGACGGATAGTACTAGACAGACGAAAGACGGGAGTCAAGTGCTCTCACCACCACTGAGTTGGCCGGAAAATGCGAGGGAAGAGTAATGCTACTAGTTTAAAGAAATTTTTGATTAGGTCGCTGTGGAGGGGAAACTGCGACATACTGAGGTGGGAGTAATTTTAGATGCTGTTGGAATAAGACAGTGCTTTCTGCTTGACATCGTGGGGACGTAGGAACCTGGTCTGCGATTAAAATAGCTCTGCGCAAGTCGCTTCGTAGTAATCACCTGGAAAACAAAGTCGTGTAAAAATCTATTCTTAAACAAGTGCAGAGTACCACGAGTACCACAGATCAGAGAGATTTGAAAACCTTGAGTGACAAAACTGAAGCGTACTTGCAATGTTGAAGGACGCAGATATCACGAGTAGTTATCACGTGGGGAGGTTACAAACACGGGAGATGGTTGTAATCGAGGAAATGTGCGAAACAAATTATATATTGATCATTTACTTGCGCTTACTACATCTTGTAGAGTGCTGGGAATTGTCAAGTAAGAGTGCATGGATAACGAGGGCTATAAACTTTATTTTTCAAGAATTGTTTCTGAACCTGCCTACCCTCTGCCTTTGTCCAGGCTCGTACCTATACTAGAGGAGGAGGGTGGAATCTTCATGCTTCCAGTGAGTATATATCTCAAATGCACCGTTGCCGCAATCATTTCCACACAAAGCCAGAAAACACAGGATATAATTATCACGCCCAGAGTCTACCCCTGCGCCAGAGCTCTAGAGTTGAAAAAAAAAATAAAGTAATGCAACGACAAAAACACTAAAAGAAATACACGTATGCACTAGACATTATGTATCGCCGACGGGCCCCCCTCATTATACTCTACCCTTGTCAAGAAGCCCTGACTCGCGCCCTGGTCAACCACAAAGAGGACCTTTGCGGCCACCTGCGCACCCAAGAACCCAACCTCCTCGAAGCCCGCGTCCTTCCACTCGGGAAAGTACTCGGGCGCCTTGACGTACTTGATGGTTGTCGGTGTCTGGCTGTACCCGTGGCCGGCGTTGTGGTGGTGCTGCTGCTGCATGTACGGGTTCTGCGAGGCGTGGGTTGTGGCCGCAACGAGGAGCGGGTTGGGCTGCGAGGGGCCTCCCATGGGGTTTTGGGGATTGGGGGTGGACGCACCGGTGGCCATGGGGGTCGAGAGGCCGGAGGGAAGCTCGGAGGTGAAGATGGTGTTTGAGGAGGGGGAGATGTGGTATTTTCCCTGAATGGTGGACAGGAGGGCGTCCTTGAAACCTGCGGGGTGTTAGCTTAATATAGGGAGGGTGTGGGGGATATGTACCTCTGACTTTGGATCCGTTGCCCACCACAATCAGGCTCTGCCAGAGCTCAGACCGTGTAGAGACGTCTTCGACTCTTGACATGACGCGCCAGAGGTTGTCGGCAATCTCGTGGAGGATGCCACATTCGGCGGCCTGGAAACGTTCGATGCCGACCTCGACCTCGCGGTACTGCTCGTCCTCAGCGAGTGGTGGGAGTCCACCGGCTGCGGCTCTCCGCTCCTCCTTGCGCTTTTCCTTTTCCTTGTTTTTGCGCTCGGCATCATCTTCAGCGGGGGCTGCAGTGGCGGCAGCGGGGGCAGTCGCGCTTGCTTCTTGGGGTGCTGCAGGAGCTCCCTCGGCAGGTGCAGCTGCGTCTGCGGCAGGCGCTGCAGGGGGTGCATCCGTAATAGGCTTATCCTCCCCCTCGGCCGCGCTCGCAGTCGCGGTCGCGGGCTCTGCAGCTGGCACCTCCGGTTCCGCGGGAGCTGGTGCAGCAGGCTCCACGGCTTTCTCGGGGAGCGGCAGCAACGGCGCCGTGGTAGCGACGGCCGACAGAGGTTCCTCGATGATGACCACACCCTCCTCACCAGGCTTCTTCTTCTCAACCAGCCAGAAGGTGTTGTGCTCCCTCTCCCTGTTTGGGAGTCTCCTCTCAAACTCTCCGCGCTTCTCCTTCTCCTTCTTGGCCAGAAACTCGCGCGTCTTTCCGGAGGCGACGATGGCAGCAACGTTGAAGCTCCCGTCCTCGTCCTCGACGTCGAGATCCATGTTGTCGAGATCTGTCACCTTCCTGTTCTTCTCGCCCGCCGCGATGGCCGCATTGACAGAGCCAGCTGTCGGCAGAACGGTGCCCGAGGACAGGATCTCGCAGATGGGGGAGCGTTTCAGCTGCTCGACCTCTTCGGCCTTCATGTGTGGGAGCAGCTTCGCAAGGTGCTTCGTCATGGAGTCGCCGCCCCAGCCAGAGACAGTCGTGCGGGCCCGCTCCTGCACAATGAAATCGACGACGGGGGTGATGTCGGTCTTTTCGTAGCCAACATCGACGACGGTGGCGGTGGAGACTCCGTAGGCCCAGAGGACGGCAAGGGAGGCGTCCATGATGGCGAAGCCGGGGGCCTTGAGCTTCTCAAAGACAAACTGGGTGAGGAGCTCTTTGTCGCGGTCGTCAAAGTTGGGGGGGTAGAGCATGAGGATGGGTGTGTGGAATGTGGGGTTGATGGTCTCGTGGACATGTTGTCTATATATATATGTGCAAGTTAGTATCTCAATCGCGAGCCAGCGGTGATGATGGTGAAGATGGAGAGAACCCACAAGAGCGCAAAGAAACACCCCCAATCGACCACTTTCCCCTCCTTCATGCACCAGACTGCGCCCTCCTCATCGTCTTCATCCTCGACATAGACCCCGTCCTCGCCCATGTCCTCATCCTCATCCTCGTCGCCCTCCACCTCAGCCTCCTCCCCCTCAACTGCAGCGGCATCTGTCTTCTTTGGCGTCGCCGACTCCTCCTTCTTTGGCACCGATGTCGATGTCTCTGTCGCGGGGGGCGCGCCCTCTGTAGGAGTGTCCTTTGCCACGGTGGCAATCCCCTCTGTTGCGGCACCATCGACCGACGTCGCCTTCGTCTCTGTGCCATCGTCCATCTCCTCATCGACGTCGTCGTCCTCGTCGTCATCGCCCTCGTCGTCCTCGGGAATCGACCCCATTGCGGCCTTCTGCTTGGCGATGAGATCCTCCTTCTCGCCCTCGCGCGCTTCACGGATCTTTGTCGCTGTCCATGTGCCCTCCTCGATGCCGGGGAACATGCGACTGGGTATCCGCACCTTTGCGGGGGTGAAGGATTCGGGCAGCCCGAGCTGTGCAAGGGTGGTCTGCGAGCCGGGGTATATTATCTGGGAGGGGGAGAGGGTCAGCCATTGGGGGGTATTGGGGGGATTTGGGGGGATTGGGGAACAGAATGAAGCAGCAAGAGGAGGAGGGGGGAGAGCTACGAGAATGTGGTCATCGCGGAAAGGAGGCATTGTGGAGTCAAAGTTAGAGACTTCCTCTTCTTCTTCTTTAGAATCTTCTCCTTCTACTTTTTCTTCTTCTTCTTCGTCAGGGCGTGTGGATTCGCTGTGGACGGTGGTGCTGGTGCTGCTGCTGCTGATGTCGCGATCTGTGCTGCCAGTGTCCTGTCGGGCGCTCTGTTCTCGCGTTGGCAGCTGCTGCTTCTGGGTGATTGTCGCGCCTCGCGTGCCACGGGAGCGCCAAGCCACACCGCCAAGGGGGGCTGATGTCAGCATTCCGAGTGACATGTGGTGATTATACCCTTAATGCCTCTGCTGGAATCGTGACGAGGCTTCTCTCTCAGACAGGTAATTGTAAGAAATTGGTATCTGTAGATAGGTTTGATAGAGGTTGTATGCAGTAGACTGCTCACCAAAATATGTAAACTGGGAGTGCTGCCTGGGTTGAGATGAGGATATATATCGATGCAGACCATTGTGTTTGAGTGAGTTGCCGATGTAAGGGCGGGAGAGCATAGATAGTGTTAGTGCACAAAGGGAGTAAAGATCTCGCAGCTGCCAGAAGTCTGGATATCAGTACAACGGTCAAAATTGGGGATTGATAGTCACATTGTCTTGAGGGAGGGTACATGATGATCACTTTTACGGCCTGGGCCTCAAGGAATCTCTGGAGTGGGGAATACTGGCGGGAAGAGTAGTAATGCGAAACAAGCCACCGAATGTAAAAGAAGACCGCAAGGGATCACACACAGTCCTCCAACCACCCCCACCGTGTTACAACAGAAAGTAAAGACTGGTTAGGGACGAGTGCTAGTCTAAACGAGGCTTGTGGGGTTGTTATGAAGGAATATCCAGTGACAAGGCTTGAGACTGCTGATGATTGATGACGAAGATTTGTAATCCATACCACAAGCCTACAACTAATGTTGTAGACAGGCCAAGACTTGCACATGAACAATGCAGACAAGTGAAATTTAGCGAATCACGAGCTGATATTACTTCTCTCGATAATAGAAGGGACACTTGCCAAGTTTGCTGTTACGGCTGGCGTTTGCACAAGCGGCGGTTTGTTTTGTGATGTGAAGGAGAATGATGTAGCTCCGAAGAACAGTTTGTAGCAATTTAACAACAGGGGAGGATCTCTTGAGAGTCTTGTAAGAGAAAATTCACCTCCTTAGTACGCTCGATCTAGATCTCCGAAAATTTACTAATCGAGACCTTGAGTTTCTACCAGGTCTTAATGGCAAACTCTATCAAAAACTCGAAATGTTAATCCACGAATTAAGAGCCACCTATGTAGCTTCTTGCCGATTGGGGGATTGTCTCAATATATCATCTGAGGTAGGAAAGTAGAAAGGTTGTCACTTTGAGCTAGATTTGGCGTGTTTTAGCAGGAAAAATATGGAGATTGACATTTAATTAACTACCATTACACTCGGAGAATCGTGCTGGTTGAGAAGCTACTGTCAACGATTCATGTTAATATAATACATTCTTCTTAAAGTAGATTGAAATTCTCTCGATAAGATAGCCCCAGAGAGACTTGGGAGACGCTGGGATTATAATAGCCGATTGCGTATTTGTGAAAAAGCACGGTTTAAATAATCTATGATAGCCTCCAGATGCTGAATAGAAGGTGCGTTTGAGGCTTGGGCTCAACCACATCTAAGCTCTCGTTATTATCTATCGGTTATAGGCAGTCCAGTTTGTCTACGGAATCAAGTGGATCGGCGCGCGTGTGTCCGGGATTCGTCTTAGAGCCTTTACGAGTGACTATCCATGACCGAGTGATACCCTGTGAATGAATAGTGGGCGGTCAATAATCGGACAGGGGCGCACTGTTCGGGGATATCAGTACCAAGAAATATAAGACTGATTTTGTCTCAAGCTGAAGAGCTAGAGGGGAGGACAGGGTAAACGTGATCATCGAGAGCGATATCCCGGGTGCACTACCCCTCGGCGGCCGGCCCAATTAGCATCTGCTGGATTAACTACATATATACGTATACATGGAAGGCCGAGTGATAGGAACGTAAGAGTGGAGACGTCAGGGCGGTTTCTTTGTTTCTTGACACCTAGTGATAAGATGTTGACTTCTATCATACGCACCTTCTCGGCAAACCTAATAGATACTAATTTTGCCTGACCGCCGAGAGGATGGTAACGTATGCTGCTTTGGTCAACCTATCTCCGAAGCTAGCTGTGTGTAGTTTACCAGGCTGTCGGGCCTATCGCCCTGCTGAATACAGTGAGTGCGCATACACCCGCAACTCTCTATAACGTTTAGCGTATAACTGAGTTGTGGCAGGGGCCGCTATATCAAGAGTTATTGTATGCACCGTATAAGACGTATATTATACCATATCTACATTAATTAAATAAGTGCATGTAAGCCACACGGTTTACACTCTGAGCATCGGAGCAGTTATAAGAAAATCGGCCCGGACTAAGCCCAACTCGGGAAATTTTGTCTCCTTTCCGGTCTCAAGATATCCTGCCCTTCGATACCTGTTTCATATACCTTATTTAAGGGTAGTTAAAGTTCTGAAACAATGCTATGGTATTGTTGGGTGACAAAAGTTCCTGTGCTTTTGTACATACAGCCACTCTGCAAAAGTGTTCGTGATTTGGTTTTAATATCAGTGCGCAGTGTGACGTACCCGTAATGTTGATATTAATGCTCGGATTGAAAACAACGAAAAATCTAGTATATAATATAGTTCGTGACTATATAGAAGTAGGCCATCGATCTTTATTCTTCATTGGTTCCTGACACCATTGGTCTTCTCTTGGTATATGCGGCCACGGTTACATGTGGAGAAATGTCTCACTCCGAAATCAGAATCACGAACACCTTTGCAGAGTGGCTGTCTCTACCAGCCATGGAAATGAATCTTTTGATGCCTTTCCCACCAAACCGATTTTGGGAAACGAATCAATTGATTCATTTCCCGGGGACGCTTGTGGAAAAGGCAGAAAAGATTCATTTCCATCGCCGAAAAGCCATTTTCTTAATTCATTTCCAGAGTTGCACCGCTTATGTACTACCTATTTTGTACAAGTGCGCGTCGTCATCTCAAAGTGCCTTTTTTAATGCCTTTTCTTATGTGCCTTTTCCTGTGCCTTTTCCTGTGATTTTTCTACAGTAAATATGGTTTATGAGGAACGTACGAAGCTTAATATATCAATCAATGGGGTAGGTGATAAGATGTAGACTGTGTAACCACTGTTCTCCAGGTTCAATCCCTAACCAAGTCTTTTTTTATTATTTTTATTTTTATCTTTTATATAATTTATATATAAGTTTTGATTGGTAGTAATGTGTTTATTAAAGTAACATATGAGACTTAAGATTCATTTCGGGATTCACTTCCCTATAGTAAAAAGATTCATTTCCTTAGTAAAGACAGTTCAACTACTAAACACATTTCCGATGATTCATTTCACACCAAAGTTTTACGTGAGTATAAGATTCATTTTTTGATTCATTTCAATAGTTGGTAGAGTGTACCAGGACATATGGGTCATGAAACGACTATAACTCTACGACCACAAAATATATAAAGAAGGTAGTAATATGATCAGAGAGCTGATGATTGATAGAACATATCTCCTAGGTATGGGTCTCGGTTGCCGACTTTGAGAATTAGTCTTGTAGGTAATTCCTGCTGGTTGCTATGAGAAAATCACGAGAACCTTTGTCACCCAAGAATACCGTGCCTTCCAAAACACATGGTGTCTATCTGAACCCGTATCGCGTGTTGGTCAGCTTGGCTGCACGTATTGCAGTGCGCAAGAAGATCAGTGAGGTATCGTGACTTCTGATTACAAAAGCGCCGTGTGTTAGGCCATATATCACCCTATACAAAATAGATTTACTGGCAGTAGCATCATGTGGCTACGTATTAGCTGTCATCAAACAATGTCTGCTTATAATTATGCAGGTCAGGTGCCTTGATCTACCCCCCCACCCCCAAATCCCTTGATATCTTGGCGATAGCCACGAGCAAGGATATAAACATTTGGTCACTACAAAAGTCAGTCCTTAACCCTAACCCTTGCGCAGTCATCGTGTGTGCCTCATTTAGGCCCTCCATCAGTTAATATATCAACGCATTACCCACAGTATGTTCCAGATCCAAGAGCCCCACACTCATCACGTACCACTCTTTTTTCGTACCACATCAAATATATTCATCATGATACCCTGCATTTTGATGCTCATATCCGTCGGAGTCGGCCTAGTAATTCTCGTCCTCTTTATCACCAGCTTCCTCCTCACAATCTTTGCCTGGATTATCTTTGGTGCCAAGGGTGTGTTGTGGATATCGGTCGTGTCTCTGCTCGTCTTGAGAATGATATTCAACTGCAAGCGCGAAATAGATGCAGCCAAGGAGGAGGAGGAGCACAGGAGACGTGCAGCTGCGGCCGAAGAAGCGCGAAAAGAGAGGGAGAGGCAAGTGGAGAGGGAAAAGGAGCTACGCCGATTACAGGAACCTTTCCGCCAGGCAGAACTGAGACAGCGTCAATATATGGCTGAAAACAGTCTCGGGGAGCAGCAGCCACCCGAAAGAACAGGGCCGACTTCATCAATGAATACTAGTAGGCCGCCCCAAAGGATGGGATGGTTTGTCAACCTGATCGAGAGAATTGGTCGCGCAAGTAGCGCGGTTGCCTCTATATCAGCTAACCATGATATTGGGAGTCACGGAGGATATCAGCTCGCCACTGGGAGGTGACTGCGTGATATGTTGTGTCCGCGCGGCAGATACGCTGGTGATGCCGTGTAAACATCTCGCACTATGTGGAGTGAGTATAGAAATTCCTACTGGAGCCTGTAGCGGCGGTCGTTGAGTTTTAATTAGGCGTGCAGCAGCAAGATGAGAACTGGAAGTTCTGGGCCTGAGGGAAGGTGCCCGCTTTGTAGAGCCCACATTGTGGATAAGGTGAGATCTCGAGGTTAGCCACTTTGAGGATTGATTTGATGCAGGATTTGCTGACCAGAAGACGCCATAGATGAAAATCTTCCGGAGTTGATTACAGTGGAGATACATAATGGGTTCCGTATATCTCGGCATGTTTGACAGAGGTCCAATATAATAGTCTGTGACTGCATCTGCCCTATGGAATTGGTGTTCCCTACCAAGCGCTCGAGATGTAAAGGTCGTGGATGCGCGTTCTGGAATGTCATTACCTAGAGCTGTCATTTCCTACGCGTATCTTGGGGCCTCTTATAGCTAGCCATGTGAATAATGATGGGCACGAGACTCGCAGCCCCAAGACTTTGTCTCGAGACTTGACGAGACCACCCTGGGACAAGACGAGATGTCTCGAGAACTATTTCCGAAATCTCGAGATATGTCTCGAGACCTCCGAGTAATGTTTCAATGGTCCAAAACGAGGGTACTTCCTAATGTTTAGGCTTCCTCATACTAGGACTTCCTCACCCGTAGGCTCTTGAAAAAAATAGGGTGTGCATCCGGCCCCAAATTCTATCCACCATTTCTTGCCAAGAACTTCCGGAAGTGAAGATGAACGGATTGAGGTACAAATCCCTACCCCAAATCCAGATTGAGTTTAGCTTACATTGGTCTCGAGATTCGTCTCGAGACTTGCCTCTGGTCTCGAGACTCCCGAGACCATCATGGGACGAGACAAGAGAAGACAAGACTTGGTGCAAAGTGGTCTCGTCTTGTCTCGTGCCCATCAGTACCTGTGAATGAATCAGAAAAGCCGTTGATAGATGCATCTATTGATCACCAAATATTGTATGTGAAATGTGTATCAAAAGTGGAGGAGTTCTAAGATCTTGTATGGGGGGATTGACTTTCTCTTCATGGAAAAGTTGTGCAGGGAAATACATTAGCAAAGTTGTAGCTAGGGAAATTGGACAGCTGCACAGTTTTCCCTACTACGTTATAGATGCCTACAAAAACCCTAACCCTACCAAAGTTGGTCATTTTTTTCAAGTCACTGATAGTATGCAGCTTAAAGGCTATGAAGTAAATTGGATATTTGATCGTGGATAAAAGTGCAGGTAAATGTGTCAAGGTTCAGGTACTGGTTGTGGGTAAATTATCTGGATAGATTGACAGCAGAATAAATCGCTCGCGCTTATAAAGGCGCAGCATAGTTGCCTTGGTGCTGTTTATTTTATGATATTTATCGGGTGACTGACCGCATGATCTGGTCGGGGTCAAAGATGCGTCGAATATATTTTGTGGATGAGTTCTCAATGCTTAACTGGGAAAGGGGAATATATATGGTGAGCTCGTGTGTATCGCTACAATCCTATGCAAGTCTGGTTGGAGTCCGCCAGGATACGAGACCCGGGCGTACATAAGCGTCTACAGCATAACTCTAGCTAGTTTATGTTTGGGGAAATTGCCAGTGCTAAGCGATAATTCTGTAGCGTTTAAACTTGATGATATTGTAAACCGGATTCCCTTGACTTGGTGGTTGATGATACCCTCAAGCCTTCGCAGAATCCTGCCCTATTTATACATGTTGGAACCTATGCCAAGGCCCGCTTTCTAATACTAACTGACACAACGATAATAGAATAAGATAATGCTCCCGAAGATAACCCAGATAGAAAAGCGCCCCCGCATAGTTCCGCCCTCCATTCTAATTCAGACACGTAACCATGAACCTTGCAATTGCCAGTCATCGGGCTGTACCACACTATTATCCTAGACCTACTTCTCTAAGTAGAACAGCCTACAGCCGTAAGCTCCGCTTCCTATTCTATTTCGGGTGAGACACCCAACAGTAAGCGGGCCGTCATAATAGTATGGGACTAGCGTGGTGACACCGCGTGCCCCCACACTACCCGATACCTTTCTATGCTTGTCCTTTCGTTACCCGACCGTCCTCACATCACAACCCGTCACTCGTATTCCTCACTGTTCTAAGCCTCTTAGAACAGTGCTCCTTAGTTCCTGTAACAGTTTATAAACCGGACAACAATCCAAGGATACCTGAGGGCAAAAGATCTCCAGGGTTCCGCAAAGATAACAAAACACATGATCAGCGATATTGACAAGTAGACTTTGCTCCTAGGCTCGCACCAACAATTTCAACATCGAGTGACTCCGCATGAACCAGCGAGAATCAATGATAAAACTTACCAGTCTCGATAGTGACGTGCCCTAATCGTGGAGCAGCTTCGAATGTTCATTTAAATATTTATGCTATAAGTGGGACTTCATATGTACTCAAGCCTAGTCTACTGATTGCATGGGCGGCATCTGAGACTGGAACAACATGAGAATATGGTCCACGTTATTCCTAGCCGCGATCAGCGGATCATCACCACTGTAGATATCAATGCGGTAGCTACAGTAATGCGCATGAGCATCAACATGTGAGTGTCAAATTACCTGCTTGATACCACCAGGAGGACCATGTATTGTATTCACAACAGCATTGGGGTAGAAATAATATCGAGGTGTCTTAACCTAATGTATATGTACTTGTATGCAGCTCTGTTGTAAATCTCTCCTCAAATATATACATACAAAATAGATACCCATCAAATAGAAAATTCACAAAAGAAATTCGATATAGTTGAAAACAAGATAAATATTGCTAATAAAGTGCCTACCACATTCACGGAGAACGAGAAGAGAGATCGGGGCCAAGTAGTGTGTTTGCGATTGATACCGAGATCTGGAACACTGGAGGCGGGTCTATAGATAACCGAATAGTTAGCTACCGTTGTATAACACCCAGTTCAAGCGATCTTTAGTATCTTACTTTATATCCAGGACTGCATTGGCCTGCGTTTCTAAATCTGTGTGGATGTCCAGGATTTTCGGTTGATCACTGAACCACGAGGGGAGGTCCATCTTAACATTGCGATCATCGTCCCGGGCTCCAGACCTTGTAAGAATATCCACAAGTTCATCGTGGCGATTGTACTTAGCTATCGACAAGACGCTTCGATTATCAGACGTTGATGGCTCAATATTAACATCTGCTCCGTGATGTAGGAGGATTTTCACAATCTCGACATGCCCCCCATCAACTGCAGCTTGTAATGCCATTTGACCACCGCCGACAGCAGAGCCTGGGGCGTTAATATCAGCACCGTATTGTAAAAGTAGCTCCACTGTTTTGATATGACCATTCCCCGCCGCGGCTTGCAATGCAGTGCGACCAGATGTGAGCGCTGCTGGAGCGTTGATATGAGCACCTAGAGTGAGTAGATGCTTCACCATCTCTGTATGTCCACCCCCAGCTGCTGCTTGTAGCGCGGTTCGTGAGCCTACACGAGTCGGATCCTCGTCGGCATTCACACTAACCTCCGCGTCGAAATCACTATGCAAATCAGAGACTAGGTTGAAGATCTCGATATTTCCACCTGCAGCAGCTGCTTGCAACACGCTGAGAGTCCCAGAGCCACCACTCGCTCTCGCCTTGAAATTTGCCCCACACTGCAGGAGCAATTTCACAATATCGAGATGTCCAGCCTCAGCTGCTGCCTGCAACGCAGTCCGACCTTCCCTCTGTGCAGCCTCCGCGTTGACGTCAGCCTTTCTCTGCAAGAGGATTTCTACAATCTCAAGATGTCCACCCCCAGCTGCAGCCTGTAATGCTGTGCGACCACCCCCTGATCCGGGTTCAGCATTAACATCAGCCATTCTTTCCAAAAGGAATTCCACGATATCACGATTTCCATACTCGGCTGCAGCCTGTAGTGCCGTGCGGCCAGAAGTGTTACATGGACTCGCGTTTATGTCCGCTCCATTTTGCAAAAGTAGATCCAGGATATCGCGATGTCCACCTCGGGCCGCCGTTTGTAATGGTTGACTCCCATAGCCTAGGGCTGGGAGCCTTGCATCGGCCCCGTTCGCTAAGAGTAGTCTGACGATCTCGATATTACCCGCTGAAGCTGCAACCTCTAATGCTGTGATCCATGTTCCCATAGGATCACCACTATACATATCATTGATATCGGCGTGAAAGGAAAGAAGGAGCTTGATCATCTCAGTGTTTCCAAGTCTAGTGGCAGCTGCGAGAGGTGTCCCGAGTGTAGGGGTTGACGATTTGACAGAGGCGCCCTTTTGCAAAAGTAACTTTGCGAGGTCTAGGGACTCGCCCAAAACTGCCAAAAGTAGCGCCGACGGTCGGAAATTGTCTATCGAGCCTGCCTGAGGGTTGTTCGGGCGTGCGCCGTTCTGGAGAAGGAGTTTGACAGTTTCGACATGGCCGCCTTCAACTGCAGCTTCCAACGCTGTCTGTTCGGCACTAAATGGGATCAGGGTATTGACCTCGGCCCCTCGCTTCAGCAGAATTCTGACTAGCTCTATGTGTCCACCCCGAACAGCTAGATGGAGCGCGGACGGGTTTGAAAGAGGGAGACTGCTGGCACTGTTAACAGCAGCACCATGGTCGAGGAGTAGATTTATTAGGTCCATGTGCCTGCCTTTGTTAACGTTGGAGAGTTCACAGATGACGGCGGCCTTCAATGGCGACACTAGACCAGTGCTGGCATGGATGGGGATATTTGGAGAAGGGTCTGCCCCCTTACTCAATAGGAACCTAACCATGGAGATATCCCCCTTTTCGGCCGCTAATTGCAGTACTGACGGATTATACGCGTTATCTGGATAATTAATATCAAGCCCAGTTCCCAGGAGGAGCTCCACGATGCCAATATATCCACTCCCAGCAGCAATCTGTAGTATCTTGCGGGAGGGAGCACCCGGAGTGACCACACAATCCCAAGTGAGATCTACTTTGTTGGCTAGGAGTACGTTTATAACCTCGACATGCCCGTTCTCGACAGCCGCCTGTATTGGTGACGGGCCGCTCAAATATCCCTGAGCAGTATTGACACTAGCACCGTGTCCTAAAAGGAAGCTGACCATCTCGGCGTGCCCTCTCTCAGCTGCAGCTTGGATCGCTGCTCTTCCACCAAAGGAGCTGCCGTTCTCATGCACAGATGCCCCGTTTACCACTAGGAACCTTGCAATACGGATATGGCCACCCTCCGCTGCGGCTTGCAAGGCCGTTCGACCATATTCTTTTGCTGGTTCGCAGCAACTGAACCCATGAGAAAACAGCATCTTAACCATATCAAGATGGCCAGCTCGCGACGCTGCTTGCATGGGGGTTGGAATAAGACCGCCCTTGTAGTCTGCTTCGACGCCACGATCAATTCCCATGTCTAGAAGGAACTTGACAATATCCATGTGGCCACCTCGAGCTGCAGCTGTTAAAGTAAAACAAGTAGGCTTGACTCCATTCCCCAGGAGCAGATTCATGATGTCGAGACTTCCACTGCCCGCCGCTGCTTCCAATGCTGCTACCCCGGCCTCCGACGACGGCTCTGCGGAGACGTTGGCCCCATGTTCTAGGAGTATCTTGACCACAGCCAAATGCCCGCCTTCACATGCCGCCTGCAATGCTGTTCGGCCACCACGGGTGGCTGGCTCGGCATTGACATTGGCCCCTTCATGTAACAGCAATCCCACCATCTCAATACTACCAATCTCACAAGCGGCCTGCAACGCCGTTCGACCAAAGTGCTGACTTGGATTCGCGTTGATCTCTGCCCCGCGTTCTAACAAGAGCTTTACTATCTTGGCATCGTTTCCAAATTGAGCAGCGGCCTGCAGTGCTGTACGGCCTTCCTCATGATACAGTGGGCCATTGATATCCGCTCCGTGATGCAACATCAGTTCTACAATGTCGATATTCCCGGAAGAAGCAGCCGCTTGTATTGCTGTTAGCCTGTTGGGGGATACCCGGTAGCATTCACGTCGGCCTTATGACTTAGGAGTAGTTGAACCACACCAAGGTGTCCATAGAGAGCGGCCACTTGTAATGCTGTTTCGTGGTCCCGAGTATTTGTTTTGGCGTCGTTGTCGAGACCAAGTTCCAGAAGGACCTTTGCGATTTCGGTATCCCCGCGCTCGGCCGCGCAGTACAGCGCTGATTTCCCTTCAAGAAGGGCACAAATATCTGCTCCTTTGGACTGCAAAAGCTGGATCATGGCTGTTCTTCTTGCCTTGACCGCCTTGTGGAAGAGATGTTCCAGGGAAAGGCGACCCATGCGCTCCTGTTGGTAGTTTTGTGATCTCAAGAGCATTGGTACAAGTAAGGTTAATCCCTTTGCGACGGCTTGTTCCAGTAAGGAGGAATAAGCCTTCCTCTCCAAATCTGACATCAATTGCATGATATCCACCTCATCACCTCCCTCCCAGAGCTTTTGCTTCTGGTCCTCCTGCAACCTCAAATCAATTCCTAGCACAGAGAGCTCGCTTTCCAGAGCTTCAAGCCAACTATGCATGTGGCCATACTCAGGCTGATCGATATAAAGCCACACATCTCTTAAAGCTGCCGACGCAGTAGGGCGATCCTCTGGCCGCGCGGCCAGCAACCCCCGCACAAAGCGTATCGCCTCTGGGCTTGCCCCCGATGTTTCCAGGTCTTCGACAGGGAACTCAATCTTCCCATAATAATATCCGAAGAGGAGAGGAGAGTCCACAGCTTGACTCGAACTCTTTGTCGTACTAAAAGACGCCAACCCCGATATATCTTCAGAATCGTCACCAAATGCAGCCTGGTCAAAGAATGGTCTTTTCGATGTCAAGACCTCGTGCACAAGAATACCTAGCGACCAGATGTCCAAGGCGTTCGTGAATTCAGTCATTGAAGAACCCATCAACTCTGGGGCGCTATAGGCAGGAGTGCCAAGCTTGGTTCTCAACACGGTGTTTTCTGCTCGCTTTGAAGTCCCGAAATCGGCGATCTTGATACGAAGGGGAATCCGTGAAGCAACAAGGATATTCTAATAATTTTTTGTCAGTTATATATCAGCGTCGAGCCTAGATATTTCCGGTGAGCGGACGAAAGGTCAAGAGGGGGTGAATACCTGGGGCTTCAAGTCCCGGTGACAGATTCCCTCCCCATGCAGTATTGAAAGCCCCTCAAGGATTTGCCTAGTGATCGTCTTTGCGCCGGCTATCGCCTTTTCACGATCTGCAATGTATTGACTCAGATCGCCGCACCCCACATACTCCATTGCAAGATATACGCTATTATTATTCTCATACCAGCCCAAGAATTTCACAAATAAATTGTCACGCTTGATTTATACAATTATCAGATGAGACCAGATCATGCGATGATGATCGTAGGAGCGCTTACATCTCTCAGCCTGATTAAAGCTGCAAGCTCATGAGCGAGACTATTTGGGGATAACACCTTGTCGCGGAGCATCGATTTTACCGCTCTCAATTGTCCTTTATCGTCCTTCTCACGCCAAACAACACCCGAGGCGCCAATACCAAGACTTTTGTCCCTCTTCCACGTGGCTAATACCTTGCGTTCACTTGTCAAGTGAACCACATAATCGTTATAGAAGTCTGTCGATAGTTTGAACTTGTCGGCCTCAAACATTGAACGAGCCATGAGTAAATGTAAAGTGGTGGAAAGGCGATATATCCGGCTTGTGATGCGCGCGGATGAGAAAAATGGTGAGCTAGAGGTCCTGCTGAGCAGTCTGATTCAGGAGCTTTTATGCCCACGCTGGACTAATAGGAATCGATTATACGTGTTCGAAAGCTATGCCCACATGATTCGTGAAGGATGTGTGTACTAGTATTTCGCTGACGTTTTTGAACTGGGCCATTATTGCATACACCCAAAATCATGAGCTTGGCGTATTTTTGTATGGCATGCAATATCAGTCGCGTCCACAAACGTCAGAGAAATACGAGTAGGTACATAAGTGCGTGTGTCACGCAGTGAACGCTCACTGGTACGGTGTCGGACAGCCAAAACCAGCCGGCCAGAGCAACCACCGACTCCCCTTCACCCCATCGACTTTCAACAACGCAACACTTGTCCAGAAATAATGTTCTTTTGTAAAATGGGTCTAATCATGGTTGTAAACATCCGCATAAAAGGGGATTTAAAATAATTAAGAACTGGCTGCACTATGACCTCTCAAACATTTGGTGCAATCTGCCCGAAAAAACATAGGTGTGAAATAATAACTTTAATAGCTTTATGCCAAGGCGGCCACATTAATTTGGGATAATTCTTACCATATTTGGATAATTAGATGATCATTATTACCCGATTAGGACTAGTTTCTGGCTTGAAAAGAACATGAGGGTTGATTTTGACTGTCCGGCGCTGTAGCATAAACCTCTCATTCACTACATACAAGCCACAATTACCTAGAGTAGGTATGTAATTTCGTGACAGCTGGTTGGTCTATAAGGTTGGATTGTAGGCGTGACTGTATCTGGGTATGTGTTTTCACGTCGGATTTGTGAGTACTGATAAGGATGATCGGGCTGACGGATCTGCATGTACCTACAGTGCCGGACAGTCAAAATCAACCCTCATATTCTTTTCAAACCCAGAACTAGTCCTAATCAGGTAATAATCCCTAATTAATCAGTTCTGGTGGTCCCAATCAGGTAATAGTACTTACCAAATTAGGCTCGGTCTTGGCAGAAAGGTATTATTTCACACCTGTTTTTTTCGAGAGGTTATAGTCTAGCTAGTTCTTATTTATTTTAAACCCCCTTTTATTTGAATGTTTGCAACCATAATTAGACCAATTTTACAAAAGAACATTATTTCTGGACAAGTGTTGCGTTGTTGAAAGTTGATGGGGTGAAGGAGTTGAGGGGTTGCTCTGACCGGCTGCTTATGCCTCATGGCGAAAGGTGATCAGAATCTGATAAGACAAATACTTATCAGATTCTAATCACTTACCCTCAACACCCGGTACAACGAAAGTATTAGACCTTTTCTGCCATGGGCACGAGGTGTAGGAAAAAGGGGATCGGCAAAAAAAAGTGATTGGCGTTTTCAGGCTGTTTGTGATATTGGCCTTTGCTCGATAGGTTATGGATGGATGATGAGATGATAGATTAGTTACGAGACAAAGTCTGGCTTTAAGCCGGTTATGCTAGGTGACAGGTTGCATGACTCGATCCAGCCACGCTTCTGCTGGATCGTGTCCTATCACGGTTTCGTCAAGACTCTGCACGACAGCGTTCAGTCTCATTATACAAGTAGTTACTAGTATTGAAATAGTATAGTTGTGACGATCTCTGATATCAAATCATGGTGGGCCCGTAAGGTTGTGGATCCGGGTTCGGAAGATTTGGGGGGGCTCGTCTCCAACAATGTCGACGCTTTTACAACACTTGGATATAGAGATAAAGGTAGGCCTTAGAGTACTCAAGCCTAGAGGTACTATTTCTATACTCAACACAAAACTTTATTTTTTACCGTGAGCTTCATCAACGCCTAAATTTCTCTACCTTTTAGATTCGGATGTAGTATACTTTATTTATTTTAAATCTCATGATATCTTGACTATAAGTATGGTATATAATAGTACTACGTGATTAGAAGTTTTAATGTAGGGATTATAGGTATCAAAACTGTTAGAGCTTCCTACTGTGTTTAGAATACCCTCGAGGGTAAGCTTTACTAGGGAGGAAGAGTTTTTTCTTCTCTGCGCTCGCTTAGAATAGCCCAACCGTCTCTCTACCAGACATGTTAATGCACATTGCCCATACAAAAACGACGAGGAAAGGGCACAAATGATGCATTTACTCGGCGTGTGACTTGCAAATGCATCAACTGATGCATTATTTGATGCTTTTACTCGGAAGGTGCTCAGGAAACGATCTTAAAACGATTAATGGACGATTTATGGGTCCTTATTTTACACTTTTGGATCACATACGACTTTGGTATTCATTTTAGACGATCAATCAACGACATTGTAATGTACTTTCCTCATCATCCTCCATTCATTAATTCTACAAATGATAAGATACCATTCTCATCCATGGTGTAGTAGATAGGGCATTGAGTAGTTGAGAGATTGGCTCTAGTTCAAATCCCCCACGCTCACTTTTTGTTTTTATTACTGCTATGGGTAACAGGTAAATGCGTACTTTTAATGTATCAATTGATGCATTAATTGATGTATTAAAAGATTCATTATTCCATTATTAATGCATTTCCATGCATATTAAAGGTAACACATTTAAAGTACGACTTTCGGACGAGTTTACCTACATAAAAAATATGCATTAAAAGATGCATTTACATGTCTGGTAGTGTCTCGAAACACTACAATTCCTTTTCGGCTATCTTCCTCAATTTCTAAATGTATAAACTGCAGATTGAAGTTTATACTGGACAATTGCGATTTTTTACTACGTGACCTCGTCACCTCACAGCAGGATGCCTAAGCTCGCGAAATACATGTAAAGGGTGCCGCATTAGATAAGTTTTGGGGATTCATCGATTGCACCATTCGTCAGATATGTGGTCCTAAAAAGTGGCGAAGAGATGTCTAGAATGGGTATAAGCACATACATGCATGGAAATACTCAGCAGTTAAGTATCCAGATGGTATTATAGACTTTTACCTGTACAGATTGCGAGTGATCGCTGGTAATTAAGCAGGATTGATTTCTTTTTGGCAACTCTCATCACCCGCTATTCGAGAGGTGTTTGACCTTGTTTTATTTCATATGTGGTCGAGGCTCCTGCGAATTGGTTTGCACGTTTGGGGAGTTGCAAGTGCGCGGAGGTATAGTGGATTGCGAGTGATTGCTGATGACTGAACTGCGTTGTTCCAGCATGGTGCCTGATATTACGAGGGTATTTACCGCGCTGCATGTCATCAGGATGCTCACATACCGAGTTCAGTGAGTCATTGCGAAAGGTTTTCCGTGCTGCCTGCCAACAGGAAGGAACTCGCCCAATCGAAATACGTCCCTGAGAGGGCAATTACCGCGCTGTATATCATGAACAGAGGTGCAGTACCCTTCCTTTTGGGCTCAACACCTGGCGCGGTGCCTGTTGCCGGTCTAGTGGTGGCTTTACTAAGTATATATGGTTAAGAACTCTGTTCGATCCTAGCTGCCAAAAGCTCGTTATCGCAATAAGATCATCTATCAATCACAGCTTCGTTGCCCACCAGAAATTACGCACAAGATCGACCAGACAATGCCATTAACCACCAAGGCTTTTTTTCCGAAGGCTTCCAAACCAAAAAATACGCGATCCATCACTTACTTGGGCTCCACCTCGAAGTTTCCACCTATCACGTCCAATCAAAAAATTGAAGTTTTCCCGGTCCTGTAGTCGCACCCGATATAACACTGTCTCACTGCAGAAGCTCCCTAGTATTCTGTTTCAGATTACTTGCAGTTCGCAAAATATAGCAACTCCGCCTCATTACAAGCATCAATTAACCGGATTCATAAATGACAGGCTATCACCGTGTAGTGAAGGAAGGTCAACAGGCGAACATATGCATTGCAGGTCTAGTTCAGTTATACTACGACGAATAGATGTTCTATGCTAAGTTGGATGAAAAGTAGTCCATCGACTCGCAGCGTATCCCTACATACAGCATAATCGGCGCCGAATATTTCCACTCCTTACGCTGCACTGAGATATATATATAAGTATTCATACACGTAACAGCAAGAAACTACACGCACGCACAACTGGCCTCACTGAGCCGAGCTAGTCCTGAATGAGATATTCTCTACGAGACTCCCAAAACTCCCTGTGCACAATGCGCTCAATATCATCACCATCAATATATTCATGCACGGGGGACCGCGGCGTTGGCCAGGGGGGGGATTGGAAACGGGTCGAGTAAGTGAGATCTCTGAACTACAACCTTCTCCGCCCCCGTGCCCCTCAACAACTTCAATACCTGTTCGTACTTCCCATCCGCCGCCATATTCCATGCTGCCCGCCCATCCCTATCTACCACCGTCATGTCCGCACCCCTCTCTAGCAAGAGCCGAACACACACCACATGCCCGTACTCGGCGGCTATGGTCAGCGCGGTGCACCGCCGCCAACACTGCGTGTTCACGTCGATTCCTCGATCGAGAAACTCCCGCATCAACCGCTCATCGCCGTAACATGCCGCTTGCGGGATGAGCGGGATTCCAGTCCTATTGAGGTACACGCCGGTTGTGCAGTCAAGCAGGCCGGTACCGTGTTTCATGAGGAGGAATGCGACTGAGAAGCTGCCATTGCCTATGGCGAGACCGAGATGACTTTTGGTAGGGAGGCTCCCATCATGGGCAATGAGAACGCGAGCGGTCTCGAGGCTATCCCGCTTGTAGCGCGTGGGAGAGGGCCCGCCGATATAGAGATGGGGGAGCGTGTGTAAGGACGGTGCGGGCAAGGCAGGGAGAGTTGAACTATACGGCCCGGAGGAGGGGGTGTGGGATCAAGTACTACTGTCCTCGCTGGGGATGGCTTGAGGGCCCATTGGATGAGTAGGGGGTAAGGAGTGTGCAGAGTAAGTGGCTGATGGCGAGGAGAGAAGAGCGGGAACCAGGTGTGAGGTAGTCGGCGATGTGGAGGAGCAGCTCATTTGGGAGGTGGTGGAGGGACATCGTTGTTTCTAACTTCAAGCGATGAGTGATGAGGAGGGAGGGGGTTGGGGTGGGGGGTTGCGGGCTCTTGTATCATTGGCCAATTGGTCACTGAGGGAGGGACAATTAACATGTATGTACTTGAACCATAAAGGAGCATATACCTACTTAAACGCGCGGGCGTGTTAACGTGCAAGCAAGTAAGTACTCTACATGTATGTACTACTAAAAGCACGATAGGCGAGCCCGGAGTTATCGATTGAATCCGAGCTCTCCGATTGGTTGCTTTACGTTTCTCCACTGTTATTCACCCTATACATTTGGCTAAGGCCCGGGCCCACCTAGCTATCAAGTCTTTACGGTATTTAGAGACCAACTGTTAGATGCAGCTACCGCGATTGAGTATGTATTATGACACTTGCGGTCAATTGCGACCTAAATAGCGTACTTTTACGTGCAGACACACACAAGACAAGTCACTGGGAACATGATATTACTTGATTAGAGGTGGTGAGCAAAATCATGTCATCCACTAGCTGGTCTCTTCACATATATATCTACTCTATATCCATACGTAATTCGCTTCCATCATGTACGCATCTTTGAAGGATGACGGCGTAGACCAAATTCCTCGGGTCACTCAAAACGAGGGGTATAATTCCGGAAAAACTGTATGTTATATTCCTCTCGCGCTGGGAAAAAGCAAAGGTTATTTAAATTAGGTAAGTAGATCATGCGCTGTCGGTCTAGCGTAGGTACCTACGCCCATTTCTGTGACATCGGCAGACACAATCGCATGTCTGAGCTGGGCAGCATATATATGCATCTTATTAAGTAAATACGTACCCGCTAGTTGATTCGTTATTACCGAGCTAGAACTGAGAACGCTCCATACATGAGTGTTCCATTCCAAAAATCCCCTCACAATGCGAGCCTCGATATTAAGCTTCCATTCATACTGCTGTAGCATTATTGACCTATGACAAGACCTCAATGGATAAATATAACAACTTGCTCTACCACGGCGGTAAATGCATCAAGTGATGCAATGCCCATGTAATTAAGCCCGGCAAGTAAATGCATCAATTGATGTGGAAACCGTTGCGAGTTGTGTGGGGTCGTATGGTCGATACATTATCGATGCACTATAGATTATATACTTTACTGATGATTCTCTACTAAGGACATATTTACTGACGAGTTTTGTCCAGAAAGCCTTTAGGAAAATCGTCCAAGAACACATTAACGGATCATTTTACTAACCTTAACCGCTAAACATGATCGTCGTTCATCCGCCCTATGGATATCGTCTGGAAAATTTTAAACACTGTCCGGCTGGCGTAATTGGTAGGTTATAGGTAACGTCGTCGTTTAATGTGTTAATCGGGCAGGTCGGTGTATATGTCACGTGTTGGTAGGTGTGTTAGCAGATGTGTTGGTGGGAGTTCTATAGAGTAAATACATACGTTAAAGTGTTCTCGGACGACCTTTCTGGACAAAACTCGTCAGTGAATGTGTTCTTTACGTTGTCATATCGTTGTGTGTTGAGATCTGCTGCCCGACAAGGTATTTGACATCCCTCCCAATTTCGGACTTGATAAAAACTTTATCCGCTATCCTGTGGCTGATATAATACCTCAATATAGCAACTGACAGCTTAGGTAGTAAGTCGTGCGGCAGTTAAGCACAATAGTACAAGTTCGATCCCGGCCCCGACATTGTATTTTGTTTTTACACCATAGAAATGCAGAACACCTTAATATTTGCTGAGGAATTGACTGCCCAATTGACCGACGAATTGTCTGTCTAAGTGACTAACGAATTTACTAATTTATTAACTAACGAATTGGCTGATTACATGTAATTGACTGATACATAAATACTTGTATGCCTCGACTAAGGTAATTAGTAAAATCGTAAAGTGGGACTGGTGCATTATTTGATGCATTACATAGATGTATTACATGTATTCCTATTGAAAGGAGGGGATGCATTTGCCGATGCATGATCACGATACATTTCCCACCATAGTAGAGTTGCCGACTATAGACAATGCCAGTGCGCATAATGCTTCTGGCCTAGGGGTGAGCTAGATGGTTCATGGAGATCGTCGTTTGATATGCACAAGGATCAAGAGATTTAGGACGAAAGCATCTTTTGCGCTGCATACGTGCTGTACATGTGACAATATTAGTAAAACACGGATTGATTCCCAGTTAACCTTCTCAAATAGTGTGGTCCATGAGGCTGCTCGAGGCGAGCAGAGACAGATGCCTCGGGGTGCTCGAGCTAACTGGAGGCAGATAATTACTATATTTAGATTCGTCAAAGTCATATTTTATTGCAATACTGGTATGAAAATGTAGGGAACACATCCAATGTCCCCATCAGAAATATCAAATCCACTGAGCTATATGCCACTCATCAGTGGTTAGCTAAACCTCGAACAGCTCGAGGCGAGTAAGGCCGGGTGCTATTTGGAGCGACTAAACCGGTCAAGCAAAATCTCATAAGTCCTCTACCGATAAACCTAACCCCCACTCCGTAAATCTCTTGAGTGTGAATGTAACGCTCGCCACCCTCCTTCAGCAGATCTTTTCGTTTTTTGAACGAGTTTATTCTCTTTCCGGCAGCGTCACAATCCAATCACAGCTAGTATACTGAATATCACCACCCCGTTTCTTGGGCAAAAGGTTGTGAATTCCGGGAACGAACGAGAGCGCGCTCTAGTGCTCTTAGGCACTAGTTGTTATCGATATCGCCAAACCAGGCCTTGGTGAGTAACTGATATATACGATTAACAGTTAGTTTTTTGGCTGCTCATGCACGAATATCATTCCCTCGACTGGACCTCTGTCACAGAGAAAGAATGGAAGGATTCAGCTAACTATGCTTCGATCTTGATATTTCCAGCAAGACACCAGGAGGCGCACTCATATTTCTTTCTCTCTTTGATTTCCCCCAAATTCTCAGATGCATGCATGATATGCTAAATGCATGTGGCGATCGTACAAAAGAATATTAGCTGGATATGACTCGGGGAATCGATTTATTATCAGGTGCACCATGCACAGATTGATCCTCCCACTCACATGGCGATTACTAGCAAATTGATGTAGGTCTTAAGTTGGAATTCCGGTTCATGGGCGATTGTACAATTGGCTCGTCATACCTCGGTCTCGCCCAACCCCTCACCCCTCTATCATGAATTCTCTCCCGGGGGAAGCCGCTACTTTGCGTTCTGGGGGTTATAAAAGGGCACCTGCCCACCAGTGTAGGATAATGTCAAACCACCCAGCTCTTTTCTCCGCCTTCTCTACTATCATCTTCAGAGTATACAATTACCCCCTCCTGATCTTATCATTTCGTTCTTGTCCTACCTCTCCACCCTGCTCTACCTTGAGTGAGTAAACATTTGCAATGAAAGCGATATACCTGCATGATCAGAACTAACTAGACCGTAAATTAAAGTCATCGAAGCAAACTCTCTGTCACTGCTCAGACCACAGAATACCACCACCTCAAAACCTAGAGTAAGCCCTGCTCACATTCTAGTATGTAAGAGAATCTCATTAACCTGCAATAGACGCGCTCGAAATGGCCCCTACCAACCCTCCCACGAAGATTGCAAACCAGTGGCCCTCAATCACTGAGGCGGGATTCACCCGTGTTGATGCCGTTGCTCCTGTCCCGGGAAAGAGCGACCAGTCCTATGTCTTCCGCGGCTCGCAGTACATTCGAATTCACGTTGATGCAGCTACGCTTAAAGACAGCATGACCGGGCACCGCGTCGCTCGTGATATACAGACTTGGTCTACCATCAAGAACGCCGGCTTTACCACCATTGATGCCGCGATGCGTGTACCCGGAAAGGAAGATCAGCTATACTTCTTCTCCGGCGGAAAATACCTACGGTGCAAACTAGACATGTCTTCACTATCCGACACTCCTTATGACACCGGTCCATACGAAATTGAAAGTCAATGGCCAGTGCTGGCAGACTCTGGCTTTAGGACCGTTGATGCAACCATGGAGGTCCCCGGACATCCCAACCAGTGGTACTTGTTCCGTGGGGCGAACTACGTTCGGTGCAGAATTGACCCCGAGACCCTTGTTGAGAGTCGACATGCGCAGGGAAATATTGAGGAGAACTGGCCAACCTTGAAGGAAGCGGGATTCTCTACGGTCGATGCGTGTATGCCTGTACCAGGCAAAGACGATCAGGTCTATGTATTCAGCGGGACGGAGTACATCAAAATCAAGATCGACAAGCAAACATTGAGGGACACTCGTGTTTAAGAGTAGGGGACGTTTCCCCTAATTTCGGAGCCTTTGCAATTTGTGGAAAGATGAAAAATGTGGGGGGGGGAGGACTCTGTTGCTTCTCCCCATCTTTAGCTTATGTCACTGCTCTCCGCGTTCCTTGTTGTCTCTGTTTTCGGAATTTCTGTCTTTAGTTGAGGACAAAATAAATTCTATCTTGAAAAACTGCGATAAGATGAACCTCTATTTCCAAATTAGACTTTCCGTAAATGTGGTAAAAGCTACCTACCTTAATTAACAGTTACAACTGCAAGTCCCCAAATCTTAATATCGTGCTGACTCGGCCGGATATGGGAAACATGCCCCAAAGTCATGTCTATAGTCTGCCGATATGTATGAACATGTATTAGCTGTAACGGGCAGTTTGGAAGGGTTGTAGATTCTAGCCCAATGGAATCTCAACATGTTTTAGCCTAGCTACCTGGTTCCTTGCCCTTGTCATCAACCACGATTATCAAACAAATTTTCTTATTTTACACCAAGAAAATTCTTTCAGCTTCGATCGTAGGCCTCTAATTCACGCCTGCAGGGAGGAGCGACCGGCGAGTGACGATCAATGACCGAGTGATAGCATATGATTGGCCCTTCCTTGCTGTGCATCATAAATATTAATATACGTATTCTTAAAATAGAATTTCTCCCTCCGCCGTTACCATTGTAGAAGTGTGGGAGACTCCTCGGATCCGATGTTAGGAGATCGAGATCTTGCGACGACTAGCTTAGTCTAGTATGTATCGTCATGGCTGCAAGTGCAATTCACGTGCAACATGCACATCGTGAACTGTTTTCCACGCCAGAAAATTGTGGTGCATGAGATATGTACGTAATTGTTTAATAAGGTCATAGCACTAGTCGAACGGTGATGGGGCGTCTTTAGATTGGGGGGTGCAAACAGGGCAACCTTTAGTTCGATAAAATCTTTATACGAGGCCCTGTTCTGTCCCACCCCAAAACCGATCGCATTGGTTCAGGTAGCGGGCCGGGTTGCAAGAGCGTTCCCTACAGTCAGTTCTTTGATCACTCAACAGGTAGGTAGCGAGCCGGGCTGCAAGAGAGCGTTCCCCACAGTCAGTTCTTTGATCACTCTACAGGCAGCGGGCCGGGCTTCCCTACAGTCAGTTCTTTGATCACTAAGGAGGTAGTGGACCGGACTTCTTTCAACAATTGGCCAATGAGCGGCCTCCATTTGCGAAATTTTTCTCGTTCTAGCCTTTTATATAGTAGGAGATTTCTTTAGCACTGTCAAATGCACACGAAAAATGCTGCTAAAATCATCCTGATTTTCACTCGAAATGCAATAAAAGATGGTTTGGGGTTGAACTTGGGGTACTGCGATTAGACAGTCCACGTCTTATCACTTACGCTATTGATAAGTAATATACTACGCTCTGTATCTTTGGTGTATTAGAGTGAATCAACGCTAGAAATGTAGTCCGGGAGCAAACTCTTGCATCAGACGATACGTCAGAGGTGATATCGGGAGGGGAGTCCTGATACCTGACCATAGCATGTGGAGAGGCATCAGAGACGGCATCCGAAACGGCATTAGAAAAGGTATTAAAAAGGCGTCAGAAAACGCATCAGAAAAAGGAATTTGAAAAAGGAATTAGAAAAGAGATTTCTAGTCTAGGCGCAGCCCGAAGAACGACATTAAGAATAGCAGTAAAAAGGCAGTATCAAAAGACCATCAAGAGCAGCAAGCTACTCGCCGGTACAGGTAGGAGGATTCCTTATAAGAAATGGCAAAAGAAAAGGCATAAGAAAGCCACTTCTAATACCCGGCGCAGCCCGACAAAAGATATCAAAAAACACATCAAAGGAGTGATTAGAAATGACCTCCCTGGTCCTGGCAGGCCGAGCTGAGGCACTATCAGAATAGGTATCGGAAAAGGCATTAAAAAAGGCACTATCCATTTCATACTCGCAGTCAAGAAAAGGCAGAGGAAGAGCATCCGGAAAGGCACAAGAAAAGATACTAGAAAAGATTTTTCTGGCGCCGTATACTAGCGGGGGAAAAGACATCAAAAAGGCACCGGAAAAAAACTTAAAAAAGAGACAAAGAAGTAAATGAATCGAAAAAATATATTTCTAGCTGTGAAAATGAATCCCTCATGCATTTCCACTACACGCCCTGCAGAAATGAATCAGTTGATTCATTTACCCAATTCGCTTTGGTGGGAAAGTAAAAAAATCTTTTATGCCCGGAACTAGTAGAGTCTCCCGCCTCCTTTTTTTCCTGTAAGGGGCTAGTCTTTCAGTGGTTTGAGGGGCGTACACGATAAAGGATAAATTGCAGAATTATCAACCTTGGCTTTTCTCCGCCGGGGGCCTCTTGTCCCCTTTTCTCCCCTGTGTTATCTTTGGCCTCTTTTGACGCTGGAATTGTTCCTGTTCCCTCCGGTGCTGTCGTTGCGCTTGTGATAAGAAGACTATGGGAGGATCCATTTCCGCCAGGATTCCTATCATACCCAGTTCTGCCGCATTTGGTAGTTAAAAGAACCCGGCTATCTGGGGGGCGCAAAGATACCGGCGTTTCTGGTTCGCTTCGGGAAAGCGCCGGTACTACAAGTTGTGAAGTCGATGGTGAGCTTAGGTAACAAGAACACAATAAACAACGCGATCCACAGAGACTCACATTCACATTGTATGTTGCGCTGGAGTTCCTCATCAAGTCCTCCACTTCTTGACCCACCTCCAACAAACCAGGTATGTACCAATGCCTGACTGGCGCTAAGCCTTTTCTCAGGCTCGGGAGTCATAAGTTCGGTTATGAACTGGATACCCAGTTCACAAATATCATTTTCATCTAGCTCCTGACGCGGAAACGGTACAACCCCAGTAGTATACCGGAAATACGGCCTGTATCTTCTCAACAGCAGCTTGTTTGTGAGCACATAAAGAAGTACGCAACCGAGCGACCAGAGGTCAGCTTTAAATGTGTAAGTCGAGGTATCTGAATCGCCATAGTTGAGGACCTCTGTTGCAATATACCCCTCTGTACCAAGTTCTGTCCGCAATCGTGTGCCAACTGCGGACTTTGCGGAGCCGAAGTCAGCCAGCTTGACACGTAGAAGCCCCGCAGATGAAGAGACTACAATGATATTCTATGACTGGGTTAGCACTCTTCGATAGATCTTTGGCTTGAAAGGTATCACCACCGGCTTGAGATCACGATGACAGAGATAGTTGCTGGGCATAATGTCCAACCCTTCAACAAGCTGTTGCCCAATACTTTTTCCTTCTTCTTCCGATAGCCTTTGTCGTTCGACAAGGGCCATTAAATCTCCCTGTTCAATGTATTCCATTGTGAAATAGATTGAGTCATGATCATCCTACCATCCGTGAAATTGAACAAAGTGGTCTGGATACTGGCAAACCGGAGAAATATCAGTCTATATCTACGTCAAGCTGGTAGGGCTATAAATCGCCGATGTCTCCCGAGCTCAGATCCTGTCACAGGGAGGATACCTGTTTTAAGTTGATTAAAGCATGCAACTCTCGACATCCGATTATGTTTGGCGTTGTGACAGAGATTTCTTTAACTGGCCGAATACTACCATCATCTCCTTCTACAAGTCGTAGCATGCCATATGTTCCTCTATCCAACACCTTGACATTTTTCCACTTCTGATTCATATCCGTACCTTGGATATGCTGATGCCAACAATCATGGTGGGAGATTATCGGAAGTCGTTCATCTTCGAAAGGTAAGAGTGGATCCGGCATCTTGTAACGGAGCGATCAGCCGCCTGTTGATGATGGAGGATGGCAGAGGGTACCTCCAGTTTTGTGATGCGTTGAGCACATTCGATGTGGCGCCTACCTCCGTTGTCATGCGCCACATCTCACACCACGCTCAGGTCAAAGCGGTTTGGATGAAATCTAGAGTAATAAAATTTGGATGACAACGCTCCAGATTCAGAATCTGAATGGGGGGTAGGGAGAGGGGCTACGTTCGAATTTCTAAATCTTGAAATATGAAAGGGTGAAATATGATTGGTTAAGAAGATTCCGGGTGAGTCGGGCCAATGTTACGCACTACTGTGCGTTTTGGCACGGTTCATATATGATGCTCAAGATGTCTTATTGTTTACTAACTACAAGTATAGTCGTTCATGGGTGAGAACGAACACAAGGTAAAGACGAACCAGGGTTCTCAATATGGCAAGAAACAGCCAAGCTGCCCAAGTGATCTTTCTATTTGTCCGAAAATCCTTGTTCGTCTACACCCAGTGTTCGTCCTCACCCTGTGAACGACTGTATCGTACATCATGTTTTATGAACTCACCAAGCATAGGTAGCCTAGTCCGTGACAGGCCAGAGAGGCACTGCCGCAATACTAGCCACACCTAATGCTTGGCGGACTTAGTAAAAGATATAATGATACACAACTAAACCAAAGCAGTACATCCTTCTCTTCCGCTATTTATTTATTTTTTGAAAATAACCTCCAAAACCTTGCGTAGCAACCAACATTCCCCACCAAAACTCTGTAAAACTCAGGCTTGAAAATGCCAAGCCCCACCCCCAACATGACCAAGGCCCTGGACGCCCTTGGTATTGGTATTCTCGACCAAGATCTTGTAGGCGTAGCCAACAACACCGCCCTCTCCACCCTCACCATTGCCATCCTGGCCACCCAAACATCTCGGACGAAACCAGACTCGTCATCACCCTCCTGTGCGGCATCGCCAAACAAAACGCTACTATGATAGGCGACACCGCCTCCCTCCAACAGGACCACGAAGACCTCCAAGAGGAGGTCCGCCGCCACCAGCGCTCGCCCGACCCCCGCATCCTCAACCGCCTCGATAGCATTAACTCCCAGCTCCGTAATGCCCCAGCTCCCGCTGCCTCCCCCGCTCCCCCCCAACCCCAAGAGCAACTACCACCCCCCACCCTACCCTCCTCAACCCCAGACCCTCCTCCTACGCCAATGCCGCCAGATCAGCGGTAACACCACCTGCACACCCAACCAGACCGCAAAGACAGCGCGGAAAAAGGAACGGAAAGGCTACACGATCCCCACCAAAGAACATGCCTTCCCCGACATACAAACACCGCTTCTTCGGCACTAAGGCCACACCCACCCTCGTCCCTGACTCTGACCGCCTCACAGCTGAACTCCCCATCCTTTTGGGATAGTTCTTAGCAAGGCAGGCTCTCGTCGCCCCTGCCACCGCCCTCTCAGTTACCGTCAACGCCAAAGGAACAGTAACTGTCCTTGCCGCCCCGACACTCTCGAATACCATCTTCGCTCCCTTCTACGATAGCTTCACTGCCATACTCAACCAAAAGATCCCCACCCCCGACAACCCCTACACCTCCTTCCGCCCCGTGCCAGACACCACCGACATCGCAGTACATGGTGTCCCCCTATACCGCATTCGTGACAAATCCACGCTACAGGATGCTTTCCCTGAAGCCGTCCGCCTAGCCACAGGAATCACCCCTTCATCGTGCAGATTCCTCGTCGCTAATGACGCAATCCGCAACGCCAAAACCTCCTCCACCATCGTTATCACTGTTACCCGCTCTGAAGCTGCCGACATCGGTACAACCATACGCTTCTTGCCCCAGCTACGCTACTGTGCCATCATGTGGTCAGCCTCAGCAGGAACCCAATGCTCCCACTGCTACAAACTTGGACATGTTATCAAAGGATGCAAACAAGAACTCCCGACCTGCCCCTACTGCACTCTCTCCCATACAAAAGCAAAACACCGACGCCCCGTCCCCAGCTGCCAAAGATACAACTCATCAACAATGGATTGCTGCGATGTCTCCCAATCCAAATGCTCTAACTGCGGCAGCCCTCACACAGCTTTTGTCTCCTCCTCCCTACACAGATTCGTCCTACAGAGACAAGCTGCAGCCAATAACGGCACCATCGCCGGGGCCGAATCTTCTCCCCCATCGGCTGCCCCTCCACCCACGCCGACGAAGAAGTGTAACGGCAATATTATCTGTTAGCTAGGATGATCGATTGGATTGTGGAGGGAAGGTATTCCGCAGTTGTATTAGGATTTGTAATGGGGTTTCTGTTATGTTCTTTGGGTTTCCGTTACGCGAGGTATGAGTGATCAATGGACTAGAGCCTGGATATATAAAGGGGTGTTGTCTCGTGCCTTTTCATGTTTTCCTTCCCTTTTCTTTTCTCTTCACGGAACTTCTTGTACTTATTCCACGAATACTACTTTGTTCTACACCTCGTCATAGGGCTTAACTAGTTAGTCATACTAGTCAGAGCCACTCCATAGTCCACAGTATCGAATACCTATTGCTACGTCTTCGCCTCGGTTGTATTCCTTGCCATAATAGTCCCTACGTCCATAGGCCCCCGCTACACCAAGTTCCGTCCTCTATTGCCAACCAATACAACACCATAGTCTACCATGGCGGCACATCTCCCTATTGATTATCAACAGCTAAGCGATGCCCTTCAGACCTTCTTTCAAGAACATCCAGAGGTGGATGGCAATGTCAGAATAGAAGCCTATGCACTTCTTCAACGAGCACAACATGGCCTTGCTCAGTATGCAACGGACTTACAGGAGGTGGAGAGGGAGGCTGGAAATGCAAGGGAGATGTTCGAACGAGATCTAGCCGCTGCCAGGGCCCAACGAGTCGCTGTTGAGGTGGTTGCCCCTGATGAAGAACCAATTGGAGAAGATAATGCCCCACCGGTACCTCCAGTTCCACCTGTTCCAGTGGTCACCCAACGGTCGGAAAAACTCCCAGACCCTGAAGTATTTAGGGGAGATCGCGATCGAGAAAGACTACACCTATTCAAGCAACAGATGAAAATCAAGCTATTGGGAAATGCCGACCGCTTCCCCACAGTACAGTCCAAATTATCCTATGCATTCAGCCGATTGAAGGGTGTCGCCACCAATCAGTTCTTACAATACGTCGGAGAAGAAGGCATCGCTTTGCCTTCCATGTTACGGTTTTATGAAATCTTAGATACTGCTTTTGGGGATCCTGATCGAATGCGTACAGCTAGGAGGAACCTTAGGAACATCCGTCAACGAAACAGGACCTTTGCTGATTACTTCGCCGAATTCCAACGGTATGCTGCCGAGTCAGGGATGGATGAAGTCTCTCGGATTGAGTCTTTGATGGAGGGTATTAATGCGGAACTCGATGAATCGATGATACACCATGAAACTCCTGCGACAGTAGATGCCTGCGCGACACTTTTGCAACGGTTAGATAATCGACGACGAGCGGCAGAAGCTAAGCGAGGAAATAAAAAGCCTTGGAATGCTACTGCTGCTCCGACCCCTCGCCCCCCACCAGGGAATTCTGCCCCGATTCCTCGCGCTGCCGCCCCAGCTATCAATGCACCTGCCCCTGAGAACCATCCCTCATTCCGCCCGAGAGGTGATGTACCGATGGATCTGTCCGGGGGACGTCGTCGCCCCACCCCCGCCGAAAGAAATGCCCGCTTAGCTGAGGGCCGATGTTTCTATTGCGGAGGAGTCAGACATATGGTTAGGGATTGTCCCCAAACAAGGACAACTGGAAATCAACCAAGGAGACCGGTGATGAGGGGAGCGGCGTTGAGGGTGGAGGAAATTGACGGAAGCGATAACGAGTCGGCAAAAGATTTGTCCCTGCACTAAGTGGCTTAGCCCAGGGACCATTTAAGGATTTTTCTAGGATGCATATTTCTGGGTTTTCGGTATATGAGGAGGAAATGGATGGGAACCAATTTGTAGTAACTTGTTCAATTTCCCAGAATAAAAATACTTTCGTACCCACCTACGCCCTTATTGATACCGGAGCATCAGGATATGCTTTCATCGATGAATCTGTTGCACGCCACAACAATCTCACCATGACCCCACTCAAAATACCCCGACAGGTAGACGTTATAGACGGCAGACCTATCAAGTCAGGAAAGATTACCCATATTGTGGATATCTCGCTAGACATTCATGGCCATCGAGAGACTGCGTCATGTTTTGTGACCAAGTTGGGACATTATCCGATTGTGATGGGGATACCTTGGATGCGACGTCATGATGTTACAATTCGACCAAAGCAAAATTTGCTTATTTTCGACTCTGGAAGCTGCCGTCAATATTGCTCGCTCAGTGGAACCGCAATTACAGTTCATGGTATATCGACTCCCCTACCAAAAACTCATACCGTTACCGTCTCAGCAATCGAGAAACCTACCATCGACATTAAACAACTAATACCGAAGGAGTTCCACCGCTATGTCCACATGTTTGAAGAATATGATGCTTCAGCGCTTCCGCCACATCGACCGTTCCATGATATGAAGATAGTATTA